TGACATCAATAGCTCAAGTTGTTTGGAGATGTACGTTCAGTTATGGATTTTATATAATTTAGTAACACTTTGAACAATCGAGTCGCTCTTGCAGCTGGTTGCTACTAATCTTCATGATAGTTGATTGCATTTCTTTTATTTTGCATGTCTCGACTCTATCATCATTAAGAGTTCGATGAATTTTTCAATTTCATGTACATGATTTTCCTCATAGAATATAATTAAGCTGATTTTTTTTTCTGCATTGTTCGAATTTGATCTAATCCTTAACGTTTGAAGCTCCGTTGAACAATAATTTTTTTTTATAGAGATGAAACCCCAAGACTCCGAATCAATCGTGTGGTGACTTTGTCAAAATCAGCATTGAAAAACTGAAGTTTTGATAAAAACAAGTCCATAGATACCTATCAAGGGAAGGAACTAGCAGGTATATAGTGGTCGATCAATGTTACATTTATTACTCAAACAATTGGTTTAATCTTTTTATTAATCACACAAGTTGAACCTTGTTTATGTGCTAGATTGAGTCAGGCCTATGAGATTTTATATATGGTCCGTGGAAACCTGTCCCATTCATTGTACAATGATATCTTCTTCTCTTTTTCTAATGCATGGATGACAAACAAAATTATAAATTTTCTACAACAAATGAAAGGAAAATCAAAGAAAATATACATCCATTGATTTACACTAGGAAGTCAGAATCAAAGGACCTATAATAATGTGAAGAGGGGGCAATGCAGAGTTGGCAGTACAGAACAGTAACAGGCCAACAACCGGCAAAACCACATTGCACCCACAATCCTGTGTACTGTAATGTTTACAATTCCCTAACTACAGGATCTAATTTGACCCACACATTTGAAAAACAACAGCAACAACAACTTGGGTTTCCATCGATTTCCTGTACTATATCGATCTCGGAAACGATCAGTACTGCATAACTGCATATCGATTGATGTCGTTAGATCGTTCTAGATTTCAATCTAATGATATTGTATTGTATTCGATACTAGTAAAGATTGAAAAGGATGATTCAATAACATCAACACGTGTTGACCGACTCTCCCATCGACATGATAAACAGATTGGATTTGGACATGGGATTTTTCCCCCTTCCAAACCAGGGTGCATCTTAGTTTTGGATTATCAAATTTGTAAAGTTGGGCTTTGTCATTACCAAGAAACTTCTCCCTCCCCTTGGCCCCAATTATTGATTTTAAACTCCTTATAATGCATGCTAGGTTGTCATGGATAATGTAATGGCTGGCCATCTCCAGTTGTTTGGTTGGTAATGGTGGATTTAGCTTTAGGTTTTAACTGTAGCATAATCAATAATAAACCATATAATAATCAATAATACTAATTATTAATTATTAGGCAACCAGGGTCCAATACTCTGACTTAAGGCTATAGATTCATGTATACTCCAACATTATGGATTCATTGAAACGGTAAATTTAGCATAAATTTATATTTTTTGTTGTCTTATGTACTATGGAATTTTATTTTATAGATTTGAAATCTCTAAAATATGTAATAGATTTCGATAAGAAAAAGTTATCAAATAATGAATATTTAAAAAAAATAAACAATCCGAAGAATTAGTTACTTTGAATTGTTTAGAATCTAAAAATTTAAATTTCAAATATCCAACCCACCCCTAATTTAATTCCTCACTTAATTAAATTATTGGGGTTTTCCCCTTGTTGATCAAATCGATATATAATTTTTGCCTTATCTAGTACGTAGTTGAAGAAATGTGCATGAGGTTTAGGGTTTGGACTTTGAAGGATAAGAAATGAAAGCGATATGGCACCAGCAGACAGGAGAATTCCCAAAGACTACGTACGTGTGATTGTTATTTGAAACTCTAGGAAAATATTGCAATTTCATGGGACAGATTTTACTGCCTGAATATCAGATAGCTACTCAGGAGATTGTTTCATTATCAAAGTTCAAAGAGCCCTTTTTTTAAGCTTCATGACCTAAGTGGCTCCATCAATTATAGTGATTGACAAAAAAAAAAAAGTATGAAGTTGGAGATGTCTAATCTTATATCATTAATCTACACGTTCCAATCGAATATTCTACAGGTATATGTATCATAACGATTGCATATACTCGAGTCACCAGGAGTATGTCAGCAAAATGCTTTGAAACCGTTCCAATTAATCTCAATAACTCGAGTACGTAGTTCGAAGAAGTTCAATATTAAAAAAAACAATGTGTACTGCATTAGTTTTTTTTTTGCGGGAATACCGGTCGAAACGCTTTGTAAATAATCTAATACGCAATAGTGACAGTAATTAGTTAACGAAAACAGAGTCTTAATTTGATTCAGCTAAATAGTTCAGTATAAGTTAACCGCCCTCTATATAATTGTAACAAAGACAACATACCATGTATCACAAAACAACGTCGATAATGATCGAGAAACATAATGCGACCTGTCACTTGTTGTGTCAAAGTATAATTTGGTGAGCTATTTGGACCATATACACACAACAAGGGTTGTCATGTCCCACAGGGTTAGGGCACGCCATTAAAGCACCAATAAGAGAATCATCAATGGCGGCAATTATAATAAGATTGTTGTTCCTGAATTATTGCAGAAAAAAAGCACCAAGCCATTTTTTTAATGGCTGCACATTGTATACATAATTGTGTGCACCATTGCATGGATGGAACTTCTGTGTTTATGATTGGAGACACGCCGCTTATAATCTTTCTTCTTTCATGAAAACCAAGATTGGGAAATGAATAAAGTGGGATATATGTGATCATGAAAAGAGAGATTTTGCGGTTGTACCTAAACCTGCATTTCAATATTATGGAAGGAGCTAAAGAGAAGAAACCCTAAAGCAGCTGCAAGCAATAAAAGAAGGGGAGCAGTTAGTGATGGTAATGGGGCGGGGCGGGTACCTCAATTCCCATGCCTCGCTCCACGCTACTACGGGTCGGGGCGGGTAAAACCCGCGCAGGTACGGGGCGGAGCGGGTCGACCCACTCTTACATGTTCAAAAAATACAATTAAATTTTACTTTTTACAATAAAACGTAGGGGAAAACACTTTAAGAATGAAAAATATTGATAATAGAATGGATAATTGAGCCTAACAAGTTGAAAGATCGACTCTAACTAGTTGAAAAAAGTCCAAATAAGAGAAATATGTATAGATATTGTAAAAAATTGAGATAAAATGAGTCTAGAACGGGGCGGGGCGGGTCGTAAGTAGATATCCATGCTCTGCCCCACGCTACTGGGGGTCGGGTAATACCCGCCCCATCGCGGGTCAGGTCGGGTAATACCCGCGAGGCAGGTTGAAATTGCCATCACTAGTAGCAGCGGAGATGTCAATTGGATTTCATCAATAATAGAACAGAATGGAAAGGCAAAGAAAAAGAAACCCAAAGCAGATGTGAAAAGAAGGGATTTAGCAAAACCTTTATATATATATATATATATCGTAGATACTCCATATAAGTTTGTCTATTGGTTCATATAACAACTCTTAACTCCTAAGGGTTGTTTTAACAGAGAATTTTCGTTCTTATATGTTATAGAATTTCATCTAAATTTATTACCAGGGAAGACGAGTCATACTTGATAGGAATATCACGTGTACTAGAAATCTAAACCCGAAGCTTCGAGTTATGATATAATGTCGCCGCGAGATCGAAGTGCAAGCTATGTTGATGAATGTCCCCTTAAACGAAATTCAACTCAGAGGGTTTGAAGTTTGCACATGCGCCCGTCGTACAATGTGCTTTAAGACAATGTTTATATCGAAATCGTGAGAACTTGTACATTTGACCTCACGATCAAATCAACTATATATGATATATTGTCATAATCTATATAATCTCAATAATGTAATAAATCGAGTCGGTGTATATAAAGTATATGTTAACCACTTCTAGGGTAAGCTTTGATAGTTTAGGCTCCCCATACCCTCCGGTCGAGGGAACCAATCGGGCTGCAGGGTTGGAGATTTGCCTCCAGATCCACGAACTCGGTTGCCCATGATGTTGTTGGAGTAAACCTGCTGCAGGGCTTCCATTTGTCTATGTCGGATGATGGTTTGTTTCGGACTATTTGGGCCAAGTATGAATGCGATGTAGGATGACAAAATAACTTATTGCCGGTGTCTTATCGTAATAAAGATCGATTATATCGGGTGAAAAATTTAATCAATATTACGTATGAGTGGGGTTTTATTATTTTTTCTGAAAAATTGGTGCAAGGTATATTAAATTTCTGAATTTTAACCACCTCGATTATGTATTATAACTATGTTCTACACCTCTCTCAGTTCCCCGCTATGATCACCCATATCCCTAAAGCTTATGATTATCTCTTATGTCTCGAATCTTTGCTCATGATATCTAACTCATACAAACTTCAATTAACATCGACATTGTAATAAATTTTCAATACTATCAAGAATTTTATATACGAGTGTCTAGGATGATGAAAGTAGATATTGTCGAGCTACATGCAAGAAGGTTGTGCTATGTAATAATATTATTACATCTCCCAAATTTTGGTTGCGGAGATGGTAACAATTTTAAAATCACATTTTTTTTTAGATGATACATATAAAATCGGCCCACTATTAGAGAAGCAGGTTCAATTAGGGGTGGCCGTTCGGTTACCGGTTAAACCGGTAACCGGTTAAACCGGTAACCGGTCGGTTATTGGTTAAATCGGTAACCGAAGTAACCGAATTTCGGTCGGTTATCGGAGGGTGGACGAAATGATTTTTGGTCTTAAAAGTGATTTGGTTAACCGATAACAAAGATAACCGAGAAACCAAAGCCTATTTTGGTCGGTGTTCGGTAGGGATGGTGGTTATTTTGGTTAAACGATAATCGACCGATCGGTTATCGATTATAACCGAAATAACCGAACTGCCACCCCTAGGTTCAATAGGGGGAGAAAAACAAAGCAAAAGATAGGTTCTTAGGTAAGGTCTGCAAATTCTCCATGGATATTTCAGCCCATTATAAGCCTTATTTTTTTTCCACAGTTCTATTAACTGGACTGCGCACCTTGAATATGGGCCTTCATCAGTAACGCAAAGTATCTGAGCCTTAAGCCTGCTTGCTAAGATTACCTTGGTGTAGGTGGCCTCATATGTTAAAAAGAAGAGTGGGCTGGACTAGTGCGCCAATGAATTAGCGCACCTGATCAAGTTCTTTTCGATGATTGTGTTTTGTGTACGTTTAGACTTGTGAGTAGTAGGTTGTATTTGTAAATGAGACGAGTCGAGTTAGATTTTGATTCGTTTACTGAAATATTGACTTGTTTATGTCTCGTTCGGCTAATTAGTATGGTCAATAGTTATACTTGAGGTTGGTTCATCAATAAGTTCGCTAGACTGATTCGAGCCCATGTATCATATATATTTAGTTAATAACTTGTAATTGTTATTTAATAGTAATTCATATCTAAACGATCTATGATACATAATTCTCCTTTCATATGACAAACGAGACATATTTGTCACGTACTCAATTTTTAATACATCACACGTGGTGAGGTACGTAATCCAACAAACCCTAAGAATTATCAACAAGCCAACTCATAAGCTATAAATCAATTCGCTTATAAGTCGCTGGCCGACGGCGTGGCTCGCTAAGCCATCTCCATATCTCAACAAGCTACCAAGTCGAGATGACCAGCGAGCCTTGCAAGATGAACAATGCTTAATTCAAAATAGACTCCGCAGGAAAAACAAGTCGAGTGCCCCTCAACGAGCTTTTCCAGAGATCATAGTTGAACGTTAAGTTGCTCGTGAACGGGTCAGCTCGTTGAGTAGCATAGCTGAATTCAGCTGATCATACATCAATTTGCACGTATACTTTGATCTACCAAACATTGAGGTGAAAACGTTTGACTGTCCATATTGGATTGACGACCACATATGGTGCTCTCATTTTCCCCTTTCGTGGTTCTCAACTTAAGTCATTTTACAATGACGAGTGACCACAGACGAAGATAGAAGAGCAAAGAAAAATGCTCACCAGATTGAAAGTTACGATAAGGAAAAAAAGAAGAACAAAAAGCAAAACCACTCAACTAGTCAATCTGCCTATGCACAGCCAGTGGACTAAGGGGCGCCACATGCGGCGAAGTCCGGTGTCGGCAGCAGCAGCGGCTGAGCATGAAGAAGCAGATCAAAACAAAAAGAAAGAAAGAAAAGCACAAAAAGTCTGGTTTGTGAGCAAAGAAATGAAAGTTGATAGGATGTGTTTTTGAGTTGGTTCTTCTTGCATTACGAAAATGAATAATTTTGGTGGCTAATAATATGGGGTTGTACATTCGATTCAATAGATGATCCGATATTCACGAGAATCGGAATAGTTTTAGACATATGTGCCGCTGAAATCGTGTATCATGAAAATAAACAATGAGGTGGGTAGTATTTGTTTGCATGTACTTCTTACATCCTACCGAATCAAGGTATGCATAGTTTTGGGTTGAGATTAGTGGTACTTCTAAGAATGCACTCGAAAGAATTTGAAACATAAGCTCGAGACTGACATGTTTTTGTGAACAATTTTTTTCTTCTTTCAAATAGATCTCGTCAAACTAAGCGTTCTAAAGATTAAATTCTATTCTATAAAGACTACGAAAGCAGCTCCGAAACCAAGGTCGGAATCTAAAATAAATCGAATACGTGGGATGAAAATTCGAACCGAACCGTCTAGCTGTACAAAGCTTTGGAAGTACTTGGGGAAATCAATGTCCTTAGTACTCTAATCCTCCAATATTAGATCATATGTGTCAGCAAAGTATACCCAGAGCCAGATGTATGTATGTATAATCGCCAATTGGTGAGAGATTGGAAGAGGACGACGCGGGTGAGTGGGCTGGTGTTACAAAGAAGGAAGGAGCCAGAGGTTGAAGAGAGAAGAAGCGAAAGAGAGGAACCAAGACAAGAACGCCATGGTCGCCGATAGCTGAAACCTGCTGCACAGCTTCGCCGGGCAGAAGGATCCACCTGCCTCCACCAACAGGTCCGTGACGCTTGCCGTCGCGCAGGCAGCCGCCAGCGACAGGAATGACAAAACCTGCAATTGCCAAAGAGGATTGTGAATTGACAAAAGAGCAGCGCTTCAAACCCAAAAAACAGAGCAAGGGAAGATTTGTGTTACCCAATCTCCGGCAATGATGACCAACAAGATCCTTGGCTGGTGAGGCAGATACTTGATGAAAACTGAGTATGCATCCACCATTACCAGTGTCAGGCTCCATGGGATCATCAGCCCCATTACTGTCACCAAGTAGCTGTGTTTTCACCACCAGTAACGCAGTTTTTAGTAATCGAAATCAATTCCTTGCAGCCATGATCAGGGGTTACTATGAAGAATTCAGTGATGATGGCATGGAGAGGCAGAGACAAAAAGGTCTCTAAAGAAGAATTTAAATCAGAAAAGATTGGCAGCTTTCTTCGAAACCCCAAAAAGAGAATTTTGATTTCTGCCGACACGGAATGATCATGGTACTCCTCAAATTACCCAGAATTGAAAGACAACAAACAAAACCTAGAATTGGGAGGGGGGAATTGAAAGATAGGAGGGATACCTGAAAGCAGTGTAGTTGTAGAAATCGATGTGCAGGCACATGAACAGAAGCGAAGCAGTCGAGAAGAAGGCCTGCCCCAACCTCAGCGCCAAGCTAGCGCTTGTTCCCATTGATCCAGGCACTTCGTCTTCCATTATCTCCACTACCTCTCTCTGTTTCTATCTACCTTCTCCTCCATGACCAAAACCAAAACCTCCCCATTTCAATCTCTCTGAAAAAAACGAAAGAATTCGACGGAAGCAAGCTGGACCCAGTTGAGATCACGCCTGTATGTGCTGGAATGGAGCCGAAAGGCGGTCGCTTTCTGCTGAATCCTGACTCTTGGCTGATTGCTCTGGCTGTGCACACAACGTTTTAGTGGCCGATTAAAATAAAAAACAAACAGAGTTGGGTCCTTTTCTAGGATACTGAGATTGAACGAGGGAGATTTGATTGCAGAAGGTAAGAGAGATTCCGGGGCTTCCAAATGGAATGAGATTGTCAATTGTTTAGATTGAAGCTTCGAGGCCTTCGCTTCTCTTTCTTTCTCTGCCGTCTCGTATAAGGAAACAGCTTGATTTCTTGGGGTTGAATATGGAAAATTGGGATTTTTTTTTAGTTAGGAACAGAGTACAGAGAGTTTCTTTTTCATTTATTAATTGTTTGGGAAGGAACTTTGGATTGTGACCATCAATGTTTTTAATGGCTCTCCTAATCTGACATGACATGACCTGACCTTTTTGTTCTTCTTCCTCTACCATTGTTCTTCTCTTCTTTCTTTTCAATAATTTGTTTCTTTCGTTTTAATGGAGTCTTGAATTTTTTTGGGGAGGGCAGGCTGCTAATGAACTTGTGATGTTTGTTCTTAGTTTTGAACACTCATGTGTACTACATTTGGTTGTGCGACGGTTCTCATAATGTTTTTTTTTTCTAAGCTAGGATAAAAATGAAAACTTTTACCGCGTAATGTTGCACTAAGTTTACTATAATTATCCTAACTTCGTAATATGTTGTAGTTCATCAGATGACTCAGTGAAAACCAACATTTTAATGATAATCATCATGCTAAACGTCAGGATAAGTTTGGCTTATGATCTTGAACAAGAGAAGTAGATGAAATGGCACACTCCAAACACAAAAGTCAGTAGATTTCTCGGCATACACTTCATTGATATTGTGTATGATTGCCACATCCACACTAAGAAGTGGTGGCAAAAGTTCGAAGAACTTCTTGCATGTCCTTGACATGTTTAAAATTACACATACATCGTGATACCAAATTTTGTTACTAGATTATCTTGCACCAAACATCATAATCTCCGCCATCCTTTAATAGATATTCCAAATGATAAAGGATGTAAAACTACACTAAGATTAGGAACAATACCATTACTTTTAGGGAGATTTTAAGTAATAAACAAAGCCAATGGCTTGCTTTTTAGTTCTCCACTCACATTCTTACATATATGTAACAAGAATCATAGATCACTATGTTCTTCTGAAGATCTCAATGTCCTTTCTCACAATCCATATATATTCTCCTTCTCTACTTTTTTTTTTTTAAAGCCATCAACAATGAGTATGAATTGATAGATTAAAAAGGTTGCACCAACTAAGTGTATGATTATTCAAAAAAAAAAAAAACTAAGTGCATGAATATGCACATTATTATTGTTCTACGGAACATCGAGTCGTATATCACCTTTTTTGTGTTAAGATTGATATTCCAATTTCCGTGGCTTACATTTCTTATCCATATTTTTGGCTTTTGTTGCAAAAATCAAAGATTGGATGATGATAAATAATATGCATCATCATCATTCCTGTTGGTTGCAAAATCCCTTTCACCAAGACGTTTGAAGACCCACTCTTGTATTATTTGTGTAATCTGTCGAGAAATTGTTATCTCCTAGAGATATATAGCCCTATTATGTGGTCAATGTCATGGATGAGCACTGTATTCTCTCCCTCTCTCTCCACAAGAAATATGTAGTCATAGCATCATTTTAGAGTATACACCATGAATCTGGGGAGTTTTCCCAAAAACAATAATAATTAAAAAAAATCCTAAAATACAAAACTTATAATTTTAACTTTTATTTTCATAAAATAAAAAATAAAATTATTTTTACCAATTAAATTCACTAAAATAAGACCATTTTACTTAAAGATTCGTATATCGATCATGCCGGTCATACCGCTGATGTCACGCCGGTTTTATAACCGGTATAAGTTGAGCCTGGTTCAACCGGTGACACGCCGGCCGGCGTGACATCCATGGTTTTACCTTACTTTCTCATCTTCCAGTTGTTTGGTAACATTTTGAAAAAAAAAACTAAGAAACTTATATTTCCTCCTAAAATACTTCACTAAGCAACAGAAGGCACAATCACAAGAGACCCGACATCTTCAAAGACGAGAACAATTGCACAACGATGATTTCCAAGTCACGCAAAGATGAAGTTTTCATTGACATGGAGGGTGTTATCGTAGGCGAAGAATGTAATTATATAGATGGTGAATCAACATAAGCCAGAGTTAAGCTGGAGCAGAAGTGTCAAGCATGCATCCAAATTCTTCAAGCACTATTCTAAATACAAGTTCTACTACCTTTATTGATAGAATACCGTTTTAAAAATGTAGCTCTTCAGATTTGAAAACTCTAGAAGTTTGATTCAACAGATTGGATAACTAAATCGAGTCTTACACATCATCGTCATATATACAAAACATCATCCGCAAACAAAGACCACCGGTCATATTGTATGCCACGAATCGTCAATTTAGAAAAATACAAAAAGCAACCCTTCAAATTTGAAAGGGTTAATACCATAGTTTGGCCCGAAGTTTAGCGTTAGTGACAGTTCTGGCCCCATTTTTCAAATAAGACATTTGTGGCCTACTTTAGAAATTATTGGACAAATTTGGCCCGAGAGACGGTTTGACTGTCAGAATTAACGGTCAACTATTTTTCCATCACTGACTCAGCATTTGCCACTGACTGGGCTTGTCCACATCATTTACAAATTAAATAAAATAACACAAATAATAATAACAAATGAAAAAACTGAATTACAGAGAAGGGGTCACGTTGACCACTAGCTCTTCCCCTTATTCACTCCATCGTTTCTCCTTCCCCCACTCGTTCCCGAGCGGCCGACGATTCTTCCGCCTCTCCTTCTTCTTCGCCAGCTCCAATCATCACCGCCCTCACCTTGGGGTCAACCGCCAAGTACTGACCAGGAACTATCCTCCTGCATCTGGACTTCCCAAATGTCTCCGGGTGAACTTTATCAAACACACTCTTCTCCTTGTCGTATTTCAAAATCACAATCCTCCCGGAATCGGAACTAGCGACGATTTAATCCTTCTGAGATCCAGTAAGTCTGAATTGAGCCAAAGAGCGAATAGCACCGAATATTTCGATGAAAAGAATGATTTGGAGCCTACCGATGTTGTCGGGACGGAGGAGATCGAGAAGCTTTCCCCGCGCAATGACGATCTCTTGGAACTTCCTGCCAGAGAAGCTTTCGTTAATGGCGGCCACCACACCGATGGGTCGCTGAGGTGTTAATCGGTGGGCAAGTGGAAGAAAATGGGAGGGGTGGGTTTTGATTTGCTTTGCCGCAGAAAGCAAGGCAGGGCTAGCAGCGGCGGGGGAAAATGGGAGTTGGAGGTGGCGGCGGGTGAAAGTGGGAGGTGGAGGTGGTCGCAGGGATGGGTGGGTGGTAGGGTTGAAAATGGAATGGGGGATTAAGTGGGCTCCAAATTAATTTAATTGTTTTTCCTTTTTTTTTCATTTTAACATAAAAAAATTATGTGCAAATGATGTGGCAGCCATGTTAGTGCCACATCAGCACTGAATGCTGAGTAACTAACGGAATAAATGTTTGACCGTCAGTTTTAACGGTCAACATAATTTTTCGGGCCAAATTTGTCTAATAATTTCAAAAGTGGGTCATAAATGTCTTATTTGAAAAATGAGGCCAAAACTGTCACTAACGCTAAACTTCGGGCCAAACTAGGGTATTAACCCAATTTGAAAAGTCTAGAAGTTTGATTCAAGTGAATTAGATTACTAAATCGAGTCTTACATATCACCATCGTGTAGAACACCATTTGCTAACAAAGACCGGTCATATGGTGTGCCATGAATCGTCGATTTAGCCCTACTTCACTTCCCCGATTGCCATTTTAGATCACCTTTCGTAAATTAGGAAACTTTAGGCATATCGGTCGCTTACTTCTTAAACCTCGACGGCAAGTTTTAATATACAAAACAAAAATGACATAAGAAAAAAAACAGAGCAGTCTCTGTTTTCAAACATTTGCAGAGACAACAAAAGCTTCCCCATCATCATCAACCTCTCCCTCCCTCTACTTAATCAAGCTGAGCATACCAAACCCCCTGAATCTTAACATCCTTGGGCGCCTTGGCCCCCAAATCGGTGTCCGACGGCTGAATGCTCTCGAAAACCCCGATCACCTCCCCTGTTTCCGGCTTGCTCTTGGTCACACTCAGGGTAATCTTCCCTTTCGAGGCCGCCGCGTTCTTTACATTCTCCTTCGCCAGCTCCTCCTCATCACCTCTCCCGCCGGCGGGCAGAGCCACCGCATTGTCATACCCCTGCGACCCACCTCTGCCCTTGGGGTCCAAGAACGAAGAACCTCTGTAGCTCGGCACCAAAAACTCCCCACTGAAGCTCTCTGGCTTCCCCGAAGCCACCAGCTGCTTCACCGTGAAAAGAAAGGGGACCCTCTCGCCTCCGGGGAGCTGGACAGTGACGGCGGCGTAGTCGATGCCGTCTTTCTCCTCGAATTTGACGGTGCCGTCGGGGGAGACCTCGAAGGGACCTTCCATTTCGTCTAAGGTGTAGGTGAGCCTGGTCATGAGCTTGGTGTTTTGGAATTCTGCAGGGGAGTTCTTGCTGATTCCTTCGGCTTTCACGGTGAAGGAAGTTGGCTCGAGGCAGAATTTCTTGGCCTGGTATTTCCCTGCTTTGAAGGAGAAGGCGTCGGATCCGCCGTCGATGGTGGGGCATTGGTTGGCTGTTCCTGTGCCTTTCACTTCCATGTAGGTCTTGCTCTGGATCTCGTCGAAGGTCAGCCTCTTCGGCGCTCCTTCTGCTCCAGCTCCCTGCTCCAATGAAAAACACCATCCACAATGATAATGTTCCATCACAATTTAACAGATACAACCAAACTTTAGGACTCTTCGATCATGTTGGCAGCTAAAATGTGGAATCACTCCACAATCGCGCGTAATCGATTCGTTTTCGTGGTCTTTCGAGAAGGAGGTTAACCAACTGAACTTGTAATTCAGGCATGGTGAATAGAGTGCCTTTTGCAATCATCATGTTGGTTCACTAGTTGCTTGCTAAACCCTTTTGGTGGTGGTTATTCGAGTTAGTAGTACCATGTCTCATAATCCTGATTACAACAGGATTGAGCTATAGCCTGTACTGATCAAGCTCTCCACAGAACGATACTAACATGCCATTTAAGAGAAACTGAAGTTGCTAGAACTCAAAGGATCATCATATCTGAGCAAAAATTGGAAGCCACTTGGTAAGCAATTGAACAGATACAACCGACTCTAGGAATGTAAAATCAGTTCACAATCGTCATGTTAAAGTTAAACCGTAATCGATTCCTTTTCGTGGTCTTTCGAGAAGGCGCACTGAGGAGTTAACCAATTGAACTTGTACTCGAGCATGATAATAGAGAGCCTTCTCAATCATCATGTTGGTTTCATCAGTTGCTGCTAAACCCTATTGGTGGTTATTTGAGCTAGTTGCACCATGTCTCATTTTTCCTAATTACAACAGGATTGGACTATATCCACTAGACCACTACTGATCAAGCTCCCCACAACCGGAAACTAACATGCCATTAAGAGAAATTGAAGTTGCTAGAGCTCAGTCAAAAGGATCATCAAATCTGAGCAAAGACATACCGAGACAACAAGAGCAGAGGTGGCAAGAGCAAAGCCAGCAATCTTGGTGGCATCGACACACTTCTGTGCCAACTCCTTGAGGTCAGACTGAAGAGAGCAGGTGACTCTAGCAGAGGCAGCTGGCTCCAGACCAAAAGCCCTGGACACATTTTGGGAAGACCTCAATTGGAGGAAGGTGTTGTTGGAGGAGGAGTTCCTTCCCACTTTGGTGGGTTGCATCAGAGTTGCTGCAGCTTGAAGTGAGGCTGCCATGGTTAAACCTAAACACGAACAAAACCCACCTCTGGGTTTTCTGATGGGGGAAAATAGTGGGTAGAGAGAGGAAACTGTGTCTTTTGAGCTAAGGTAGGGGAGAGGAGTTAAGTTGGTTTGGTTGGCTATGAAGTGAGTGAGTGAGAAAGATGGAGGATAAGGGGATAGGATAAGGGTGGAATGCTATTGGAGGGTGCCACATGGGCAGTGATCTACTGAGATTTTTAGGCTTCAGAGATCAGAGATACTCATTTGCAGTTTCAAGAGTGGATGGAGTGAGAGAAGAGGAAACACATGTAGGACCTCACCTGAGTTTTTTTGTGGCTGTGAGAGAACGGAAATTGGAAATGGCAAAAAGGAAAGATGCAGGGATAAAAAGTGGCCCATACAGGTCTCGAACCTGTGACCTTCGCGTTATTAGCACGACGCTCTAACCAGCTGAGCTAATAGGCCTAATTGTTATATATCTATTTGTTTATTAATACAACTAAAACAAGAGAATTACTCTGCCTAAATGGCTACTATGCAAGTCAATCTGCATGTTGTTAAACTGATAAAATGTGCAATTGTCCACCTTAATAGTCACAAAGGATTGGGGAACCAGTGATCAAAGAACGAACAGAGCAATTGTCCAGGTTAATAGTCATATGAATATGGTTACCAGTGTCTGCTGACCAAAGAACGAACAGAGCAATTGTCCAGGTTAATAGTCACGAGGGAAACTGTTACCAGTGTATGCTGAATTTTTAATGAGATTCAAGGTGAGATTTTTAACTAGTGATTTCTTATTAGGTAAGAAAAGGTCCTTTGGTTTACATTTAGATTAAGGAAGCAGCTCAAAAGTGCTTGAAATAGAATCACTGGTCAGATAAAATTTGACCTCAATTCAGATTTGACTTGTATTATTTTCATCATTGCTGCATAATCAATGTTCCTGGGAAACTACTGAGTTTTTTTTTGTCCTCGAAAACATGGTTCTCGGTCATTAAGATCGTACAGACTACCCTTTCCAGCAATTCTTCTGGTTGCTCAAGGCAATCGTTCAAACCATTAGCATCAACTAAATTCTCTGTTCCAGAATTGATCATAGAAGATCCAGTTAAACAGAGTCTACCAATCAAAAATTAAAAAAACAGGGTGAAAAAAAGTATCAAACTTTGAATGAGATTTTTGCTCCGGGCAGTTCAGAATGAGTAGGAGGTTGAGATAATGAATCATCATTTTGTGGTAAAATAAGACCAAAAACTCTATCATCACCACTGCCAAAACCAAAGAAAGAACAAAGCTGAAATCTTTAGAGAAAGCAATTAAAAAGGTGGATTTTCTTTTGGCGAGATGGGGGATCATGAATAATGGATTCCTCTCAGACAAATGCCTCGTTTGTCGTCAGGGTTTTTGAATGGATAATCGGACTCGTCATCTATAGATAGATATCATCACCGAGGAAATCACGACCCATAACGCCAACATAAACTGAAACAGCAATTGCTAAAACTAATCAATCAAAGTAAAACAGGAAGATTTATATGGCCATGGCTGATTAGCTCGACCGTCCTCGTCTGGAGAAAGAAGAAAAGAAAAAAGCTTTCCCTTTTTCCAGCGGCGACAGAGGAGCGAATAAGGCATGACGGCATGGGCAAGAAGGAGGTAATCAAGCACAGCGGCGAAGAGGGTTGCGAGCAAAGAGACGGAGCATAACCATGGAAGATGGAGGTAATGGAGGACGACGAGTTGCTTTGTTAATTTATAGGCTGAATCGCAGAGCGCCCTAGGGTTAGGGTTTTATGCGGAATTGGAATTGGGACGGGAATTGGACGCTTGTTTTTGTTTAGATACAACGGGCCGGACCATTTTAGCCCACTCTCGTTGTAGATTTCAGCCTTTTAGCACGAAAGACAACCCGCCAATTAGTGAGAGGGTGAAATTGTCGTTTCGGGACAGACAAATTATAGGTTGGAGCTCAATACTGACTGAACCAGCATGGTGCAAACTCAGACCCTGAAATCACAGGTAGCTAGCCTAGGTTCATAATAGATAACGTCTTCTTTTGATACTAAACTACAGGAATCATAATCGAAAAGAGAAAAGGATTTACAAGAACTCAAACATAATGCCCATTTGATGTTGGAAAAGAAACAACACATCCAGTACAGCCATATAAGCTCATTAGGGTTACACAATCTTCACTCCTTGTCCAGTGCTACTACAGTCAACATACTTAACAACAAAGTTCGAACTCGTTCCTGGCTTAACATTTCATAAATTAGTATATAGACAGCAGCCAAGCCAAAAGGGGATAGGATCTAACATCCATCTCTACATTAGTCATAATCACACTACTACTTACCTCAGCTTTCAAGTTCAACCTTCCTATTGCTAAGGACACGATTCAGCAGATGATCACCTCCAAGGGGCGGCAACCACAAGTTCAAACTCATTGCAGGCACTGTCGATGCGGTCCTTCATTTCATCCACCGTTGATTGTAGAACTGCAGCTTTGGCTTCTTCAGCTTCCATCACCTTCTTGGTTGCGGCCAGTGTTTGCTGTAGTTCCAGCATCTTCTTCTCGATTTCGTCGATCGTGGCCACCAGCTTTCTCTTCTTGTCGATGTGATGTTGTAGCTCCGGTTCGGCATTCTTGACAACGTTCATCCACTTGCTCAACGGTTCTTTGATCGACAGCAGCTTGTTTATGCGATTGCGTGGCAGTGTGACATTGAACCCATGCTTCTCCAAGTCTGATAAGCTGGCCAGATTTGACTTGAACGAGGCCCTGGAATCGTGGATGCGAAGATTGGCTATCTTCTCAAACACATTGGAGAAGGTTACCATTATACCAATTGCTGCGCCTTCACGATAATCCTCTTTGCAGTCGAAGAGAGGTCGGAAATGAGGTTTTTGTGGAATGTTTCTGAAAACTTCCAAGGACTCTATTGATGCCCAAGCTGGTGACCTTTTCTGAAACGGCCAAACATCAGGATTGGTTTCTTGATCGGCTTGCCTTACACGCAATCCATCAGCTGACCAGGCAGAAGATAAGTATATAAATAACCACATATTTCAAACAATGGGAAGCAGGAAAACAAGTCAACTAAAAGCAATACACTGCCTTCATTACCACTTTTGGAAGAGCAGAGTCTTCCAAACCACATTGATAGAGGTTGATCTTCATCAGCAGCTTCATTTCTCACGCTCTCTATCCCAGTCCCTGGAATACAAGCATTCTTCTCCACCAACCCATTTGGAGGAACTGCAGAATGACAAGTAGAGTTCAAGATCAGGAAAGTGTAAGGCTATAAAGACTTCTTTTAGAATTCAAGGAATAGAAAATGACGTATATCAGGGAGAAGCATTCAGACATCATACCACCATTCAAAAAGTGTCAACGTCAAGCAGAAGTTACGCCAGGATTACTTCATGCAACAGTATGCACTTACAAAGACGACGACGCTAAGGCTAACACTAACCCATATTCCCCTTCATCTCCATCCTTACGGTACTGCCAGCAGACATACTTTTTCCTTCCAGCTATACCATTTTCATCTGTAAACTCTCATCTTACTACTTTCCTAGTCTAGTTTAGATAAGGGTTTACACCCAAATGATGGATAATCGTAAGAAACTATAATGATATTTTTTTGCATCAAGCATGTGAAGCCCCTTTGTCTGCAGACAATAACAATCTAGGCACCAACACCCTGTCACCCTCATACCTGTAGATGCCATCTCTGCTTCCAATTGTCCGCCAGCTTCACCAGTCACGGCTTCAAGAGCCATTTCAATGTCATCATCAATGTGGCTGATTTCCATGCCTACAGTTACATCATCACGCATACTTATCATGCAATGTGACGAAAGTAAATACCCTAACCAACGGTGTATATACGTAACAGCATCTGGCCTTCCCACGGCCGATTTGGACAGAAAACAGCAGCATTCTCATGCTTTCTCAAGCAAGTAGATTGTTCCACCTTCATAAAGAACTGACAAGCCATGGTGCGCCGTACAAGCTAGCCAGCAGAGACTAACTTGAACAGTTGCATAAACTACGCCTACGAACATGCACTGCCATTAGAGAAGATAGAGCTAAGAGATTGTTCCTAGCTCTCTCCCCCCAACACCTCAAATTCCAAGTGTTGCTTTTGCTCTACTCATTTCCACAAACTGAAGGGGGGGAAAAGAACCCACTTAGCTCAGTGTTGTGAATGTCGAAACAAGCAAAGCTGAAGCTATGTTTTGCTTACCGAGCTCAGCTCCGTTGTGTTTCCCTGACCAGCGCCGCGCCGGACCTTCGTCTCCAGATTCGGTCGATCTCTTCACCGTGCTTTAGGTGGCGTTAAGGGTTTTGAGTTTTGACAGTTGATCGTCATTTCAGTGCTATTTATTTCCACCTTTCCAGTTTTTCCAGCAAATGTATTTACTAAAAAAACGTTTCGCTTTATCCACGTCAGCACCAGTCTCTGGTTTTTATTTTAGTTTGTGAAAGAAAATGAAGCAGGGGCTAATAATTCGACTCAAGCCCACAACTGAACGGAAAGCCCCACCGCGAGATTAGAAGTAAAGGCCCACAATTTATTTACTTGGCGAAACAGACCCGCAAGGCCCAAAGTTTTACTTCAGAAACCCTTCCAAGTTCCAATCCAACCTAAGACAGTAGAGATTAGTCGTACCGTTGGCATTAGGGCTGCAAACGAGCCGAGTCGAGTTTTTGCTTAGTTTGAGCTCGGCTTGTTTATAAATTTTTTAGCTCGAATTTTAATCATCCAGCTCAAGCTCGACTCTATTAAAAATAATCCAGCTCGAGCTCGGTAAATGCTCATTAACACAGCTTGTTAAGCTGAGTACAAGCTCGGCTCAAGATAAACTCGATTTGAAACCATTCTTGCTGAAAAATGTGTACAAATAAGAATATTATAAATTAAAAATGATAAAAAGAACACTAGAAATTAACAATAACATTTAACTTCCATACACATCCTTGTTAACAAGATAATTTTCATGTTCAGAAGAGTAATTAATGCTTCCACAAGCTTTAAACAAGCCAGCTCGCGAGCTTAAACTCACCAAGCCACCAAGTCAAGCTAGCTCACGAGCTAATCAAGCCAAACATGGCCTAACGCAAGCTTGGCTCGTTTACTAACGAGTCGGCTCGCGAGCCGACTTGTTAAACAACGAGTCAAGTGTCGAACGAGTTTTTTCCGATTCGAACGCCGAGTTGCTCGCGAGCGGCTTGACTCATTTGCAGCCTAGTTGGCATATATCAACTTTCAGCTAGCTAGGACTGCATGTCACCTGTTCCTGGCTTTTGTTTCAATTTGGTTGTGATGGTTTTTCATGCACCTGTTCCTGGCTTTTGTTTCAATTTGGTTGTGATGGTTTTTCACAATTAACAACAGCCATCCTAGCTAGCTGAAAGTTGATATATGCCAACTAGGCTGCAAATGAGCCAAGCCGCTCGCGAGCAACTCGGCGTTCGAATCGGAAAAAACTCGTTCGACACTTGACTCGTTGTTTAACAAGTCGGCTCGCGAGCCGACTCGTTAGTAAACGAGTCAAGCTTGCGTTAGGCCATGTTTGGCTTGATTAGTTCGTGTTTGGCTTGTTTGGCTGTTGTTAATTGTGAAAAATCATCACAACCAAATTGAAACAAAAGCCAGGAACAGGTGACATGCAGTCCTAGCTAATTGTTAATGGTTTTTCACAATTAACAACAGCCACATAAACATGTGTGATCTTTCTCACAAGTCAGAAATGTTGTTGAAAGAACCAAGCAAAACCAGCTCCGCTCCAACCTTGCACTACTGCGAAACGAGATCACACTGTGCAGATAGATGTTTCTGAAACCCGAACAAGACTTAAGACAGGTGCCGTTAGCGATTCACGATCTAATAGTTGAATCGAAAACGAAACATGAATACACCATTAGTACGATCAGCAGTTTGCAAAAAGCAGAAAGACACCCCCTTCTTAAAACTTCATAATTCACCATGGTTTGCTTCAAACTTGGATCAAAGACTTCTATTCCGCATTAAAAACCAAGACTGCAGCTCAGTTCATCCGACAAGAACATATTTCAACCCTCATCCTGATTTGGTAAAGAAAAACCTCAACAGATAATATAACCTCGCCGATCCTAGTAAGAAAGCTGATTCTCAATGCAGCTCGCACACAAATATCTGCTACTATACTTCACGGGCACAAGAAGATGGGGTTTGAAACGAAACCTCTATGCAGAGACCGAGGGCGAGTCATCCATGCCAGGACTAGAAAATTCGTCTGCAAGAGGTGTGTGCGCATAAAGGCGTCTCGAAGATCAATGATCCGCAAGAAGCACCTTCAGTTAGTCTGTTAGTGGAGAGTGGGAGTTCTTTGTCATGCAACTCCCTGCAACTGATGTTCCACCGTCCTGTTTCTATTTATCAAACTCCCATATCACTCCTCCATCCTCTGAAAATCGTTCACAACACGAGAAAAACTCCGTTACAGATTGAGCCAAGGCAGATCATTCACCAAATCATGTGCCATTTGCAAACAAGGATGGTAACTAATCGCCAACAGAACTTCGTATGATATAATCACACAGCTTCTGAAAGCAAGGACAACATTTATATTGAGAGGTAAAATTCAGTGATGAAGAAGATCAACAAACCTACCTTTGACTTTCTTGTTTATCCACATCTCCACCAGCATGCCAGCACCAACCCCGCCAACAATGCATGCTCCATAGAATCCAATCGCCGAGGGCCAAGACATTCTGGGAAGGAAATAGCTCTCGGGGATTTGCCTAATCCTTTTCGGAAGCCGCTTCTTTACAGCTTGCTTTGTTCCAGCACTTGGGTCGTTCTGAAGCTCTGTGCCTATCGCTTTCCAATCGACCCCTTTGAGTGGATCTCTAGGCTCTTCAGTCCCCATGACAACTAATGCTAAAGCTTTACAAAATTAGTCCTTTCAGCCAGTTCAACACTGCATTTCAAAGGAGAGATCCTGAGACTAGGAAATAATATCGACATTATCGACAAAGATGAGACTTTTCAAGTGACGATAATGAAGAGATAACGATAATCAATTGTGGGTATAAGACTGGAATCAACATCGGTACTTCCCACTTCTCTGCAGATGCCAATGGTGGGAATCAAATGGCTGAAGGTTTTGCAATAAAACACTGTAAGATAAGGACGAAAACTACTTTGAAGGGGAATTGGATTTCGCTCGGACTAGTGGCTCAATTCATCGTCATGGGTTCTGAAGAGAATGGGAATCATAGATCGGAACTGGTCATCTTTGTTTGGCAATCAACACACCGATAAATGAAAGGGGAAAAAAAACACCAATCTGCCCAAAACTTGAAGAGCAAAAGGAAGAACAGTCATGATGATACGCAAGTTTCTGCGGACGAAGAACTAGTTACCTGCAATGAAAGGGATGGCAGGTGAGTAGCCGTGCGATTGAGCGACAGGGGAGGACAAGCTTAAGTCTTTAGGGTTTATGAGGTTTCAATTTTTTCAGTAGTCGCTGCACGCCCTGTGGCCTGTGCTGTGTAAGTAATCTCTGTTCTCTGACCTGATGGAGTAGACCGGACCAGACTCAAGCCGGTTTGGATTCAAATACGTGAATGGTTGTCATGCCGGTGGCATGCCACCCGGTTGAACCTGGTTCAACCTGTGCCGGTCATGAAACCGACATGACACCACCGGTATGATCGGTATGATCGACTTACGCATTCTAAGTAAAATGACATCATTTTAATGAATTTAATGAATAAAAATAATAATTTATTATTCATTTTATGAATGTAATAGTTAAAAGTTGATGATATCTGTTGGATTGTAACTAAATTGTCCACAAAAATATTTTATATATGATTAAATACATTGGATATTAATTGTTTTTACATTTTTTTAGACCGGCATGAACCGGCACAAACTGGTTATACCACCGGTCGTACCATTCCACTTGCCAAACCGGCACAACGGTATAAACCGGTTTGACAACCTTGCGTCCACATCAATACAATAGAACAAAGTTGTCAAACCGGTTTATGCTAATGTGCCGGTTTAGCAAGTGGAATGGTTCGACCGGTGGCACATACCGATTTGTGCCGGTTCATGCCGGTCAATATTATAAATAAAATTATAAATACTCATATTTAAACATGACTTTTAACGTTAATATTTAAACATTTATACTTGAACCCAACAAATAACATCAATATTTAACTTTTATAATCATAAAATAAATAATAAAATAATTGTTATTGTTTGAGCCTAACTGAGTGTAGGAGTGAGGTTCACGAGAACGGGTCGAGAAGAATGAACAACTAGGTTAACCGAGAACTTTCAGACTAATGGAAGGAAGAATAGGGTTGAGAGAGTGTCTTTTAGTTAGAGAAGTTTGTTCTTTGCTTAGAGATAGAGAGTGGCAAAAATCTGATCCCCTCACCCACCGGAGTAAATGCCGTATTTATAGGCTACATGGTGGTGGGTGAGTTACATGATGGTATGATGACATGACTACTACGGTATGGTGACATGACTACTGACATGTCAGGAACATAGGCCATCCCCTACTTGGGACAAGACCTTTAGCCATGACTATACCTAGGACTATGATGGTGACTACCCTTTGAGTGACGCGGCGCCGCTTCTACGACTTCTTGGTAAGGGTCCACGTCTGTCCAAAGCGTCGTCGTTCAGTGTCCAGGAGCAGCCTCCGGGGGTGGTCCTTTCTCGCGCGCTTGACTCCGGCGTGACTCGCGCGCTTGACTCTGGCGTGAGTACCCTTGGGTATTTCTTCAGCGCGGTGACATCCGAGTCACATGCCCAACAGTTATCAATTAAATTCACTAAAACAAGGTCATTTTACTTAAAGATTCGTATATCAATCATGCCGGTCTAACAGGTGGTATCATATGTCGGTTTTATGACCGATACCGGTTGAACCAGGTACAACCGGTGGCACGCCGGCCGGCGTGCAACCATGCAATAGAACATTTGTTTTAGCCCGTTGACCCAGTCGAACTAGTGGTCGGTCGAACTAGTGGATCAAGGGTTAATGGCTCGATCATTTTGACTCGCTTTAGCTCGGTTTAATCCGGATATATGAAAAAAATCAATACATTATACATACATATATAAATTATATCAAATTATTCTAACATATAGATAATAATAAATCACTTTACACTAAAATAATAATTCATACTTAAATCCATCAAGTTATAAAAAAAAATCAACAATGTAGTAAAAACTCAATTGCTCTTTTCGGAAAACAATTCTCCTAATCTTTTTTTTTTATAGTAAATTTGGGCAATGTATTAAATGGATCAGCCTTGTCCCATAGGACCTCCGCCCAAGTCTGTTTCAATCATACATCGCAGAGTCAACGGAGAGTTATCAACCCAAACCAATTGGTGGTTCCAACCAGTCCTAGAGTGAGCCAACCAATGAGCCATGTTTTTTTTTTTTTGTCCCAGGAGTAAACACCCATCTAATCTTCCAGCCCGACAAAGACTCATTCACAGACGCCAATCTCTTCAGCTCATCACACCAAATCCCTAGTTCCGCAAAATCGAAAGAAAATGACATTTCGAGAAAATCGCCCGAAAACTGTGATGATACCCTTTTGAAGTCTGGCCAGTGACGGATCCAGGGGGCCGCCCTCGGGCCACGGACCAGCCCTCCTCTGAATCCATAGCTAGTATAGTAAGTGTAAATTTTTTATTTTAGATATTTTTTCGGTTTGTTTTTGGGTTTTGTCGGGCTACAACCCATCCCTATCTGTCACTTTTCAAATACGGCCCAACGCTCTACCCTGTCATGGATCCGCTGCTGAGTCTGCCATAAAAAAGATCTCGAAGAAATTCGCCCAAATCGGTGTTTAGTGGACTTAATCATTGTTGAAGAATAGCCTTAGGCCAAACTCGTGATTTGTCGTCTTCAAATTCCAAGGAAAATGGCATTTTGAAAAAAACGCCCAAAAAATTACGATAATGTCATCCGAAAATGAATTATCCCAAATCGGTGATTAATAGACTTAATCATTGGTGGAGAACAAGATCAAAAGACTTCATTATTAGTGGAGAATAGCCTCGGGATGAATTTGTTATCTGTAGCCTTCACAATTGAAAGAATATGGCATTTCAGGTAAAAAGCCCCAAATCTCTGATGGTAACCATTTGGAACCCGCCAAAAATGGACTCGGAATAAATTCGTCCAAACCGGTGGTTAGTGAACTTAATCATCGTTGAAGAATAGCCCCAGTCCTCATCTGTGATCTGTAGCTTTCAAAATCCACGTAAAATGGTTTTTCGAAAATAATCGCCAAAAAAATTACGAAAATGTCATCTGACAATGAATTCGCCCAGACCGGTCTTAATGGACTTGATCATTGGTAGAGAATAGGATTAATAGACTTCATTATATGTGGAGAACAGCCTTGAGCTGAATCTATGATCTGTGTCTGTTATAAACGCGCTGCTACGGATCGGGAAATAGCCGGAATCGACAAAGCGAGAATACGAAAGCGAGAATCGAAAACACAGACACACGATTTACGTGGTTCACTAACACGATGTGTGTTAGCTACGTCCACGGGCGAGAGAGAGCCAGTTTCACTATATCTGAGGAGATTACAGATTACAGAGGAGTATGAGAAGTATTTATAGTACTTCTCCATGTGGGTCTAAACCTAATCCAATCTGGCAAAGGAAACGGTTACAGACCAGGCCCAGAACCCGAACCCAAATAACATTGAGCCCATACACCGGTCAGCGAGACCCCCGATTACCAGTCGTAGCGGCTGATAATCCGATTCAAGTCATATCAACAGTGTCCTTCAAAATCGAAAGAAAACGGCATTTCGGGAAAATTGCCCGAAATCTGTGATGGTACCCCTTTGGAGTCTGCCAAAAATAGTCCCAAAAGAAATCCACCCAAGTCGGTGCTTAATGGACTTAAATATCAAAGAAGAATAGTCTCAGGCCGGATCCGTGATCTGTAACCTTCAAAATCAAAGGAAAATGGCATTTCGAAAAAAATTGCGCAAAATATTACAAAAATGTCATACGAAAATGAATTCGCACAAATCGGTGCTTATTAGACTTAATCATCGGTGGAGAATAGAATCAATAGACTTCATTATCGGTGGAGAATAACCTCAGGCTGAATCCGTGATCTGTAGCCTTCAAAATCGAAAGAAAATTACTTTTCGGGAAAATCGTCCAAAATCTGTGATGGTACTTCTTTGTAGTCTGCAAAAAATGGTCCCGGAAGGAATCTACCCAAATCGTTGCTTAATGGATTTAATTATCAAAGAAGAATAACTTCAGGCTGAATCCGTGATCAGTAGCCTTCAAAATCCTATAAAAATGGTCTTTCGAAAACAATCACCTAAAAAGTTACGAACATATCATTCGAAAATGAATTCACCCAAATCGGTGATCTGGAACTTCCATGACTATTCGAAAGTTGGAACTTCTAAACTATTTTTCTTGTCATGATAAACGGAATTTGATTGTGATGCAAGAAAGATAGGCAAATGGGGAAGTTAGAGAAGAAGAATGAGAGGACAATGAGGTGGGGGGAAAGACAAGCAAAGCCATCGAATTTGGTTATTGTTTTAGCCATGGATGAGAACCTTCCAAACGCAATAAAATAATTAGGGTTGTGGACTTAACGGCTAGAGAATTGGCATCCTCCTTCTAATACACAACAACTTTTTTTTTAAAGAGTGGTTTAATTAAGCAATAATAATATCCAATGACACATTTCTTTTTGAGGAGAAGGTTTTTAGTGTTTAAACAAAACGTACTAAAGTTTAGCCACCAAACATTTGGTCCCACTCCTTATTGTTTAACCAAATTAAGACGTTGAACAATGAGCTTCTTTGAAAATTCAATTTTATAATTGTTATTTGCCTAGTGGATGCCATTCCCCACTAGTTATTAACAAATTTGAAATATCCATAACCTAAATTCTGCCCAGTTCCGAACTTAAAAGTTACGATGAACTTTTATTTTTTTACATTATTACGAGACCAATATATCAGGATTGTATTTGTATCTTTAATTGTGACGAGCAAAATAGATGTGAATAATAGCTTGTCAAAAACATCACAACCCGACAACAAATTTGGAGGGCACTATTAATATTACATTGATATATGGCCTCACAATCCACATATTCAAAGCATGGAAAGGTTCAAAATTACACAAATTAATGAAATTACAAAACCAAACTAGATAATAATAAATAAAATAAAAACAGAGAGAGAGAGTAGAAATTAATGGGTTGGTCAATTTCTAATTGACCACAAATTTCCCCACATCTCTTTATTACACATCCATCATTTGTTGTTTGTTCTTCCAAGTTCCAACGATCAAACACTAATTGATCATCCTCGTCATCATTTGTTAACTTCGGCCTCAGCTGAACCTGCACAAATATCAAAAATTGAAAGCAAACGGCAGAAGAAATCAAACAACCCATTTGAAAATGAATTACAAAATGATGCACGAATGGCCAACCTGCGGTGGCCGTAGCGACGGAGCCAGATGGCGACGGCGGCGGTGCTTGGTCGACATCTTTCAGCTGGTTGCTGGCCGGTTGCTCAAGCGAAGCGGAGCAGGGAACTGGAGCTACGACGCCGCCGACGGCGACGACGCCGGGCCAAGAGCGGCAGAGGCAGTGGCTGCCCTTCTGGATGCCGTGGTAGAGCGGGACGAGGTGTTTCCCGCAGCCTCCCCACCCTGTCTTCCCGCACCCTTTGCATTCCACCTTGTAACACATCTCCTTTTTTTTTTTTTTTTTTTATCACTTTCTTCTTCACTTTAATTTCCTTTTTGATCCTTTTCAATTCCCAGCATTTTTTCGCCCTGTATTTAAACTGCGAGGAGGAGGCTTTGGTTAGGTGGTTTGTCCGACGTAATCGAAGGTCCCATGGGGGAGAATTTTTGCGGCGGGAAATGCTATGTCGAGGAATAATAATTCTCGAATTCATCGGCGGCGGGGGGAAAATTGGGCAACCCGCCAACAAGGAAAACCAGAACTCCACATTTGCGAATTGGTTTATGTGAAGTCGGGAATCAGTATCGAATTGTGAATATCTATTGTCCATTGGGACGGATTAAAGGTCAAATTTTCTCGTAAAAATCCAATAAAAAAGAAACTCCCATTTGGTTCTCCCAAAAGCACATTGCACTTTATGATAGACAATTAAAATCATATTCATATCCGATTGTTTTCGGAATATTTCACAAATATGTGCAGATAATAGTTTTTCTCTATATAACTTCAACACACTAAATACGTATATTGACATTTATGTAAGTGAAGAGTTAACAATAAGCCACAACCATAACTAAACAAATTAGTAAAAGAACGAGAAAAAAAACCCGATAAACAACTCTAGCGATACGAAACGATTGAACATAATTTCAGCATGAAATACTCAATTTTCGACTTTTTTTGATTCAATCTCCCGTATAGTTTTATAATTATTGACAATTTCGTGAAAATTTTCTCTATGCAGATTAAATATAAGATATTTTATAGAGATAAGCCATTATCGTCTCGGTATAAAATATAAAATACACATTCATCAAACGGGGTTCAGTTACATAGTGAAAAAAAATTCATACCCATCCATCACTCGTTTTTATTCAAGTTCGATATATTTTACCCATACCCAGCCAAACAAGTATCAAGTATCTGATGGGGCGGGGCGAATACGCCTTAACACAACTGTCCGCACATAAGTATTCGATATTCGAGGAGGCTATTTTGTTCACGTCGGGAGAGATCTGTTTATGTCTCCAATAAGAACGTAATCCAGCATTTATTAGGATCTCATCAAGGATGCCTAATAACAAAAGACGATTAGTTTCAGCAAACACAATCCTACTACTACACATCACATGGTGAAGTAAAACTAAATTCTCGCAACATGAACAGAAACACAATGTAGCCGCACTCATTAGAACCATCCTTTCCCTCCCAAATATCCATTTCCATGTCAGTATCTATAGCGAAAAATCCATTAGTTAAAAACAGTCCAATTGATCGAGATTCAAACCGACGTTCAGGAAGCTTTGCCACTGTCTTCCTCTGCTCTGTCTGTCGAGGACTCCACAGCGGGCTTCTTTGCTGGACTGATCGGGGCCATCAGCACGCGCTTCACTCCTCTCCCGACAACACCCAGGTGGGTGACACCGCCATCTCCATTGGTATGACCTGTCGAGACTGTAGGGGACTCCGACTCGCCAGCATTCCTATTCGTAGCCATCCGGGAAGAAGAGCTCACTAGACCCGGGGAAGCGGTCTTCTGATCATCGCCTCTAGCCCTGGCTGCTGCCGTTCCCAGGATCTCTTGAAGAATCGACTTTGGGTTCACAGCGAGCTGCTGGAGATCTTCGAGCTGCAGCAAATCCATGGAACACCGAGTCAATCATAGCAATGCTGATTGATAGAGATACCAGAATCTCAGCCTAAGTGAACCAACCCAACCCGACCACTCGAAATCCAACCAAAGCACATTTGACCGGTACCAATTGGGTAGGGTTGATGGAGTAGTGAAAAATTACCATTTTTATACCTAACCAGTTCATATAACTATAGTCTATAGTCTATACTAAACTAAATATTGCATCAAAACTACAATTAGTACCAGAATAGTCTGGGCAGTGCATTTTAGTACCTAAAACCTTTTACTCTGCCAATGCACTCCGCATACCCGACAACTACACTATGACAACCTTCATTTTTTTTTTAATGTTTATGGTGCCTTCCTCTGGCAATTAACAACTAATCCACAGCTATCATTTCCATTACTTTATTTATCCAACAGCTTTTGGGCCTCGCATAAGAAATTTTGTGAACAACTATCAAAACCCTATTTAAACACATCACATAAACCCACAAGCCATTTAAACCGAATCCATTTTCCACCTACAGCAATACGGTATTATTGTAAAAATATCATATGGAAAACTAAGGATACATCCGTACCTTCTTTTCTAGTTCCACAGATAGACCAGTAAGTGTTTCGATCTCTGCTTCTTTGTCTGCTACATATATATCAGGCAGAGGTCCAGTAGATGACTGCTGGACACCCTCATCCATTTCTGAAACAGCTGATGTTGCTGCTGACTCTGAAGAGCTCTTTGTTTCAGCAATGAGACGCTGTATACGTGACTTACAAACTGAAATAGCTTTCTCGCAGTACGGGACCGCTTCTTCTGCCCTAGAGCCAGTTTCCAGACATAAACAGATCCGGAAGTTTCTGGTAGCAATAGTCAAGGTCATGTTTATCACCTATTTGCGAGAAGTATGAAATGCATAAATATATGGGCAATACATGACAAAATGGCATTAGTAATGATTTAGAAATAGATATAATCAAAAGGATACAGTTCAGCTATAAGCCTACTGTCAGGTTCAACGAGCCGCTCTAAGATGGATAAAGCAGCCTGATAGTCACTCAGAGATGTTTCAATGTCCTCTGTAACATAGCCAAAGTCAGCAAGATTCCGTGGACGTGGGAAATATTGCCAGAAAGATAGAAAAAGTGAAGGTTGTTGATCATGTTCAAAAATTTCAAGTCAAAGAAAAAGAAGGCCAGCTAACCTCTCTCCAAGGCAACTTCAGCTAGAGCTGATAGTACATCCACTTTATCCATGGTATCACCAGAATTCTTATCAGCAATTGCCCTCGCAAGATCCAGCATTTTCCAGGACAAATCAAGATCAGACTCATCCTCCTCATCTCCTTCAGCTTCAGCCAATTCATTGTCATCACTTTCCTCCCCATCATCGTCCTGTTCTTTATCACCTGATGGTTCAAGGAAATGCAGAAATATCTCACTTTTCCTTCCCAAAAACAGTAACCTCAATAACAATAACAAGCATTTCATTAACAAAACACAGACATACCACCGTTTGTAGCTTCGTTTTGATGACTGGAGCTCCCATCCTCTTGAACCTTGCTTGATGCTGAAGAAGATTCTCCATTAGCTGCAATCTTAACAGATGCATCTTTACCAGATGGCTGCTTAGATTCACTGTCCTTCTTCGGTACTGAACCCAATGGGTCAGCCTCCTCTTGAGCCTTATACAAGAGAGCGCGGCCATAGTGGTAGTATGCAGTGATGCACTCAGGAGCAAGTTCACCAAAATGCTCAACTCTGTGAATTTCCAACATCCACAGATGAAAAGCATCAGCACTTCTCGTTCCATTAGCTATCTAATTTTTTACACAGGGTGAAGCTCCAACTATCAACAACTCTGTTCACCTAATGCTACAATCAAGAACGAACACCCAAGGACTAGCCAACTAGATCGAAGAACGAAGAAGTAAGTTTTCAGAAAATTCAAAAACCCTAACCTGATTTCTAGGGCGCGGCTGAAGCACTCGACGGCCTCCTCGATGTCATTTTCCTTTAGAGCCTTGGTTCCTCTCTCCGCCAACTCCGCCGCGAATTCCAGTGACTTCTCCTCGCCTCCATCGGAAGTCATCGTGGATGTGTCTCCTCCGCCGCTCTTGACCTCGTTCTCGTTGTTGTTGTTGTTGCAAGTGGACTCCGTGCCTCCCAGAGCGTACGATTCTATGGTGGCCTCGATTGAAGTTTGAGCTTTAAGCGGCACAGTCCCCTCCGTCGCCGCGGCCTGCTCAGTCATCGTCACCGAGGACTCGGACGCCGTTGCTTCCTCTTCCGCCATTGATTTCAACAAAGAAATGGAAACGAAAAGATTTCGAGAGGGAAAAAAGGGAAAGGGTTTGTACAAAAACAAAAACCCCGCACCATCTCCAAAATTTTCGACGACACCGTTTCTGAAAACTAAAATACCGATTATATCCTCCGGGTACTTGGTTGGATCAGCGGGATATAATGGTAACTTTGAAAATAGGGCGCCAAGTATATAACAAAATCGCTTCATGTGAAGAAATCAATAAATTCATTTTCAACCGCAAGTTAAATTAATGGCTGCCACGGCAGCGCAATCCTCCGTTATCCGAGCTCTCCTACCCCGCAATGCGCCGGCGTCGAAATCCTCTCCCGCCTCCCTCAACAGCCGGAGGAATTTGCTCTTCCTGATGACGGCGGTCCCGGCGCTGTCGATGAAAGAATCGGTCTCCAGAGCGCAGGACATCCCGCTGTTTGGACTGAAGAGGAAGCTGAAGAAAGCGGAGGAGGAAGCCGAGCTGCTAGTCAAGGAAGGCTTCGAGACGGCGGAGAAGGGGCTCGAGACGGCGGAGAAAGGGCTCGTGACGGCGGAGATAGGGATCGAGGAAGCGGTGAGTTTCGGCGGACTCGCGCAGGCTGGAGCCGTCGTCGGAGCAGAGGCCGTCGCCGTTCTCGTCGCTACTTCCGTCGTCAGCGGGATTTTGGGGCCGGATGCCTGAAATTCTTGAGAAAATTGAAATTGCTCCGAAATCGATTTTCTTAATTATGCTTTAATTTCTGTAGATCGCTTTCCTGTTTGGTTTGGACAAATAATGAAAAAGGAGGAGAAATTCATAAATCTTCTAAGCCAAGAGCTATCAGCCATACTCGTGGAAAAGCGCTTATTTTTAAGTGGCGACGAGCCAAACACGCCTTAATTTCACTAGCGATTGTTTGGCACAGAATATTATCTGCAAAATGGCCCATGTAGCCTCGTCGAACTCCATCCGCACATTCCGGCCGCATTTCCCCACCGCCGAATCCCCGCCGGTGCCGTTTACCGGAGCCACTTTCCCTTTCCGTGAGAAACCCCGGAGGCAATTCCCGGTCGTAGCATGCCAAACCAAATCCAACTCCTCGACTGAGAACTCCACCGTTAAGGTACGCCGCTGCGATTTCCCAAGCGCTTCTTCGTTTCCTTTCACCTGAGTTTAGGTTCCGATTTCATTCTGTTGAACAAGTGCAGGAAAAACAGGCTGATAGTTCAGGGACGGACGACGCCGGCGCGGCGACGAGTTCGCCTTCTGATTCCGCTGGTCTCCCCGAATTCCCGACTAGGAATCTGAATAGAAGGATAGCAGTCGGTTCGGGGCTCTTCGGAGTTGGGCTTTTCGTTTTAGGGCGGCTGGATTTTGGGGTTTCCCTGAAAGATTTATCCGCCGTTGCATTGCCTTATGAAGAGGTTTGTTCGTCTGTCTTCTAATCCCCTCTCAGGAAGTTAATTCGTTTCTAAGGATTTGATGGTAGAAAATGAATGCTACAATGGCGAGATTCAATTAGTAGTGACAGTAAATCTATGAGCATAACGATTGCAAGGTTTGATCAAATGTTCTTGTGCTGTTTTCTTTTGCAGGCTCTCTCAAATGGGAAGCCGACGGTGGTGGAGTTCTATGCAGATTGGTGTGAGGTTTGTAGAGAGTTAGCCCCAGATGTATACAAAGTCGAGCAGCAGTACAAGTAAAAACCGAATCTCTTTGTGGTTTGATCTTAGATCATAGGCTTTTTCGACGTCGGTGTTTCGAGATTCAAAATGGCTCGTGTGTTTGTTTTTGTAGGGGGCAAGTGAATTTTGTGATGCTGAATGTGGACAACACGAAGTGGGAGCAAGAGCTGGATGAGTTTGGAGTTGAGGGGATCCCACATTTCGCATTCCTCGACCGAGACGGGAATGAAGAAGGCAACGTAGTTGGGAGGCTGCCGAGGCGGTACCTTATGGAGAATGTCGAGGCGCTCGCTCAAGGGGAGGCGACCGTGCCTCATGCTCGTGTGGTCGGGCAGTTCTCGAAGGCGGAATCAAGGAAAGTTCGCCCCGTTAGTGATCCTACAAGCCATGGTTGATTGAAAATGCAGTTGCTGCTGCATCTTTCATTTGAAAAGAGAAGTTTGGTAATTAACACTTTTGTTAACTTCATGTATACTGAAAGCCATCTACTACTTTGAATGGTGCCTACCCACTTGTGAATTTGATAGTTAATTTAACTTGCAGTTTATGCAGAGAAACTCCTGTTTGAAATCGCTTATCTATGGTTATTGCTGAGTTTTCTTCTTTTAGGAAGAACAGAATCAAGGATTGAAGTCAATAGATTCCAGTTTTGCTGTTTTATGCAACGTATAGATGATTCTCGTTGAATGTTTGGATTCATCTAAACAGGATAGTTCATTGCGGATAGGGAAGGAGAACAAGAACAACAGAAAGAACTTCATCTTATGTCTGCAATTACAGTAATGTATACCAGAAATTGGGTAGCGCAAGGGGGGCATATTGACTGGAAGTGAAAGGGGCGAAACCGTACTAGACATCAGTTATCTGCAACGGTATATCTATCTATCTATCTATATATATATATTGAGGATCTACCATGAAACTACATAATATATACCTCAATTGTATTCACAGGAGGAATGGGATATATATGATGAACAACAAGCACTCCCACCTTCACTGAGCATTACCCAATAAGCTATTCGATGAAGGCGAGCTCTGCTCACTGAACCAAGGATCCTGCACCGAAACAGGGGAGCTATCTTTCACTCCTTCCTCCAGTGAACTCAAATACTCCACCTGGTTCCTCTCCGGAACAAACAGCCTCTTGCTCTCGATGCTAGCCTTCTTGGTGGCCAGCGATTTCTCGCTTCTACCATCGTCCTCGTCGTCCCCTGATGAAGTCGAGGAACGCCCTGGCGATCCAAGGTACACGTCGGGAACGATCCAAGCGCTGAGCCTGATGTTCTCCAGCTCCTGAGCCACCTCGGTCATCGAAGGCCTCATGTCGCGATGAAATGCCAGACACCTGAACGCAAGCTCGGCAACATTATGAATCGACGACAGCGTCCACGCGTCCCTGTGCGGCTCGAGGTAAGGGTCAATGATGTCATCCACCTCACCTCTGCCAATCCTGTCTATGGCAAGGGCTGCCAAGTTGACCTCGCTGTGAGGTCGTGAAAAGTCGACCACCTTCAACCCTGTGATGATCTCCACCAGCACGACTCCGAAGCTGTACACGTCGCTCTTGTCTGAGAGATGGAAGTACTGATGATACTGTGGATCCAGATAACCCGGCGTCCCCTGTGGAGCCGTCGACACGTGGGAATTCTCCGTCAGCCCGAGCCTAGACAGCCCGAAATCGGCCACTTTCGATTTGAAGTTGTAGTCGAGCAGTATGTTGCTGGATTTGATGTCCCTGTGGTAGATTGGCGGATTGACTGCAGAATGTAGATAGGCAATGGCGTTAGCCGTTTCGGTGGCAACCGCCAGTCGAATCGGCCATGGAAGTCCCTTCCCTCTCTCCCTCTGCAAATGCTGACAGAGGGTTCCATTCGGCATGAACTCGTAGACCAGAATCTGCTCCCCTGACTCGATGCAGCAGCCGAGGAGGCGGACGAGGTTCGGGTGGCTGACCGAGGAGAGGAGCTTGATCTCGTTCATCACTTGGTCGATGCTGTCGGTGTCCCTGTGTCGGATTTTCTTGATGGCCACGCACTCGTCGTTGTGGAGCTTGCCGGAGTAGACGGTGCCGTATGCGCCGGTGCCGAGGCGCTGCTTGTCGGAGAACCCGTTGGTGGCTCGCTCGATGTCTTTGTAAGCGTAGAAGGGGACGCTGGAGTTGCCGGCTGCTTCGGAGACGAGGCGCTTGGCGCTCTGACGGTGTCGTAGGAAGGTGGAGCGCCGGCGCAGGCAGTAGCAGAGGAAGGCTACCGCTGCCATTAGTGCAGCTCCGGCGACTAGGCCTCCGACGAGAACGCCGACTCTTGTGGTTCCTCCACATTCCCCGGACATGTACTTCGATGGGTTGCAGTTGGAAGCTGTCAAAAAACCAAAAAATAAACAGCCAAATCAGCAAAACCCAGCGTAAATTCCTCAATATGATCCAACGTAGAGAAAATCATAAATGTTCTTCACCAAGCAAATGCGTAAAATTCCTCAATATGAACCCAATTAACGGGGTAACCAGAATGGCGAAAATCGAGTTATAAGTCAGAAACTGTTCTGAATTTCTATCCAAAGTTCAATAACACTGCTTTACGATGTCATCCAAGTTGTGTTCTTACTTCGCCGACGATCGTGGTTACTTTCACTGACGTAACAATCTCTCGTAGCTAATCCATTGGAAGAATATTCAAACACATTCCGAAAACTCGAGTCATTTTCGTTGTTTCAAGAAGGTTGGGCCATCTTCTACTATTTTGGCGTTTAAGACCAAGTGGTGGAGGATGTGATCCACTGGAAATTTTTCTCTCCAATTCTATCCACAACTTGGTTAGGTTAGAGTATTTTTCTAGAAACCCACCCACTTGAACACTAACAACAAACAGCAACTAGACACAATCTTCCTTGCCGCAAATATTCGCTGACCAAACAAAACCGTGTGTACTATAGATAGAAAATTTGCTAAACAAAGAATTTCACATGCATTTGCTCTCTACTTGGCCCCATGACCTAACAAAGTCAACATCATAGTTCCAATTCAAAATTACTTAACCCCGTAAATTATTACGGCTCTGATCAAACTTCTTTCGCAAAATTAACGGCTCATGATCGCCGATACATAATACATTGTATCAAACATCTTCAATTGTTTGAATTAGTATGATAACATGATTTATGAAAATGTTATCACATCCAATTCAATGATTGTAAATATACGATTAAAAACATCTAACTACGTATACACTGATGCGCGCGCGTCAATATAATAGTCCGATTCTAGCGATGTCGCCGCCCTCGATAATCAAACCTCAATGAACAAACCGGGATACGACCTAGGGGCTCAATTCTTAAACATGGAAAAAAATCAGAAATGGTCAACATTATTCCGTTTACTTGAAGGGGGAAAAAAGAATTAAATTTGTTCCCGACTTATAAGGTTCATAGTTTTTCTTTTCCTTCTTTTTTTTTTAATTCTAAATAAATATTCCATTTCGACAGTCGTAATTCCACGCAACTTTCACAACTATGGACCAACAAATTCCTCCATCTACGTGTCGCTTTCTTATTGGCTTTTGCCAGTCAAAAAAGCCAAGATTACGCCAACCCCACACCGCGCACCAAAATCAAAACTTTGGACTATAATTCAAGCTTTTAAAATTAAAATTAGAAAAAGGAAAAAGAAAAGTCTAAAACGTTGACTGACCTTTCCGGCAACCACCGCGGCCAAACCCGTCGCCGACGAGTCCTTCCCGACACCGGCACCGGAACCCCGACTTACTTCCCTCGCCGCCACCGAGGCTCACATCCCGGCAGTCGGCGAGCCGGGAGCAGGAACCGGTCCGGTTCTCCGCACAGCTCCCGTCGAGCCACCACTCCAGCTGGGCTCGCTGGAGCTCCAGCGACACCACCGGGTCCTCGGAACCCGACCCGAGCGCCACCGCCGTGAACGCGAACTTGCAGCGGGTCGCGCTCACGTCGCCGTAGCTCAGCACAGCCGCGCCCGTGTTCTCCGCCGAGAAGCAGGTCACGTTGTCGCTCCTCGAATCGCACCCGCCGCTGACGTTCAGCTGGTTCTGGATCGAGCTCGTCGGGATCACGCACCCGCCGCCGCCCGTCCGTCCGCCGCCGCCGCTGCAGTTCTGGAGGAGCAAGCTGGTCCGCCAGGCGGGTGCGAAGTTGGAACCGAAGAGGGATGATATAGAATCGAGCGGCCGGTTGCATTTCGCCGGGACGGCGACGATTACTCCGTCGGGGGTGATGTTCTGGACCCGAAACTCCCCGATTCGGATCTCCCCGGCGGAGCAATTGAGCTGAATCGGGCAGCCCGATGAGAACCCGAAAGGGTACGGGACCCGTCCTCCGTCGCCGCCGCCGCTGCATACCTGTTCGCAATTTTTAACCTCTGCTGACCTAATTGGCTGGAGGAGATTGAGAATCCAAATGGTACCCAGTATCAGTACAGGCCAAATACGCGAAACCATCATCTCTTCGGAGGATCTTTCGATTTACCCAGAAGCTGAATGAATCATTGACCTGGTGAAAAAACAGAGGGGAAAATTGGTGTGAGAATCTTGGAACAGAGGGCTTATTAATTGGGTTTCTAGGCCTGGTGCCGTTGGGAAGCCATCTGAAGAAGAAAAAGAAAGTCAATTAATGCTTCATGGAAAAGGAACCGAGAAGGAGGGTGGAGAGAGCTTCATTAATGGTGTGAAAGTGAATGACCCTCTGTTTCTCGCTTCATCTTTCATTTTCTCATCCAATTTCTTATTTCCACTTTTCCTTACCAACCAAACAGGAAAATACAGAACCGAAAGTATTAATGAGCTGTAGAGAGAGATAGAGAAAGCAGTGGTACCTCTTACGACTAAGCTGGTCTCTGGACCGATTTCTCATTCGGGTTGGTTCATCAATGGCGTCCCGGTTTCCAATTCAGAGCTCAGTCGTCGTCACTCTGATTACGCAAATTTTCTGGGTCCTCTTCGAAGCTTCAAATATCGATGCTTCGCAGCGGTGGTGGGCTGGCAATGGCAGATGGGAAGTAAAATCCAGAGAAGTTTCAAGCAGACGACTTTGTTCGTTTTTATATATTAGTTGAATTGTTTATTTTATTGAGCTCGCTATCGATCTTTAATGGAGAGGGGAATGAAAACAGAGGAGATGGAGGAAATCAGAGGGAATCCCCAAAGGGTGGATGAAATTACACACTTATCCTCGCTAAGGATGCTGATTGCTGAAGAAGGCCTCAACTCAAAAATTATATAATTCTAACCTCAGCTCCAATTGAACCAATTCACCAACAAAGATGGGATGGAAAACCATGGTTTTGGAAAATCAAATCGGCCGGTCGGATCGTTGTTCATGGCCGAACTGACAAATCGTGAAAATACCGACCGATTTTGGTCAGACCGTCCACTCGCCATTCTTCGTTGATCGCGCTTCCTATCTTCTCATTGATCACCGTGCATCAGAATGAAGGACCAATAATAGCTTCTTTCACTCAGGGCTCCGACTTCGATCTCAGCTAGTCGTCTGTAAATTATTCTCATGGTGCTAGATCTCGTGCCAAGCCTCGGATCGCTGAACCAAAGTGGCAAAAAAGGTCGTAGAAGACAAGGGAAGCTGGGATGCAATGTGTTGGAGCCGATGACACAGTGCAGTGTGGGTTGCAAACGGCGAGGACTCTTATGATAATTGAAGATTTGAATACGTGATCTCATGAACAAATCTGCTCTTACACTATATCATAAATTAATAAATGGAAGATGACTCTCTATAAATTTTAATCACTTTCGTACATATATTCTTTTGTTGTGGAAACAGGTTGACAGTGAATAGATGAATGATTTATCGCAGAAATTTTGGGTTGGACCATACATAAATCTCATAATCATGGCGTCTATAAATAATGGTAAGAGTCAAGCACGCAAATTATGATGAGAAAAGGACGATTTTGACTGAAACCCATGAGAAATTGAGGGTGATCATCAATGGCTTTGTTGTTGCCTTCTTTTCCTTTCGTTTAGATGATATTTGGATGATGTTGATTTGGTTGTGTGGACCATATCTACTTAATTTTGCATGCTATTTTGTACTTGATATATATATTGGCAAAAACATTGTTTAAGTTATTGTATTTGTTTAAGGGATTTTTAGTTTTAAAAATAATATTAATCCACTTTTCATAGTGACTCTTCACATACTTCTTAGTTCCAAGTATTTGAGATCACACCATTTCGAGACTTCATCTGGAAGTTGATATTTTTCAAACCGTGTATACTCAAATTATGCATGTATTTACAAGTTTGACGATTTTACGAGTCGAGATTGTCTAAAATTGCATTATTCGAGTGTCGGGTGTGATTTGTACGAGACCCACTTTTACATAATGAGTTTTTCAAATGCTTTTACATAATTGAAAGAAAAAATGATGTATTTGTTCGATTGCATGCGCGGTTGCAAATTTCTCTTAAAAAGTGCATGTACTCGTCTTACTATTGCTTTCACGAAAAAAGATTTTTTTTTAAGTTTCACAACCATGCACTATTTTTTCATAATTTTAAATCTCGAGCAGTCAAAACCCAAATCCAAGAAAATTTTCAATATAATAAACTTATCTTTACCCCCCACTTAATCTGTGTTATCATATATTAAACTCTTCTTGATCAACTTGACCGAAATCTCGAAAACGGCCACTCAAATCCGCATTTATAACTACCATCGACCAAAATCTCGAAAACGACCGCTCAAATCCGCATTTATAACTACCATCGACCGAAATCTCGAAAACGACCGCTCATATCCGCATTTATAACCACCATCCCCTACATCCAAGTTCGCTCAACCATACAAACAGATAATCCCTATCAAATTACACAACACTATTAGGCAAGAAACTGCAGAAATCAGATGCTGCTAACTCCAAATTGAGCAGATACAGCTTTCTATCGAGAGACTGGCTGGCTGGCTGGATCAGCCGTGTTATTTCCTACGCCACAAAAGCACCCATCGCCTGTAGAATGGATAGTAAAAAAAAAAAAAAAACATTTGTTGTTTATTAATTTTTGCATGGTTTGTTGACTTTCCGAATCTCCCATCCCCATGGATATTCATTGCCCTGTCTGTCAAGCAACTCCCAACTAGAATCTCGCAGAAACCTGCCATCATTTTCCAAAGAATTCAATTTCAAGGGGTGAAATGTTGTCTTTATATACATATGTGCTTGTTATAATAAAAAACAAATTAGAATATATTAGTTTGTTGGACATGGTGTAGAAGTACAGTTCAACCAATTTCGACCACCACCCCCGATACGATATCCATCAAACGAGCTGCTTCATTTGAATTTACGTTTTGACTGCTTTCCATTTCGAGCTTTTCGTACTAACCCGTCGGGCCGTACATGAGTAGGTCCAGTCCTCGAGCACAAAAAAAAGACTCACATAAGTGTCCGACCGTCATACCCCCGAGCTCGTCGCGGGGTTGGCCCAATATTATCCACTGTTGGCCACCATAGAGGGCACGTAACGGCAGAGCTGACTGCAGTCCAGAAAATGTACGAATACAAGCAGAGTATTACGTCATGCATCTAAGATGTAAAACTCGGAGTTGATTCGTGCAGGGGTTGGACGAGTTCACGGACCACACAAGCGCACAAGAGATTGCCTCCCCCAATAGGATGGTTTTCGGGCTTCGATAATTTTCTTCGAATTTCATTATATCTTCATATTAGATAACCTTTATATAAAAATGGAGAATTTTGGTAGGTTATCTATTGTATTCTTTTTATCCCCTTGTGGATAGGCTGCAAGGATAATACTATGTAATCACAGCATTGAATTGAAGGAAAGGGAAAAAAAAAAAATAACAAAGACTTTTACAAGGAGTTCTAACTAGGTTATCCTCGTTGTTAATGATACCTTTAAACTACAGTTGCAACTAGGTTTAGATGAAGGCATGAACTAAAGCAGCATTGTTTGACCGATTTATCATCATTATGCGTTGACCATCATTGCGAATCAGGGGGGAGAGAGAGGATTAGTTGACTGAACATAATTAGACGGGACGCGGGAAGGATTATTAATTATCATGATTATTATTAATCATGCTTATGTCGACTTCTTCAAGTGGGAAGACTTGGAATGATTAAAGAAAATAGGTATATGTTCCCACTAAAATGTGTGACATGAAGCCACTTGTCTGATTGTGTTGTGGATTTGGTTAAGATAATGTCCGATGGTGGAAAGAATTGTAACATGGAAGTTAACCTAACTTTTTTTTTTAATCACATCTATGACCATAAATAAGACCCAAAATATGCACTCCAAATATTAACCTAACTTTCACCAAATTGATAAAAGTCCAATAATTTCTTTTCCTATATGGTGTTGGAAGGAAATTAGTATAAAACAATAAATCTCGTATTCATAACACGAAACGACTATAATGAGATGCATTGTACGATAAGACAAGAAAAGGAGTAACGAGAGAACCTTTTTGTCATCGGAGTCCTTTGCGAAGGATCATGGTTTATCGTAAGCTTTGGCTAGATTGATATTCACCATTTATCGGACTCGTCTTCTCGTTTGTGGCCCCGCATTAAGTGCGCATTACTTTGAGAAGAAAAGCGACATCATTCGTGATGTGGCGCCCTATGAGTAAAAAAAACAACAAATCTGAAATCAGGTTTCCCATTAGCCACTAGAAAATTAATCCGACGATTCACTTTTGTACTTGGTGACTGTATATTTAATAAACCATGTTTGGTAGATTGATATGGGCTCGAAGTCAGGCCCAGTTGGAATATTAAGGTGGCCCAAATCAATAGCCTCTTTCTTTTTCCCGGTAAACTGATGGCCCTTTCCCTCTCAGTTCAACCTTCCCCTTCTGCTTAAACCCTAGACCTCGACGACGAAAGGAAACCAACCCGACTGACAAATTTCAAAGGAATTCAGTATGTCGAAAAGCGAAGATTACGATTCAGACGCACCGGAGGAGTTCACCGCCGAGCAGGTTTCTTTCTTCCTGCTCCCTCCTTCAGAAACCGTGCTTTTTTTATTTTTATTTTTTATATTTCCTTCACTGCTGTTCGGAGCAAAAACCCACCACCGGGTCTAAAAATGGCGTCTTTAATGGGTCGTTGTTTTTGGGGCAGGGGATTGAATTAGATGCGGAGATAAGGAAGATTCAGAAGGAAAATAAGTCGAGGTATGATTTTCATCTTGCTTTTTTGGATGCATTTTTCACCTCCCAGCTTTAAAGTTCGGAACTTTCTGCCTATATGAACCTGTTCTGCTATGGTTAGTTTGTGGAGCTCCTTGGTGGAGCAATTTGTGGAGTTTGCCTAAATGAATTGATTCTGATTGATGGACATTGGAGGTTGGGAAATGGGTTGCACCTTTTGTAGAGCAAAGTGTCAGGATTCTTTCTGGTCCTAGAATTTTCAGATGCTGTAAGTTACTTAGGGTTTTGAAATTATGATCTTCTTTCTTGAAGATAAAGAATCACATGGTAATTAAGTAAAACTTATAGAGTGAAGGGTTTGTTCTTTAACCTATTGTCTTCCCATTTAAACATGAGAAGTTGAGGCTCGGTTCAAATATAAACTTTTGAAAAAGTGACAAGCATCTCTTCTTAGCATTAGCTACTTCAGCAATGCCAAACTTGCTAGTTGATTTCCGTTATCAGGATTGCGCGTGAGGGTAAAGCACTAAGGAGGAAATGGGCAGAGCGGAAAACGCCACGACCATCCAAAAAGGGAGATGAAGGTGTCCAAGATACAGTTGAAACCGAAGATGGAGATGAAGAAGATGGGTCTCTGACTGCTAAAGGGATGCTCCCTAGTGACATTGTTCAACAACTTGCTGCTCGGGAGAAGTATTGCTTCCTACTCTCTCTTTTTCCCAGTATTTGCCTTGATACAGGATTCCAACTTCTCACAAGGGGGTGTCAACCATGTTTATGCAGGAAAGTGTTCTTTACAGAATCTGATGATGAAGACACTGGCGCAAATTCAAAGCTTCCTCCAAGGAAGAAGAAGGCAAGAGGCTCAGGGTAAGACATATGGAAGATAGGATTCTTGTTTTCTTCTTCTTCTTCTTCTTCTTCTTCAAGATGGGATTTTAGCTACACAGAATGATTGAATGGATTTTGAAATGTTATTTTGTGCAGGCCGCAGACTGTTATTCTGAATGAGATATCCCCACCTCCATGTTTACAGAACTCTTTAGAGTTTCTGAAGAAGAACAAGATGCGACTGTCGAGGTCATCAGCTGTTCTTAACAACTCCAGCCAAGCTCTTCGCTTTATCTCTACTTCTTGCTTGTTAAGTAAGAAGTGAGAAAAAAAGTTGCGGCTTCAGCTTCTCCTCCAACGGTCCATTCCCCCCAGCCAACTGTGAGTTGAAGGGGCAATACATTCAACCATCTGGTTTCTGGGAAGTGCTGTATCAGACCAAGTTCTTATACCTTCTTGGACGCCTGTTGCACCCCCAGCCATTTCGACCAGGATGCAACTTGTTTTTGCTAAGGCAAATAGGCAATCAATCTACTATGTGTAGTCCATGAATTAGTGAAGAAGTGTCGGGATCCTGTTGGCTATTTACAGGTATACAAACACGAAATTTTGTTACTTGCTACTCTTGGTGCATTAGTTACTTGAATGTAATGAAAATTTCAAACCCACAGTTACTTGAATTAGATAGTGGAGTAACCATTGATGGAAGCTACATGCCATTTTAAGGATTAACCAGAACTAAGTACTGCAGCCCTTGTTCCCACATGATCAAATACCATTCAAGCAGCCAATCTACAAGATCAGATAAGATACTTCTGCCTTCTGTTCCAAGCGATAGAAACTAGAGACTCCACACAGATAGTGTACTTCCACATAAAACTGACTCGCCGGTGCAGTCTTCCACCTCCTAGACAACCTTCCCCATCCTCTTAGTCTTCATGGAGAGGAGAAGGCATCATCCGGGTCGACCCACGTCTCGCCGTGTTGAACGCCTGACTGCAGGGCTAGGAGAGCGTTCCGGACCCGGTTCAGGCTCCTATGGTCCCTGATGCGCCTCAGGACGACGTCCCTGTCCAGCGCTCTCGAGGCAGCGTGATGGTTGTGATCGCTACGAGCTTGAGCCTTTGACGATGGCTTCAAGAGGAGCTGACTGCTGACCGACGGCATTGGAGCACTAGTGACCCCTCCCTCGCTGTCATCTTCGAACGAGGAGTGAGAGCTTGAACCGTTGCTGAAGGTTTCGTGCGCAGCAGCTTGTTTGGAGAAGACGATATCCATAGCTGGAGAGTGGAAGGTTAGAAGGAAGAGAGGTTAGTTTATATACACAGGAGGGAGTGCGAGTTTAGAGGAAGGTTTAGAAAGAAGGGAAGGTTGAGGTTTTGGCATTTTGCCGTGGGAGGGAGCACATGGTTTGCGGGGGATGATGGCGTGGCCCCCACGAAATCTGTGGGTTTTGCTGTTTCTATATTGGGATGAAGTTTTGCTGGTTTAAGGTAGATGCTGTGTCGCATTCGAGGGATGCCTGTTTATGGCATTGGTGTTATCGTTTAACTGCTTCCAGAGTCGCGATTTTTTGTTTTTTTTTTCTTTCTAAAACCTTATTAGTAATTTCACGTATTTTGCTTTGCGTATTCGTCTAATTGATCGATTTACTAGTGACACTAGTAAAAATGGAAGCGAGTAAGAATCTTTCTAACACGTATAAGAACATTTTGTATAATAACAAGATGATTAGGTAAGTACTCAGTTGAATCCGAAGCAAAATCCAATCACTACGTACTTTCAGACGAATATTTTCTATATTGGACAAAGAGGATACTATATTTGATTTAGGGGGTGGTTTGGAGAATATGAGTTTAAATTTGTAGATTGTCAACAATCTAAAGATTCTAATTCTTCGGATTGTTGAAAATAGATTTTCAAATGTTTATTATTTGATAATTGTGATTGTTAACATTAATGAAAACAAAAGTTTTAATTTTATATTAAATAACATGTTTATCCTTAATAAAAAATTAGAGTGGTTCGAGAAATATTAAAAACTTTGTTGATAAATATATTTAATATGATAAATAAATAAATAAAAAAGAAAAATTAGGAGAGAAAAAATCTCACGAATCAAGATATAGAATCTCCCTGATTATAAGAGATATGATATCCGTAAATTTTAGAGATTTGAATTCTCGCTCAATTTTACATTCATCTAAAACAATTTCGACTAACATAGACATTCTACTAGAAGTTTTTCACTATATCAAGACCAAGAAGCTTGTTATTTGAGCAACATATATGACAGTATCTAAACAGTCGAACTTGGTATTGGACAGAAGCAACCTCCAAAAAGCTATACACCAAAGTCCCAACGATTTCAGGCTTTCCTCGGACAATAGGCAACTGTGGGCGTCGCATACGTGTAGCGTTTGACCAGTCCACTGTTTCATTCATTACCAATTTACCATTACCTTTCTTTCAGTCCCAATTGTTACTTGTCGTTTTCATCCTTGTCCAGAAAGCTCAGCAAGTAGCCGCCAACGATCCGGCGAGCAATCGGATTAGGAATCCGGCGGCACAATCTTCCGTCGATGTACGCCAGGATACCCGACAGAACAAACTTGCCGACGCCCCATTGCCAGACGAACCTCATCTTCCCGCCGTCAAGTGCTGGGACTATAGCATTGCTGCCATCTTCTCCCACTTCCTCTCCTGTTGCTGCTGTTTCTTCGTTCTTCCACTTGATATTGGCCAGCACTTTACCGGACACTTTCACGGTCTGCTTTCTCAGAGCGCGGATTGCAAAGCTGACGAACAAGTGCTCGCAGAGGGTCAAGACAGTCGGCCCGATCTTCCAGTCGTTTTCTCCACGGAGATTGCGGAAGGGGCGTGAAGAAGAGGACGCGTCGCCTTTCAACAGTGCCTTGCTTACGAGGAAGGCCTTGACACGGTCCATGATTTCGTCTATGAGGGAGCTGTTTGGGGGTAGGTTCTTGAGGATAACCTGCATTTTTCGTTTTCACAATTTCGGTATCAGGATTGGTAGAGTGGCTCAGGAAAGTGAAGAAAAGTAATGGAGTATAATTCTATGTTCATGTTTTTTACCTGATCATCAATGACTCTGACTCTAAGGTACTCTTGCTTATACATTGAATCCAGCATTGCTTGCAGATATCCTTCGATGTAGAGCTGCAAGCAAAATGCCTGTGTAGTTAGCAGGGTTGTAGGCTACAGATTCAGTCTCACTGGACCGAATTGACATTCAAATTGAATAAGAATGGATCACAGACAACTTGATCCGGTTTCGATGCTCAAAGTTATAAAGACTTTGATTTCGATTTTATGACAATCTGACCAATTCAAAACTGGACATGACCTAACTGGATCAAATGCATTTTTATGCAGTTCTGGTCCTCACGTTTCACTCTGGACCCGACCACACCATGTCCACGGTCCACCCTAGTGGATAGAGGTGGGATTAATAAAATGAAAGGCATGATAGTATGCTGATTACCTCGTCGACACCTGGGCTGCGATCGAGTTTAATCTTTCTATCCGGGCCACCAACCATGACGGCTGTCCCAATCACCGATGGTTCCATGGCCAAATTTAGAATGCCTTGGTGAAAGCCGCGGACCTTGAGATAAGAGGCCAGGACCATTAGAAGATTCCTATTGTGGAACGAAATGAGCAAAGGAAGGGAAAGGAGGTGGGGAAGAAGTGATGACTGATGACCGATGAGATGACAAGCAATTTACCATTCCATCAAAACCGGTTGTTTCTGCTCCCTTCAGGACAGAATCGGATACTTCAGTAACAGCAGCAAATAGCACATTTGACCCCAATGTCCTCAACTGTCATGGCCGGAGGACCCTACTGTAAGTGGCTCGACTTGCTAACACAAAATTCCATCATTGAGAAATATTAAAGGATACATACCGTTTTGCCCAAATCACCAAAGTACCGCTTTGTCCCTGAGAACCCTCTGCCATCAATGCAATTACTGATGAATTTGAAGGTACCTGTTCTCAACAAGTAAAGCAGCAACCATGCATGTAAGTAACAGCAACTATGAAACTAATCCTGTGTCTTGAGAAAAATAACCATAACAATTTACCTAAAGTCAACCCTGGAAGACTGACTAGTCCACGAGAAGGATCGAAGAAGACATCAAGAGAAGAAGAGGCCATGTCATCAAATATAGATGCAAAGGCTGGAGGGAGCAAGGGGCTTCCCTTGGCAATATAGATGGCCCTCATAGCATACCTGCAGTGATGATGTGTGTAAGCAATAGGAAACCTAGTAAACTCATTTGGAGGGATGAAAAGCAGCATACAACCAGGACCTTACCATGAATAGTGTTGGGCACATTTGATGAACAGTTCTCGCATGGTTATCAAAGCATGAGTGACCAGAACCCCGTTAAGTTCTACAACCATATTTTTTATGGTGGGAACCTGCAGAGAGCAAAAGAAACAGAAAAGCGATTTTGAATACCAAGCAAAGAAGACCATGGTTTAGTGGAAAACAAGAGTGTTTTTCATACCTTCACAACACTATGGATTAGTGATCTTAGAGTCTCCTGTGTTGAGCTGTAACTCGAATAAGAGTCGCCGGGAAGGAAGTTTGCAATTATCTATTGATGCATACCAACATAGGTCAGATAAGGTGTATCAAGCCAACGGGCACCTAAGACTACAGATGCAGAAAAATATACAGATACTATGCACTTAACAAATGCCGAAGAGAGCAACAAACCTTCACAGGGTGGATCTCAAAATAGTCGAAGTAATACTGCCGACTTGGAGCAGTTGAGTCACTGAGAGAAGATCTCCAGAATGAGGCGAATCTCATCAATGTCTCCTCATCTATGTTCAAATCGATTGGCTGCAAACAATTGATTCAAACTGTTAAGGCATGATATCGGTGTTTTATGATCCTACCAGCAACATGGGTGTGTTTGTTTTGGATAAAGATTAACTAACTTCAAAAGAGACTGAAAAGTAAACAGACTTTTTCAATTTGACATTTTAAAAAGAGTATAACCTACATTCCACAATCATTCATCCCATCAATTACCTTTTGATTGATTAAAGTATCTCATATCCTAACGACTGAATCTTTTCTAAACCCAACCAAACACATTTTAGACCTGGAAGTACCACAGACACAAAAAACTGGGTAGCCTGATTATACCTGGAGGATGATTGATGAGTATTTAACTTGGGTTACTTTAGAGCTGATTGAAAGAGGGACGAAGAAAACTTTCAGTACAGGAAAATCTGAGTCATTCGATTCTAGTTGATGTCTCCGAAGCATCGCTGCGAAAGGAGCATCTGCCCACTTATTGTCCACAGTTAATGACTGCATTGATTCAAACAACGAAGTCTCTGTTAGGAAACAATAGCTATTATCAGTTTGTCAACAATGAAGAATAAGGCATCTGGGTACTTCCACCTGGATCGTGACTAGGTTATACTTCTGTTCATCGGTGATTACTGAATCCAAGTCAACGTTTCCCAATCTTGCAACAGCCAAGGGGCTGTAATGCAATTCCTCATTATCATCCGAATCCTTCAATAGAAAAGAAAGGTAAAAAACAATGAACCACACGCAATCAAGCAGGGGTGCTTCATTTTTCACACTATGGGCATGTTTACTTTGGCCAGAAAAGTCAACTTAAAAGAAGTTGGGTCATCACGGTTTTTAAAACCTCACCCTAAACCCGACACACCAATTAAATCTAAAAGCCACCTCACTGATAAAATTTATTCCCCACTTTATCCCTTTGTAATGCAGTTCTATACTCAAAATTTATACTCGTAATAACTATCTCCCAGAACCCGTTCATCTCTTTATTATTGAACAAACCATCTACCAGCCAAGCAATTACTGTTTAATTACTAAAAAACATATAATGCTCATCAACACAACTTCATCTGAGACTCACCCAAACGCATTTTGTTTCTTCATGTCTAAGAACTTCAACAATTGTTAGCTTTTTAAAGTAAAAGCTAAAACAAACACATTTACTATATTGTACGTAACCAATTCTCTACAAGGACCTTCTGCTTGCAATAAACTATGGACGAAACCACAAATCACCAGTTGAATGAAAGATCTACTAAGACATTCTGCTGACGCAGATTCGGGTGAGACTGACCTCTTTTCCTTGCTCAAGAAAGCGAACAGCAAGCTCAGCAAGTCTTAACTGAATTCTTGCGCTAGACTGAGATGATCGGTCTCCTTTATGGCTATCAGAGAACTCACAAATCCTTAAAACGCGTGTAGCACCCTCTGCGTACACTTCATATCCTATCCTCACAACGGCTATGGTATTCAACTGACTAGATTTCTGGTCCGCTTTTCCCTCCAAATGTGAATGAGAGGCAAGGCTTCTGAGTGGAGTCAGCTTTGTAAAAGGTTTCCAGGTTCGTACCTTATCAAGGTTAATCTCCCGTAAAAGATGCATACCTGCATGAATTGTAGAGTACACAACATTAAGATGATTTAGTAGTTCGTCAAACATATCTAAGCTAGGTTGGAATGTAACAATGTGGTAACCCCACTTCCGTTGGACACTTGTGTCCCCGTTTCTTTTTAATATAATTCACCATCATAAAAAAAAGAGGTGGTAACCCTATCATGATGCAGACTAATGTAGAGGGCAATTATTGAGCTGATATAAGCTTCTACTAATATTTGAGCAAATACGTATAGCCAAAAGATATCCAACAAAATAGAATGTCTAATTTTTGCTATTCAAAAGCAAGCTAAGATTCACCAGAAAAGTCAGTAGCTGTGTAGCAATTACCATTGACTAAAACAACCAGTTTGTGCGAAAGAGTCAAATCGTCCCAGACATAAAAAGCACTACTATTAGATCCAAGCACCTCCCTCTCCGCTGAATCCTGAAAATTTCCGGTGACAAAAAGAGAATCAGTGTTATTTCCGTTTACACAGAAATAAAAAATAAGATATAAAATAGCACAACCTTTTGATAATATGTTATAGACGTATCATGCAAGTGGTTCTCAATCCTATAAGGGAGACCAATATTTGGTGGTTTGTGGAAGTGCACACCAAGAACAGAACCTTCTTCGGCAACAAACACTGCAGCAAATTCTGTTGTACTATTGTCTACCAATTGCACTTGGTCAGGTTCTTTTCTAAATTTCACAAAGAAGCGTCCCAATGAAGCAATACACACTGGGCCTGACCAAGAAGATCCAGACTTATCCAATCGAAACTGGACATACAGTAGCGACGTCTCGACGTCATTTTTATGTCTTCTGATGAAATTTTCAAACGAATTGAGTTCCTTGCTCTTAGCAATGCCACTCTGCAGTAGCAATGCTTTTCTTTGCTTACTGCCAATGGAAACTATTCCTGTTGTTTCATCCTTCAGCAAAAAAATAAAAAATAAAAAGGGGTTAGAGCACAAATATATAAACACACCAACCTCATCCAAAGGTATGAAATATTAATCACAGATTCATAAGTTGATGCACACCTCCAAATAACATTGACGGATGGTAATACTTTCACTCGACTCGTTAAACACCACATGTCTTGGGACCAGAGTTACCATCTGAGACGGGACAACCACCTTACTTAAAGAAGGTCCCACTAACACCCCCAACTTCACAATGTATTTAACTCTAGACTCCTCTTCTATTTTCAAGCTTATCTCTGTGAGGGCAGACAAAGCATCCAAGTCTAGCAATGCCTTTGATTGGTGGTGCTGTAGGACTATGAGCTGCATCTTGTGAGATCTGATAGCAGACTTTTGTTAGCCCTCTAGAAAGGAAAAAGCAGAACACTGCAATTCACTTGAAACAAAATGAAGCAGAGATATATACAGCAATTTAGAGTTGCCAGAAATGTTACCTTAAAAAGCATGAGCTAATTGATTTTGGAGGCAAAAATAATCCGACGTCTGGAGGAATGTTAGAGGCAGACGTCTCAAGTTCACTCCTGCTAACATTTGTGCAGTCATGTACAAGGAAAAGGTACATTAAAAAGAGAATTTACCATCTTCAACCAAAGCAAGTACCTCGATAAGGTCTTCTGGTTAGGAGCAAAAAAGAATAAGGAAAACTCTGTCTCATTCTTCAAGGAATATGGAGTGAAGATAGCAGCCTGCGAATACTAGATATTTAGTCATCCAAAATACAAAAATCAATGACTTGGAACATGCATCAAAGCTCACAACTATCAAATGTGGAGGTGCTTTATTGCAACTAGAATATGAAATGCAACTTCCTAAATATAAGTGAGTATAACAACCTCCAGTACACCTCTGGGCCCGCGGGATAATCTAAGAGATGCGAAATACTTCCCACCACCAAAATCCAGATCAATGTCCAAGCAGGGTACATCAGTTTTGTTCTTACGTAACTTTTTGACCCAATCACCACTGTTCACAGGTTTGGAGGTTGAACCAAAAGCAGCTAGGGTAACAGTAAAGTATATTATGGCAGGATTAGCATAAAAGTCGACTGTTGATCCCGATGATACAGTTGCTTGTTTCCCAATATTCACACTAGAGATGGAGGTATATACATCTGCAAAAAGAAGAATAGTATTATGATTGCTCCACAGTACACCGCCCACGAAAAATTGTTAGGGCACTCACCTGTCTCAGTTAGAAGGACCTGGATATCAGAATCCAACAAATTTGACACCCGAACTGTAGGAAGTATAAATATTTCCCTTTGCTCTCGTAATGCTACTGCCGAATTTCTACTTTCCGAACCATCATGATTTGTGTCTGGTTGTGCAATGGGTATATCTCGTCCAATATTCTGAATTAAGAAATGCAAGTCAATGATATGTGCATCTTCATTTTTGAGACTGCAATACGCAGTGCTGAAGGAACATTTCATTGATTCAACAGATAGGGCCTTGCGAACTTTATAGCCTAGTTTGTCAAAAATCCCGGACAGACGAACAGCTTTTCCACCTTTAAAGTCATCTGACCATTCGGCAGAGACCGGACTCATGGAATTGATAGAGCCATCTGGAACTTCAGGCCTGAATGCAAATAAGAAGTTACCTGCAAATTGTAATGCCAATAAATGAGTGCAAACAACCCAAGAGCCATCCCAAAATATGAGTAGATGTTTGTTGACGGCTTTATTACTAGATAATGACATACGGACTGTCATATTGCAGCTGTTGAGGGATGTGACACTAGATTAGGAAGATGCACAACAGTACTTGTGCGTATGTACTTTGCTAGGTACAAGAATGGTAAAGAGAAGCCAGGTAATAACTGTGACTGCTGGCAATCTAAAGAATATTAATGGGAAACAATAAAACTAAAGGTGCAGAATGAGGAAACAAAAGTGATGCATTTAGCTAAAAGTTATTTCTATTTAGGTGGAGAAATATAAGAGGTATTGAATTTATACCAACGCTTAATGACATTAATGTCTTCTTCAGCCCACCAGATGAGCTTATGGCATCAAATGTTGCCAACGTATCATCAATTGCATCCCCCTTTTGAAGGAATACTGAAGCAAAGACATCTTCATTTTCTTGAGGCCGCCTAAATCGTAGTTCCAGGGGGAATCCAGTTTCATTATGTATTCTTACCATTGGAGACACCACAATCTTCAAACCATCCTACAAAGAAAAGGAAGAATTTCTATGAAGAACTACAAGAAGTAGAGTACAGGCTTTGATGAGATAAGAAAAGGGAGTGATGGATGCACCTCTGATCTTCTTGAAATGTCAACCACAACGAATGGCCCGGGATAAGTTCTTGAATCTGGCAAAAGAAGTTAACAATAACCATTTTATGAAAATATTTTGAACTTTTCCTGAAACATCTCATCTCAACAAATCAGACATTTGCTCCATAAGGCATGCGCAACATAAATGTACAGGATGGTTATGTATACCTTGAGGTGACATGATTCTTGTTCTCCAAGCTACTATTTGAGATTTCACAAGAGAAAGATGGACTGATGATGTGGCCCAAGATGCACTGTTAGAAAGTTGAATACTGATAGCTGACACTTTCTCCACTAGCTGGTTTGCAGATGTATTATACCTTGGGAAATATGATCTAAAATAATCAAGACCAAGTGGAATATTGATTCTAGCTGAACGTATACTTAGATGTTGCTTGTCATTTGATATGGAATATTGAGCACGGGTTGCTTAAGAATACAAACTCAGTGGAATTAGCCAGGGTGAACCTATAACCCACTAACATGCTTCATCAACAATAGTTCAGCAGTAAGCATCAAACACAAAAGGACAATATCAAGATCGAAATACAAGAGTAGCTTAGTTTAGAATGAAGATTGCACTAGCTAGAGAGAACCATGAAATTCCATAAGCAAAAAACTAAATTGAACCAACCAAACACACATAGCAACTAATAGGAGAAAAGGCACCATAAGTCCAAGATATCAAATGAGCACCTCAAAAATATGGAAGCAGATTGTCCTCTGATAACTTTGATACTTCTGTCTTCACCGAGATGACATATAAGTTCTAAACCTGACTGGTTATCCACCTGCAAATCATCCAATCCTTTATCTTTATAGTAGCCAGACCAAACAAGGAAAAGGTAAAAACAGATAAACAAGAACAGACACAAGATATACTTCCGATTTTGTAAACTGTTGTGGCAGATGAAGGCAGAGAATTTAGTAGCAAAAGATGCTAAAATAGATACACACCTTACAGCAATTAGACAGAATCTTCGAGCTCCTCACAGCGAATGGACCAGCCAAATCTAGTTTCCCAATCACGAATAAAAGTACATCCAGTGCAAGCTCACTTAGAGAAATATGCACCTGCCTCCAAAGTGCAATTTGTTAACAAGGCTTCAATGTGGAAGCTATTGGGTGGGGGGATGTGTTTACCTCGTTAGTTCTGCAATAGATGTCCACAGGTAGCCTTCGTCGGTCAGTTCTTGAATCCACTCTTGAACGGTAAAATGTGCATATATCAACTGGATGAGCAAATTCACTCCTATACAGAAGGAAAAAGAAGTGAAGTAAGAAGAAAATTGCATGGCAAAGGAAAGTACAGGATCTTCTGCATGATGAAAACCCACCATTCACTTCTTTGAGAATCAAAATAAGAAACTGAGGCAGTTGATGTGCTCATAACTCTGGTTTTACTAGACAGAACTTGAACATTGAGTTTGGCATTGTTGATGCAACAGCGAAGCAAAGGAGACCTGTCCTTGGAATCTAAAAGTTCATGAACAATGGTCAAGCTGACACTGTTGATTCTTATTTGAATGCATGGAAGACTCTCGCTCTGCGCGGAACTTTGTCTTTGATCATGACGGACAGCAGGTACTCCATCAGAGCCTGATGACTCCATAGGGTAACTATGTGATGTTGCAACATCATGAACCATTGCAATATCATGGAAAACTTTAAACTTGAAAGGATTTCCGGGCTTCCTCACAAACTCTGGTACATCACGAACAAAGGCAACAGCACAATCGTTCTTTTTGTTGACCAGGTAAAATGTATTCTTCACCAGCTTGTTATATGGTTCCCAATCGATCCCATCCTTAGAGCTTTCGGGTTCACGAGAGATAATTCTCCAGAGTGACCCTGCATTCTCACTTGTGCTAGAGATATCAACAAAACTTGAACCTGGGCGGTAGCTCAATCGAAATGGTTCCCCATCGTGATTCTTGGCATGCAAGGATATCAACGAGAACCATACGATGGATGATTTCCATATTCTTTGCACATGGTGCTTGACCTACAAATAACCGAGTGTGGATGGAAAAACTCATATCACATCTCCCAAAAGACTCGAAAAGGAAACGCACATCCATACACCCTCTACCAGAAACATTTCATCACTTATCCACAATAGAAAAGACAACACAGTATTAAAGAAGTCTTGAAAGCTGAACGTTGTGTAATAAACAGTTACTAGTTAACATAATTCTAATTAACATGACACAGCAAGAGAAACTGGCAGTCAATCTTTGAGCACAACCCTAGAGCCAGAGATACCCAACCAATGGAACAAAGAAAAGCAACTGCAATCTAAGAGCAATCTTAACTTTTTGACAGAGAAATCAAATTTATGAAGTGTCAAGAATAGCATAGAGTTACCCTGAAAAGAGCTCTCCCTCCGGCAAGAGAATAATGAATTGCACCAATCATGTTATACTTATTTTCCCCTTCTTCCACTGCAAAATACATGTGCTGATGTACATCTTGAATTGAAACTATTGCGCCTGCAAATAAAGTCAATACACATCCCAAACTTAGCTACCAAATGTGTGTGTGTATATACATACGTAGACACAATTACACATAATCTAGGATATATAAACTTATAACAAAAAGGGGGGACAACATTGCGTGGACTCCTCGCTGTTCAATATTATTCCACCAATTTTTAATTTTCCAAGGAATTAATCATGAAAATTATTAATATAATTAACAATAATCGTAGGTAATCTCAGGAGGAATTTGCAAGTCGAGAGACCACTTTTTTAAAGAATTCAAAATTAGTAAAATAAAAAATTAAGTGACTTAAAGTGGATTTTTAGATTTCTATCAAACTCAAGTACAACCTTCAATTAGTAATAAGATCCTCAAATAGATAAGCTATCGTTGTGAATTTAGGCAAGGAATAGCCCTATCAGCTTTATCTTCTTCATCCTTTATATTTGAAGAGCTATATATGTTTATGTTTGAGCAACTTTACATTTAAATATCTCGCAACAAGGTTGCAAAGTAGTAGAATATAAGTGTACACCTACCATCCGGAACCATAACTCCTGTTTCTCTGTCGCTGCCGTCATCAGTGAACCAGCGCTTTTTTGTTGGCTCATGAGCTGCCTCTTCATGGGGTGTAGCAGAAAAGGATGAAAGCATAGAAGAAATCAACTAGCAAAACCAAGTTAAATCCGAGGCTTAGTAATTCAGCATGTGAGTTTGACAAAAAAATTATCAACAAGGCACAGCCTATTTCGTATCCTTGAAAATCCCTGCACGGGATCACTCACCTGAATTTCGGATAGTGATACAGTCATATCAAAACCTGAGATTGAACCTTGGCCAGCCCAAACCTCAGATAAGTTTGCAGGACCGTTCTTTGGCTTCTCTGCTGTAACAGATACAACCAAATGCTTCAATATGTCATTTTGGTGATTTATATGATTCGGGCCGATGCCCGACGAAGTCGCAGCAGGATTTCCATAAGGACGAGAAGATGATCCGTTTGACTCTATGGAAGAAAAATGTGGTGTTCGATTTCCAGTTTTAAATTGTTCTCCGGCGATCTGGGAAAAGATTGACATGTGAGAAACTTCAAACACCAGTTCTGTCAGTATGTCGTTTGACTGAAGTTTCACATGAATGTCAACTCCGATCACTAGTTCCTGAAAGCAACCTACAAAATTTTCAACCATCAGAATGTGATATACAGTGTCACCAATAAACGAAAAAAAATTGTGGGACACACACCAGAGTCATCTTCAACAGCAAGAACAAGAGAAAGCTGCGATACATTCAAGGTTGAAGCTTTAGGTAGCTCCCATTTTGTCTGTTGAGATGTACCCGTGGTTTCTTGGACCCGCCTTTTGTTACGTTCTGTGTGTTCAAACGATGTGTTTAATATAGATACAATATCTGTTATGCGCCGAAGGGATGAAGCAGAACATCTAGCCAACAGTGAAAGAGCCGTAACTTCAATGAACAAAGGACCACCCTGCTCAATAGCATAATGTGCCATTCCTATTAGAAAAAAAGAAAGGATTTGAATAGAAGAAAGTTAGGACTCATGCAAGCGAAACAAAAATATGAGTCATTCTCATTTTCATTATCCATGCAAAAGGGAGACATTGATGAAGTTTGTTTTCATGATGGTATGAAGTACAACAAAGATAACAAACTCAAAAGCTTTGTTTTGGAAACTGGTACCTGTATATCCCAAGAGATAGTCTGAAGATCTCCACCAACCAAAATCAAGGATGTAAGTTTATTATACTGATGAGCTATGACTAGCTTTTTTGCAGAACATCTTGAGACGGAAAGTAAATCCAGTTCAACATTTATAATAACACTATAACTTGCCGATTGATCTGTGCTTGGTGAAGCAAAACCAGAACTTTCAGATGCTGAGCAGGAGGGGACACTTAATGTCTCAGCTTCACCCAGAGAATGAGATCCCTCATCGATACTTGGCCCTCCAGAAGAAGAAAGAACAAGGGAGTCATCCAGTACATGTCTTTGACCCAGCCATAAAGAAATGTTGCAATTAGGAAGAGATAGCTCATGCATGCAATCATGAGATTGTTGCAGCAAATTGTAACTTGCAGAATAACTAAAAGAATTTTCAGTGGAATCTGCAGATCTGAAAATTACAGAATGGACTCCTGCCAAATGACAGTGAACTTCCACTTTCCTTTCTTCACAGGATATTTCCAGATTACTTTGACGAGAAAACATCCCAATTCCATAACTGCTCAGATCAGGAATCCCTGATTTTTCTTCACTAACAAACGCATCCTCAATTTTGATATAACCTTCGACCCCATCATGTATCCTCGCTTTTTGAAGAATCATACCCATTTCTCTGAAAGCAAAGGAGCTCGTAATTTTGAACATAAGACTCTTGTCAATCAAAGGTGCTCCTTTTACATTTGTATAATCAGTATCAGCTTCTTCAAACACCACATTGTGCCTCATATAAGTTTGAGGTGAACGACCAACCAAGTCAAAGTTACCAAACGCAGTAGGAACTTCAGAAACCAGACCTGCTACAACCTGCATAAGTAAATAGGGGATTTCATCCATCTGCTCCTATAGATATACAAAGGAATCTAAGGCTTGAAAGCTGGGATAGTGTATACTTTCCACTTCAGTTATACCACCAGACAAAGATGACAATAAGAAAAAAAGAAAACCTATTAAAGATTCCTATTCACAGCGAATCTATGATATACAGAGAAGCAAAAAAAAAAAAAAGAGTCCCTTTCAGTATACTGCACAAGCTGTATATGACACTTCCAACGTTTTGTTTAAAGGAAACCAGAAATGACTTTGCATAAAACAATAAAGCTAATTTCTTGCATGAGATGTACACCCATTACAAGTGCCAATGCTCCCTTGAGTATGCTGAAAATGTAATTTGTGAACTTTAGTCTCCATGATGACAGCGTTAACAGAACTTTACAACAAAAGTGACTGCATGGTGTTTAACAGGACCATGTACCTTAGAAGTGAAACATTATTTTCTTCCAAGTTATATAAAAGGAAATCGACAATAAAACTTGCATCCCAATCCACTATAGTGCTCAACTATATGGCTTTTATCACCTTCGACATTCACTTCTCAACTAAGAAGAAGAGCAATGTCTGATATGAAATTGTAGATGAAACACAAGCAGAAATAATCCTCATTGTTGCACACTATATTTATGGGTTTTAGTTTCAACATAATAACAAATAAAAATCACCTGCAACAGATCTTCCACCTCATCCATGCATGAAAAGGTAGAGAGCCCTGTAGCTTCCACATGTAAAGCCACAGAAAAAGCAACAACGGTGCTGCCAAAAGAATGAACACACTCCCTGCACAGGCAAAAACATGCAATAAATTGGCAAGAGAAACTGCTGCTTCAGAACTTTCTTGTCTGGGTTGCCCAAGTACTAATTGACTTGTTAGTATGGCTGCTGTATGAGGCATACAGTAAGGATTCTTTTGTTACCTTCTCCCAATAACATAGAGCAAAAATAAAATAGAGAAAGCCTCAATACCTGAATAATGATAACTGGAGAGTTATTGGCTTCAGTATAAGAAATCCATAATCTTTTCTTCCCTTCATTTCTCCAATAGTGAAGTTCAAACCATTAACTTTCATGTAAGAACCCAGGGAAACACAACCTTGAGAGGCATACTTTTCATTCTCCGTCCCAGGAATTTCTATTGCCTCAGTATCCCTCAACCGTGAGCCCCTTGGCTCTAGATCATGAGATCCTGGGAACTTGGCCAACCCTATGTCGAATTTAGAAGATGGCCAGACAGCAACCTCGATACTACATATATCAAGCCCTAGATGAAAGCCGTCTTGACCAATTACACCATTCAGATGTTTACTCTCGCAAGGAAAACCAGCCTGACTTGACAAAATTTCAATGTCAATCCCAGTAATGAATACTCCAAGCTGAACTTGTTTCTCTGGGATCATTTTGAGGAAAGTTTTCTTCATTTCACCAACATATAAGTCATATTTGATTCCAAGTTCAGAATCTGGAAGCTCCTGGACTGTAGTGGCTTGTGATGAGGCACTTACACTCTGACCATGGTTTGCCAAGCTAAGAGCCTGTTCTATTTGGTAGCACAAAATCAGAGCTGATAGCACTGATTGATACCCCAGAGACAGAGTTAGTTTACCAAGTGACATGCAGCATTTACTGCACTGAAAATCTGGAGTATTCAAGTCTGGAACCATCAGACAGTTTTTTACTTGACAAAGAAGCCAAGGGTTGTCAGAGTAATCAACATCACGAGCATCAAGTTCCAGACAAGTTCTTTCCCAAGCCAGCCACATTTCTCCCATAATCTCTTTTAGAAGTCCATAACAGGCGCCTTTCACTTGAACTCCAGCATCAGTACCTGGTTGCCCAGAGACTAATGTTTGTGCTGGTTCACTCCATAGAACAGATTTTGCATACTCGGGAGGCACTTTTTTACTTACTTTAGCCGGACTGAGATCATGACCTTCTGAAGAACTAGTGCTTATGTAAGAAGGATCAACCTTCAACTGCCCACAGGAAACAAAAATAGATTGCTCAAACGTACCATTAAGATACAACAATACTAACGCATCTATTGACAGACAGAATGAGTGGAGTTCTGAAGTTGAGATATCAACAGGTGGCTCTATTTGTTTATTATCGTTCTCAAAGCCTGAGATTGGAGATAATGAGATGGAAATTTTTCCGAATTCTATGAGAAAGCAGACTTCAGGGATGTCATTTTCAGACACGGCTTCTAACAAACTATGAACTTTTGGTTTCTGAAAGAAGATGTTTGTCAAATAAAAAAACTGTAAAGTCCAGAGGAAGATTCTGCAGATAATATTCCAGATGACAGCTAATCCCTTGAAAGCCTTAGAGAATATCTTGACCAGACCACTGCTAGATGAGATATAATTGCCTTCATGACCTTGGATGATGCTCTTCGCAACTCTGTATCGAGCTATCCGCCGTGCCTGAGCAATATATTCAGCTGGAAGCTCTTTCTCAACATCAGAAATAATCCCCCAAAGCTCTTTTACAGAATTCAACAACTTCTTATCCTTGCACATTTTACCAATGAACACTTTTAGTGATCCCTTATCAGCATAGTGAACCATCAATAACAAACACTCATAACTTCTGAGATACCGTAGCCACAGACAAGCAAATTCCACTACATTGTACAATGAAAGCTTGGGAGACACACGTCGCAATCTGGTTGCAGCTAGTCTCCAAAGTTGTCCACCATTTCTAACCCTCTTGGATATTTTTGAGAAAGTATTAGCAAACACTAACAGCACTGGGAGGTCAATTGGAGATAGTAACAGATTCCATTCTGAAACATGGATACTGAAGTCAACGAGTTGAAGATCACTATATCTAGCATAACCAAGAAGATCCGCCGAAGAAACAACTTGAGTAGATTGATCTTTCAGCCTATAACCAACCTCAAACCCTGTAAAGTCCATCACAAAAGAAGCCTCCTTCTGAGGTCTAAGAACTGCAGTCATAAGCCGTCTGGCAAAACATCCCTCATAATAGTTTGACTCCACACTTAATGATTTAAGTTCTGCCAAGCACAACGGCGCCTCATTTACACTGGGGTATTGCACTTCAAGACTAGTATGGAACATCTGAAGACGGCAATGTGTAAGAACAACATTTAACAGAGAATTCTTGAAACTACTGCTTGAGCAACTGGTGCTCAACATCTTCTCCAGCAAATCATGCAAGTCACTGCCCTGTTATGAAAGAAGACAGAACCTCAGAGATCATACCTGACTCACGCCAACTGCCAGCGAAACTAACAGTAGGTCCTGGCCTCACTTCCTCTAGCAGACAAACAAAGAAAGGAACATTTTCCAAACAAAAAATTATTCTAAGGATTCCACCTAATACTAGTCTCAGAATACAGGCCAGATAAACAAATTTGGAGCACATTTTCTGTACAAGTCCCAGGTGATATATCAAGATGCTCGCCGACTCTTGGCTTAAACATGGCCGAATACTAGTCCAGTCCTCTCCTCCAAGCAACGTATCGAAGGAATTTGAGTACGAATGGAGCAGCAAAGAAAAAACGTACCTCAGGATCGTGGCTAGCCACTTCCTTCTTCTTCTCCTCGTCAGCATCCTCACTCGTCCACGTCCTCCCACCGCCTACTGAACGCTCTTCTTCCTTCGGTTCCCTAAACCAAAAGTCCGAACGCACAGACGCGTGACAACCAGAGGAGAAATTCCGATACCGCAAAACACACGCAACCGCATCAGAGAGTGGCTTACCCTGCCGACAACACGACATTGAGGCCGCGGACTTCGAAATCGAACGCAGGCGCCGACCAGTTGGAGAAACGCACAGAGAACAGCTCCACGGTCACCTGCGCAACCGCGAAGCGGTACGAACCGTGGAGGTACGAATTGAGTGAAGACGCATCCAAGCTCAGGTGCCTGGCAGTTATGCGGGAGTTTATAATCCCTAGCTCGACTTCGATCTCCGGCTCCTCCACCAGCCAGGGCTGCAGCAGAGACGCCAGTCGCCGGCGGACTGCGTCGCGGAAGGACATGAGAGACGGACTCGGGGTGGTTCGAGAGATTCGGCGGGGAAATGGGGGGAAAGAAATCGCTTTAAGTGGGAGAAAGGAATTGATGTTTCCCCATACACAAGAGAAAGTTGAGAGAATAACGAATTCGAAGCTCTCGGAGATATTTCGGGTAAGGCTGGGGAAATCGGAAAGTCGATTTTGCCCTTAACCTAAAAAGACAGAACAGTAAGTATCCCTCCATGGCCGGCACTTCTCTTCTCGGGCCTCAAATCCTCATGTGTTGTGTACTGCCTTTCTAATCAATACCCACGTACCAACGATCTTCCTTTCTTCTGCGGTTGATCGGGAAGGGAAGGGAAGAACTGAGGCGGTCTTCCTCTCTTCTTTCGTTGCTCGGGAAAGGAAATGATGCGGCCTAACTGTCGGCGATAGCGTCCTGAGAAGTCAATAGACTCCTCGGTAAGCCCTCAACATCTTCATAATGATTCTTGAATCCCTATTCTTACGAGTTTGCTCAACCTTAGCTTTGTCCTGCAAAAATTGCTTTATGATTGACATTCGTTGGTTCATTCTCTACTTCCTCTCTTTTGACACAGAAAAATTGTCGTCGACGACGGATTGACAAGCCTAGAGTCTCTTGGGTAAGGCCTCAACATCGTCATATATAGTGATTCTTGAAGTCCCATGCATTCTTACGAGTTTGTTCAGTGTCGTATGTCCTGCAAAAATTTACTTCCTAATTGACATTCTTTGGATCATTCTCTGCTTCCATTCTGAACAATTAAGTTGCATACTTTGTTATTAAACACAGTTAGATGATTCTCAACCCGGCCTTTTGTTTGAAATGGGTTGATTAGAAATTAAGGCCTCTGTTTGAATTGAATTGTTGGGTTTCTTTGTTTGCCTCTTCATCGACATTATTTTTCCTTCTCTTTTCTTGCCCGCATACTAACATGGGATCAAGTATGGTTCTTTGATTCAGCATATGGTGTAATTCCCCAAATCTCGCTTCACTGTTTGTAGTTCCTGATGTAGTTGTAGCATCTGATCTTAGTTTACCAATTAACCGTGTCGCAATGAAGAGTTTTGTCTCAAAACATAACTAATGTAGTGATAAAAAGAAAAAAAACTATAATCAAACCAAATTGAACCCACACTTGCATAACATTAACTTAACGACTATTATACCTGCTAAGGAAGGTCCCAATAACCTTATGTCCACTGTACTGTACGTAGTAGCTATTTCTGCATCGACATCCCTTATTGTTGGTAATCAAGATTTAGTCCCTCGATCCAGCGTCATTTTAGTTTTGGTTCTTTTTAATTTGATAGATTGTATTGCTTTAGCAACTCTGCCTTAGTAATATCTATCACTGTAACCATGCTCACCTTTGCCTGGACTGTAATTCATTTAATTTGCAGTTGGTGTACTATTTTCCAGGTTTTGTATTTTCAACAAGTCTTGGCCATTACCCTACCTTTCAGAGCAACTGGAAGTAACAAAAACAGATCATGAAAACCAATTACATGACATGACACACACTGCGCGCTGCAATCAAACTCATTTGCATAAGCTCCAGTTCCAAAATTAGTTACGTACCTGTTGCTTTGACTGCAGGGAGAAAACTACCAAGTCATGACGACAAAGGTTGGAGATGTGAGGGAAGTTTGGTGTTACTTAAGCTGCACTAATTGGCGCAAGAAAATACCGCCTGGAGAATTGAAGTTTTGATGCTCGAAATGCATCATCAACAGTACACACTCAATGTCAGTGGTATTCCAAGGAAACTTCACCAACTCACAGAAATAATTATGAAACCCTTTTGCAACAATAAATAACAATTACAAAAGCTATAACCAAGAAACAAAACTGCAGGTACAACCAACTTTGATCTTCTAGGCCATAAGAGGTACGTACGTAAAGAAGGCCTGTTTTTCCATAAATGTCAGCTAACAGGGATAAATGCACCCATATATTTCAACTTTATTGTCCACCAATATGTATATATGTTGCCATAATTAAGTCTTCAATAAGATTACATATGTTGTTAATGTTTATATAAATAAGCTATCGTTAACCTAGCATTAGCATCACATCAACCAAATGTAACTTCATGTATAAATTCTACAAATGCATATATGAATAAAAATCTACTATGATTTTAATGCTTTCATTAGACAACAGAAGTTCAATGTTTTTAGGTGTTAACCTATTGTCACTAGCATGTTACCAATCGACAGATGCATTATATCCAAGAAACTACCTCAGTAATAGTACAAAACCTTAGCAACATCGACTTCTACTCAAAACTTCTAACACTATTATTGAATATACTATGAAAATTAGAAAATCAATCCAAAACGAACACATCTTAATTCTCCGGGCACCAAGCTAGTTGAATGAATTGTGTTTCCGATTTTCCGTTTCCTCTTCGGTTTTTGTGTGGCTGCTTTGGGTTCTCTAATGAATCGGGTTGACCCAGTAACCCGAAAAGCCCACAAAATATATTGGGACTGGAACTAGCAAACGACGGCGAATTCTTCGTCTCACCTTCTCCAGCTCCGCCGTCGGTAGAAGTAGCTCTCCCACTCTCTTCTTGCCACTGCCACTTTCCTAAGACGGCCGAATCGCTTTTCATCAGAGGGTTACAGCCGGAAGAAAATTATCTACTCACGGAGGTCCAACAAACTCGGTGCACTTGTTCTGATTTGGGGGTTTATTCCTGTTCTTGGTGCTATTCAGGTTTCAATTCCAAGTTCGCATCTTTGACGGTTGGTTGCCTCTGAAAATTGATTTCGAGAACCGCTGGGTTCCGTTATTGGATGCTGGTGGTTCTCTCTATTGCTACTCTACTCGGAATGAGGAAGACGATGATCCATAGAAACTGGTCCAGATTTCAGCGGCCAAGAACAGCCTGTATGACTGATTTTGCTTGTTCCACTGCGGCTTTAGCACCATCGCCTTACTCATCTTGCTCTGGGTGGAATCCAACTACTCCTGGTACGTTAAAATTTGCTACTTTCATCAACGTCGATGATGCCTTGGCTTCTTTTGAACTGATGGTCAGCATGAATCCCAAGCCTTCCATTTCGAGATTCGGTCAGGTATTGTCCTATCTTCTGAAAATGAACGTCCCCCATACTGCCTTCTCTGTATCTAGATCAATGGAATTGGCTGGAATTCCACACAATGAGTACACACTCAACATGTTGATTAATTGCTTGTGTAAATTAGGCCGTGCGGATGTTGGATTTTCAGTTTTGGGTAAAGCTTTTAAATTTGGAGTTCAACCTGATGTTGTGACCTTTGGTACATTGATTAATGGGCTCTCTAAAGATGGAAAACTTGCTGAGGCTGTGAAGTTGCTTGATAAAATAAGGATGTTGGGATATCAACCCGATGTGTACACATACACCCCAATCATCAATGGACTATGCAAAGCAGGACAAGCAAATGCAGGTTTTGAATTGCTCGAGAAAATGGAAGATTTAGGCTGTCAACCTGACGTTGCTAATTATAGCACAATCATTGACAGCTTCTGTAAGAATGGGTTGCTATGCAAAGCCTTAGATGTGTTTTCTCGAATGAAGGGGGGAAATATTTCACCAAATGTGGTGACTTATAATTGTTTGATTCACGGTCTATGTATCTCGAGCAAAGAGAATGAAGCTATCAAGCTGTTGGATGAAATGATAGAAAAGAACATCATGCCGGATGCATATACCTTCAACATACTGGTCGATGCTTTTTGTAAGAAAGGAAATGTGTTGGAGGCTAAAGCTGTAGTCAAAAGGATGATTCAAAGAGGCTTGCTTCCAGATGTGGTGACTTATAGTTGTTTGATTCACGGTCTATGTATCTCGAGCAAAGAGAATGAAGCTATCAAGCTGTTGGATGAAATGATAGAAAAGAACATCATGCCGGATGCATATACCTTCAACATACTGGTCGATGCTTTTTGTAAGAAAGGAAATGTGTTGGAGGCTAAAGCTGTAGTCAAAAGGATGATTCAAAGAGGCTTGCTTCCAGATGTGGTGACTTATAATTGTTTGATTCACGGTCTATGTATCTCGAGCAAAGAGAATGAAGCTATCAAGCTGTTGGATGAAATGATAGAAAAGAACATCATGCCGGATGCATGTACCTTCAACATACTGGTCGATGCTTTTTGTAAGAAAGGAAATGTGTTGGAGGCTAAAGCTGTAGTCAAAAGGATGATTCAAAGAGGCTTGCTTCCAGATGTGGTGACTTATAATTGTTTGATTCACGGTCTATGTATCTCGAGCAAAGAGAATGAAGCTATCAAGCTGTTGGATGAAATGATAGAAAAGAACGTCATGCCAAATGCACGTATCTTCAACATACTGGTTGATGCTTTTTGTAAGAAAGGAAATGTGTTGGAGGCTAAAGTTGTAGTCAAAATGATGATTCAAAGAGGCCTGCTTCCAAATAATATCACTTACAATTCATTGATGAATGGGTATCGCATGCGGAACGAAGTAGACAAGGCGCGGCGGATATTTGATTGTATGGTTCTCACGGGATGCAAGCCTAACGTTTACAACTATAACATCATGATTGATGGATATTGCAAAAGTAAAAGGATGGAGGAAGCCGAGCAGTTATTTAATGATATGCTTGGGAAGGATGTGTCTCCCAGCACTATTACATATAATACTCTCATGAATGGATATTGCCATGCAGGGAGGCTTGAAGATGCACAAGAGCTTCTCAAGAAAATGTGCAGTCAAGGTTTATCCCCGAATCTTGTGACATATTGGACTTTGCTTGCTAATTTGTGCAACCGAGGCTATCTTGACAAAGCACTAGCTCTATTCGAAGCAATGAAAAGTAATAAGTTGAAGCCCGATGTTCATATGTATAACTTCATTATTACTGGTTTGCTTGAAGCAGGGGAAATGTTTTCTACCCTCAGCGAAGGTGACTGCTTAAAGCCAACTACCCACACATATAACATAGTAATCAATGGACTTTGTAGGCAAGGTTTGGTAGATGACGCATACAATTTGTTTAGAACAATGGAAGGGGTTACTTGTCCACCAAACTGCAAGTCTTATAACGTGATTATCCATGGATTTCTTCAGCATAAAGGTCCATTTGAAGCTGGGGATCTTATCCAAGAAATGTTGTCCAAGGATTTCACAGCTGATACAACCACAATGTCCTTGCTGATGGATTTAACGTCGAAAAATCAACTGAATCATCCAGTTGTCAGAAAGCTGCTTGGTGATTCTGGAAAGGCTGGTGAGGAGGTTAGGCCCAAGGGTTTATCAGCAGAGAGAAACATCACCCCAGAAGCTTGTTAGAATTGTTGCTCCAAAAAACCGAGTTTGGATCTTCCTGGTAGTACATTGTGCATGGTTATGTCTTTCAGCTGACAGCATCTGTAGAAGGTATAAGCTTCCACTCCTTTGTTGTTCTCGCTGTCTCTCTTTTTGTTAGTGTGTTTGTATTGTTCTGCCAACCCTTCTGGTTGCTTTGCATGCTTAGTGGCAAGAAAGAAAGTCTTTGGTTCTAAAGAGTTTTCCCCAATTGTGAACTTCCAGCACTAGGTCTAGCAGCTAATGCCTTTGTTGCCATGGAGATGCTGACAACAGCTCTGTTTCTATCGCACAAGTGCCTAGACCATTTGCAACAGTTCCAAAGAGCTTTTTGCAGCAAGGCAGGCAGAAGGGGGAAAAGAAAGGGAAGAAAAAGGCTTCTTTCTCCATGATGTCATTTGTTTGCAGTTGGCTTTTTGGGATAGTACAAATGTTTGTTGCCAAAGTGTGTTCTTTATTGGATTGGATGAGAGGAAATTGTACCCAGAATTGCAATTTTTGGTTGGGACTTGTTTGGATTGCAGTGCAGTTGTAGTAATTTATCTAAAAGGGGCTTTTGGCACTGGTAAACGAACTATGGTGTAATGTCAAATCTTCCCACCCCAAATGCATCTGGGCAGAGAATGAAGAATTCAGCTTACTCTTTTAAGCGGCAACTGAAAGCTTACTATTGCCCCCTTTCAATTGCTTAAATATGATCTTATACTATAACTTTGGTATCAACCGTTCTCTTCACATGTAAATGGCTAGGAGGTGAACACTACCCAACATATTGTCAATCATGCTTCATATTTTTTTTGGATAAACTAAACAAATTGAATTTTCTTTTACCATCAAAATTTTTATAAACCGGGATAGTCTTGATATAGATAAGAAATATATAATTAATGGAATTATTTTTGGGTATAATTAATGGGATTTCAACGAAAACAAATCATCTTCATTATGTACAGCGAAAAGCTCAAGTAACAAATTCACCCGCTCATCGGGCGGGGCCCAAAGCTAGTTAGTTAAGAAGTCCCTAGCTCTCAAGTCTCAACCCATTCTTTCGTTTATTTTAATATCTTTCTCATAATACCACCCAAAATTTAACATGTGGACAACTACCACCCAAATTTTTAAATAACTGCATGTATTTAAATTTTCTAGGGTAAATGTATGGTTGGTCACTGAGATTACAAAAAATGTTCATATTTGGTCACTCAAAATATTTAATTTTAGGCAAAATACAGTTCCATAGCCAAAACTTTCACGTTTGTGCCAATAATAGCCACATTTGGCGAAATACCACTTATAGCCACCTCCGTCCAATTCTTTAACGTTGTTAACGTTAAGTGTGACTGGGCAAGCGGAGCAGCTTACGTGGACCGCCCGTAATTTCCACGTGGACAATAATTAAAAAAAAATTATTATTTTTTTATATTCCACCATAAAGTGTAATAAAGCTCATTTATTTAAAAAAAATCATTTATTTAAAAAGAAAATTCTCTTGGAAGATTGAGTGGCTAAGAGGAATCGCCTCCTCTTTTTCTTCCCCAGGCATCACGCCCTCATCCCCTCCGCTTCTCCGGCACCATCCATAGCCTCCTCTTTTTTTCCCCTTCACCGCTGAACCATTCTATCCCTTTGGTTTCTTTGTGACTACGACAGTTTCCGTTATCCACTCCGCCGTGTCTCAACGATTTCCAATTCCTTTCCTCCATCGTCAATCTCCGCTCCCTCCAGAAATCCAGAGCAACGAGGAAGCTTCGCTTAATAAGGCAGCTCTCTAGAAGGTCATGCTTGAAGATGGGTCCGCCGCATCGGGGAAAGCCTCGATCAATTTAGGGATTTTGGAGGCAACAACGCGGCGGCTCAGTAGATGACGGCGTCGAAGGCCGGTCGCATCCTTAAGGACGATGATGCTATGCTTTCTGAACTCTTCGTCCAGAAAAAGGGCAAAATAATCAAGATTTGTTGTTTTGGCTGGAAATTTCTTTGATGGTTAATGATTAATTGACCCCCGTCGTTGCTGGATCTATGCGCAAATTTTGCAATCTCCACTTCCGCCCGCCTCCGGTGCATCCGATCTGCCCTTCTCTTCACCTTCGGACAGTGCAATTTTGTGGAGTTAGGTTTCTGGGACGAGTCTCGCCACCACCGTCGAGGACTGCTAGATCTGCATCCAAGGTGCATCTCATTCCTCTATCTTTCTCTCTTCCCGTGGAAAGTTGAGGATTCGGGGAGAGTCGAAATTTGAAGTTTGGGAGAGGAACCCTAATTTTTAGATCGGGCAAAAATTGGGGCTGAAGGACTCTGTTTCGATGGAAATGGAATATATGGTAAGAATTTTTTTTTAATAATGTAATATATAAGTTTTTATTTTTAATAAAGGAATATATGACGTGTCAAGATGACGTGTCAAGATGACGTGTCAAGACTTGCTTAATTGGCGCTGACGTGTTCGAGTTCTTCTCGCCTAATCAGCAAACCGTCTACTTATTTGACGGTGTTAGTAACGCCGTCAATGTTTCTAACGGAAAAGGCTATATTTGTCCAACAACATTTTCAAAAGGTGGCTATAAGTGGTATTTCGCCAAATGTGGCTATTATTGGCACAAACGTGAAAGTTTTGGCTATGGAACTGTATTTTGCCTTAATTTTATCGGTGGTCCCTAACATTAGTTAAACGTATCAACTTTACTCACTCTCTGTTACCTTTCGTTAGTCTCCGTTAACGGCGTCAATTTTTTGCTGACATGGCTAACAGAAATGCCTAATCAGCATATTTAAATACAAAAAAAAAATTATACCCGACGCACCACATCATCAAAACCAACCCATCACCCGACCATTCCCTGCCTCCCTGTATCGTTGAACAGAAGGTCGGCCAATACCTCCCCCCCCCCCCCATTTTAATGCTACTCTCGTCATCGTCGTCTACCCGGGGGCGGATTGGGGAGGACTGTTGTTGATGCTGGTGGTGTGGGTGGGCGATCTGGAAAGAAGAGTCGATGGACATTTCCGCCGGAGCTAAAGAGGGCGAAGGGGGAAGCGATAAATCTTATTAGATTTTGGCCCCTCCACATCGCCTATGCCATCTCTGCGGTCGTCAACCTCACCACCCCTGCGGACGTCAATTCTCGATCTTCTTCGTTCTGACGCTCTCACTTATACCCTTCCTCTCCCAATCCCTCACGTAGAACACCCCGGCCGATCTAGGTATTGCTTGATGATTTTCTCGACCCTTAATCTTCCCACCCTTCAACTGTCATCTTCTCGTCGATCGAGAACCCTATCGAAGCATAAGAACCCCAAGGTTCACGAACATGAGTAAGAAAACCCTCACTAGCAGTCGTTGCAACCTTGGCGATTTGTGATAGATTCAGCCCCTCCAGCAAATTCCTCCCCCGATTGGCCAACCCGATGTCATCGCTTCGTCGTCTAGTCTTAGAACTTGTCATCTTCTTTTGGAGAAGCTTGTCGAGGTTGGCCAGATGCCTCTTGTTGCAATTGATGGTGGCGAGCTTCTTCTCCAGGATGCAATAATCCACAAAACAACAACAAGAGCTCCAGATAGGGGTGGGCGTTCGGTAAAACCGAACCTAACCAAACCGAACCGAATTCAAACCGAACCGAAACCGAATAACATTACTTCGGTTCAGAATTCGGAAGAGAAAAGGGTATATTTCGGAAACCAAGGTCCTTTCGACCGAACCGATTTTCCGAATTACTATAATTGCAAGTTCTTAATGGTGAATTTTTATGTTTGTAGTTATTATGAGACTTAAATATTTGAATTATGTTAGTGTTTTATGAGTTATGTGTTGAAATGTTTGATTTTATCATTGATGATGCATTTAATTGCATATTTATTGTTTACATTAGGGGTGAAAAATAATTTGAAAGAGAAAAAATACAAGCTAACCTCACAATTTCGGTTTTTCATACAAAATCGAACCGAATTATAATTCGGTTTGATCCGACCGAACCGAATTATAATTCGGTTCGAATTCGGTTTGAGGTTTGATGGAACTCGAAAACCCGGTATACATTATTTCGGTTCGGTTTGAACCGAACCGACCGAATGCCCACCCCTAGCTCCAGAGGCAAACCGTAGATCCGGAGCGTTGCATCCAGGGTTTCTTCTTCAGGCAATACGACGAGGCTTTATGAAAGAATATAGGGGACGAGATACGGTGACAACCCCTAAGGGAGTTGTCAGATTCACAACCCACTTCATAGCCCTTGGATACGCTCTCTCTCCTGTCTCTTTCTTTTTTTTTTAAATTAACGGTTAAGATTAAAGGAAGGATATTTTTGGAAGGGTAAAAATTTACCACACCCAATCATTCACCCTACCATATAAAAAGAACAAAAATCCTAACTCCTCCATCCTCCCTCTCTCTCTCCTCCCTCTCTCCCGTAGACATCACCGTCTCTCCTCCCCCTCTCTCCGCCGCCACAGCCCTCCCACCACCGCAGCTCCCTCTTCATCTCCCATGCCCACCGCCACCCCTGACCTCCGCCGCGCCGGCTGTCCTCACCGCCCTGCCGCGCCTGCTGTCCCCGCCGCCCTGCCGCGCCGTTGTCCTCCCCCTCTCTCCGCCCTGCCGCGCCTACCGTCATGCCACGCTGACCCCGCCACCATTTTTATGCCGCCGCCGCCACGAGGTCAAGACTCTTCCCTGCCTCCCTCTTTCCTCATCCCTATTTTTTTCGAGATCTGATAATCTCCACTAGTACCAATACCACTGGTAGCGCTATTGGTACGCTACCACTACTCATTGGTACCAATACCAGTGGCTCCCCTATCATCTGGTACCACTATCATCTGCTTTTTTTTTTTTTTGTTATTCTCTACTGGTACCGCTACCAATGCTAGTGGTAGCGCTACCAGTGCTAGTAGCGTTGTGTTATTCTCTACTGGTAGCGTACCACTAGTACTGGTACATTTTTTACTGGTACCGCTAGTACTGGTACATTTTTTAACGTACTGGTAGCGTACCACTAGCACTGGTATATTAATTACCAATAGACTAATAGATTGGTACACTTTTTAACGCATTGGTACATTTTTTCAGGTTGCCGGAGGGAGTCTGCCAGAGAGAATTCGCCGAAGAAAAAGTTTGTCGGTCGATGCGGAGTGGCCGCTGGAGAAAGGAAGAGAGAGAGAGATAGATAGAGATATTAATGTATAGGATTTAAATTTCAAAAAAAAAATTGTATTTAATATGGGTTTTTAATTCCCAATATAATTAATACAAAATAGGTAATTAATATATTCCTTTTTTTCATACCCAAAATACCCTTGGTTGTGATTTTGACAACCCTCTTAGGGGTTGTCATCGTATCCCGTCCCATAGAGAGAGGTAGAAGTGGATAAGTTGGTCATTGGTGGAGGAATTAAGGGCATGGACGCCTTGAGTGTGGGTGTGGCGGGTCTGTGTTGGTGAGGATTGAGGAAGAAACGAGGAAAGGGGATGGAGGTTGGTCTTTATTGGCGACGACGGAAAGGAGGGGGAATGGTAGATCTACGTTAGTGAGGAAGTAAGGAGGAAAGGGAAGGATTTGGTTAGAATGTTCGGGTCAGTTAATTAATGGGTTTGGTTTGGAAAGTTAGGGCAATTAATGGTTGACATGGCAGGTTCTTACGTGGCCGGTTTGATTTCATTTTATTTTTTTGTTATAATTGGGTGACTCAGCATGTCTATTAGCCATGTTAGCAAAAAAACTAACATCGTCAAAGGATGCTGACGGAGACTAACTAAAAGTGACTAAACTTGAACGGTTAAACTAAACCTAGTGACCACGAATGGAATTAAATATTTCGGAAACCTCGCAATTTACCCAAATTTCCTGATTAATTTACAAAACTCATCTTGAGTCATAAACCACACAATTCTTTAAAGGAAAACAATCAAAATTGGGCATGCATGTTTTTTCTCTATCGTCAACAAGTAATACTTCTACTTAAATAATCTTAATTCTTAACAGTCTTATAGACATGAGCTTTTACTTTATTTTGTGTATCATTGTTATTTTGGTGTCGATTCCTCTCTTATTTGATTTACCATGTGCTTGATCCTTTTGGAGCACCTGGGTTTTTTTTTTATACAAAAGATAACCTGTATTAATATCAAGAAAGATAGTTACATCCTGGAAAGCAGCCAGACCTGATAATTAAAGCCATGATTCTCGATCGGGTACAAAGAGAGGGCTTTCCTAGCCACCAATAGGCTACCCTATTAATACTCCAACCTACGAATCGAATCCTCAAACCTGGGTGGATGCGAAAATAATGCAAAACCTCTTCCAAAACAGCACCCACCCGATTGTCTCTGGCATCCCCTTGATTGATTTTGTCAATGATCACCTTTGCATCCCCTTCAAACAGAACATTAGTGAAGCTATTCGCCAGACACCATAAAACCGCCTCCCGAAGGACCAGTAGCTCCACCGTCATTGGGTCTCCAAAAAGAGGGAACTGGACTCCCTTAGCCAGCAGGACCTTTCTATCAGGGGATAACAGGACAATTCCACCAGTCGCATGCGACCCTGGCCGAATTCCCCCATCCCACTAACAGATGACCCCCCCCCCCCATCTTGCCTATCCCTACACCTTCCCCCACCGGGGCCGAAGGCTGGCGAACCTTATCCATTGACAGTCGAATCCATTCCTCATATTGGTTATGAAACTGACGCATTAAGGCAACGATCCCAAACTGTTTGCCTTCAAAGACCACCCAGTTACGGGAGCGCCAAATACGCCACAAGATAGCAACCACACCCATGAACAGCTGGGGTTGGTAAATCAAGGCCATCAACCTTTTAAGAAACAATGGGAAAGTGTGTCGCGCCAAACCCCCCCCCCCCCCCTACGTATTCCAGTCCTGAGTACTCCCACAATGCTCACGCCACTGGGCAGTCAAGGAACAAATGCTCCATTGTTTCCGGACTATCCCAGCAAACCGGACATCTAGGGAGCACAGGCACACGCTTGCTAATCAGGGCCTCAGTAGTTGACAAGATTCGATTAAGAATCTGCCAGACAAAGACTTTTAGCTTTGGGGGGATATTCGCATTCCACAACCGGATCCAACTTGTTCTATCCATCCAACTAACAGTGGCCTTCCAGCCATCTCCCCTCTTATCTAAAGCAACAGCTAAATGGTAAGCAGACTTGACCGAGAACAGCCCATCTGCCGTATCATGCCAAATTAGCTTATCCTCCACATTCTGCCGAGGAAGAGGGATCGATTTAATGGCCCTACAAGAGGGAGGATCGAACCACTGACTAAGTTTTTGGTCATCCCATCGCCCCTCCCCTTCATAAATAACGACCGCTACAGGTGGATCACCACCATCCGGAATGATCATAGGATTAAAAGCCGGGGGATCAAGTTGGAGTTGCGGGATCCAATTGGAGTTCAGCAAAGAAGCAGATTTCCCATTTCCAATCTGCCACCTTAACCCCTTCTCTAATAAATGACGGCCAAACAGAATACTCTGCCATCCCCAAGAGGGCCGAGAGCGGGCCGTAGCTTGCAAGAACGTCCCATTCGGGAAGTATTTTCCTCTATAAACTTGAGCGAGAAGGGAGTTTGGCTCCGTAAGGATGCACCAGCCAATCTTGGCAAGGAGCGCCTGATGAAATTGTTCAAACCGCTGAAATCCCATCCCGCCGTCGTGCTTACTTCTGCACATATTCCGCCAGGACACCCACCGAATTCGAGGGTGACCCTCCGCATCACCCCACTAGAATCGCGCCACATGCTTGTCCAGAAGACGACATAGGAAGACCGGAAGCTTAAAACATGACATAACGTGCAGAGGTAACGCGAGGGCAATCGATTTGATTAGAGTTTCCTTAGCCGCCCAGGATAATGTCCGTTGTTTCCACCCCTGGAGGCGTTCAAGTAACTTAGCCTCTAGGAACCGGAACGTCGCCATTTTAGAACGAGCAATCAGCGTAGGTAGTCCCAGATACTTATCATGAACCCCTACTGCTCCCACCCCCAGGACTGCAGCCAGGAATTCCTGATCCTCTTGCACAATATTCTTGCTGAAGCAAACCGCAGATTTAGCCAAGTTTATCTTCTGGCCACTCAGTTCCTCATACTCATTTAGGACCACCATCAAATTCTCGCATTCCTGAAGAGTTCCTCGTAAAAATAAATACGAATCATCCGCAAAAAAACAAATGCAAGTCCCTAGGGGCCCGGGGGGCAACTTTTACACCTTCAAGCCTCTTATCAGCAATAGCCTTCCGGATAAGGGCCAAAAACCTTCCGTACAAATGACAAACGGAAGAGGGGATAGAGGATCGCCTTGCCGCAGTCCCCTAGAAGGTGAAAAGTAGTCAGACGGAGCCCCATTCATAAGGACTGAGAATGAGGCCGATCTGAGGCACTCATAAATCCAACCCCGCCAGACAGCGTTAAAGCCCATCTTGTCTAGGACAGCGAGAAGAAAGGCCATTCGACCCTATCATAGGCTTTTTCCATATCAACATTTAGGGCCATGTACCCTTTCTTACCTCGCGTCTTAATTTTCAAGTAGTGCATTAACTCATGTCCCAGGAGGATATTGTCCACAATCTGACGCTCCCGGATAAAGGCATTTTGGCCGTCAGAGATGAGTTGAGGGAGGACACATGCTAGTCTTTCCGCCATGATCTTAGTGATTACTTTATAGACAAACTGACATAAACTGATTGGACGTAATTGTCTCATAGTTTCCACCTTCTCCACCTTTGGGATCAACGTAAGCCAAGTATGGTTGAAACTGCGCAGCATCCTACTTGTAGCAAAGAAGGAGCAAACCGCATATATAACCGATGGACCCACGATATCCCAAAAGGCCTTAAAAAACTTCCCAGTGAAACCATCCGAACCTGGAGCCCGCTTAGACCCCATAGCAAAGACCATTCTCCGCACCTCCTCCGGGAGCACCTCAGCCGTAAGGGCGGCATTCATTTCTGGAGTAACACTCCGGGCAATAGGCAGAGCCGCCACCCGTTCAGCCATGTTTTCCACTTGGTTCTCAGTGGTAAAAAGTTGCTGATAAAAGGAAGCCGCCACCTCAGCCTTGCCCGGTTCATCAGTGACCCATCCCCCTTCATCAGTACGGAGAGCCTCCACAAAGTTTTTTTTCCGACGGGTTCTGGTCACCGTATGAAAATACGACGTATTCTTGTCACCCTTTTTTAACCAGTTAACCCTGGATTTCTGCTGCCAGTACAGCTCCTCTGCCTCTCATTGTCGGTTCAATTCCACTTCCAGCGTCCGGACCGCCTCCCAATCAATTGGATGGGACCTCTTTATCCTCTCAATTTTGCCTTGGAGGGTATTAATATTCCGTAATGAATTGGTAGTCCCATCCCGACTCCAATCATACAACAAATGACGCAGCCTCTTGAGACGCTCCCAAAGGCAGAACATAGTAGTACCCTGGATATCCTCTTTCCACACATAGCTAACCATTGCTCTAACCTCCGGGTTATCCGCCCAGCGAGCATCAAACCGAAACAGGGGGCGGCAATTTCTGGCATAGGCTTTATCGGAGATAATAATAGCCCGATGATCAGACCCTTGATCAGTAAAGTGTTTGACCAAGGTCTCCGGGAAACGATCCATCCAAAGGTTGGAGCAAAGGGCCCTATCTAGACGTTCACGGATACAAGCTGCACCCATCCTCTTATTAGTCCAGGTGAACTAGTCCCCAAGGAAGCCTGAATCATGGAGTCCCAACTCGTGAATAAAATCACGAAGGCTAATCGCCTGAGAAGCATTCCAAGGGTTACCACCATCCTTTTCACTCTCATGAAGAGTTTTATTGAAATCACCCATAATCACATAGGGAAGATAGAAAGTAGAGCAGAGCTCCTGGAGGTGAGCCAATTGGGAAGCTCTGATCAAGTTGTTGCAACTAATGTAGGCACAAACCACAATATAAGAAAAATCCACTTCATTAATTCTGACGCAAATACAAAAATCCGAATGATAAAACACCGAAGCATCAACTTCGGGGGACCAAGCTACAACTAACCCACCCGATGCATCAACAGCATCAACAAAAAAACAATTAGAGAACAAAACCCAAACCCCGCATACGACGGGAGACAACACGCCGGCTCGATCGCATCTCAGAGAAGAACACGAGATCCGGTTTATTAGAACGAACTAAACCGACAGCAGTTTGGAATGTGAGGGATGGTTCAATTCCTCTCACATTCCAGGCCAAAAGTTTCATTTATCGGTCTGGGGCCACTCTAGGCTGGCTTCCTCCACCTGTTCCAGATTATCAACAACTTCAATAAATTGTTTTTTTGGCGAGGGTACATCTCCCAGATCGCCCTCTATAGCCTCCAACGGCGCTTTCGCGTCCTAATCTCAGGGTTTAGCAAATTCGACCCATATTCATCCAGATGGGAGCTCTCTCCCTGAAGTATAATATTCTCCTCCTGATTCGGAGTATTAATTTCCATCTTCTCCTGGGAAATCAGTTGAGCCTCTGAATTAATTGTGAGTCCTGCTTCAAAAGCGGCCACCACTTGGCTAACTCTCCCCTTTGAATGAGTAGAAATTTCAGTAGTCCTAGAGGAGGGACCCCTTCGTTTAATTTCAAAACATTGATTATCCTCCTCAGACTCCGAATTATCCGAAACTAGAGCTTTAATCACAGTAGCCTTGGGAGCCGACTCCTGGGGTTGCCCAACTGCCCCACCCAATTCTGCGGGCCCAGACTGCACCTCTTTTACTGTCTTTGGGCCGCCATTTCTCCTAGCTAGTCCTTCCGCACCCTGGGCCTTGCGCAGCTTTCCCCTTCTAGTGGGTCGGGCCTGCTGTGGCTTAGGGCAATGAGAAGCTTGGCTATTCTGGGCCGTCCCCTGGCCCTTAATAATCTCGGTCTTTGTCGCGGGCCCATCACCACGACCATCAATCATTTCTCCCAATGGGCGGGTATTAACTCCAGCCCAGCCTTCCCGATTCTGAAGAGGGAGCTTTGTAACAGGCCCCCTAACCTTTGCGGGCCCTGGCCCATTCGCTTTAGGAGCCCGGTCAATTGCCAGGGAATCATCATCGGAGTCTGATTCCAGAATGAGCCGTCGACGCCGAGTTTCGGCGAGGATGTCCGGCGAGTTATTTTTCAGCTCTGATTGACCAGCGCTAGGGCCGCCAAGGGAAATCCGAACCTCACTCCCATCAGCATCCTGCCGACAATGGTCATTTTTATTTCCACCCTGCCCTTGTTTTTTATTTCTTCCTCTCCCTAATTGAATCCGTGGTGGTTTATTGATAGGAAAACCCCGCGGACTCGCAGTCTTGGACGGAGCTGGTTTCAACCCCTGCTCTTGTTTTGGTTTGCTATCTTGGAACGAATTGCCCATAGCGGTTTGAGGAAACTCCTCCAATTTCTTTGTGGCCATTTTCCTCCCCTCATCATGGCCACGGATATAGGTACGAGCATGACTTGTAGGGCCATTAATTTGGCGGTTGACCCAAACCGTCTGCCGAGGGCCCCTTGCCTTCATGGTATCGATCTCGTCATCATAGATTCTCCTCCCCATCTTCTTCATCGACATATGTGGGACGAGACGAAAATGAATTTGGATGCCACAAATCCTCCAACAATATATGGTAGAGTTTTGTGAACTTTTCTCCATTTCAAATTTCCTACAACGAGAGTGAAAGTAGGAAGGACATTTTTGTCTTTACAATTAATTATTTATCTCATATAAAAAATAACAATATGAGGATTCGAACCCGATTCTCTTAAAACAAAGACAACAATCTCAACCAATTACACTAAACAAATATTTTGTATCTTTTTTAGTACAAAACATACACAAAGTTAAACTCTGAAAATTGGATGAATTTTCCATCATGATTACCAAGCCCACTAAGTCTACCGTATGTATTTTTATGGTGCTTGATACTTCAGTTTCATAGTATAGTTTCATGTAATTTTCTCAATTTTAATTTTTTTGCTCTCGCCTTAATATTTTGCTAAAGGTATATTGGTAATTGGCTACCATAGAATAAACTAATTATGATACTGTGTGTTGTGTCCTTGAAATTTTCAATTTAAATTTAAATTTAGTGCTTTTTTTTTATCTTTGTTCTTATATCTTTTAACTTCCTCCGAAATTCCCTCCATCGTGCAATAGTTTGCGCCCCTTTCACTTTCCAATACAAGGTCGCCTTTGAAATCAATCTTTTGGTATCTCTTGGCACTACGATTTTATTCTTGGGGATTTAAGCTAGGCAAGTAGAAGATTTCAATTCCGATATCAATCCACGAAAAATAGAATGGAGTTCAATAAATGGAGTTGTAGAAGGAGGATTAGAGATTAAAATTTTTTTAATTGAAACATAAGCCTCTTTAGATAAAAATTTGGTTGTACAACTGAGAGTGGTGACCATTTGACCTTTAGGTTTATGGTTTTTGCAACTAGGTCGATTCTTTATTCAACCTACTGGAACTGATAGATAAGGAGTGTTTTAATTTTGTGTCTTATTACTTCGATCAAGTCTATTAGCATATTGCAGGTAAAACTAATTTTGTCATTTGCTCTCAAGTTTTATTGGTCCCCTCTTAACCGAGTTGTTAGTATATAGTTGACTTGAATCAACAACTCTCCATTTCTTTTTGATAAGTGGCATATTGTTCCTAAAAGGAGAGCACTGAACCCTGCATGTAGGATTGTGAGGTTTAAGATTGTGTTTCAAACTATCCATGGCGTGTGGGAATTCCAGTGAGCTTTTGTACTCTATCTTTCTTGACAATATCCTAACCAATAGCATTTTAATTGGGGCTTAATTGTCATTATAAAAATGAGATCAATGATACATTTTTATATTTTATATTCTTATTTCTCCGAAAGTTTGACCTATATATTCTTTCTTTATGTATCATCTCGATCGAAGAATTGTCAATAAAATTAAACGGGTTAATAGACTTAAATGTAACATAAAAAATACAAATAATCAAATATGAACATTCCGGCCAACGGTTCGGGTTATAAGCTAGTGAGTAGCAGACCACTTTGATTGATCGCCCGGAAGTAATGGCAAGGAAAGATAATGGCGAGCTCACCCCGTAGATTTTGGAAAAAATCCCACTGTACACACGTTCTTAAAAAAAATTCCCAAAATACATGAGTTATAAAAAAATTTCCCAAAGTACACATGTTTGAGCATCACCGTTTTAGACAAAAGCGGTGAAGATTATCACCGCGTTTGACCAAAACGGTGAATGCTTCATCGTCTTAAACAAAAACGGTGAAGTATTCACCGTTTCATACTAAAACGGTGAAGTATTCACCGCGTTAGTATACAACGGTGAATACATCACCGTTTTGGTCAAAGACGGTGAACACATTCATCATTGTCAATCAACGCGGTGATTTTTCCCACGTTTCCCACCCCTGGTAGGTCAAAATTAGGTCGCAACTACCACCTATTCACCGTTTGAGACAAACGCGGTGATAGTGTTCACCGTTTTTGACAAAAACGGTGAATAGTTGGCAGATTTTCCTATAAATTGCACACCACCAGCAGTTGTAAAAACATAACCACTCCCCTTTCTTCAAATTTCAGCAGCCAAAATCGAGCATAATACACAGAACAGAAATTTTTCGGTATGTTGAGACTTTTCGTATTATAGTCTAATTATGTTTTTAGTAGTTATAGTATGATTTAATTTTCGTATTATGTTGTTGTTAGTTAGTTGAACTTATGTTCGTTAGTTATAGTATGATTTAATTTTCGTATTATGTTGTTGTTAGTTAGTTGAATTTATTTTCGTTAGTTATGGTATGATTTAATATTAGTTGTACAATATGATTTTGGTTAATTTTACTGTCTTTAAGCTAATAGATACTTATTGTAAATTGTAGATATGGGTAAATTCAAGAAGTTTCATCTTACTATTCGGTGGAATGGAAGGGTGACAAACTCTGACATAGGCATTGATTATGAGGACGGCGAATCCATTATGCTGAAAATTGAATCCCGATTCAATTTTCAAGAACTCTGTGATCTTTGTGCAGAAAGGGTTTGTACGAGCGGACAGACGAGACTTGGCAAAATTACTTACCGGTATCCAGACATGAGTGCTGGCGGGGTCGTGTTCCAAGAAGTTGTCATAAACGATGATGACGCGGTTATGATGATGTTACAGTTCCTAAGCGATAACCAAGTCCGGCTTGCAGAGGTGTATGTTGAGACCGAGGCGCTCGGTGAATCTCATTCTCACCAGTATTCTTATGATGATGGTTTTGCAGGAGGGTACGAGTGGGGTGGTAGTTCGAGCAACTACCAAGGCAGTGGTTATACAGGAGGTTACGGGGAGGGTGGTGGTTCAATCAACTACGGTGGATCGAGTAGTGCAGGATGGGACCAATACTCGCAACCTCCTAAACCAGCCCCATTTGTTGAGGCCGATGGTGTTCAATGGCCTGCTTGGGGGCCAGAGTGGTATGGAATCGAGAATACCATTCGATCAGGGCGTACTTCACATGAGCGAGAGGACGATGTTGGTGATCGTGGTCATGTTGATCCTTCTAGCCCGAGCTATCCATTCGAGTCGAGCGACGAGGATACTGAGGAAGATTTGATATCAGTGAGCGAGGAGGAGGAAGATACTGATGATAACGAGGATGAGGCGGCATTTCGTGAGGCACCCACGCCATATTACACACAGGTTCCAACTCAATTTTTACATAGTCAGAATGATCCCCCCGACTTTGTCCCTATGCCAGTGTACAATCCGACGGCCAATTTGGAGGTGGGTATGGCGTTCACATCGAAAGACACTGTGCAGGATGCTTTTACAGAAGAGGCGTTGAGGTGCAATTTCGAGTGGAAGGTAAAATATTCTGACAGTAAACAACTACATGTCATATGCAAGCATGATGCAGAGGGTTGTACGTGGCAACTGAGGGCTGCAAATATGAAGAGAAAGGGTGCTTCGGTGATTCGCAAAGCTGAGACGATCCACACATGCTCCTCTTCTATACTTTCCCATGATCACAGGCAACTAAAAGCAAAGAAGGTTGGGAGAACTATTAAGCACCTTATAGAAGCACAACCAGATATCAAGGTGAAAGCTATCATGGCAGAGGTGAAGGATCGACATTCTTACACGATAAGGTACAAAAAAGCATGGCATGGTAAGCAGAAAGCCATGGCTGAGGTGTATGGTGATTGGGAGGATTCGTATGCTTTACTCCCTAGACTTATGGGAGCAATGGAGGAGTCCAATCCTGGGACTGTTTTCGTCCCAGTATACAACAATGTATACACTGAGGATCAAGTTCGAGTACAGGATAAGCTGATGTTCCATCGTCTTTTTTGGGCTTTTAAACCATGCATTGACGGTTTTGGGTTCTGCATACCGGTTATTCAGGTATTTTACCAACTAGTTCCGGTTTTAAATTTTGTATTATTTGCTGTTAAGTATATTTCATACTAATTATATCCTAAATTTTTATTCAGGTTGACGGAACTTTCCTTACTGGGAAGTACAGAGGATGTCTTCTAATTGCCACTGGCGTTGATGGAAACAAGCGGATTTTCCCGCTTGCATTTGCATTAGTGGAAGGGGAGAACAGCTTAAGTTGGGCTTGGTTCTTTGACCAACTGCACGAACACGTGACACAGCGGGAAGATATTACGATTATATCAGATCGACATGCGGGGATAAGGAATGCTGTTGGTGGTTTTCCCGACGAGTGGGGGTGGAGATGGAGATGGTGTATTCGACACTGGCTCGCCAATTTCCAACACAAATTTGGGAAGAAGAAAGACATCAAAAATCTACTTTGGAATGCAGGTACTAATGTTTTTCTTATGCGATTTAAGTTTGTGTTTATTAAGCTGATAAGCTGATGTTATTCATCATGTATTGACCAGTTAGTCTTTTGTTCACCTTTTAGCGGTTGCACATCAACCAAAAAAGTACGAGCACATCATGAAAATGATCCGTCAGACCCACCGAGCTGGAGCAGTATGGGCTGAAGGTCAAGAGTTGCCCATGTGGACGTTCCATATGGACAACGGGGCCAGATGGGGCATTGCAACTACCAACCATGGAGAAAGTATAAATAATGTGTACAAGGGTCTTCGAGCGATGCCTATTTCTGTCATCGTGGAAATGTCTTATTGGAAGGTCAACGAGTGGCGAGTTGCTCGGCTACAGCTAGCTATAGGGAGGGAGTTGCAAGGTCATTCAGTAGCACATGACGTATTCGCTCAAATGCAGAAGAACGATGAAAAATCAAGTAAGCATAAGGTTGTTCTTTTTAACCGCAGTGAAGGAATATTCGCTATCGAAACAGGTCTATGGGGTGGAGGGAGACGTGGTCACAATCGTCAAACGGTCAAATTGCACTACGAATTAGGGGAGTGTTCTTGTCAAAAGTATCAGAACGAAAGGATACCCTGTTCACATGCAATGGCGGTTGCTAAGTCAATAACCATGAACAGAAACAGCCTGGTGAGTCCTTACTACACTGAACAAGCGATACGGAACTCATATAATGCAGCTTTGAGCCCCATGCCAGATGAAGCGTATTGGCCTATATACGCTGGAAAGTTTATTATCCCACCGTTGCACCTAAAACGCACCAAAGGCCGTCCTAGAGTTGAAAGGATACACAATGAGATGGATCAAGTTGAACGGACGAGAAGGGGACCGAAGCGATGCTCTAAGTGCAGACAACCTGGTCACGACAAGAGGCGTTGCCCAGGACAACCATCAACTTAATTTGCATTTACTTGTATTCTGCTACTAAATTGATCGCTTGTTTAATTTGTCATTACCGTTTTCATTTGAAGTCCAAGTATTTTGTTAAATCTAAAATGTTTTCCTTGTCGATACGATCGCGCGGCCGCAAACGGCTCGTTATTTCGACCTCAAACGAATAAGATACGGGCGTTTTAGTTTATAGTACGCAAAAGTTACTTTAACGATACGATCACGCTTTGACGTCACTTATCTCACTCGTTTGGACTCGGAATTGGGATCTGTAAAATTCTATGCGATCGTGGTTGATTTTCCCAACTTTTTTGTGTTGAGGGAAGATACTGATTCTTGATAAAATGATCCAGAAAATTCATTCGACAACTTAAGTGCGTAGGATAGTTTTTAGACAATGCAAACTCAAATAACAACACCTAAAAATCACAAAAACAACATTGATAGTTCACTACAATGATAAAACAATAAATTCACTCATTTGCTTCATTTTGGCCCCCATCTCCACCTCTTCCTCCTCGTCCTCCACGACGTCCTCGACCCCTTCTTCCCCCCTCCGCCGCTGCTTCTTGGCGGGCTCGCTCAACGGCTGGTCGCGGATTTCTCTTGACCCGAGCCCCAACTGGGGTTACATATGGTGGTGGTGGTGGCTGAGTTGGACCGGTAGCTTGACGAATGATCGGAGTTTGTTGTTGCGGGGTCTGAAACATCGAACTTTGTTGCTGATGTTGGAATAGAGAGAACCCATGAGAGAAAGTGTCCCATTCCGGAGATCCTCCACGACTCGATGACCCTCCACCGGCATCCGCTGCAGGTGCCCACTGGTACTCGAACGGTTCGGGGAGCTCGGTTGCTTGAGTGGTACGCACCTCTTCGAACGTAGGCAAAGGCTTGCGTTTGCTCCTTCGTGGGGGCTCAACCGGGGGCACAATGGCTGCATCATCACGGAATGAGGGTCGTGCCGGGGCAGGAACGGGAGGATAGGCCACGACATCCCTCCTTTGCTCTCTGGTGCAACTCAGGAGGTTATTCATAAGTCGGGTCAACCAAGTAGTCTTCCGCTCATCCATGGTTGGAGCACTTTCGAGAGTGTACTTCGCGTGTTCCAAACCATCAACCTAAGGAAAGCACAAAATATATCAAATTAACTAAACCTTAAAATAAAAATATTTTAGAATGAGGGAGATTAGGATGACTTACCAACGAACCCATCACAGCACCTTGCTTTGACACCCATCTCAGGGTGAACTTCCGATACCACTGCATGTACCCATCGTGGTAGCCCATCGGTCTCGTCTCCGGCATCCCTTGCACCACCCATTGGGATCGATTCTCCCAGATGTTGATGTAGAATCCATGCTTTAGCGTCCAGTTTGCATTGTTTCGGAGGTCCATAGCATGTAGCTCCCTGAAACCTGCTGGCGGGTCTTGTGGAATTGGTTGCTCCATTCGATATTGCCTCAGGGATCGATCGGGTAGGTGCCATTCCACAATGTGCCAGCAGATCAATGGCACCTTGCACAACCACGTCTCGTGATCCAGAGGGTGCCTAAGATGATGCAGCTCAACCACTTCACGTGGATATGGATCCCATATAACCTATATTCATTCAAAAATTCGGAATTAACGACCATTTACTTTGATAAAATTGATCTTGTTCAAATATGGACAAAACATGATTACCTGATTCCACCATGGTTTATCTAACTCAGAACGATAAAACAGTAACGAATGCTCAGGCTGATGGTCATTCGTATTTGCTCCTATCCACCTTGTAAGTAAAAGTACGGAATCAATTTAAATTCAATTTAAATCTAGTTAAGCATGTAATCAAAATTAAATTGGGCTAAGTACGGAATAAATTCAATTTAAATCTAGCTCAAGCATGTAATCAAAATTTAAATTGGGCTAAGTATGGAATAAATTCAATTTAAATCTAGCTCAAGCATGTAATCAAAATTTAAATTGGGCTAAGTACGGAATAAATTCAATTTAAATCTAGCTCAAGCATGTAATAAAATTTAAATTGGGCTAAGTACGGAATAAATTCAATTTAAATCTAGCTCAAGCATGTAATAAAATTTAAATTGGGCTAAGTACGAAATAAACTTACTTGACACCGTAGGGGAGATTTTGCAGAAGGTTGAGCTCATCATCGTTTCTCCGGTATGGACGAGGGTCGAGAGGTGCGAACATTGGAAGATGCTCCCATACCCACAGTTGAACGATGAACATCGCAGCACCAGCTTGCTTTGCCCCAACCTTCGAGCAAGTACACAGCTCCCGGTATACGCCCGCTAGCACGGCCGATCCCCAACTCTTCTCTCCAATTGCATCCCAGTCACCGGTGAGCAATGGCAACCATATGCCTTGAATCCACCGGTTGGACTTGTCGGGGAACAAAAATCCACCCACCAAACCGATGAGGTAGATGCGGGCGTAGCGCTCGACTTGTTCTTCCGGTGTCTCGTCATTGATTTCCACCTCTTGCTGGATGTGAGATACCAGCCACGGGACCGACACTTGCCCCGCATTCAACGGTGGATGCCCCCGTCCTTGATTTGGTGTGGTGGTCGGCATGTCGAAGCCCAAACGATCACGGATGAGCGGCCCCCAACCTCCTCCGGGTTTGGTCGTGTTCCCAATGATGGCATCTCCAGATATAGGAAGCCCGGTGAGGATCGCCACGTCTTTGAGGGTGATCGTCATTTCCCCCTCCGGAAGGTGGAATGTATGGGTTTCGGGACGCCATCGTTCCGCCATTGCCGTAAGCAGTTCGTTGTCGATCTCGATCCGCAAGAAATGGCGCAACATTCCCAAACCGGTCCTCGCTATATAGGGCTCCAACCTTGGATGCCAAGCGGGCAAGTTATTAGTCCCTTTATGAACCACGGGAACAAGAGATTCCTAAAAAAAATAGGAAAAACATCAATTTATTAGATTAAATAAAGCAAAATAAAACATTAGAAAATAATAAAATAAAGCAAGTCAGTTCATCAAATTACCGGATTGTTATCCCAAATGGCACGGGAGCGATGCATTTCTTGATCGGTTAAGAGACTCGCATCCCTTGGGCCATAATGGATATACAATCGAGGATCGTATATCTCGGCACCCATCTATAAAAAAGTAATGAAATCAGAGATTGTTTTGATAAAAAAAAAATCAAATTGTTTCGATTAAAAAAAATCACAAACCAAAAACCTACACGAAGAGCCTCTTCGTCCATTATTGGCGGAAGCCGGACAGAGGTTCGACGGGTTTAGCTTTGTAAGGGACGGGAACTTAGCGGGACGGGGGCTTTAGGGTCAAACTCTAGTAATTCTTTCTGATGTGGAAGATCGGACTTAGCCGCAACCACAGAGCATACTTAGAACGAGACTAGAGCGGATAAATTGAGAGAGAAAGAAGTGAAATGTTTGTGGGGTGAGTTGAAAGTGAAAGGGGAAGGGGGTATTTATAGTTTGGGGGAAGGGGGGAGGAGCTGCTGCGCAGTTATTAGGGCTCCATTCACCGCGTTTGATGAACGCGGTGAACTCCTCGCTTTAGCCGCAAACGGTGAATGCGATATTGACGTGGCGTGCTGTGAGGCGTCGGATCGTGGGAAGAAAACCACGATCCGCGTCTCACCGCATCTAACGGCCACGGTGAAAGAACATTGGCGCGGATCACTGACGCAAACAAACACGGGTTATTCACCGTGTTTGTCTAACGCGGTGAATACCCCGTGCTGTCCACGTCAGCAACTTCACCGCGGCCAACAAAAACGGTGAAGCCTTCACCGTTTTAGTTTAAAACGGTGAGGTATTCACCGTTTTTAACAAACGCGGTGAACCCTTCACCGTTTTAGTTTGAAACGGTGAATACATCACCGTGTTCGTCAAACGCGGTGATGATCTTCACCGTTTTTGTCTAAAACGGTGATGCTCAAACATGTGTACTTTTGGAATTTTTTTTATAACTTATGTATTTTGGGAATTTTTTTTAAGAACTAGTGTACTTTGGGATTTTTTCCGTAGATTTTCGAAGATAACACATTTGTACACATGAACATAATTGGCGGGATCAACTATGTAACTGTCAGGTCACGACTGCCAATTTTAGTGCATGTTTCAGCCACTTTTGGTTGTTGGGATATACAAGGCTCAAACCTATTCATTACAAGGAGAGAATCGACACAAGAATTTTACCATTTTTGGCAAAATTGTTTAGGTCAGTGGAGTCAGGGTGGTTCTAAAATTCTTGATTTTTTTTTCTTTTTTTCGTTGAATCAGTTGCAATTGTATTACCCAGACTATATGCAGAGTACATATAGTGACTGATACAAAGAAAATGGTTACTCAAGACAAGTAACCCTGCAGAGAAGCAAAGAACCCCCCACAACCCCCACCTGACTACTCAAAACTCTCCAAATCAACCTATAGGAAACCAGCAGCAACCAGGTCTGCTTGTAAATCACTGTCTACACTACCCAGATACAATAGATCAGAAGTAATTAATCTACTAAGAGTTGCAGCATCCCTTGGAGCCATTTGATGCTGTCGACTACATCTTTCACGCCACAGGTAAGCAATACAAGCACACCAGAAGATTCCTATTACCCTCCCAATCGAGGAACCCTTCTTGCTCAAAGCCACTGCAGCCTGCACACTCCCCTGCCAACTCGGTCTACAAAGCAGATGACCTTCTCTCCATCAAGAAATAACCTGCAAAGAGTAAGAACACTGGAAAAACAAGTGTTCTCTGGTCTCCAAGGCCCCCCTGCAAAGCAAGCATGAGCCATCCAAGATCTTACCCCATCTTACCAGCTTATCCCTGGTAGTAATACCCTCCATCAGAACCAGCCAAGTAATCAAACTGTTATTAGGTAGATGCTTCTTTCCCCATACCAGTTTTGACCAATCCACACGTTGATGTTCAATACGCAGAGCATTCCACACAGTGGATACCTTATATACAGGCATCAGCTTACCATCCCAACTAGGAGTATCACCAGCCATTGTTAGATGAGCCTGAAGCAAAGGTCGAAGCTTGAGGACCCTTCTCCATGCCCAAGAACTACTTGGACTCGCATTCATAGTCCAAATACTACCCTGTTTGACTCTGTATCTCCACATCCAAGCCACCCAAATTGCACCACTTTTCATCATAAGAAGCCAGATCATTCGAATAGTACAGGCTCTATTCCAAGCCAGGAGATCCTTGATGCCAAGTCCCCCCTCTCTTTTTGGTCGAGCCATTCTCTCCCAGCCAATTTTTGCTCTACCCTCATTTCCCCCATGCCAAAGGAATCTTGAGCAAATAACATACACCTTCTTTAAAACCTTTTTAGGTAAGAGGAAAACTTGCATCCAATATTGCAGGATGCCCATAAAAACAAAATTAATCAGCTCAAGTCTACCTGCATAACTCAGTTTCTTCGCACGCCAAGTCCCAATCTTCTGAGTGATTCTCTCAACCAATTTGTCACAATCAGCTGAGGAGAGCTTTCCTGAAAATAATGGGAGCCCCAAGTACCTGACAGGGAGTTTTCCCTCTTGAAACCCAGACAAAAATTCTCGATTTATGAATTAATAAGAGATTATGAATTTTGTGTAAGAATCGTTTTGTCTCCTTTATTCGATTCATTGTATTTCACTAATATGAAAATGTACGCCTTTGTAAAAAAAAAAAAACTATGAACCTATTGAAAATTCAGAGGGTTTGATAGAAACAACCTCTCTAGATTTCTGGATTTTTTAATATCCAAGCACTAGAACTAGTTAAGTAATTAACAAGAAAATCAGGATTAGTTAACCAGGTTGGTATCAACTATCAAGTAATCAATTCATATCTTAATTGGTTAGTTACATTGATAGGAAATTGCATGTAAATTGTAGGAAGTGAGATAAGTCATGTAATGTGGAATGCACTGAAGGAATTGTATGAATGAGTAGTCTGAAATATTGCTAAACCTTGGGGAAACTTTGTATAGGCAACACTCTCTCCCTTTGAATACAACCTTTGGTTATTTGCTTTCTTGTTTCTTGATCAATAGTAGTAGGATTGAGTGGTACTTCAACTACAATTCATTCTGTTTGGATAGTTTTTGTTAGATTTAAGTAGTTGGAAAAAAAAGACATGACTGAATACGACTCCAAAGGTTTTTGTCCTTTGAATATAGTTTGAACCACATTCTACGGTGGATCAATAGTTTGGTCCAATTTCTATCCAAATCGCTTATGGAGCTTTTGTGGTACTAAAGTGGAGGCAAGACTCTTGGCTGAATGAAAACAATTGAGTAAAATAAAAATAAATTTTTGTTATGAAAAAATAAATTATTAATTCAAATAATATTTTTCAAAAGTTATAAATTCATATACAAGAAAACTTACTAATTATGAGATTTAACAGAACTACAATTATTTGATTTGCCCACGCTAATTAACTCTTGTACATAATAACATCCAAAATTACACTGTAAAATATACACTCATATAAAAATAATTAACTTATATTATTTACCTTATCACATTTCAACTCTTTGCCTCGCTAATCCTGTTACCTTGAGACGAGAAAGTAGGAGCTACTGTTAAGGTCGACGTTGGTCGCTTACTACTCCCACTCCAGCCTAATGGTGGTGCTTGCTCTGACACCCTCCACATTTTCACAGACTTATCAAGGCTCCCACTATACAAAGTCCATGACTTCCCTCCAGTCCCTGCCATTGGGTTTGGGTCCTCTTCCACTGCCAAGCATTTCACTGGTCCAGTGTGTCCACTTAACTGCGACAAACATGTGTGCTCGATCCCGCTCCTCCTCCACACGCAAATCCCCATATCTGCCGAACCACTAAACACTAGGCTCCCGACCGAGACCAAGCAGAGCACTGCCAATTTATGCCCTCTCAAAACGCCACCGTGCAATATTTGTGTGTTCCTCTCCCAAAAATTGACGAGTCCGTCAGAAGATCCACAATATACAATTGTGGCCTCCGGTGGATTTACTGCCAAAGCTGTAATAGCACACTCTTGCTTCAATAGAGTCTGGGAAAAGAAATGTTTCGTCCCTTTCCCTTGCAACTCCCTCCGCCACACTTTCACACTACCATCTGCAGAACCTGTGAACACTAATCCATCAAATCCAGCCACAAGGGCGTTTACCGCATCTTCATGGGCGACAATTGATTCTAGGCATTTGAAATCGGAGATCCGCCACACTTTGAAGGTCTTGTCCCAGGATGCAGAGTAAAGGTAGGCGCCATCCTCGCTTATGCCGAGGCATGAAATTGCATCAAAATGTTTTAGCCAAAGGCCATTGAACCCATTTTTTCTCGTCTCACTAATGTAATTGCTGGGTTTAATTGAGTTCTTAACCACATCCTTGAGAGTAGGTAGGGTTCCAACCCTTTTGTGAACCGTTGGGTCTTTGGAAGAAATTTTCCAGACCCGAACTTTCCCATCCTGGTGACCCGTGAATATCTTGTCATTGGAGATAATAATCGCCTTTACTAACCCACTATTTGATTTGAATCCAGAGAATTCTCGATGATTCTTCCAAACCCGAATGTTCTTGCTATCGGATCCCGTGTATAGTAAATCCCCTACCGCTGCCAGTGAATAAATATGCCCTTCTTCCCTCACCAGAGAACCCAACAACACATTGGGGCAGAAATCCGAGCCATCGCCACCACCATCCCCATCAATGTTTAAATTCATATGAGACGACCAGGGAGACTGGGTTAAAGGAGATGGCACGTTGGACAAATCGTCACTCCCGGGTGGCGAATTATCCATCACATTAAATGAGTTATGAACCAAATGGTTCTGCTTGAGCAAGGAAGATCCTTCCTATGCTTTATATCTTGGAGTTTTTGCGCACTTGTTATTCTTTAAAGGAATCATCAACATGCTCGTCTGCCTTTGAGGAAGGAATTGCGATAATGCTATGATTTTGACTTTTTTGTTAGATGATGACAATTTTTTATGGGAAGGATGGATTAAGATGACACATTAAATGAGTTATGAACCAAATGGTTCTGCTTGAGCAAGGAAGATCCTTCCTATGCTTTATATCTTGGAGTTTTTGCGCACTTGTTATTCTTTAAAGGAATCATCAACATGCTCGTCTGCCTTTGAGGAAGGAATTGCGATAATGCTATGATTTTGACTTTTTTGTTAGATGATGACAATTTTTTTATGGGAAGGATGGATTAAGATGACAAGATTTTGGCCGATCTTGAAAAGAGCAAAGGAGGAGCACAAGCAGAAAGAAGGAAAACATCATTGACGATGAAGAAGAAAAAGGAGAGAGGGTAACGAGGGCGAATGGAAACAAGAAGAAAGGAGAAGAAAGCGATACAAGGGAATAAGAGAAATTTATATTTGCCTATTATTATGAGTCAGAATGTTGAAAATTTAATAATTACTGAATGAGGGAGAAAATGACTCATTATTTATTTAGTTTATTCTCTCTCCCTCATTCCCCTTTCTTACAATAGGGCTATCATCGTCCTCATCGTTCATATATGGATGGTTGAGATTGATTGTTTTTTAGATTACCTTATATAAGAAAAATGGTAAATACTAATTATTAGCTAAACATTTTCCGCATTTTTAAATATTAGCCAAACCTTTCGAAATACAAAATGTTAGCCAAATCTTTTGCAACGCATCAAAAGATTAGCCATTTTCCGTTACCGTTAATAATTTTATAATTTTTTTCTTAGTTAAAATACTAAAGTTTTGGAATGTTGGCTCCATGTGTCTTTTCCAAGTCAGTGACATGTTGTCAATTCTATATTACTAACAAAACTGTTAACCGAAAGTTAACATTTGGCTAATATTTTGTAATTTTGAAAAGTTTGACTAATAATCAGTATTTACCTTAAGAAAAAAAAGAGAGGAGCCAAATACTCTTTTTGTGGGTCGGTCCCATCCCCCCCCCCCCCCCCCTCTTCTTCCTCTCTTTTGCGCTCTCTTACTTTTGAATACTTGTTCAAACATTCCGATGACTTCTTTGACTATTTTAAATATTTGTTCGATGCCTATTAATACGTATTCATTTGTGTGAAATATTTGTTGTCTCGGATATGAAAATACTAGTTCGACGCTTTTGAATATTTGTTGGACTCCTATTAATACGTGTTTATTTGTGTGAATATTTATTGGTTCCAGATATGAGAATACTAGTTTGAAACTTTTGAATATTTGTTCGACGCATTTGAGTACTTCACCGACATTTTTAATATTTGTTTGAAGCCTATGAATACGTGTTCATTTGTGTGAGGTATTTGCTTGTCTCGGAGATGAGAATACTTGTTGGAACCTTTTAAATACTGGTTCAACTCGTTTGAATACTTGTTCGATGCCTTCACAAGCGTCGAACGAGTACTCAAAAGCGTTGAAGAAAGTATTAGAAAACATCGAACAAATATTCAAATGATCACGTATTAATAGGCTTCAAACAAATATTTAAAAGCGCTAAAAAAGTCTTAAAGGTATTCAAATAAGCAACACCAATATATTTCTACTTTAGGCAAAACTCATGCACTATCTCATTAATTAAAGATTGGAAGAGAATGATTTTTTCCAGCCTCCAAAAGCACACACAATTCATTACCTTCATACCATTTGTATGTATTTATCACCAAAAAAACTATTGATATGTACTTTTGTTAGCTGACTACTTCTAACGGTTTTAAACTAATCATATAATTACATGCATTTTTGTTAATTGCTAACTATAAGTTGATTGTTACATTTCTATCTATTTTTATTTAATTAAACTTATAGTTATGATTTTCGTTTTTTGAATTATAATTTGTGGTATCAGAACAAACAAAAGTGTACCAAAAATTAGTGAGTAGCCGAGATACAATCTGCACATCCACTCCATTAGCTATAGCGAAACTAAATCTAGTAAAAATGTACACAGCCGTCCAAACTTCTGCATCCTGAGACACATATAATTTCTAAATTTGTTTGAGCAAAGTTACAACATCCATACCTTATAACAAAACATTAAATTTTGATTTGATCGTTGTATTATTTTGATCACTTTTATTGAAATATTTATTTAATATTCAAATTATTACCAACTTACCATACTAGACCTTCCCCCTAGCCAGTAGCCACCATATCAAAAGCCAAAAGCTACTGTCTCCCACTCTCCCTTTCCACTGCGGCCCCGCCCTTTCACTCTTAAGAGCTTTCACCTCGACAAAACAACAAAGGGTAAATGTCACATTTGGTCACCAAGATTACAAAATCGTGTCATATTTAGTCACTATAAAAATTTAATATCAATTTTTATCACTCGAATTACTGAAACATGTCACATTTAATCACTCTCCCGTTAGTTTTCGTCTAACTCCATGTCACATTTAGTCACTCTCCCGTTAGTTTCCGTCCAGCTCAACTAACGGGAGAGTGACTAAATGTGACCTGTTTCAATAATTCGAGTGACTAAATGTGACATGCTTCACTGATTCGAGTGACCGGAGTTGGACGGAGGCTAACGGGAGAGTGACTAAACGTGACATGTTTTCAGTCATTCGAGTGACCCAAATTAATATTAAATTTTTTTAGTGACTAACTCAACTAACGGGAGAGTGACTAAATGTGACCTGTTTCAATAATTCGAGTGACTAAATGTGACATGCTTCACTGATTCGAGTGACCGGAGTTGGACGGAGGCTAACGGGAGAGTGACTAAACGTGACATGTTTTAGTCATTCGAGTGACCCAAATTGATATAAATTTCTTTTAGTGACTAAACATAACACTATTTAGTAATCTCAGTGACCGAATATGGCATTTACCCAAACAACAAATACAAGGAAAGCAAAACATGAAAATGAGTTGCCAGATGCCAGTAAAATGTGTTTAACGATAATTAATCCTTCATAATAAGCGCCATCAACTACTTAATTTATACCCTGCACGCGAAAGGGACAATTCGGATTTTCCTTTAAGTATATTAAAAATGTTTTAGTTACCATAATAATTTTGCACAGACAGATTCCCCCCTCCAGCTCCTGGTTTTTCATCGCTGTCACTTTCCCTCTCTCTCTCCATTTTTCTCAGCACATTTTCCTTCTCCCCAAACATCCCCTCCTGCCTCCTCCTCCCCACTAGCTTCCACTTTTGTTCTCATTTTTTCATCCTTCCCGAGAGCTTGTCCTCTCTTCCTTGGATGCTTCTTCTTCTTCCCACTTCTCGATTCGAAACAGCCCCCCCTTTTTGCCTCGCAATTCGGAAATTCCCCCTCTCTATCTTCAAGCAAGCTTCCCTTTTCTCGGCCTTCTTTCCGGCTTCTCCCTCTCCCGCTTTTCCAGTCTTTGCTCGCGGCTAACGGCGGGAGTAGTGATTTGAGCTCGAGGTGGCTTTTCCGCTTTCAAAATTTGAGCTTGGTGGAGAGGGGAAAAAACAAAAAAGATTTGTTGTTTGGAGCTTTTTATCCCCATGGGGATTGGATTTAGGGTTCGGATTTAGTTAGTGGGTTTTTTCTGGAATAGGGAAAGAGGGGGAAAGGGATAGAGTAGAGAGAGAGAGAGAGAGAGGGAGAGAGAGGGACGGAATTATGCCACTGGAGGTTGAAGATGGAGGAGGAGCTCAGTACTCTTTTGCTCTCGAATACGATGGTCCTCCGGTGCCGTACGATCTACCTCGAGCTGTCCCGATCAACGTCAGTAAAATCCCCGTCGCCGCCGTGGTCTCGCCGCTCGCTCTCCCGGTTAAGCTTCCTTTGCCTGTTGTCAAGCCGCTGTTGGCCGCCGGCGACGATCCGAGCAGGGCTCTCGGGCCGAGGGAGCTCAAATCCGTGGCCGTGTCGCCGACTTCCGTGATTGGTAATGTGAACGGCGAGGAGTCGAGGTCGGATGAGACGGCGTCCACGGTTTCCCCGACGTCGGTAATCGAGAGGGCAGCTGAGAACAGTCGGGAGTCTGGCGAGTTGAGTAGCTCCGGCGGGTTGGAGTTCTCCACTGGGCGGTACGGGCCCAGCAGCTCCGGCGCCATTGACTTCTCTGACAGCTTCGGGAACAAGTCGCGGGAGGGTTTGGCGACGGTTAGGGTTTCGGAGGAATTGAATCAAGATTGGGAGTCTAATGAGTCGGTTCTCAGCGTGGAGTACCCTTCTTCCCGGGTTTCCAGTGTCAAAGCAGCTTCTGGGGAGTGTCACAGCGAGTTGATTAACGGCCACGGAGATGGCAGAAGAACCCCAGTCGTTAAATTTGCTAATGTTGATTCGGAAGGGGACGACCTTGGAGATGGTGAAGTTGATGACGAAGAGTACTGCGAAGAACAACAACCCAGGATTGTGCAAGTTAAGAGAGAGCCTCAGAGCAAAGGGAAGAAGGGAACTTGTTATAGATGCTTTAAGGGTAACCGATTTACGGAGAAGGAGGTTTGTCTTGTTTGTGATGCCAAGTATTGCAGTAATTGTATACTTAGAGCTATGGGATCAATGCCTGAAGGAAGAAAGTGCCTAAGTTGTATTGGGTACCCTATCGATGAATCCAATAGGGCCAATCTAGGGAAATGTTCAAGAATGCTAAAAAAATTGCTGAATGATTTGGAGGTTCGCCAAATAATGAAGGCAGAGAAGTTCTGCGAGGCAAATCAGTTGCCTCCAGAGTATATCTGCGTGAATGGGATGCCTCTTTGTCATGAGGAGTTGGTCCTTCTGCAGACTTGTGCTAACCCACCAAAGAAATTGAAACCTGGGAACTATTGGTATGATAAAGTATCCGGTCTTTGGGGAAAGGTAAATGTGGCGTAGCCTTTCGAAGATCATTTCATTTCTTCTTAGTTATAATTCCTTGACATTATGAGGGTTTAACAGATGCACTGAACGTGAAATTTACAGGAGGGACAAAAGCCTTCTCAAATCATTAGCGCTCATCTGAATGTGGGAGGTCCTATAGATGCAAATGCGAGCAATGGAAACGCTAACGTCTACATCAATGGTCGAGAGATTACGAAAACCGAACTTAGAATGTTGCAGGTCAGAAATTGGCATGTTCACCTTTTATTACTGGATTTGGAAGCCACTTGATATCTATGATAGATTATTAAAATGTATATTCGAACATTGCAGTTGGCAGGAGTTCAATGTGCTGGCAATCCTCATTTCTGGGTGAATGAGGATGGATCATACCAGGAAGAAGGACAGAAGAACACTAAGGGCTACATTTGGGGCAAGGTATGGTTTGCTGCCAAAGTAGTTGTCTGCTTCAAATTATGCCTTCTACTTATAATTTTGTCGTTTGGCTTGATTTATCTGGAAACTCGCTTTTCAGGGTGCAATGAAGCTTGTCTGCACATTCCTGTCATTGCCAGTTCCTTCAAAATCTTCTAATTATTCCGAGGAGCAAATGAACAGTCCAATGAGCAGAAGTATTCCTGATTATCTCGAGCAGCGGACACTTCTGAAATTTCTCTTAGTTGGATGTAGTGGATCTGGAACAAGTACCATTTTCAAGCAGGTAATGTAGGAAATTGTTTCTTTCATTAACTATGTGTTGTAGGAGATGATCCTTTGGTTGTCATATAGAAAAGCTATCCTCTAGGAAGAATTTAGTTTCCAGGTAGATTAGCTCTAAATATTTTGATAGAAGAGCAATGTTGAACTAAGTGTCTTTTCAGGCGAAGATTCTTTACAAGCCCATTCCTTTCACCGAGGATGAGCGAGAAAATATTAAATTGACGATCCAAGGCAATGTGTATGGCTATCTTGGTATTCTCCTTGAAGGCCGTGACCGTTTTGAAGAGGAGAGTTCGTCTGAAGTAAAGAAAGATCAATTGTCAAACCAAACCAATGCCACTGGTAAGCGTGACATTTACACTCTTTTGATCGTGTAAAGTTTTTCTCTGTATTTGTCACATGCTGAAGTAAAATATCAACAAGTAAGCTGAAACCATGCTGTTGGCTGATGACAGGGGAGGGTAGTAGCAATAGCTCCAAGACTCTATACACTATTGGACCGAGGCTTAAATCATTCTCAGATTGGCTTTTAAAGACCATGGTGTCAGGAAACCTGGAAGCAATTTTTCCTGCTGCCACTCGAGAATATGCCCCATTGGTTGAAGAGTTGTGGAAAGATCCAGCCATTCAGGCAACATACAAGCGAAGAAGTGAACTGGAAATGCTGCCTAGAGTAGCTAGCTATTTCTTGGAGCGGGTAATGTTTCAATGGAGTTTAATAAATTTAGTTTTAATCGATGTGATTGGTTTAGTACGATGTCCTAACTCAGCATCCCATGTGTAGATCAAGTCTGAAAGGTTTAAACTTGTCAAAGTAAAGTCTTATTAGGATAAACTCTCTTTGGTTTGTTTATACTAAAGCCTAATTTCTTCTCCTTACAGGCAGTTGAGATATTAGTACCAGACTATGAACCCTCAGATCTGGACATCCTCTACGCTGAGGGTGTTACATCATCTAATGGTCTGGCTTCTCTGGACTTCTCATTTCCTCAGTCAACATACGATCAAAAGTTTGACCACGACGAGCAGCACGATTCTCTGCTTAGGTGAGTGAGTTCGATACCTGAAAGTTCAAAGTCCTTGTTTGAATATCATATATACTTAGGGGCCATTTGGATGTTAGTCTTTAAAAAATGACGGAGTACACACTTGTGAATTCCAAATCCACATGAATTTCTGATTTTGTGTTTGGATGTTGGATGCTGGATTTTAAGATTGATTGCTAGAAATGAATTGAGTCACTTGAAGATAAATTGGCCTTAATGCCTCTGTAATACTCATCACTCATGGATTTCAAAAACGCCGACAACAAAATAGACTGATGGAGGATGAATTTCAGAAACTGGGACAATGGATTTGGTACCCTCATGAACTTATAAGTCCTTGAAGTTGACATATATTTGTTCCACCAACAAGGGATTTGAGCAAAACCCTCTATTTGATGCTAAATTCCATCCATCCCCTAAATCCGGATCCATGACTAGGCTGAGTTGAACCGAGTGGTTATTTCCTATTTGGATCGAATTGCTTGAGACATTGATCACTTTATAGTTCAATTCGATTTCGATTCCATAAATTTGCTGAAAAATTTAAAAAATATGTACCAAATTGAGCCAATCATGCTTTTGGCTGTCTCTGGTCCTCATTTTTTCTTTATTTGTATCCGGTCATTTGCTGGTGGACTGCAATGTGTAACGTGTATATCCTTAGTATTTGAAGTCTCTGTTCCTTGTTATCAATTTGCTTATTTTTTAACCGAAGAACTTCCTTTGTTACCCCAGATACCAACTGATCAGACTGCAACCACGAGGCATCAATGAAAATTGCAAGTGGCTAGAGATGTTCGAAGACATTGGGATGATCATCTTTTGTGTCTCCTTGAGCGACTATGACCAGGTCTCTTTCGACATCAATGGTTCTCCCACTAACAAGATGATGCAGAGCCGTAAGTTCTTCGAGACCATCGTGACTCATCCGACCTTCGAGCAGATGGACGTCCTTTTGATACTAAACAAGTTTGACGTATTCGAGGAGAAAATGGAGCGGGTTCCACTGACAGAATGTGAGTGGTTCGACGATTTCCATCCCCTCATAAGCCGCCATCATTCAAGCAGCAAAAGCCACAGCAGCAGCAACATCAACCACAGCCCTTCGCTCGGCCAGCTGGGTTTCCACTACGTTGCTGTGAAGTTCAAGCGCCTTTACGCATCGCTCACTGGTAGGAAGTTGTTCGTCTCCATGGTCAAAGCTCTGGAGCCTGATAGCGTCGACTCTAGTCTGAAGTACGCGAGGGAGATCATGAAGTGGGATGACGAGAGACCCAACTTCAGCTTGAGTGAGTATTCTATCTACAGCACCGAAGCGAGTTCATACTCTCCTTGATCGAGCATGTTTGGGAATTGCTCGGCACACCTTTGTGTACATAGAATGTCCGTGTAAATGAAGCAAGTGAAGGCCAGATATATGAAATGAATGTACAAGCTCTCTCTTATTAGGTACCACAATACCATGTTTGTTTGTTTTGATTTGTTTGCCCTTACTAGATCATTACCAAAATCCTTTTTGTCACAGATTTGGAAGTGGAAAACAGTGAGTAAGTATTCGATTTTCGTGATTTTAGTCGGTTTCATCTGGTTGGCAGGGTTCAGTTCATATTGATTTGTGATTGTAAACCCTTGATACAAGCTTAAAGTAGGTCTAATGCATACTTGCGCTTCATCATGTTATCTGAGGCATAATAGCGAAACACATTGGATCAGAACGAAGTCGAGAATAATTTTGATGCTAACACATCATTAGGCGGAGAGCGAACACGAACACAAAATGATGATAAATTTCTTATAGATGAACATATTTCTTAGAGGTATTCTGGATGACTCTAAGATTGGTTGTGAATTATCAGAATCATATACAAATGTGTTAAACTTTCATCATCAAACTTAGGATTCTCATTTTTTTTATTTTGACCTAAACCGTTCTAGACCGAACCGGTTATGTACATTCCAATTGCCACCAAATTTCAGCCCATCTAACGGTTGGAGTGCTGCTCAACTCGTGGTGCAAGTGCAACTCGGTTGAAACTCGGGGTGTGCGTATATATTCGGTCCTTCGTCCACAACTATCTCTGAAGTCCGAACACAAACGGAGAGAGAGAAAAAATGGCGTTGAGAGCAGCTTTGATTCGTCACCTCCGGGTTCCCGTCCAAACCCTTTCTCCCGCCGGCCGAGTCTCTCAGCCGTCGGTGGCCAACAGCCTCTTCGGTTCCATCCGGTTCATGTCATCGCACGACGACCATCTCAGCAAGGAAGATGTCGCCGACAGAGTCCTCTCCGTCGTCAAGAGCTTCCCTAAGGTCGATCCGTCCAAGGTCCGTCTCTCCGTCGATTACCTTTCTTTACCTCGCTGTCTTCTTCCAGAGTTCCGTAGATCCATTCCCTGCTTTCTTACACCTTGTCATTTCGTTCGGATTGGGAATGTTTCGTTTCTGCCTCTCTAGGGTTTATTGATGTTTTAGAGACTGGCCAGAGTTCTGAATGAAGTGATCAATTGTAGTCCAGTCATCTGCCGTTGTAGATCCAATACAGTACGATAATCAAAATGACCGGAGGAAGTGAAGTGAATCTTCACTCTCCGATTGGGCAAATGTGAAAGACCCAATTAGCAGATGAACTATGTTGGAATATCTCCTGGCCTCTCTTACCATTATGTGCCTGGCTTCATTGATTTGCCCTTGAGGATTTTCTGGCAAGTTCTTATGCTGGTTGACCTTGATTGAAGCAAATTTTTGTGTGAGGTTGCCTGGCATAGATGGAGAAGGCCTAATTTACCCCAAACTATTCACGCAAACACCATTTGTGAATATCAATAGAGAAGAGATATTTCAGACTCTATGCTGATGTCCATGGGAGCTGAAATGAGTTTTTAGCTCACTCTTCCTTAGGGTTTATCTTAAATTACCTTGCCTTGTGTAGCCTTGCATTTGCTTGCTTTCAGTCCTGCAACACTCTATATCATCGATGTCAGAACGTCAGTTTGTATGTCAGTGGCCATGTAGCTTAATCTATCTGTATTGTTGGGTGACAAGAGTTCTTATTATCTCTAGTCTCTTTAAGCTATTTGTTTCTGCAATGCATAAACCGTGCTGTCAATTATTTCCTAGTATTTGATACACTTGGTGACAGTAGCTTTATCTGCAAATCATTTGCGTGTGCAGGTGACTCCTGATGTACATTTCCAGAGTGATCTAGGGCTGGACAGCTTGGACAATGTCGAGATTTTGATGGCTTTGGAAGAGGAATTCAAGCTGGAGATTCCTGACAAGGAAGCTGACAAAATCGATTCCTGCAAACTCGCTATCGAGTACATTCATAACCATCCGATGGCTAGTTGAAACTACACGAACCTGTGTTCATGAGTTTTTTTGTTTTGTTTTGTTTTGTTACCGATCTTTCCCAGTGGACATCAGGACATGTATCAGGCTGTATTCATGTTTAGACTTTGCTGTCCCTGTGTTCAGCTCTGAATTGGTTCTCCAAAAAAATTTGGCAGAGAGAATAATCTGAAACTGGGTTTTTCATAGGAGTAGAGCTTTGGGTTATTGACTTGATAGGCTTGTGTCTTTGGGTTACTGGTACGCGGTTGTAGTGGCGGTTCATTCGCTATTGTATTGCCCAAAGTTCTATTTTTTGCATCTTGAAACTCTGCATCTTCTTTCTTCCACTTCTATGAATGCAGTCCTCTCTCCAGTTTCGTATTTGGAGCGAACATTCGATCATGTAACAATGCAACCGATATCTCTAGACAATTCGGAGTAAAGTTTCGTTTCGTTCAGAGATGCTAAACATCTTTGATTTAAACTCATTCTCAAGAAATCTTAAAAGTCTACAATCCTCGTGATAAAATCGTATTATGTATAGGTTTGATTAATACTACGCGATTTAACCCTAACAACCTGCTAATACAATACGGTATTACATCTGACTAAGCATCACTTCTCCTAACTAACTAACTAACTAACTAACTAACTAACTAACATGACCCTGTCAAGAAATCATCACTTCATCCCTTTCAATCCACCGCCGGCGGCAGGAGGAGTTCCATTTCCACGTTGAACATGAACTTTCACCTCCCGGCAAACATGATCACCGTCCGAAACTATCAACTCGAACACACATTCGTCTCCAAACATGATTTGGTTCTCCCTCCTGAAGTTACTCCACCCTGTATTGATCACAATCCGTCCATCCAATCTCGACGTCACGAACGCAGTCGATGAATTCCCTGCATCACCGCCGGTGAGCGTTATTGCATCCTCCAGTTTGATGTTGTAATCTCTCAACACCGAGATTGGAACACTCTGCAAGAAAAAAAGATAGTTTCATGAGTCCACTACTCCATGGCCAGAGGTTGAAATCCCCTACCAATCACTTTTCCTGTATAATTTCTACAATCCTTGCGAACTAATACTACGGTCAAAAGAGAAGGGATAGCAGAAAATTTGTACCACGCCGTACGCGCAATGCTTCGTCATCTTGACTGTAAAGTGAGGACCATCTAGTTGCACAAATGGTTCTTTTACTCGTCCTCTTCTGATTCCTGTCAAAAAGAAAACAGAGAATCTCTTGGTGAAATTGTGATTCCAATAGAATCCCTCAAAGCTCTGTTTTACTTCCAGAGCTCTGCATTTTCTTTACCGCTCGTCTTGTTCACCGACTCTGTTTCTTGACCCCCTCGCCTTCTCCTCTTCCTGCGACGGCGTCGCTTAGACTCCTCCCAATCGCTACCACTGCTTTCGCTCTCCAGCTGTTCCTCCTTCACAAGAATCTCTTCAGCGAATGTTATCTCTTTTCGTTGTTGTTTCTCTGTTACCTTTCGTTTTCCTTCTTGTTCCTCTGTTTTCTTTATTTTTCCTTCTGGTTTCTCCGTTTCGATTGGTTCTTCTTGCTTCACGGTCTTTAACGTAAGAGCTTGAGACTTTACGTTCGTCTTCTTCTTCTTGAGCCCGTTTCTCCCGAAAACTTCGACATTGAAGCAGCAGTTACCACGGTACCTGAAAACCAAGAAATCCCCATCTACCAAACAATGGCCGGTCACGAACTCCGGCCAGCCATCGTCAAGCAACAGATCCCCAAGATCCTGTTCCCTTTTCATCACCATCGCCCATGTCTTTCCTGTTTCGTCTTCGAGAATCGCGTTCTTCTTCAGAATCCTCCTTCCCAATCCCTCGGCGACAAACGCCGGCGGAAACCGCTGCAGAATTCAGGGAGAAAGAAAAAAACGGAAAAAGATTGGAACTTTATAGTTACCCAACTACGGAAACAAGAAAACGAGAGCTTAACAGTGCCAAAAAAAAAAAAAAAAGAAAAAAAAAGAAGGTATTGAGACCATGAGAGTACGTACGAGTTGGGTGGAGCTGTTCTCGGCGAGGAAGACTTTGAAGAATTCTGATGAGAAACCGCTGCTCTCGCCGCCGCCGGCCATGCTTAATGCTATATTGCTATGCGAGATGAGACTAGTTAGAAACCCTAATGCAGAGACTGGATGGAAAAAATAACCGCCGAATTTGCCGGAGGAGTGTAATCAGTAATGGCCCCAAACACGTAAACGTAGAGCGAAAACTTCGTTTACAGAGAAGAAAAGGAATAAGGGGCGGGGATGTTGACTTTGCGTTGACAATTTGGCGCGGGAAAAAAGTAGCCGGGCCCACCATCCATCCCTAGTATAACTATGTGTGAGTGACACCTCTTAACACCATTGCTTTGCGTGCAAAGAGTGATCAGATGACTTCCACCGGCGAGCGGAGACGCGACAACACCGGCGGCAGCTTGGTGGCCGGCACCCGGTTCTTCAAGATCATCCTTCAGAGCACCCTTCGTGACAGAAAGCTCGTAAGAATGACAGCCCATCAACAACAAATTCTACCCATTTAATCAAAATTGATTTTTTTTCCCCCCATCATGCTAAACTTTTGCAGCTGATTCCTGGTAAATTCGTCGGAAACGGCGATGAGGGTTTGCCGAAATCCGCAATCTTGAAGGTCCCAAGTGGCGCGACGTGGGCGGTGGATGTGGTTAGGGACGAAATCGGGGTCTGGTTCAGCAATGGATGGGGGGAATTCGCGGAGTTCCACTCCTTGGAATTTGGGCATTTCTTGGTTTTCGAGTACGAGGGTTGCTCCAGATTCTCCGTAGTCATATGTGATAAGACTGCTGTTGAGATTGCTTACCCGATCCCCAGAACTTGTGAAGCAAATGTCGAAGGAATTGGGGATTGCTTTGATACCCGCACGAGAAAGAAGTCGAAATCCCTAATTGAGGTTTCTCAGCGTCAAGTTAAGAGCAAGAAGAAGATGAGGATGGGGGGTAGTATTTCTGATGGTAAACTCAAATGCGGTTTCTTCTTGTTCTATGGTTTATGAAGTAGTGTATGAAAACTCGAGTTGCCTGAAATTCATAGTGACTCAACTGAATTTGAATGCAGGAATACCAGAATCAAGGAGGGCAAGCTCGATCAGTCCAAGCTTCTTCATTACCATAAGTCAATACATGGAGAGATATGCAGTAAGTTTAGTTATTCCAATCGAATCGATGCAATCCACCTCTTTTTAAGCAGGCTTCTCTCAATAAAATTTGATCTCTCTCGCGGTCTTTTTCTCAATGAACATGTAGAGTGTGCCGATTGATTTTGTGATCAAACACATGAAGCTTGAGAAAAGCACTGTGATGGTTTATGGGGAAGATGGCTTGGGCCCGTGGTGCTTGTCCTTCGTCTTTAGACCAGACAGTAAACCTCGAAGGGGACGTGGACGGGGCTTCTTCTGTGGCGGTTGGTCAGCATTCTGTAATCGCAACTCTCTGAAACTGGGGGATGTCTGCCGTTTCAAGCTCATCTCCAGTAATAAGATGGAAGTGACTATTCAGAGGAATTAAGTTTATGCGCTCCTGCTGAAAGTCACAATTGTAATTCGTAAGAGAATGTGTTTGATTAGATTCTGCCTGTTGTTTGTTGTGTTCTTTGGAAAACTGTTCCTCTTTATGCTTTGCTTGTGTTGAAATTTTGCACCAGGGAAGAAAACTTATTAATGCTTCATGAGGATGCAGGACTTTTGTCTGCCATGCCATATTTCATCTTTGTTTCTTCAGTTTAACATTTCTGTGTCCAGCCAGCTGCAAATGAAATCAATGTAAAAAGGAAGCAGTGGATTATATATATATTTTAATATAACTGATCTCTTCCATTTGGGCGGGAAATATAGTTCTGGTCAAATTTGTTTATTTGCTCTCATCAGCTGGATTTGGAACAGAAGAGCAGCAAAGGGCTCATCTCGATCCTTGGATGATCATATCAACGACAATCCAATGGTCCATAATATGAGTATCACCATGTTTTCCCAGATTTCCCAGAATTAGAAATAACACAAGCCTGACACCCAAATACCTCCGTGAACCGTTTTCAGCAAAGGGAGCTCCCAAGTCCCAACTACATCAGGCAGCCCGATAGACATTCAATTCAGACATCAGAGTAGCCCATTTTCTTTTCCTCTCTCTGTCTTGCCTCTTTCAAGCTTTTCTCCTTCCCCTTTCCCTTCTTTAAACCCTACAAAGCAACAAGTGTTTCTCCTCCAGAGTTTGAGATCTGTTGCTGCCTGAAAACCAATCTCAAACATGGCCTATTTCCTGAAGCATCTCACTGAGGAGACAATCGCACTCAAGAGACTGGTAGGCCCTTCAAAGTTTTTTCCTTTTCCATGTTCAACCTTGTTAACCTACTGTCACCTTTTGCCTGTTCTTTTATGCATCAGTTGATTCCACCTGAGTTTGTTAGCAAATGTGGGAGGTTAAATTTGACCAACCCAGTAGTGGTGGAACCAACTATTGGAAACCCACCAGAGGTGGAGGTTGAACTCTACGAGGATGCGAGGGGGTTGTGGCTGAGGAATGGCTGGCAGAAGTTTGCAGATCACTATTCTCTCACTCATGGCCACTATCTGCTGTTCGAGTACAAAAGCTTCTCCAGGTTCAAGATTGTGATACTTGGTGCAAATGGGGTGGATGTGATGTGTCCAGCTTCCAGGTTCCACAAGGTGGGCTTGAATGGAAACCAGGTGTTTTCAGAGGCTGAGCAGGAAGAAGAGAGCAGGGGTACAGTCTCTGCGGAGTTCTTATGTTTCTTGTCATAACAAATGCGCTAGTTATATCTCTCTTTAGTTTTGGGTTCATCTGACTTGCCTTCTACTGAGTTTTATCAGTCTCACCTGTGGCTAAGAACATGGAGACCAATGGAGGTGGTAAGAGGCAGCCAGTCCAGCCGCAGTCTGCAGAGAAAGCCAAGCAAAAAGCATTCATGAGTTCTGGTGAGTGTAGGTTCAGCTTAGAACAAAAGAAAGGGATGAACGATTCAGAAATTTGATCATCCTTTCATCAATTCTGCAGGGAAGGGGAGAACCGCTGATGGTGGACAGAGGGGTAATGGGAGTCAGTTCGGTAGGGGACGTGGACATCTTGAAGGTTAAACTTTTTACCTTACCAGCTTTCGAAAAATCAAAAGTTATTTCTTCTAGGTTTTATGAAGTAGTTTTTGAAACTTGAATTTCCTGAAATTCATTGCGACTCAATTGAATGCATGCAGGAATACCAGAACCAAGGAAGGAAAATGCCTCCACAAGCTCCACCAGTCCAAGCTTCTTCATTACCATGAGTCAATGTTACACGGAGAGTAGATTTGTAGTAAGTTCATTTATTTCCATAAATCCAATTCATCTTTTTTAAGCAGGCTTTGCTCAACAAAATTTGATGTCTCTCTCGCTCTCTTTCATTCTCACCAAATATGCAGTATGTGCCGATTGATTTCGTGCTCAAAGGTTTATGGTGAAGATGGGTCGGGCCCGTGGTTCTTGTCCTTCGTCTTTAGACCACACAGTAAAGCTCGAGCTGGACGTGGACGGGGCTGCTTCTATGGCGGCTGGCCAGCATTCCGCAATGGCAACTCTCTGAAACCAGGGCATGTCTGCCAATTCAAGCTCATCTCCAGTAATGAGATAGAAGTGACTATTCAGAGGAATTAAGTTAGTTTTTGAACCTCCTAGAATGAAAGTTTGTGTTATTTGTGGCCTTTTGTGTTTTAGGAGTGATTGATGCAGATGAGAGTATGAGACTACTAGTTTGCAGCTGAGGGAACTAATGGATATAGTTTGTTCAGGGCCGTGCTAAGGCTTTGAGTTTCTGAAGTTTTTATGATGTTGTTTCTTAATACAACTATGCAATCTGCATCTATTTTCCCTTGATGTCTGTGATCTTTCCTTATTCATAGCTCTGGACTCTACATTGTCTACAACATGACAATGTCAGTGTCAGGTCAAATATCCAGATGCTTTCTGGCTGCAGTATTGCTTATTGCCTATGATGCTGATCAGTCAGCTGTGGCTTGAACCTGAGCTGTAAGTGCAGATATACAAGCTCCATAGAACATCTTCGAATGGAGGCCTTACTGACGGCTCCATAGGTATGCATTTGCTTGTGATCGAACAACGAATTGATAGTGACTCCTAAATATGCTGGTGCCACTGTCCATGAGAGGTATTAAGTATACACTCTCGGCGAAGCTGACGATGAAATATTTATGGCAGGCACCTTAGAAACACGGGTTTAATTCCGAAACCCAACCCGAAGTATCATGCATTCAGGCTTGAGTTGTATTTTCCTCTGTCAAATGGTTGAAAAGGAAAGGAAACAGAGAATCACTCATCCAGTTGGGCGGGAAAGGACGGTCTGGCCAATTTTTCTATCCACTCTCATCAAGTGCTTATTCTAGACCCATGGATGATTATGTCCTCGTCAATCCAACGGTCCATAATATGGTGTTTCTACAAATAGAAGTAGCACAAACCTGACAACCAAATACTTCCTTTAATCGTTTTCAGCAAAGCAGCTCCCCAAGTCCCAGTACAGCAGAACTACAACAGGCAGCCTGCTAGAAAGTTTTCCTCTTTCTGTTCTGTAGCTTGAAAGTTTTCTCCTTTACCTTTCCCTTCTTCAAACCCTACAAGGTTCATTCAGAAACTCATATAATGTTAGCTTCTGAGTTGCAGAAAGAAGCTAGAGTTCTTCCTTGAGATCCTTTTCTTCTTCTTTCTCTTCCTTCTCCTCCTCATCATGACTAGTACCATCAGAGGCTTCGTTCTTGGTTCGGTGGATCTGCTCAATAACTTGCTCTAATGGCGGATCCCCTTGCCTCCGGAACAAGTTATCTCCGATCTTGATCTCGTAAGCCTCCGGCTGATTCAGTACAAACTCCTTCAGCTGCAGCAGATTCCCAGGAAAAGAAAAAACAGAAACAGAGTGAAGCCCAAAACCTGATGAAGAAACAGAGGAAAAAAAAGGAAAGCTCTCACTTCGATGGAGCGGCGGCCTTCGGCCATGTTGAACATAACAGTACTCCGATCAATCCCCATGAGATTCACTTCCATCGCTCCAGCTCTCAGCATTTTGGTCCATTTCCGAGCGAGATCCGCCACCGTATCCTGCAAAACCCCACTACCACCACCGGAATTAACAATTTCGGCGAGCAGAACCTAATTCCGGTGAAGGAGATTAGAAATCTGGATTACCGGAGTACGTTTGATGCCGGGCCGGAGCTTGACGAACCCGAAAACGGGGCCCATCGTCCGCTTCATGAAGGCTTCTTGAATCTCTTCCAGCTCCATGTTTGACATGTCGGAAGGCGGGGGATCGAACTCGTCGGAGGTCTTCTTCTTCCCCCATTCCTTCCACGCTTCGTCCTCCTCGTCGTCCACCACGTCGCGGAGGTCGTCGGTAATGTGGAATTTCCGGGGCCCTCCGTCCACGGCGGAGAATATCGCCGGCAGTAGGAGTAGCAGTAAGAGTAGGAAGGAAGCTGGATTGGGTTCGGTCACCATTGCTAAAAAAAAGTGTGGATATTTGTGAAACGAAAACGCCAGATCAGAAAGACAACTACTGCTACTAACTAATTTTCACTGCCTCTCCCTTTATTCGGAGATCCTTCTCATATCTTATTTGTAAAACCACACACAAAAGCAAAATGTTCTTTGCTCAGCAGTTAGTAATGGCTATTAGTACAACAGATTCTTCCTACAGACACATGCTGCTGCAGATGAACATCAACAGAAACAGTTACTTGAGCATCAAACATTCAGCAAAGGAGTAGCAAAGATGTTTCATTTCTCAGCATTTAGTAATGGCTATTAGTACAATAGATTCTTCCTATAGACACATGCTGCTGCAGATGAACATCAAGAGAAACAGCTACTTGAGCATTCACACATTCAGCAAAGAAACGATCGAAGGTCATTAAACATGCTACCATGAGTCGATGATAATCATTCTCACAAACTACATTAAACAGTTGTTGGAACTTCCCAACTAACAAGCAGCATTCGTCTGCTAACAACGCAGAATATGAACACTGATCAAATCTTCAGTTTCGGTGGGCATGAATGTGAGTGTGTCGCCTGCTTTCAGAGAGTGATGACGCGCAAATGGCAACCAGCCCTTGAAAAGAGTAGGCACACCATTGCAGGTAGTGATTTTTACAGGCCATGTTTCTTGTTCAACTTGAAGTGCCACCATTTTCCCATTCCAAGCTTTGATGTGCCTCTCAATCATACCTCCCTGCATCAACTGCAGGAAGGAAAACATTTTCAGTTGTTTCCTCGGAGATGAACCAATGGAACAAAAGCACTGTTTGTTTGTGACAACCTACCAAGCCTTTGTTTGCCAAGGAACTTTCAGTGACAATGACTTTGAGAAAACCAGGTTGTGAGTTGAACCCATCTAGCGTTTTAGTTGTGGGTCTGGAACACCTTGAGCTGGAAGGTCTCTCAGAAGCTGACATAGGTATCAAAAGTATATTCAGGTAACTCAGATTTTCAGTTCCCTAAAGGTTGGAAACTAAAATTCTGTACCTTCTTGTTCAGCCATGGATGGAATGTGAGAGGTCTCAGCATTTTCCCTTCCAGAGGGGCTTCCTGTATCTCCATATGTCCTTGGAGCTTCCTGGTTCACCTTCATGTTCTCTCCACCATGAACTCTAGTTCTCTTTCCTGCAGCAATAGATGAGAATATTATCAAATATGTGTTCATTTCTTCCCTATTTATGCGCTGGACCAACACTTACTTGCACTCATGAACTCATTTTGACTTGCATTTTCTGCAGACTGTGGATGTTGTGGCTGCCCCACATCATCTCCATTGTTGTTGTTCATCTCCTCAACAAAGCCTGCCAAACCAGCATAAATTCAAACCATGTAAACCGAAATCATAAAGAGATCCAAAACAACGAGGTTTTGTTGTGACTAATAAGAGAGCATAAGATTGCAATGGGAGAACTGACCTAAGTATTCCATAAAGTTCGCATCTATATAATCTTCTGCCTCTGCAGACTCCACAAAGTCCTGATTTTCTTTCCGTTTGGTATTGTGACCGCCAAAAAGTCGCTTAGCAACTGGCTCACCTGTTCATAATACTTTCAGGAAATTCAAATTTCATACAATACTTTGTACAACTTAAAAGAAAGCAGATCTGCAGTTTTGAAAAGCTTGGAAAGTAAAAAGTCTGTAACTTCCATGGATGGAATGTGAGAGTAGCCTCATCCCATTCGAAGGGGCTCCCATTACCTCGATTCTTCCTTGAAGCTACCAAGTTCGCTTTCCTTTTCCCTCTGCCATCAGTTCTTTTACGCTTAGAAGAAAGCAGAACTGCAGTTTTCAAAAGATTGGAAAGTAAACAGTTTGTAACTTCCATGGATAGAATGTGAAGTTCTCAGCTCATCACATCCGAAGGAGCTCCCGTTACCTCGATTCTTCTGTGAAGCTACCAAGTTTGCTTTCCTTTTCCCTCCAACATAAGTTCTTCTCTTCCCTGTCGACGTTGATGAAAAAGGATGATTAAATTTCAGCTCTCCTTTCACTGTTTATGTGCCGAACAAACACTCACCGGCACTTGTGAACTCATTGAGCTTCGCATTCTCACCAGACTGCAGCTGTGCCTGCTGCCTTCCACCACCTCCATTGTTGTAGCTGTTCGTGTCCTTAGCCAGAGAAGTGCCTGCAAAACTCAACAACTATCAGACCATGATAACCTACAAAACCCAAGAGATTGAAAACAACAAGGGACTTTTAATGTGACAAGCAACCTAAGAACTCCACAGAGTCTGTATTGACAGTGATTTCTTCCTCCACAGCCTCCGGAACCACCTGGTTCCCGTTCGGTCCAATGTTGACAAAACTGGAAGCTGGAAACTCCAAGTTCAGCCCATTTGCACCAAGCATCACAAGCTTAAACCTGGAGCGGCTCTTGTACTCAAACACAAGATAGTGGCCTTGACTCAGAGAATACTGAACTACCAACTCCTGCCAGCCATTCCTCAACCAAAACCCGCTTGCATCCTCGTAGAGCTCCACCTCCACCTCAAGTACATCTCCAACAGTTGGTTCCAAAACTACTGGGTTGGTCAGATTCACCTTCCCACAATTACTAACAAACTCTGGCGGAATCAGCTGATATTAATACAAAAAGAACAGCCGAAATTTTGACAATAAGTTAACAAGGTTGACAAAACCCCAAATTGGAATCCTTCACATGAGAAAGGTTAAAACTTTGAAAGGGCTTACCAGTTTCTTGAGTGCGAGTGTCTCCTCAGTGAGATGCTTGAGGAAATGGACCATGTTTGAGGCTGGTTTTCACCGAGAGATCTCAAACTCTGGAAGAGAAACCCATTCTTTGGTTGTAGGTTTTGAAGAAGAGAAAGGAGAAAGAGAAAACCAAATGGCCGTACTCTAATGTCTGAATTGAATTTACAGCAGACTGCCTGTCCATGTAGCTGTGGAGCTTGCTTTTTTCTGTGATGAAAACCATTAAAGGAGGCATTTCTGTGTCAGGTTTTTGTAACTTCTAATTGTGGGAAATTCGGGGTTCCATATTATGGACCGTTGGATTATTGAAGAAGTGCATCTAAGCCCTTGATGAGTGGGAAAAACAATTCAGCCAGACATTCATTTTCCCGCCTTATGCAACCAAAAAAACAAACGAACTGGGCTCATCGGAGCGGGAACGTTGGGCCGAAACGAATTTATTGGGCTCACCTAGAGTCGGCCCAAATTAGCAAGCCCGAGATGGCAAGTCCAAAAGAGTATTATAATAGGCTGCGCCAAGTCCTTTAGGGTTTTCTACTATTAGTACAGACTTTGCTAATATAACTCTCCAACTCTGAAGAGCTTCAGCGCCGTCTGCGAGAGAGAGAGAGAGAGAGACAGAACGTGAGAGAGAAAACCCTAAGCAAAGGCAGCCATGGTAGGATTTCGTTCGTCGAGATCTTTGGTCTCTCTGGTGGTTTCTTCATTGATTCACTGATTCTTATTTGATTTTTTTTTTTTTGGCCGCAGTCGCTCGTTGCTAATGAGGAGTTTCAGCACATTCTTCGTGTCCTCAACACCAATGTTGATGGCAAGCAGAGGATCATGTTCGCCTTGACCTCCATCAAGGGTATCGGGCGCCGCTTCGCCAACATCGTCTGCAAGAAGGCCGATGTCGACATGAACAAGAGGTATGCGTCTTTTCTTTCCTTCTTGGGGTTTTCATTTTGCGCTTGGTGGTTTCAGTGGTAGTCTGTATTTTGAGTAGAATCTGATTTACGAGAACTGAATCGGTTCTGGCTGTGATGCTGTGTCCTCGCTTTATCTTCTGACTTCTGAGGAAATGAACCCATAAGAGAGAGAGAGTACTGTTGGGTTTCCTGCTGATAGTTCCTCTAGAATAATTTATTTGCTTTTGTTGAAACCCTAGGGCGTTAATCTTGTTAACCTTTTCTGTGATGCCCCTGGATGCTGAAAGTCTAGGCTTCTTTCTGGGTGTTGGTTTTTATTGGTATACTAGAAACAAAGGCAGGGTGGGCGGGGGCATTTCTCTTTCGTTGTCTATACGCTTGTTTTCCTTTACCAGCATCATGAGTTCTTTGTTGAGGTTTTCATATGCTGATCTGCGATATATCTTTGTAGGGCCGGGGAGCTTTCTGCGGATGAGATCGATAAGCTGATGACAATTGTTGCTAACCCTCGCCAGTTCAAGATCCCAGACTGGTTCCTCAACAGGCAGAAGGACTACAAAGATGGGAAGCACTCCCAGGTTGTCTCCAATGCACTGGACATGAAGTTGAGGGATGATCTTGAGAGGCTTAAGAAGATCAGGTTTGTTTCTCTATGGTTTCTGTTGGCGGGTGGTTATGAATTTATGATCGAACCTTTGAAGCATGACCCTTTTGTGTATATATATATATGTGGTATTTAACTCCTTTTTCCTGATTGTGGATTTGCAGAAACCACCGCGGGCTGCGTCACTATTGGGGCTTGAGAGTCCGTGGACAGCACACCAAGACCACTGGTCGTAGGGGAAAAACTGTTGGTGTGTCCAAGAAGCGATAAGCTGCTCCCAATTTTCTGTGTTTGATCCGATGTTCTGATGTTTTTGTTGTTTTGAGACCAAGTAGGGTTATCTATATGGTTTGAGTATTCAGAGTATTGATACATGTTTCTGTGGTCTGTTGAATGAATTCTAGAGGACTAGTTTCGTTGAAGTTAGTATCCATGTTTTTCTATGAATGTGAAACCGCCACAATACTTTGCTTCTGTGTTATCTCAATTTTATCGTAAGGTTGTTGTGTTCTTTCTTGTCACTTCGATCTGACATTTCCAAACACAGAATTGTGGCTCATTTATGATTCGACTTATGTTTAGAGAAGGTTCTCAGGTTGCTTTCTGTGTTTTCCTGTGCTGATCTTTCATAATCATAGGGTTGAATCAGGATGCTGCAACCCAATAGAGGAATTGTTATTGATGCCTTTTTTTTTTTATAGAAAAGGTAGACGGTCTCGTTCACATTAAAATAACGATCATGGAAAGTCCCCAAAACGTCATGGCTGAGCCATTTAACAAGGTCTCTATCGCACACATTGAAGCGATGTGTGCCAAAATTGAAATCGTAAGTCTTGCTGGCCAAGTAATCGTGATATTCGGCTTTAATATATCGGATTCTTGAACTTTATGTGACTATCCTATGATCTGTTTAAGCCGATTGGTGCTATTTTAAGGCTCGCTAACCCGAGAATGGTTGAAAAACCATTACTGCCTAGTGCCATGAGTTTGATATGATACAGGTGGAGAAAGCACGAAAAAGGAGCTAGTGCACAAGTAATAAATCGGGCTCGAATTACAGGTGGACTACTCACTTGGGCTTAAGGCCCAGAGGAATTGGACTTGGCTAGAGGAGGAGATTAGGGGCCGGAATATTAAAAACAAAGAGGGAAGGATCTGGACAAAGGTTTTTTGGAGTGGACGTGGAAAATTCTTGGACTGGTGAATTTTGGGCGGATTGGGCTTTTGTGAAGTGGACACGAAATTGCTGGGCGGAAACAAGAATTGCAAAAGGGGAATTGGAATTAAGGAAGAGACGGAGGAAGTGAAAATTCTCTGGAAGGGGGGAATTATTGTGTAGAATTGAGAGGGCGGCACTTTTATTTGTTGAGGAGCGGATTCCTTTTGGGAAAAGGAGACGAAAATTCTTGGAACAAATAGAAAGCAGGCAGCAGCTGGAGGGTTTTTGGGAGGCGGTGATTTAATTGGAGGGCGAGAATTCTCTGGAGGAAGAAAAAGGGCGCAGCGCAGTAAGAGCAAAGGCGAGCAGGCGAATTTCGATCAATTTTTCTAAGGCTACCTGAGCTGAGTTCAACCAGAGCAATTAGTTGGTTGGATTTTCTAAACCGAACTAGTTGTTTATTGTTAATTTAGAACATGATGAACAAAACCCTATCGATTTATCTCAATTTCATCATGAACTAAACCCCAATTTCTGGGGGAAACACCATAGGATGTAGCTATTTCTTGATTTGATGGATTGATTTATGATTCTTTTCTTCCAATCTCTATTGCATGGAATTGCTTAATGCTTTGTGTTGACTGGCCACCAATACAACGATTTGTAGTTAATTAGGTTATTAGCGACAGTGAAATCCTATTAACTGAACATATTTCATGTGACATAGTAACTTATCGAAGCGACAGTGGATTAAATAAGGTGCTATGCGGTCTTAAATAGGATATCGATCTTCAGGCTAAATAATTAGGTCATTGAGCTACGACAGTAGGATTTGATTTAATTGTTTAGTACGTAGTAATTCCCGACAGGGATAGCTAGCACATTCGTGATATCCTGGCTGTAGAGATATGTGAATTAATCTGGATAGGATAACTGATTGGAATATGTGAATTAATCTGGATAGGATAGGTAGTGAATCCCGGTGTTTCTCCTAGAGCTTTCTCCCATTGAATTAAACCCGACAGTTTTCACTTGCTTAATTTGTTTAGTTTATTTTGCTTTTAGATAATTATTCTCATTAAACCATTTTCACCTGTAGTTTGCTCTATAGAATCAATAAATCATTAGGTTGTACCAGTCCCTGAGAGACGAAATCGGACTTTCCGGTTTTACTACAAGATAGGAATTGAAGCTATACGCTTTTGACCTATCAAATCGGCTGCAAAATTCGCTTTCCTAAACACATGAGAAACACAAAGATCCCAATCCAGACTAAAAAGTAAAGCAAACTGCTTGGCAATGCTTCCATGCCTATGATCATCTCTGTCGCATTGTTTGATGATGTCAACTGCAATAGTAGAGTCAAGCTTTAGCTCAATCTTACGGTAGCCTTCATTCCAAGCAATTTTAAAGCCTTCCAAGGCACCTTTGAGCTCTGCAGCCATGATAGAACATGAACCCAGGTTGCAGACATAGGCCCCTTTGCATCTTCCCAAGAAGTCTCTGAAGAGACCCCCTGCTGCTGCTTTCCCTGTCTCGGACTGAATTTGAATCCAGCCTTCTCTAGGGGGTTCCCAGCAAACAAGTCTGCTCTGGACAGTAGCAGAGTTAGAACAGGTGGTCTTCTGCATGTTACGTTTGGCTTGTTCAATAATGCAGAACCATGCTTGAATTCTAGCAGATAAGTCGTCTTTGGAGTAGCTTTTACCTTCCATCACCTCCTCATTTCGTTGCTTCCATAGATGCCAGACAATGATGCCAAATTCAATCCCTGTACCTTGATGTCTAATATTAGCCATAAGCCAATCGTGCATGGGAAGGTTCATGTTGTTGGCCACACATTTGCCACCGAACTTACCCCACATACTCTTAGCCTTGTGCAGCTCCTGAGGATGTGCTCGATGGTTTCCTCCTGGTCTTTGCAGAAGTTGCATTGACTATTGGTAGAGATCTTTCTTCTGGTTCTCTCCTTGTTTGTGATCCTGCCTTGCACAACAAGCCACAAGAAGTGCTTGATCCTGTTGGGACCCTTCCATTGCCAGAGGTCCTTCCAGCAGCTTTCAGGTTCATCTTCCTCTTCACCAGCAAGCAGGTTGTATGCTGACCTCAATCTGAAACGACCATCCTTTTCCAGTCCTCAAATGTTCACGTCTTCACCAAGGTTGGGGTTTGGTGCCTCAATACCTGCAATAGCCACAAGCATTTAATCAGGTAGCATCTGCTTGAGTCTGCCCCAATCCCACTCACCATTTTGTGTAGTCCAATCAGCCATCACTGTGTGTCTATCATCCTCAGAGATGTCCCATGACCATTTGGTTGATATTAAACTTTGTACCTGTAACAGTTGGCCAATTACCAAATCCGATGGTATAGGGTTGTTGTACGCCCGTACCCACCTTGGTTCGGCCATTTCCAATTTGCCATCTTCCAGGGCAGGTTTTCGGAGGTGCCTCAATCGTCTCATGGTCGTGGTGTATACATCTCTCGCTTCAGCCACCTAGCCTCGAGCAGAGCATTCTGCAGTCTCAATGAATGTATTAGGAAAGTACCTTGTCTGGAGAGGTAATGATGGAACAAAAAATAGGTAGACAATCCCTTATTAACAATCTCACCTTTTAGTAGATAACGTTTATCATTCATTTTAAGTGATTGTAGGTGAGCACAGGAAAAATGTAATACATGTATTCTAACTGAAATTGAAAAAAAAAACTTAATCTTATCAATACTTGGCTAAATGCTCCACTAAAATTACAATTTACCTGTCCTAGTTGAACTAAATGCTCCACTAAAATTCTAAATCCCGGAGGTGGGTGAGATCCCTTATACCTCAAGAAAGAGCGATCAGACCATCCAAATTTCTATTACAATGCACTAAATCTTCTCATGATAGGTAGGGTGAAACCCTTCACTATTCACCAAGGTTCTCAGTCTTAAGGTGGAACCATAAACTTCACCAAGTCATGTCTAGTAAATGTAATCTATGACAACTTTACCTTTTCAGATTTACTCTCCCTTCTCTCTAAAAAGTCTCCTTTTTCCAGTCTTTCATGGCTGCCACCGACTCCTTCAGGTAACCGGCGACAGCCCAAATTTCTCCTTTTTCTCGCTTTTCTTGCTTGCCTTATTTTCGATCTTCAAGCCTTTGTTTCTAGGCGTTTCACCTTCATGTTTTCAGTCTCTCCAGCCATTTTGGCATTCCAGATCTAGGATTTTGCAGGTTCAAGGCTAGCTCGTTTGAGGATCTAGAGGTTGCAGCTTGGGAAGCTTGATCTTTGCTTTGTGATGGTTGTTCTTTCAAGGTTGGTGGTCTCATATGCAAGGTGAAGCCATTCTCATCTTCCCCCCTCTGTCTTCCCCAAGGTGGTGTTGTTGCCTGGATGGTTGTCGGATCGTGGAGAGGTGAGTCATCTTCGGTTGCTGCGGTGGAGCTCGGTTCTTTTGTGGTGGTCTGTGGATCTCCTTGGAAGCTTGCTCCCCTTTGAACCTATCCTCTCTACCTTGGCCCCCTCAGCCTTCACAGCTTGGAGCAATCTGTTTCACAGCCTCTTCCACCGTCAGGCAATCTCTTTTGAGATTCACTGTGTTGGATGACTTTGAGCACTCCACAGGAGACGACGTATGGCTTGCTGAGTTCAATGCCATGGATCTCGCTATGATCGTACAAGCTGTTCTGATCTTCTTGCTCTTGGTTTGGTTGGAAGAAAGAGGGATTATAAATGTTCTGTCTTTGTCTCAAGAACTTGGTTGTTTTTTTGAGTGATGTCAATCTGTGTCGTGCTTCCCCTAATTGTATTTTCCCAAGCATGGTTTGATGTCATCCTGTGTTCCATTGTTTCCTTGATCTTGTGTTGAAGTCAGGATTTTATTTCTCTCTGTGACCAATTGTTCAAACTGCAATAAAGATCCATTTGTAAAAAAAAAAATGTAATCTATGATGGAGTAGGCACGTCAAAGTCCCTCTGGCCTCTGGTGAGGTAGGGAGTAACCCTTTATAGCTTCATTGAAATCCTGGGCAATAAAGAGACATTGTCGTAGATGTCTCGAGCTAAGGCTAGACCCATAAAAGTCCCCAACTCTTTGGGGAAAACACCTAAAAATTCATAATAAGCCTTTTTAGACCATCCACATCTATGAAGTAGAGTTTTTATTTTATATGTGGCCCCAATTGTCACATCACCAACTTTTATCATTTTAATACATATCAATTTCATTTCATGTACATCAATGAAATCCACTTTTATTTCATATATGAGTCCAACTCACTTCTTTAATACAACTAAATATTTATCCACATTATTGTTCAAAGAAAGGAAAACCAAAATATAAAAAGGAAGACAAAACATGAAAAGGAGGCCCATTTGCAATTTCATTTGGTGTTTCACTTCCTGAAATATTTCATAAATGAAATGATGGGCTACAACAATGAAAGAGCAAATTACATTGGCACCTCACTATGAAATGAGGAAGAGACGGTCGATGCACTTGATCGTAGGAGGCGCAACAAATCCTCTCAAAAGGTAGGATGAATCCCTTACAACCTCAGCAAATGCTAGATTTTCTATTGGAAGACGGAAAAGGGAAGCCCAAAAAAAAAACCAAAATTATTGTTGTTAGCAAGTTGGTGAAATACCTGGCAGTAATAACATGGCGATAAGAACATACAAATCATCATCTATCGTTTACCACTTGTCACCACCATCCTACCATTGTGACAGAGGGGGTAGAAGTGGTATAATTAGTTCACTTTTTTTCCATAAACATATTGAGAATTTATCTTATTTTGTAAATCAGATTCAAATCGACGACTTCATCGCGCTGATTAGGTGTTCATATGTTGTGGTCTACACTCTACATATACAAATATACATTATAGGAACAATATCAAGCTTTATATTTTATGAGTCTAAAAGGGATGAACGTTTAACTCTTGAGTGGTTATTCAAAGTATTAAGTATGTGTATATATTGGGGAATTCTACGGTACCCAGTGTGAAATACGGGGTATCACATACCTTGAGTAAGAAAACACTATCCAGAACTTGAATTGATTGATCTTTTGGACATTACACTATACTCTAACCCTTAAAGATCAAAATCTAGGTCTTAATTCTCTAAATCTTATACCCCAAGATCAATTTAATTAGAAACAATAATCGACGGTTATAATTCGTCCAAATATAGGGAAAAAATCAATGCACCATCTTAGGGTTTATAGTTTATGATTTAGATAATTAGGACCTAGGGTTCACTCATTAAGGGTTACGGTATAGTATCATGCCCAAAAATCTTGCTAATTCGAGGTCTAGATAGTGTTTTAAAACTCAAGGTATGCGGTCCCTGGATTTCACTCGAGGTACCTTAGAAGTCACCATATATATTAGATATATGGCTAATTATTTATATGGTTAATTTGGTTTGGCTGGTTAGGAGTGTCTGAAACCAAACCAAACCACCTAAACCAAACAAGCTAAGAATTTCAACCAAACCAAACCAATTATCCAAACGAACCAAATTAAATTATCCAAATAGTACTGATTAAAACGATTACTATGGTAACCACACAATTTGAACACCACTGTACATTATGCTTTCTAGGATTGATGCACATCTTGAGCTACGCAATGCCAAATAATTACAACCTAGCTCTTGAATAAAGTTCTTTACATATTTGTAATAATCCATTCCGGCTTTGATTCTTTCTCCCGTGTTTTGATTACAATCCCAAAAGTGTTCTTTGCAATTTCCATATCTTCTGATTTGACGAGAAACTGATTGCAGTCTATTCACTCTCCAATCGTATCTCCCTGACCTTCATTTCTTCCAACTGTACGAACCCACCAGTTCCACACTCTACCACAGTCCTACCATAGCTTACTCGTGCAAGTGACAGCAGAGACGCAACCCACCATAACCCCAGTTTCTTCCCATAGCTAGTCTTCTCCATTTTCATTCCCCCCCCCCCCCCCCCCCCCCCCCCTTTCCCGATGCTCTGTTTTTACCATTCCCAAAAGAAGAAGAAAAAAAAGGAACAATGTCGAACCAGACGCCTTCCTTCGTCAAAGTTTTGGTTGGATGTTCATCCATGAAGCTGCTGGTAACATTCCTTCTTCCACTTCCAATTATTCTACTCTTTCTTCCCGCTCTTAACTCATTCACCCCTGCTCTGTCTTTCTGTTTCGTGTCGCAGAGAATTCCAGAGTCATTCATCAACCAATTCGGCCAAGTTTTGCACGGGAAAGTTATTTTCAAGTCCAATACGGGGAATCCTGCAGTTGTCTCCGTGGAGAGAGGAAGCAGGGGATGTTTCTTCGGAAACAGGATGGCCATCTTTTGTCAAGGACAATGGTCTCCACCAAGGCGACCATCTGGTTTTCAACTTCACCGGGCACAGAACCGTCGAAGTTGTCTCTTACGACCCAACTGGCTGCGTCAAGAGAAATGCTGAAGTTCAGACCAGCGATCCTGAGTCGAGACCACGAGAAGCTCCAATTAAGACAGAGTCAGAAGAAGGGTATTCCTCCGGCAATGCTCCTCGAGGTTCGGCTGCTTGCTTCCAAGTGGTTTACAAGAAGTACATGAACCATAGTGTGGTATTGTACACAATTCCTAGATTCTGCTTCATTTGCAAAAATCCAGCGCTGCAGTTTTTTGGACTCATAAAATGATAAAAATCCTGTCTTTTTCACTGTTTTTTTTTTTTTTGTTACAATGGGAGAAGTGTATTCCACTGAGATTTTGTAAAATCGCGCGGCTGGAAATGAAGAACAGTGCCCAACTTCAGGATCCAAGGGGAAAATTTTGGCCAGTTAAACTAATCTCCGGCGGCAAGGGACCAAGGAAAAGGTTCGGTGGTGGTTGGCTTGTCTTTGCTGCCGCTAATGGCGTCGCTGTTGGAGACAGAATCGAGTTCCGTTACAAGTCTGAATCGGGTGTCTTCCAGGTGAAGATACATAAACCAAAGAATAATACTTGCAACGATTCTCGAGTTGGGAAGCGGCAATGGAAGAGAGCTGATGCTGCAAATCCTGAAAGGAACAAGCCTCGTCCAAGCTATGAAAGGAACCCAGAAACAGAGAAATCCCTCAAACCCAGAAAAGGCAAATCCTCTGTTTTTTCTCACTCTCTGCCCTCCCTCTTTTCTCTGCATTCTTCCCCTTCTCAAAACAGAGCAGAATTCTTGCTTAAGCTGATGAATTTGATTCGTAAATGTTAAAACCAGGTTTGCAGAGGAAAAGAGGAGCTCCAACGAAGGCAAAGTCCAGAAAAGGCCATTCTTCTGGCAACAACGCTCCTCCAGGTTTGGCTGATTCCTTCCAAATCGTTTACAACAAGCACATGGAACGTTCTACTTATATGGTACAAGTTCATTTCCTTCCACTAGTTTCATAACTCTTGTTTTTTGTTTTTATTTCAATCATCAAAACCTTGACTCTGCTTTCATTCTTTGTGGACCTATATGAAGTGCGTGCCGGTGAGATTTTCTGAAGCCACGAAACTGTCGCGCAAGAAAACTGTTCAGCTTCAAGACCCAAGTGGGAAATTGTGGGCAGTTTCTGTAATCTCGGTAGGGAAGGGGCTTCAGAGACGGTTCAGTGCTGGCTGGCGTGCCTTGGCTGCTGCGAACGGCGTGGCTGTCGGAGACAGAATCGAGTTCAGTTACAGGCCCGAATCGGGTTTGATCCAGGTGAAGATACATAGAGAAAGGTGTAATGCTGGCAAGGATCCTGAAGTTGGGAGGAAACGGCCGTGGAAGAGAAGTGGTTTTTGTCGATCTTGAAAGGATCATAGTGCTTGATTGAGAAGTTCATGAGAGGAAGCAAATATCTTTTGGTGTAATTCTGCAGACTGGTTGTCAAAGCTTTCATAATTCGTGTGTGTTGTAGTGTAAGTTGTTAGAACTTGTTTGGTGTACTGTCTTCTTTTCTTGGAAGGAAAAATGAAGGTTGATAGTAGCGTGACATGCTTGTATTGTCAACGGTGATCGGATAAGTTTGAACCATATATAATTCTGCTCAAAATAATCACTGATTTACTGTTGGTGTATATTGCGTGTAAAGATTTAACGACATGATGCTACTCAAGTTACTTACAATGACAACATTCTTTTCAACGTAGAGGAATTGTTCTTTTTTATTATTATTATTACCTAAGGGTACCGACATCTCCTTGAGAGCTCTATTTTGAGTTAGTAACACTTACTATGCTTGTTTGCATACTGTCGTGATTGTCATGGTATTGTAGTATATGCTGTCATCTGATAGCAGAACTTGTTGGATGTACTATTTCCTCTCTTTAGAAACAAAAACGCCACATAAGAAAGCATGAGTCGCACTTAATGTTATCAATGACGATATAATAAGTTAGAACCATATATAGATATTCTTAAAAGATTATGTAATTTAATGTTAACCGTGTATTGCAGATAAAAATGGAATGATCAGATTCTTTATAGCACATAGTAATTAGGCGAGGAATTTTACAGTGCTTTAAAGCATTTGTGCTTTAGTTTTTGCCTTTATGGTACAACTTAAAGTTGTACTTTGACGTTATGGTACAATTTTAGGTTGTACCTATGTTGTTTTGTAAAATTCCTTTATGGTACAACTAAAGTTGTACCTTTATCTTCTGGTACAAATTCACAACTTGAAGTTGTACCACAACATAATGGTCTCATTTCCTTATGGTACAACTTCAATTTGTATCTTTAACGTTATGGTATAACTTTAAGTTGTACATAAAGCACCAATACTTTAAAGCATAGTAAAAGTGCTCGTAATTAGGCTCCTTTTTTGTGTAAATGTGCGCACGGGCTCCTCGTTTGGGCTAAAATATGGTTCTTTAGGCTTCACTTTTTGGCATTAAGAAAAGGATACAATGATGAAATTGCACCAAATTTATCACATCACTTTTTGTTTCATTTCCGACCCACAGGAAGTTTCACATTGAAATTGAAGGGTCCGTTTGTTTTCCAACAGTACTAACATGGAACAGTACTAGCAGAATACAGAAACAAAAGCATAACAACATAACATTACACATTACAGTACAGTACAGTCTACTACACGCCGACGTTCAACCTGGGACTCCATTCAGGCTGCAAACTCCGCCGGCGACAACGAAGTGTCGTTCGTCGTCGCCGGTGCAGTATTGCAAGCCGATCTCCTCCCTCGTTCCCTCCTGCTGTTCTCGGCAAACTTCAAGCTAGCCTGATGCAGGCCTCTACTCTTCTCCTCTGAATTCCATTCGGCCATGTAGTAGTCCTCTTCGGATGAGGAAGACGAGCCGCCGCGGCCGGAGGTAAACATGCCGCCCCACTGCGGGAAGTTTATCAAACAGAGAGGCAGAGTGCAGCAGATGATCATTATCCCCATGTACGTGATTCCCGTCTCCTTCGAGTATCTCGAACCTTTGAAGAATGCCAATTGAGTTATCACCGCTCCCACGTTCCCTCCTCCTCCCGTCATGCCCGAGATCAACCCGAGCGACCTGCAGCAGCATATGCGTAGTTAGTAAAATACGGTACAAGTAAGTTACATAATTAGAATTGTTGTAACGAATTGATAAATCGTTAATTCAAGAAAGTAAAGGACGCACAGATTTACGTGGTTCACCAACACAATGCGTATTAGCTAAATTGACGAACCAGAGAGACCAATTTTACTATACTTAAAGACGAATTCGTAGCAAAAAAGGACATCTCTTACCTTCTGGAGACAAAAGGCACGACTCCAAAGGTCAGGCCACAGGCAGCTTGGCAGAAGAAGGAGAAAAGGATCATGACAACAATGGAGCCGCCCAAGGAATTGACGCGACCCAGAATTACACAGAAAACGCCGCCCAGAGTCTGAACGATCCAAAGGGTCCAAAGCCTTCCCCTCATCCCGAACCTCTTCGCCACCAGATCGGAAAGAATCCCTCCCCCAGGCCGGGAAAACAGGTTCGCCAATCCGAAGCTCGCCGCAATCAAACCGGCGGTGTGGAGCTTCAGGTTGAACCGGTCGTAGAAATACTCGGCGATCACATTGTCCACCGTCAATTCGACCCCAAAGCAGTAACCATACGTCAGGGCCAGAATCCATCCCCTGTAGTTTGTAACCCCGTGGAACAGGACGTCGGAGATTTTGTCCTTGGACTTGTCCCCTGTTTTCTGCAGCCGCCGGAAGTTCCCGTCCGGCAAGTCCTGGCCGAAGATCAGGACGGCGAATGCCGTCAGCATCTGGAAAACGCCGGGGACGTAGAATGCGATCCTCCAGGCGGTGAATTTGGGGGATCCCATGGAGTCTCGAATTAGAGCGAAGACGAGTGGCATGATGAGCTGTGTGGCGCCGCCGCCGAGGTTCCCCCACCCGCCGGCGACCCCGTTGGCGGTGCCGACGACCGGGGAGGAGAACATGGAGCTCATCCAGTACTGGGTGGAGACGAAAGTGGCGAGGGAGAAGCCGGTGAAGAACCTGACGAGGAGGAACGAAGCAGAGGAGGTAGCCAGGGGAGTGAAGAACACCGCCGGCGCGGTGATCAGAACGAGGGAGGCTGAAGCCAGGCGGGGGCCGACCATGTCGCAGGCGGTTCCCATCACGATGCGGGCGAATACGGCGCCGGAGACGGAGGCAATGCCGGCGTTCCCGATGTTGGTGGCGGTGAGGTTGAGGTTGTCCCGGATGATCGGAAGCAGAGGAGGCGCGGCGAAAGTGGAGACGAAGCAGGCGAAGAAGGATACCCAGGAGAGATGGAAAGCTCGCATGTGGGGTTTGGCGAAAGAGAAGATTGGGAATCTCGTGGCCTTGTGCTCTGAGTCGACCGGGAGAGCGAATTTAGGCGGCGGCTGCTGCTTTTCATGGGTACTCTGGTTTCCATTTTCATGGGTTGCTGCTGTTGAATTGGGTTCCATCTCCATGGCTGCTGCTGTGAAAGGAATTGGGGTTTCCATGTTTGGTGGGTTTTGGCTTGTTTTTATAGGAGGAAACAAAGGCACGCGGCGGAAGTTTGGAGGCTTGCGGAGGAGTTAAAAGGGTAACAGTGGCTCTTTGGAGGTGTGGAAAAAGCTTAAGAACAGCAAATTCATGGAGGTTTTCAGAGAACAGAGACTGACACTTACCGCCGAGTCTCAGTGGAGGAATTTCAAATGTAACTGTGCAGCGTTGGCAGTGTAGTGAATCGGAAGTTGAATTTTGAGGATCCAATGGAATCTAACTCAAAGTCGTCTTGGCTGCGAATTGAAAGAGATGCTTTGGGGCATATAAATATTAGACCAAGTGGGGTTGGTGAAACTCTTGACTATTCTTTTTGACCAGTTAATTAATGAAGGAGGGCTGAATCTGGGAAAAAAGGATTCCTTTAGATACTCAAGCGGTTGTTTAATGCTCTGATTCTTATGCTTCTTGTCGACGTGGGGGTATCATCATCTCTTAGAGTTAAGAGTAGAGCTATAGTTTGGAGTTTGGAGAAACTCATTATGGTTGTCTGTATGCTTTCGTGATCGTCACGGTGTTGCAGTATATGTTGTCATCTGGCAGAACTCGTCCTCTGCACTGTTTCCTCTCTTTAAAAACACAAGCGGCGCCTGATAAGAACATGAGTTGCGCTTGTTGTTAACGGCGAGAGGATAAGTCTGAACCATGTATAGTTTCTGCTCAAAATAGGCGTGAATTTAATGTTCATTGTGTATTGTAGATAAAGATGGAATGAGAGAATGCCCCTTACCACAAATGACTTAACATGCAGACATATCTCTAATCAGCGCCGACGATGGTTAACTCTTGATTTTAGCGCTTTCTGTCCGTGCATGGAATTGTGGTTCTGTTCTTTACCTTGGCTGGGGTTATAACAACATCTCCTCATAGGCTCATAGCTCTTGTTTTGAGTTACTAAAAACTCATTATTATGATTGTTTATATGCTTTGATGGTAGTCATGGTGTTGCAGTATAGCTTGCTATGTGTTTCCTCTCTTGAGAAACAAAAGCAGCGCCTTATAAGAACATGAGTTGCGCTTGTTGTTAATGGCGATATGATAAGTCTGAACTATATATAATTTCTGCTTAAAATAGGCGTGAATTTAATGTTCATTGTGTATTGTAGATAAAGATGGAATACTAAAATGCCACTTACCACAAATTACTTAACATGCGAACATACTTCTAATCATTGCTGACGATGACTAACTCTTTATACTAGTGCTTTCTGTCCGTGCGGGGAATTGTGGCTTTGTTGTTTACCTTGGTTGGGGTTATATCATCATCTCCTCATACCTCTACCTTTGAGTTAGTACACTTACTATGATTGTTTGTATTACCTCTGAGTCATCATGGTGTTGCAGCATATGTAGTCATTTGATGGCAGAACTCGGATCATGCATCGTGTTCTCCGTTTTAGAAACAAAAGCGGTGCCGAATAAAAGCATGGGGTGCATACCAATGGCGGTTTGCAGATAAGTTTGAACCGTATATAGCTCTGCTTAAATCAATCGTTAATAAACATTGAATGACAACAATGCTATTTAACACAAACTAATGGCTGAACTAGACATGTTTCGAACTTATCCAACCGCCATTGACAATCAACTCGCATTCTTATTAGGGGCACCTATCAGAAGTATGCATTGTAGTTGATTAATGGAACTTCAGAAACACTTACCGCCGAGTCTCAGTTTCGAGGGGGTCCGACAGGCACATGGAACTCAAAGCTGTGCGCAGGAAAGTAAGAAGAAAGAGCCGGCGGGTTGACCGGCGGCAAGTAGGCTATGAGTGCTTAAGACGTTCTCATTTGATGTGGTGGGTGTGCTTGCTTTTATTAAGTTCCACACAGAAAAGTCTTCGTCTGCCTCTTCTTTCCACACAAATGAAAGGGATTAATTTGGTTTTATCTAACATTCCAACTGGGCTTAACTGTGACACTATTGACTTTTGCTGCAAGTTATTAAATATCCTTTCAGGCCAAGAATCTTATAAGGGATTCTTTGTATCTACTTCTGGTTAACTTTGCTTCTTCTGCTAGTTGCGTCTGTGGTGCCAACACTCCATAGTTTAACCATTAACATCATATTACAGTATCAGCCATTGGAGCCTTTCATCTCGAAGTTATGAATACCCAGTTTGAGTAATCTGGCAGAGATGGCAAACAGGAAGGTATAGCAGGCAGACTCAACTGCGTTTGTCTGACTGCTAAAAGAAACAATGAAGAAGAAGCTTCATTCTGAACTTGGCAACAGAAGTCACTATTTCTCGATAATACACAACAGGGAACTAGCTATCTGCACTGTCCCGGGTGCAAGCTTTCCACACATACAGAAAGGATAAATAGTGTTCCAAATTAACGACATGGTGTCGTATTAACATTCTCGAACGATGGTGACTTTCAGCAGGACGTTAGTCCACCTGTGAACGCACTCGAAGATGCAAATGTCTCCTGGTTTCAGAGAGTTCTGCTCTGCAAATTCAAGCCAGCCGTCGCTGAAGTACACATACTTGTCCTTCGTGCACCTAACTAGTGCCACTGGCCAAGTTTTATCTGCAACCTGAAGCTTCAATGAAATCTCGTCTTTTCTAATGTGCCTGACTGAAAAGCCTGCTGGTAAATACTGAAAATTCAAAGACCATGAAGAGTTCATGTTATGCTGTATTCAAGAGTTAAGAAAACAAACACAAATCTAAAGCAGCAGTTCTTATCACACTCCTGTTCTTAGCTGAGAAATACTCAGCCGAGTATACAACGTACCAATTGCTTCCTTGACAAAGTACTAGAAGTCATCCGGCAGTCGAAAAATGGATGTGGTGAGGTGAATCCAGTGATAGGCTTACGTCCCCTCACAAATGGAGGCTCTTCATGGATCATCTCATCACCTCCCTCTTCCTCTTTGACTCCCAACTCCACCGAATTGCCTACATTGTACGATAACACACAAAGGAAGGATCCACAAGAATCACAAGCCAACACTAGCAGCGAGAACAAGTTTTGAAAGTTACACATCTGAAAGAAAGTGGAAGAACACTCACTTCCAATCCCTTGTGCAGATGATTCATGCCCTTCTGCACTTTCCTTACTGCAACTCTCCATCCTCACTTTGCCATTTCTAGACGAACTACCCCTCACATTCTTCTTCTCGTTCTTCCTACCGCGATACTGCGAAACCTCGACTGGGGGCTTACCCTTGCATCTTTGGGGCGCATCGACTTCATCAGAGACATCTTCAATCACTTCAACTTTTGGTTCAAGTAAAAAACTTCCAGTTTCATCAGTAGCAGGCTGCTGGTTGCTAGCAGTTCTAGTGATCGGGTACTCAATCTCAGCAGCTGTTCTATCACAGATAACTACATAGAAACTGGAGCAGCCCTTGTACTCGAAAACCAGGAAATGCCCATATCTCAATGAGTGAAATTCTGCAAAATCTTGCCATCCATTCCTAAACCAGACCCCAATTTCATCCCTCACCAGACCCACCGTCCAGCTCAGCCCACTTGGGACCTTCAGAATTGCAGAGTTCGACAAACCCTCCCCGCAATTTGTAACGAACCTCGAAGGAATCAACTGCGAAATGAAGCATGCATGTTGAAAATGAAAAAATTGAAAACCCCAAAGCCAGCTTCCAGTTTTGGCAGAGTGTGGGTAAGAAATGGGGAGGGAGAGAATTTGTGCTTACGAGCTTCTTGTCGCGAACGGTTTCCTGGAGAATGATTTTGAAGAAACGGGCTCCGACCAGGTTGCTGCCGTGGTCGTCTGGTCTCCGTTCACCGGAAGAAGTCATATTTGACTCTGCTCTTGTCGCAGTCTGGTTCTGCTTTCTATTAATCAGAGAGAGAGAGGATGACGACGGAGATTGTGCCATATGGCCTAAAACGCGAGGCAAATGGCAGAGGAAAATTGGAGTGTCGGTAATTGGTCTTCCAAGTTCGAACGGGACGGGAAAGGGAGGTGCTTGCCGACGGCGGTTAGCTGTTCTCCGGCCGGTCAACAGAAAAGGAGCTTGCAACTATTACCGTTGGGCTCTTTCATAGGGCCCAATAAAGTGGGCTGGCTCATTCGCACTGCGAGGTACAGTTCAAAATGGGCTCTTCAACGCCTTGGTACATAATTTTGGCCCATAAAATTACCAACTCATCTACAAAATTACAAGGTTTAACAAAAAAATAGAAAAGGATAAAATTGATTTTTTTTTTTCATTTTCTAATTTTCTTAAGCACCGTATGACAAAAATGTGGGAAATGCAGGTCCTACCGAAATTTATTCTTAAAAATGAACATTAATACTAATTTAATAATTTATTAGGAGGTTGCTGTTTGGTGTGGACCCCACATTTTCCATAATCATAATTTCAGAAATACTCCGAACCTGACACTAGTGCTTCCTTTTAGCCATTTTCAGCAAAAACACTAGCAGGCTCCAAGTTTCCCACAGCTCTTTCAGGCAAATTTTCATCTGCCTTGAGAATTCATTCAACAAAGAGGCAACCATTTCCCTCGTCCATTTTCTCTCTGTGACAGTTCCTTTCTCTCTTCTCCTATTCTTCAACCCACCAAAGAAACAACCAGTGCTTCTCCTTCCAAAAAAAAAAAACACTCCAACTATGACGTATTTTCTGAAACAGCTCACTGAAGACTCCATCACACATAAAAGACTGGTAATCCCATTAAAGTTCTGTCCTTTTTCATGTTCAAGGGTTAGGGTTCAAATTTTTTTTGTCTCTGTTTGTTCATCAGCTAATTCCTGCGGAGTTTGTGAAGAAATGTGGGAGAGAAAATCTGACAAACCCACTAGTGGTAGAGCCAACCGTTGGTGATCCAAGGGAGAGGGAGCTGGAGCTCTACGAAGATGGTGGCGTGCTTTGGCTGAGGAATGGCTGGCAGGAGTTTGTGGATCACTACAAACTCACCCATGGATGTTTTCTACTGTTTGAGTACAAGAGCTATTCGAGGTTCAAGCTTTTGATGCTTGGTGCAAATGGGCTGGAGTTGGAGCTTCCAGTTTCCGGTTTTGTCAATGTTGGATTGAATGGGAGCCAGGAGTTTCCAGAGGCTGAAGAGGAAGAGAGTGTCGATGCTAATTCTGTGGAGATCTTAGGTCGCTTGTCCATTTTCAACTTTTGGATTCTTGCTAGTTTCATAACAGAAACCCCTTGGTGTTGTTTTTGAACCTCTTTTGTGTTTAGGGTTTATTTGTGGCTTTGTTTTTCTGGTGTTGAGGTGTGTGCAGGCTCATCAGTAGTTAAGGAGATGAACAACAATGTTGAAGGTGGCGGAAGGCAGCCAGCTCAGCCGCGTTGTGCAGAGAATGCCAAGCAAAATGGGGTCATGAGTGCTAGTAAGTGTTAGATCTTGCAACTCAGTACATAAAAAGGGAATAAAGAAACACCAATTTGATACTATAGTTCATCCATCTCTGTAGGGAAGAGGAAAACAGCTGATGATGGAGAGTGGAGGAAAGCGAACCAGGAAGGTCCAAGGGCAAATAGAGCTAATGGAAGCCCCTTTAGAAGGGATAAGGCTGAGAGCTCTCGTATTCCTTCCATGACTGAGCATGAAGGTAACATAATTTTTGCTTTCCAGACTTTACCAAAACTGAAATGTGCTTTCTTTTTAGGAAGCTGTGAAAATGCTTGTTGATGCATGGATATATTTGTGACAGATGAGCCAGCTTTCTCTAGGAGACCTTCAAACGCAAAGCCTGGCGGACCTACAACTACTGTAGATGAAGATTATGCAAGACTCCTAAGTGCTTGTCATGACAAAACCCCATTTTATGTTTTGAATCTCTTTGTTTTTTTCTGGTTTACATGGTTTGATTTCTGTTGATATTTGCAGGGTTATCTATGATGAAGGACATGAATCACAACAATAATGAAGGCAGTGGAGGACAGCAGTGTTTGGTCGAGAATGCCAAGCACAAAGAGTTCATGAGATCCAGTGGCAGTGAGTGTTGTTGGTTCAGTATATAAAAGGTGAACAAAGAGCTCAAAGGTTGATCATACTTTCTTCATTGTCTGCAGGCAAAAAGAGAAGAACAACTGAGGGTGCAGAGCAAATGAGAGTGAATAGGGGAGCTACAAGGAGAAACGGAGGTAACGGTAGCCCCTCAAAGTGTGGCAGAACTACCACAACGGATGAAGCTGCAGATGAGTTGACTTCACAGCCAGATTTCTGCCAAGTCACTATCCCGAAAAGTTTCACGAAAGGAGGTAGCCTGGTAAGTTGTCACAGACAAACAAACAAACCGTGCTTTGTAATAATGGTTCGTCTAGGCAAACAACCAGATTTCCTTTTCTTTGTTTCTCTTTGCAGTGGATTCAGCGAGAGTTTATTCAGAGGCACATCACAAATTGGAGTGGGAAAATGGTGGAGCTTCAGGTAGGAGAAGAAAAATGGCATGTGAAAATCATCCAAAAAGCCGGTGGTTGCCCTTATCTATCCAAAGGCTGGCCAGCATTTGCACGTGACAACTCTCTGAAAGCAGAGGACACTCTTATATTTGTGCCTACTACCACTGCAGATATGCTCAGCGTTCACATTTTGCGTTGTTCTTAGCCGATTACTGCTTGTTAGCTTAGCCGAGAAGTTGGAATTTCAGTTTAGGTAGCTTTTGAGAATGGTTGTCATGGTTGGTAGGTAGTTAAGGGACTCAGTTAAGTTTCTGATCATGTTGCTAGTCCTCTGTTGGATGCTATCAGCTTACGTTGTGCTGTCAACTTATGTTAATGAGTTTCTCATATGTCACAGTAAACAGTCGGGGAGTGATTCTCACAAAAGGTGATGTTGATTTTACTAGGCCCATCTAGTCCGTGTTCTTGAAATTCATCTGAAATCTGTTCCTTCAGAAAGAATCTGTTGTGCTAATAGCCATTACTAAATGCTGAGGTAGAACATCTAGTTTGTGTGTATGGTTTACAAGTAAAATTTGCAGTACGGATGAGAAGAAACTAAACAGCACCTGAAAGAATCGTGAACTGCTTTTGTTGTCGATGACGGTGAGATAACTTTCAGCCATCTTGCACTTGAACTCAAAGCTGTGTATGTAGTAATTAACATTCTCGAATGACAGTGACTTTCAGCAAGACATTAGTCCACCTTGGAACGCACTCAAAGATGCAAATGTCTCCTTGTTTCAGCAGGTTACCCTCTGCAAATTCAGGCCAGCCCTCACAGAAGTATACATACTTGTCCTTCATGTACCTACATAGTGCCATTGTCCAAGTTTTATCCGCGACCTGAAGTTGACTTCTCGTCTTCCCCAGTGTGCCTAACTGAAAAGCCAACGGGTACATACTGCAAATTCGAAGACCATGAGCAGTTCATGTTATATTGCATTCTAGAGTTCAGAAAGCTAACACATTCTGAAAGCAGCCATTCTCATCAGACTACTGCTTCACAATCCCCTTTATTCTTGGTGAAAAAAGTTCAGTCGTGCATACAACATACCAATTGCTTCATTGACAAGGTACTTGAAGTGATCCAGAAGTCGAAAAAATGGATGCATATAATCTCATTGACTCATCTAAATACCCATTTATCTGTTGTTCTTACTTCTAACTTAGTCGTGAATTGGATAGCATCAACAAGTCAATGGAAGTCAAAAGATCAACTACTAACAATCTCCTCTGTTTCAGCAGGAAATGAAAATGATCCATAATTAATGAGGGGCCGCGCTATGTTGGCCTGTGATGGGAGTGGGACACGAAATTTCCTACTATCAGAAATGCTCCGAACCTGACACACCTTTGCTTCCTTTTAGCCATTCTTAGCAAACAATAGCAAGCTCCAAATTTCCCAAAGCTCTTTCAGACAAAGCTTAATCTGCTTTGGACTCATAGCAGCAAAGGCAAACCCATTTCCCTTCCTCTCTCCTCTTCCATTATTCTCCTTTCTCTTCTTCCAACCCACCAAGAAAACAGCAAGTGATTCTCCTTCAGAAAACTACTCCGATGACGACCCATTTCCTGAAGCAGCTCACTGAAGACACCATCAAACACAAGAGATTGGTGAGCCCTTCCAAAAAGTTCTGTCCTTTTTTTCATGTTCGACGATTAGGGTTTTGTAAAGCTTGTTCATTTACTTGTCAAAGTTATGTCTGTCGTTTATCGATCAGCTGATTCCTGGGGAGTTCCTCAAGAAATGTGGGAGAGAAAATTTGACAAACCCAGTAGTCCTGGAGCCAACAGTCGGAGATCCAAGGGAGAGGGAGATGGAGCTCTACGAAGATGGTGGTGGGTTTTGGCTGAGGAATGGTTGGCAGGAGTTTGTAGATCACTATAAACTTAGCCATGGATGTTATCTGCTGTTTGAGTACAAAAGCTATTCAAGGTTTAAGCTTTTGATGCTTGGTGCGAATGGGCTAGACTGGGAGTTTCCAGCTTCCAGTTTTGTCAACGGTGGATCAAATGGAAACCAGGAGTTTCCAGAGGCTGAGGAGGAAGAGAGTGTAGATGCTCATTCTGTCGAGATCTTAGGTAACTTGTCAATTTCAACTTTGTTTTCTTACTAATTTATAACAAAAAAAAAACCTTGCTGCTGTTTTGAACCTCTTTGTGTTTAAGGTTCATTTATGGCTTGATTTTTTTGTTGCTGAGGTGTGTGCAGGCCCGTCAGAGGTTAAGGAGATGAACAACAATGATGAAGGTGTTGGAAGGCAGCCAGCCCAGCGGCAGTCTGCAGAGAATCCCAAGCAAAAAGGGGTTACGAGTGCTAGTAAGTGTTGTTCGTTCAGCTCAGCACATGAACCGGGAAGAAAGAAACACAATTTAATCATATTTTTCATCTATCTCTGCAGGGAAAAGGAGAACAGCAGATGATGGAGAGAGGAGGCAAGTGAACCAGGATGCTCCAAGGAGAGATAGAGCTAATGGATCCCCCTTCGGAAGAAACAAAGATGAGAATTCTCGTATTTCTTCCATAGCTGAGCAGGAAGGTACATAATTTTTGCTTTCAGAACTTTCCGAAAACTGGAATGTTCTTTCATTGTAAGGAGTCGTTAAAAATGTTTGTTGATGCATGGATATATTTGTGACAGATGAGCCAGCCTTTTCTTGGAGACCTTCCAGCTCAAAGCCCAGCAGAACCACAACTACTGAAGCTGTAGATGAAGATTTAGCAAAATTCACTGGTGCTTGTCATAACAGACGCTATTTATGTTTTGAATCTCTTTGTTCTAACGGTTTACATGGTTTGATATCTGTTGAGTTTTCAGGATTCTCTTTGATGAAGGACAAGAACTACAACAACAATAATAACAATGGAGATGGTGGTGGAAGACAGTCGTGGTTCGCTGCGAATGCCAACCACGAAGAGTACAAGAGAACCGGTGACAGTGAGTATTGGTTCAACACATAAACAGGGAAGAAGAGCAACATTTTGATCATACTTTCGTCAATATCTGCAGGGAAAAAGAGAAGAACAGCTGAGGGTGGACAGAATGCGAAAGTGAACAAGGAACCTCCAAGGAGAAGCAGAGCTAACGGAAGCTCAAGTCCGTTCATGTTTGCACGTGAAGGTACGCAATTTTTCCTCACAAGCTTTCGGGAACCGAGATGTGTTTTCTTCCAAGTTTCTTACAGAGTAATGTATGAAATTTAAGTTGTCTTATATTCTCTGATAGTCGAAAGTGCTTCTATGGGACCTCCAAGCTCACGGCACAGTAGACCTACAATTGAAGCTGCAGATGGGTTTGCTTCGCAAACTGATTTTCTCCAAGTCATTATCTCAAAAAATTCTTTGGCAAAGAAAGGCTTGGTAGGTCGTCACAAACAAACAGTGTTTTATTGTAGTGGTTCATCTAGTGCATACAACTGAAAAAGTTTCTATTTGCAGATGATGCAGGGAGGGTTTGTTGAGAGGCATATCACCAATTGGAAAGATAAAATGTTGGATATTCGGGTTGAACAAGAGACATGGCCTGTGGGAATTGTATCAGACCACGGTGTTCCTACTCTTTCTAGAGGCTGGTTGGCATTTGCGCGTCAGAACTCTTTAAAAGTAGGGGACACTCTCATAATCGTGCCCACAGCCACTGAAGGTGTTCTGACAGTTCATATTCTGCGTTGTTCTTAGAGAGAAGCTACTTGCTAGCTGGAAAGTTGGGTTGTTTATTTAAGTGGGTTTCGAGAATGATTATCACGGTAGGTTGTTAAAGGAGTCTGTTTAGTTTCTGATCATGTTTGCTAATCCTCTGCTGAATATTATCAGCTTATGCTGTTGTTTCTCTTTAACTAATGCTAAGGAATGTGTCTGATATGTAGAACTAAACAGCTGGGACGATTCTAGATTGCTAAAGGAGACTGTTCAGTTTCTGATCATGTTGCTAATCCTCTGCTAAATGTTATCAGCTTATGTTGATGTTTCCATTAACTATGGTTTGTGAATGTTTCTGATATGCAGAATGAAACAGTTGGGAGTTGATTCTAAAATCTAACGAAGGCTTAAATCATTGATGTTCTTCTGAGAAATGTGTTCCTTCAGAAAGAATTTGTTATGCTAATAGCCACTACTAAATGCTGAGCTAAAACTTCTGCTTTGTGTATATGACGTGACAAGTAAAATTTGCTATAGGGATGAGAAGAAATTAAACCGGCGATCTGTTAGCAAGCAAAAGGCTGAAGCTTTTGATTAATGGCTGCCTTAGTCCAGCCCAAGAATATAGGAAAATCAAGTAGAAGCTATAAAAGCTCTCCTTTTCTTATGTCCTTTCTCAAGCAGGTTTTAGACTGCTTTAGGCTATACTGTTGACAAAGCAGAATGGATAAACATGAAACCTATAATTCTGAATAACTCTTCATTTCAAACAGTATTCAGGGAACTTACAATCATGCTAATCATAATTCCAAGATGACATTGAAAAGGAAACAGAATCAAGTACAGATACTGACATTATACAAAATTATCTGAAAATTTGAGGTACCAAAGAAAGTTCTCCAGAGCTGTGTTTGATTGTCTCAAGCAGATTTCTCAGCTTCTTCGGCTGCTTCTTCCTCTCGCAACTTGATCAAAGACGGAGGTGGTCTGACAACAATGCTTTTCTTCCATTGCCGGTCAAGCTTTCTTGATAACCTCTTGTTGATACCCTCTTCAAGCTCTCTCTCACGCTTAATTGTTAACATGCGTGCAATCTGCATTCATGGATTGAAAAGAGAGGAACTCAGTCTTTCACACACAGAATGTTATGAAATCAAAGTTTGAATGTATCTCACATCTATCGTGCAAATTGAACCATCGTTAGTAAAACAAAAACATGGTTCAGCCGGAAAATACTCCGAAAGCTCGCCACTGCTTGGCGAAGATCTTATGGAACAGTAATTCATCATTCAACTCTATCGTAACCTTATCAAGACGACAAAAGATACATAACTCCTTAAACCTGCAAATGGATCGGCCAGGAAGCATAGTATCTGCTACAATGCATCTTTTATGCCAACCACCTGTGATGACCAGTAGGCTATTTCTATCCCTGGTAGCAGATAAAGCTCATTTGATCCCTACTTTGCAAAGATTAGTCAGACAATAAAAGCCACTAAAGCATGGATTCCAAATTTTTTTGAGTCAGATAGATATCGATGATGACATAGATCTCAAGGGTATCATAACAAGTTAAAGCTCGGGCATCATAGTTACCATCAATCCTCAAATTCTCGCATCAAAGCCTCAATTTACCAGAATGCTTTTCCCAAATCAATGTCAACCCTCTAAAATTAAGCTACCAAGTTCCAACTTCCGAAACCTAAAGCAACAAAATTTCATCAATTCAGACCTGGCCACCATTGCCGAGAAGCTAACAGCTAACAGCAAAAACCACTTCCAAATCACTCCACCATCCTTTCCAAACAGACAGTACTCTTTACCCTCTATCCAAAGCCTTCTCAAAACCAAACACATTTCCTATTAGACAATGCTAGAGAAACGAAGGAGAAAAAGAGTACCCTTTTGCGCATACGGCGGAACTCGCTGGACTTGAACTCATTCCTGACGGACTTCTGCAGGCGAAGCATGAAGAGCTCGCCTTTAAGGTCAACAACCTGCTCGTTGATCTCGTCGGTGGTCAGTCCTCTGATTTCCTTCAATTCTTCGTCCTTCTTCGCCATCATCACCACCGACGCCGCCGGAGTCCTGGCGGCCCTGTACGCCGTCCGGGGGCGAACTCGAAGCGGCGGGAGAAGGCATGTTTGGTTGAGTTGGATGCCGGCGAACCCGGATTTAGGAAGTGGAAGGGAAGGTTTGGGAAGTGGTGTAGCAATTGAGAGGCTCAACATTGTTTTGCTTTTTATGGTGCTCTGGTTAGAGAGTTGGTGATTATGCTCTGAGCCCAACCTCTGTCTCTCTCTCTCTCTCTGGAGAATAGATATGAGATATGGTTCTGGTTCCCTATCCTATTCTTTAGAAAGAAAGGGTAAATTACATTAACGGTCACTAATCTTTTGGGTCATCAACAAATCGATCACTGAACTTACATTCTCGAAAAAACTGGATTCGTTCATTATCATCGTTAAATTTCGTGTCCAAGTTGTTCATACAAGTATGTCAACAAGCACACCTGATATAGTATGTTCGAGTTCGGTTTGATATCTGTACTTTATTATTCAAATTGTGAGAGTTTGACATCTTAATCTGGACCAGGAAGAGAAACTTGACGGCCAAAATGACTAGATGATTATTTCAAACTCGCAATGACAATGACTTGATTTTGTTTCTTCATTTTATCTTTGTCTTTGCAGCAAACGCTTACGCCTTAGATCCGAAGAAACAATACGTTTGCGGATGATATTACGATAACAGGCCTTGAGCAATCAAATGAAGTAGCATAATTGTGTAACCCTCCACTCACAAATGCTTATGGAGATGAAGCATCATTCAGAAGTAGGCTTCTTGATATCCTCTGTTTTTTGAACAACTTCCTCTGCTCATACGTAATAATGGCTTCCTGACTGGTTAGTTTATGAGTGTGAATGCACCCCTAAAACTCTTCCACTTTCTTGTAGTTAGAACAGTTTAGTATATTTGTTAAGCTAGCAAGAGCTAAAAGTTGCATAAAAGGCTAATTCTTTCGAACAAGGAAAGGATCCAAATCACGGTGAATGGAGTAGCAAACAAGAAGAAAGTAAACTACGAGCCCAACAAATCCTGCCACCAAGGCTGCCGTCGTCTGGCTACAGTATTTGGGAATCTGGTTACACACAGGCAACCAACCAGCATGAGAGTTCCCTTTCTTCCCAACTTGTGCAATCGCCAAAGCTGCCGAAATGCTCGACACAAGCAGCATCGTCAGCACCTAACAATAAGAACAAACGAACAACCAGAAGAAGAGCATAAGATAGCAATCCAAACCTTGCTCACAGTATTCACATACAAATTTTGTTGTCAGCATACCAAATCGAAGACCAGAACGAGCCTCCAGAGCTGGCTCTCGGAAGGCAGAAACAGGACTAGGAACCCGTAAATGGTCACCACTACATTAGCAATCACAAAGTATCTGGAAAACAGAGGATTTGAGAGCTGTGTTTGTATTTATTATTGTAGACAGGATTGCATGAAAAATGGCTAGAAGATGGCTAAACTTACTTGAAGGCAGGGGTGTCAGAGTACTTAGCTTCGTAAGATATGGCTCCAAAGATGGTGCCTTTCTCGTGGCTCGACGCCATTACGACGGCTGCGATAAGCGTGGCGATCAAGGCAATAAGCCTCGTTGCCAAAATGACGGTGGCTCTTTGAGACATGGCCATGGCTGGGGGAAAATGAAGGGAAGTTGCTTGCTTCTGCTCACCCCCCACCTTAGAAATATGTAAATTGCTTGTATTCTTCCAATTTTGTCATTTTTCTTTATGGTTGTGTTAGTTGGGGTTTCCCCATCTGTTTTCAGCCACCACTGGCTAGCAGAAATGGCTTTTTGTTGTTGGTTTCTTCCTCCCCTGTTTTCTGTGACTTGTAGAAATGATCAAGCTCAAGCTAGGAACCTGTGTTTGACCATCTGAACACATTTCTTCTAGGAAAAGTAAAAGTGAAGGAAAGCTGGTTAGTTGGTAGGTTTGAGTTACTGCCTAAACGATGTCATGAAGGTAAAAGTAGGTGAAAGTAAATTAAAACACCCTAAAATGACTACAAGTTAAGAAAGCAGCCATGGTTTTACAGCGGACTAAATCTGTTACTTTAGGGCAAAGCTATTATCTTTAAGATAAAAAAAAATTAGAAATGAAATACCCATTGCAGAACAAAGAAATGACTTCAGTGTAGTTATAGAGCTGCCACCATGAGGTAAAGAAGGAGAGCAGAAGAAAGGGAAGAGAAAAAGAGCTGCCTGCAAACCATGGAAAGCTTTGGAATGAAGGATGGTAGGCAGAACAAGAAGGCAAAACCAGCCTTTGGGCTGATACGCAGGGGGACAGCTTCTGATATGGAGAAGATGAAGCCTCATTTTTTCAGGGTCATGCTTGATTTCATGCTGAAAGATGCCAAAATTGTAAGAACTCTTTTTTTTTTTTTTTTTTTTTTTTGCTCCTGTGATGCTTTCTGATTCAACTGGTAATTTTTCTTTGTCTGCAGTAGTTTCTGAAGTTTTGTTTAGTCTGGTTGTCAAACCTATTGCCAAAGGTGAAAACTTTTGTCTATGCTGGTTTAGGGTTTCATAAAAGAAGAAGCAGATGTGTAGAATCTAGTTTGCAGCTAGCTTTGTTAGTTTGTTTTATTGGTCTCCATTGCTTTGGCAAAGGGTTTTTGTATTCCCTTTCTGATCAAGTAACCTGAAATAAGAACTGACTAAATGTTGTTTCGGTATCAGTACATTCCTACTGAATTTGTGAAGAAATATGGATCCAGGCTTAGCAAATCTGCAACCTTGAAGGTTGCTAATGGTGATACATGGGAAGTAGAGCTGGCTACTGATGATGATGGGCTGATTTGGCTAGTCAAGGGCTGGGAAGACTTCACAGAGCACCATTCTTTGAATCAAGGTGATATTGTGGTGTTCCGGCTAGAGCAGGACAGTTTATTTCTCGTAATGGTGTTCGAGCCCACTGCCAGCGAGAAGAAGTATCGTTGCAAGGATGTGAATGGCCTTGAAATGCGGTTCGATGATGTCAAAGTTGAGGAGGAAATTAAAGTGGGGAAAGAGACAGGTTGGAGGACATATGAAATTTCACAGCTCATCGTATTGTTATGTTCACGTTGAACAGAAAGTTCTGAACCTGAAAGACTAACGCAGAAATTTGTTTCATTCCGTGGACCATTTCCTGCAGGGAAGCTCAAGGAAGTGAAAACCAAGAAGAGTGGTGGAGAAGGGAAGAGAAAGGTGAAATTGGCTGCCCCATTTGAGATTCCAAACCATCCATTGGAGACAAATATGAGAGGTAACATTTACTATATGCTTTGTTTTCTTCATGCTGTGAGTTTTTAACCTTCCCAAATGGGTAAGTTTGCCTAGGCAGATTGAGTTTTGTGTTTTCCTTTGTCAGATTGATACATTGTGATCGATATAGCCTCGGTAATATTTAATTTCGATGGAAAAAGTGAGTTGAATGCTTTCATTCCATTGTTCATATCATGACTCCATTTGATGCAGGAACACTGGGACCAAGGAGGGGCAATGCCTCAACAAGCTCAACGAATCCAAGCTTCTCTGTTACGATGATGGAATATAACATGAAGAAGCACTACACAGTAAGTTGATTAATTCATATCGAAAGGATACAACTTCGATTCTAAGCAGGTTTCGTTTGGACCTTGATGGATCACTCTCTCTCTCACTGAATGTGCAGAGTTTGCCGAGTGCTTTTGTGTTTAACCACATGAAGCCTGAAAGTAGTAATGTGAAGGTTTCTGCTCAAGACGGGTCGGGTTCATGGGACTTGTCCTTTATCTTTAGTGTATGCCATGGACGCACCAGTGGACGGGGCAGTTTTGCTGGTGGTTGGACCGCGTTCCGTAGGGACAACGCTCTTGAACTAGGAGACGTTTGCTGGTTCGAGCTCATCTCCGATGGCCAAATGAAGGTGACTATCGAGAGGCATTAAGGCTCTGGTTGGTTTGCTTGTGTTTGAAGCTTTGCGGTTTAGGGATTTAATGGGACAAGTACTATAATTCGGAGAGTGGCTAAGGCCTAAGCCTTTGTTAGTGGCTTGTTTTGGGATCTTGAAGTTCCCCATGAATTGTGTTTGATAGCTCAACAGTGATATGTGCTCTGTCGAAGCTTCGGACCTTGTTGGAATGGAGTTGGTTGTGTTTTAGGGGTGATGATCTAAGATTGAGAACAATTTGTTATCGCCGGGGGACTAATGGATAGTGTAATTTAGGGGCGTGCTAACTGCTAAGGCTTCGTCAATCCGCGACATAAACGTGTGCTTAAAAGAATCTTGCAAGTATGCTAGCCAAATTGATGATCAATAATAATCACAATCGTAAACAAGATAACTTTCAATCTAGTCAAATAACAGAACTACTATCAGAAAGTAATTTGATAACAGAGTTTTGCCATGGAAAGCCATAAAACACAACTCATGCCTTGCTTCAGAAACCAAAACAAAGCATCAACAAACGTCTTACCACTCCCTCCCACATGAAACTACACTATCCCATTAATTCCTTTAACGAAAAGCTGTAGTGTTTTCATAAGCTTCATCATCATCCATAAGTAAACACACACAACGAACAAACACAACAAACTCCATTCTAGAGGTTCTCAAACTTTCAGCAGATGCAACCATCCTTAAGCCCTCCGAATGCTCACTTTCATTTGGCCATCGGAGATGAGCTCGAACCGGCAAACATCCCCTGATTTCAAAGAGTTGCCTCTGCGGAACGCGGGCCAACCGCCAATGAACAAGCTCTGTCCACGTGCACCTCCATGTCGTTGATGAAAGACAAAGGACAATGACCATGAGTCGACCCCGTCTTCACTCAAAACCATCACAATACGACTTTCAGGCATAGTACCATGTGCAGGTATCATGTGTTCATACACAAATTTAGTAGGCAGAAGCTGCACATTCAAAGAGAGAGGCAGCTTTCAAATTTGGTTATGCAAAGCTTCCTCGAAAAAATGGTAAATTCGTTTGATGGAACTGAATGAACCTACCATGTAACGATGTGTCATGTGTGCTTCACTGATGGTGATGAAGAAGTTTGGATTGTCTGAGCTCGTAGAGGCATTGCACCTCCTTGGTTGTGATATTCCTGCATCAAATTTGGTCGAATTTTGAGCTCGTGGGAGCATATGTAAAATGCATCAATTGACAATGCAAGCATTCAATTTCACTCTGTTGATGCAAAAGCAAAACTACATATTTGACAAGGTGAAAAGCTAGCAGAATAAAAGACCAAGCATAAGTAAATGCATCAATCGAGAAGGAAACATAACCTCACTCTGCCAAAGCAAAACTTTATCAAGTTTGGGAAGGTATAAAACTCGTAGCATGAAGAAAACAAAGCAAGCATATAGTAAATGTTACCTTTCACTTTTGTCTCCAATGGATGGTTTGGAATCTCAAATGGAACAACCAATTTAACCTTTTTATTCCCTCCACCACTCTTCTTGGTTTCGATTTCCTTCAGCTTTCCAGCAGGAACTGGTCCAGGGAAAGAAACAAATTTATGCATTAGTCTTTCATGTTCAGAATCTTCTGTTCAACAGAAGAAAAAAAATACAATGGCCTGTCAAATTTCCTATTTTCTCAAAAGTTCCACTACCTTTCTCCTTCCCAGCATCACATTCCTCCTCAACTTTGATATCATTCAACAGCTTTCCAAGGTCGTTTACATCCTTGCAGCGGTAGTTCTTCTCGCTGGCAGAGGGTTCGAAAATCATGACTTGAAATAAGCTGTTCTGCTCTAGCCGAAACACCAGAATATCACCTTGCTTCAAAGAATGGTGGTTTGTGAAGTCTTCCCAGCCCTTGACCAACCAAATCAGCCCATCATCATCAGTAACCAGCTCTACTTCCCAAGTATCACCATTAGCAACCTTCAAGGTTGCAGAGCTCCCTAGCCTGGATCTATAGTTCTTCACAAACTCCGTAGGAATGTACTGACACAAAGCAACAATTTGTCAGTTCTTGGTGCCGGTTACTTTTTCAAATGGGGAAAACAAAAAAAAACCATTGTCAAAGCAATGCAAGCAAACAGACGAAAGCTAGTTACAAGCCAGATTCTACACATTTGCTTCATCTTTTTTGAAACCCTAAACAAGCATGGACAGAAGTTTTCAGCTTTGAAAGTAGATTTGACAACCAGACTGAAGAAATTCATAAAACTTTGCAGAGAAAAGGAAATCACCAGTTGAATCAGAAAGGGAATCACATAGGGGGGAAAATGAGTACTTAACTATTTTGGAATCCTGCAACATGAAATCAAGCATGACCCTGAAGAAATGTGGCTTCATCTTCTCCATACCAGAAGCATTACCCCTGCGTATCATCCCAAAGGTGGTCGTTGCCTTCTTGTTCTGCCCACCATCCTTCATTCCAAAGGTTTCCATGGTTTGCAGCAGCTCTTTTTCTCCTACCTTTCTTCTCTCCTTCTTTACCTTGCTAAAACTTGCTGAATTTCATTTCCTTGTTCTGCCATTGGTATTTCATTTCTATCTTAAAGGTGATAGCTTTGCCCCTGAAGGGCCAGATTGAAACCCTCAAAACCTGGCAGCTTTTCTTAACTTGTAGCCATTTTAGGATGTTGAATTTACTTCCACCTTCTTTCTTTTACCATCATGACATTTCCCGTACTTTTACCAAGAGAGCAGTAACTCCAGTCTCCAGGTCCAGTAGCAAATCCACTGTGGTCCCAATTCCCAAATAAAAGCGAGAGAAAAGGAGCTGTCCTCTCCTCTCCAGCTCTATACTTATCGAAGAACTATACTTAATTCAAAACCCAAAATCGACCTCCGATTTTGAAACGAATGGGTGAAGAGAGACTGTGCGCTTCCAAGCTTCTTTGTCGCGAATGGTTTCCTGACCAAAATTGATTCTGAGCAATCGGGTCGCCGCCGCCGCGTCTCCGGTCACCGGAAGAAGTCATATCTTGAATCCGACGAAACCCTTTACCCGTTCCAGTTCCAGAGATAATGCAACGACACCAAAAAAGATATTTTCGGTACCACAAAAATAATAATAATTAAAAAAGATATTTTCCCATCCTCATACGTGTCCCTAATCCAACGGCTCCCTCACGACGCCACAATTCCCTCAGATCTTCTTTGTCGTTTTTCTCCAATCCCGTTACACGCGTCGATCTCACCAATCCTATCCGACCACGTGTCCGTCGCGAACATCAAAGGGATCACTTGCCCAAGTAAACTCCAACCATTGACCGCCCGCCACGCGTCCCTTCTCGAGCCGCGTATAAATAAAAACTACCTCCATCGTTTTCTTCTCTCCGGGACGAAGAAAAGAAACCCACATGGACAACAACACCAAGCGGGTCAGGAGAACCAGCCGACCCGGGTCCGACTCGCTCGGCGGCGACTCGGGGATTTTGAACGAGCGCGTCCTCGTCCTCGTCTTCGAGTCGCTGAAATGGGACCTCCACACGCTCACCGCCGTCGCGGCGGTGAACCGGAAGCTCGCGGCGGTGGCCGCAAGGCTCCTCTGGCGGGAGCTCTGCCTCTACCGCGCCCCCCGGATGCTGGCCACATTGACGAGCGGGCCGGCGCCCTCCGCCGCCGCTTCCCCCGGAGGTCGGATCGACGGCGGGTGGAAGGCCCTCGCGAAGCTGATGCTCTTCTGCTGCGGCTATCGCGGCGGCGGCGGAACTGGGTTTCCCTCGCCGTCGAATTCGCCGGGACACGTGGCGAAGGCGTCGCGATTCTCGAAGACGTCGGGGAGGAGCTTCCTGGCGAAGAAGTGCAGGGGGGATTTGCTGTACGTGAGCGACCCGTGCGAGCACCCGACGGCGGAGGCAGGGGAGGATTTGGGGGTTTACAGGGGGATTTTCCGGGGATTCATGAGGTCCAAAACGAGGGCGTTTTTGGTGAAGCGGGGAGTGAGGCTGGAGGAGAAGGTGAGGTGTCCGTACTGCGGGGCCCGCGTGTGGAGCATGACGGCGGCGAGGCTGGTGCCGAGGAGCGCGGCGAGGAGGCTGGGGTCGAGGGACGGCGGGCTGGAGTATTTCGTCTGCATCAACGGGCACCTGCACGGGATGTGCTGGCTGATACCGCTCTCGTCGTCGGATGACGACGAAGATGGAGCGGAGGAGGCTAACAGCGACGGCGAATTGGACGGTGATTGCAGGGGAAAGGTGGAGAACGGGAGTACTAGCTCGGCCAGGGAAAAAATGTAATGGTCAAGTGATAATTTTTCTCTCTTTATTTTACCTTGTGGGTTTTTGGGATGTTTTTTGTGATCTGTAATGGGTGAGTTAATGTAGGTATTAGGTAATGTAACAGTAGTGGACTAGTGGATGTACAGTTGTGGTAACTGATGTAACACTCTGCTTGCTTCGTTTAGAACGAATCGGTCGATATCGATCAGGATTGCTTCATTGCTCGATCCAGTAGAGCGTCGGAGTTTCTTGTATGGAGCTTGATTTCATGTCATCCATGCCCCTGCTCACAAAAGCACTACAGTCCATCGTTTTCAAAACAAGTCCAGTAGCTACATGGGTGGAAACAGAGTGAAGAAACAGAGTTCTACATCTTTTCTCGCATTTGGGAAATCTCTCTGTTTCAAGATTCCTTCCAAAACTAATATGGTGGTTCATCATCCATAACTAAACTGCATAGAACGAACAAGCACAACAAACTCCATTCTAGAGGGTCTTAAAACATTCAGCACATCCAACCATTCTTAAGCCCTCCGAACACTCAGCTTTCATTTGGCCCTCGGAGATGAGCTCGAACCTGCACTTACGGTGATGGAGAAATTTGGATTTGTGGAGGCAATTTCCTTTCTTGGTTCTTGTATTCCTGTATTGGATTGGGGTCAAATATGGCTTGTGAAATGCAAGAATTCAACTTTAGCTAATGAAATTACAGTTTGGGAAAGATTACCAACTCTATACCAGCATAACACAAGCACATGTCATTGAACTGATCGAGAAAGGGAGCATACTCAACAAACTCTGCAACACAAAAAACAAAGCATAGAGTAAGTGTACCTCTCATTCCTGTCTTCGATGGATTGTTTGGTGTCTCAACGTTGGTGGAGAAGGCATCTTCTTCCTCCTCTTCTTCTTCCTCGTCGAGTTAATCACAGATAAAACAGGTAAAGAGAGAAAGGAGAAAGGGTTCTTACAATCTTGGCATCCTGAAGCATGAAATCCAGCATGACCCTAAAGAAATGAGGCTTCATCTTCGCCAAATCAGAAGCATTTCCCCTGCGTATCATGCCAAAGGTTGTTGTTGCTGCCTTCTTCTGTCTACCATTCTCCACTGCAAAGCTTTCCATGTTGCTCTTTCTCTCCTTTTCCCTCTTCTTGTTCTCTATTTCTGCTGCCTTTCAGTTGAAGCTCTTTACTGAACCCAGTCTTCTGGAATGACATCTTTGAAAATCTCCATAAAGAAGATATCTTTCCCCTGCATATCAGTTTTCGATGATACTCTGATCATGTCAGACGTAAGTTCTTGCATTTACACAAAAGAGTGTTAACAGACATTGAAAATGACGGCTCTCCAACTCAAGATTTGCATCAAAGATCGACATACTCTTATTAATAAAGTTGAAGAAGACGCTAGACGTTATGAATGCCTAATTCTCTACCTAAAGTCTAAACGATGAGTTTTTTCGTTGCCTAGCGGACAGACGTTGAGGAACCTTCTGGCATGGCATTGAAATGCTGAAACAAATAAGCTTGCACGTTCAATAAGAAATAGAGATCTTCCCTACCACAATCAGGGTGGCTGGCAGGGATCTAAAACGTGCCAATGAATTGGGTATTATAATCTACAACTGGCTTGCCTAGTTGAGGTGTTTTTACAGCAGCATGAAGAAATTTGAACTTTTTTTTCAGTATAGAGACAGACAACCTAGAAAGCAGAATGTTGGAACCTTTTGAGATCAATGTATTCTGCTGTTTAGATACTTTCTCAAGTGAGAATACAAATCTGAGCCCACCCTCTCTACAAAGAACCCAGAACCCAGGGGAGAAAATAAGAGAACAATCAAACAACAAACAAGTATCAACAAATCCATCCATCCCAACCCAACTGCCATCTTTCAGAAGAGTCACGAGGAAGAGCAAAAGAAATAGAAACAGCACCAGCTTTCGCCCAGCCCTGGCTTTTGATCTTCAGCTCTAACTCTCGGATGGATTCGATATTAGGTCCATCACATCTGGGCAAACAAAAAAGAACAATGAGTGGTTCAATACATCATGTTTCTTCGCCTTCTTCAACCGTCGGAAGGCTGCCTTCTCTGGTAAATCCAGGATTTAGAAACTTGGAAGCAAAAACCCATAGTTTGTAAACATCTTCGAAGTTGGTCAGAAACCCTAGCGAGGCAGTGACAACCTCGGCTCTTATAAAACCTGATTTTCCGCGACCACCAGTCTCCACCGCCCTGCAAAGGGCAGTAGCGTCTTCAAGGTTCAAGCCACCCTTATGCTGTCTAGGGCCATCCACGATTCGTATGTGACTGAGAAACCCAATGCCAAGAGATATCCCTTCTCTTTCAGCTAGCCTCTGAACAACTTCAGGATGCACAAGCCCCCGGTTTCTATCCCTGATGTTGAAAGCAACTGCAGCACCTCTCTCGTACTTGATCTTCGGTCCATAAATGTGGACAAGATGCATTCCTCCTCCTCCTCCTTCCCCTTCTTCGGCAGTGGGTAATCTCAGTTGCAGCAATGAAGTCACAAGCCAGTTGATCAAAAATCGAAGCCTTAGAGTCGTCTTATTGAGGCCCAACATGTTCACATGATCCAAATGCCGGCAACTTATCTCAGGCTCTCGCCTATCCCAATCCTGCATCCCCTCACCAAACTCACCATCGCTTGTGTACACGTCATTATCATCATCTAGTGTAGCTATAGATACTTCCCCTGGCTCAGTCACGAGTTCTTTACGACTCTCCTCCGCGCTAAATGACACCCTTCTTCGCCTGCTCGGATGTTCACTCTCATCCACTCCAAGAAATCTACCACCAGAATATCGGTTCCCTTCCCTTCTTCCCAGTAACCGAAATTCACCTTCTGTTTCTCTTCTTATAGCACTCTCTATTTTGTCAGTGCCATTATGAAACCCGTTTGCTGGTTCTTCTTCTTCAATCTCGGAAACATGCATATGATTAAGACCCTCTCTCAGGTTTGTATGGCCATACTGCTCTTCTTCAGGAACCTCCTTAACACGGTCGAGCTCCTGAGAAACTGATAAAACCGCAGCATCAAATGACAACACCTTGTCATCATACAGTGGACTGCTGTAGATCTCTGAAGTCAGTTTTGGTGAGTTTCTCTTGTTGTGATTCTTCTTGCTGGAGAACCAAAAAGGTGGCAGCGGCGAGCCAGTTGACTTGTGTTTTGCTGCAGAGTCGGAACCCAACGGGCTCTGGCCCAAATCGATCCAGAACGAATTGTCTGACGATCCATCTTCACTGAAAACAGGGCTTTTCATCACTTCACCAACAGAGATGCTTTCTGTTTCTTCAAATATAGTGCTTGTCCCATCTCTATCCGAGTTGTTGTCATGACTCATCTCTGTCTCAAAAACATCGCTCACTTGAGCAGGTGTAAATGCCCCGGAGAATGCAGGCAGCTGCGTCCCTTGACGCGGTTCCGTAGTACCATTTTCATCACTTCCCATAACCTCGTCATCTTCAACACCAGTCGTCCCATCTAGACCATCTACAGAATCACTCAAATAGAGAGGATACTCCGGAGTTATCTTCACTATCCCAGACCCTGTACTGCCAGACTGACGCTGAAGACAACTCATGACAGATTTCTTAATAAGAAGACATCCAAACCCAGTTGGGTCAAACCCAAACACACGGTAAAACGAAGTGATGATGAAATCAGGTCGAAACAACGATAAACCAAGTGAATCCATATCTTTGGGGCCTAATGATCCAGCATCAAGCAACACATGCCAGTTGTTCTGCTGAGCAAGTGCCATCCACTGATAAGAATACTTGGCTCCTGTAACCCTCGACTGCACAGGGAAGACGAATAAACCAGTGGCAGAATCCTTCTTCCGTCTTTTCTTGTTCGAAATCTGCTTCCTCAAATCTGTTGAGCAAAGCTTAAGGGTTGGCCATTTGAACCAAGCACTGTAAACGTCTGCACCTTTCTCCTTGGCACTCTGAGCCATCCAATTCACAGACTGACTCTCGTAATCAAACATGGTCAACAACTTCTTATTTGTGTGAAAAGGGTAGGATTCTGCAAGCAATTTGAAAGCAGAACCTCTACTCACCGTAAATACAAGGCCATACTCATTCTCAGGGATGTTCAAGTAATCCATTATCCTAGCCTTGATATCATATTCCACAGTGTTCTTCTCAGCACCACCATAAAGCGCATGATTGCTCAAATTCGCAGTTATCTCGGACAAGCTAAAAGTGGAAGATTCCCAGTAATGCAGAGTCTGAAGGTATGAAAACAGCCCAAACCCACAGTAATCAAGGCATACCTTGGGTGACAAATGGGTGTACTCATCTGACCTCAACTGATCAACTTTCTCAGAAGACTCGTACTTTGGGTACATAGTGAGGAACTTGGAGAACGACTCATGAAGCTCAGGAATGGAATCTGGGGTCTCGAACACTCGATCTGCAGCAAGGGACGTGGCACGAAGAAACTCCCGTTGGGCGTGAAGCCTCGCCAGCGATCTCGATCGGCCGATTGTTCCTTCCTCTTGGTTGCTTGCAGCAGCGGCCGCCTCGGAATCATCCATGTCCTTGGATTTGACGAGTGACCCATCTTCAGAAGCTTCCTCGAGCGCTTCCCTCAACCTGTGCTCTTGAAGTTTCCGGAGAATTGATGGATTTCTGGAAATCTCGAGATCGGATTCCGACCCATTTTTCCTCTTGCTCTTCTTGTCCAATATGAGAGCAGCGCAGTGGGAAATAGGCTTCCACAGTGACAGATGCATCACACTTGCTACTATCAAGCTCCTTCGAGGTGGTCAAGTTTCAGTTCAGCCCATGAAAAAGGGGGGAAATTGGGGATATTTTCGATTCAGTGATCAGCTTGGAAACCCTAGGAGTGGGAAATCAGAGGAGAAAAGTGGGGGAAGAAAGAAGAAAGCAGCTTCCCAGTGAGCGAACCCAGATCAGGGGAACTGGAAACTGTATAAAGAATATTTCTTCAAGAATCCAACTTTCTTTTAAAATACAGAGAGGGACTTGCAATTGGAAGCGGGAATTGGATTAAAAACGAGTCCAAATTACAGAAAACGAATTCATGAAGAGAAAAGGGGTGAAGAAGAAGAAGAAGAAGAAGAAGGGAGAGTCAAACCCTAGAACCCAGATCCCTAAACCTAGCCAAGCAGCTCCGCAACCGCAACACAGTGGCACCGAGTCTCAAAATGGTTTCCTGGGGAGAGGAAAAGGGACAGAAGGTTTCAGCTATAGATTGGACAGAGAAGCTTTTGTTTTTGGTGCATCAGAAGCCAAACCCAGAAGAAGAGGTGAGCAAAGACTCGATTTTTACGACACTAGACCACCATATCCACACAGCTTGATGAAAACTTCTCACTCTTTGTCTCTCTCTCTTACAGCGAATTAAAGAGAAAACCCCCCCTTTTCACCCACTTATCAAAGATACCTCATTTATTGCAGCTTCTTCTTCTCTTCTAAATTGCCAGTAAAATCCAAAAACAAAAACATCCCAGCATTGATATCCCCAAACTTCCTGTCTCTCTCTCCCTCTCTCTCTCTCTCTCTCTCAATTGACTCTCTCTTTCTCTCTCTACTTATCTCTCTCTCTCTCATATTCTTCCACCACGATTAGCTCCCTTTAGTTTAAACAGAAACAGGGGGAGGAACGGACATTGACTTTTGGCAAAGCACCAAATGCTTGTGCTGTTACTGTGTTCTTTTCCTCGTCCCTATTCTTTTCAGATTTCCCTCCCAACTGTTCAAGTAATGAAGAAGATCGACATAAGAAAAAGGGGCCCAATCTCACTTGGACCCACACCCAATAAGAGGTCTCAATTGCCAGTCCAGGTCAAACAATCAGCTGGCTACTTTCCTCCTTTTACAAAAGCTGCTTCCTATGCAAAAATCAAAGGCAAATTTGAAAAATGAGAAAGAAACCAAAAGAAGGAAAAAGGAAATCAAAGCATAAGCAGAACTGATGAAAAGATGAGAAAACCCTACCATGATGGGATAAAGCAATTGCTTAGTTGAAAAGTATAATGTATATACCTCATTTGGGTTTCAAATCTTATATTTGTACAGCTTTGGATCAGTAACAATGCAAGGGGATGAATATGTATTCTTTCTTTTTGCCCTCCAACTGGTATCGAGGACAAAAAGAAAGAACGAAATTTTGGTCACCAAATCGATAAATTCTGCAGAAGAAATATTTATTTCGAGTTAGCTATTTGTTTTGGCCCAACATTCAACTGTGCTATTGTCATAGCCATTGCTACCTCAACATTAAAATAGGTTAGGTGTTTGTGGGGGCTATCGCATTTAACATCCAGCAGATGGAGTCTGTTAAAAAAGATGGACCAGGCCACAGCAAAGTGCTGTAAAGTAGTAGCTAGTAGCTACAAAACAGTAATAATTGCAATGTTTTTCCTAAAGTGACAAGAATGGTTAATTAGTCTAAGGATGTTATTAGGATGAGGCTGAGCCATGAAAGGAGAACTATTCCATCCAAGCATGTGGGAATATATCAATAAGGTGAAGCAATGAAACTATCACATTACTGATCGCAGACCCTTAGCAATCCATGATTCGATGCATGACTCGAATGCTTTGCACAGAGGTTGCTTCTCACTCTGTTGATCGCGGGTTGATGCACGAGTACTATTGGGCGTTTTAGGCTTGCCTCGCCTCTAGTAGCACCCCCCTGCTCACAAGACCAAGGTTGTGTCGAGAGCAAGCAGCCCCGAGATTTACCTGACTGCAGAATCACCACAGTGATACCAGGATGGATCAACTGGAGTACGAGACAATTTGACTGTCAATTCGACTCACCTGCCCCCACCACAGACAATTGTAATTGCCTCAAAATGACTCAATTTGAAATTCCACAAGCCAAATTGTTCCATCTAAAATTTATGCGGCCAACCGAGGCAATTTGGCTCAACTATCTCAAAACGATACAATTAGATCAAATTAATTCGTTAGAATTCCTTATCCAAACGCCTCATGTGATTTTCTATAGTTATTATTATATTGATTTTTTCAATGATAGACAAGAGATAATTGGAAAGGGCACTTGTGTGCTGGCTGCCTAATAAAGTTTCGTTTTGGCAATTCAGGAGGAATTTCTTTTTATCCCAAATTGAAATTTTGAAAGAGAAAGGATGGTCTGCATGAAACATAAAGCAAAAAAGCCAAAGGCAAAATGTTTCTCATGATATATGGTATATTATTTGTGTTTTTTTAAGATCTTTTATTGGTTCCATGCATAAAACTCTAAAAGTGTGTTTTGAAAGAAAGAAAAAAAGAAAAAAAGCTCAGTAATTGACTATTCAAAGAGTTTAGGGGTCATTTTGGATTTCAACTAAAACATTAAGGATAGTTTTGGAAGTAAGGAACAAAATAAAAGGAAATTTTTAAATAAATAAAAGGATGAGAGATATTTCGAGTTGTCTCGGTTGAGACTTGAGACATTTAATTTATCTTATGAGCCGAAAGTCTTGTTTTAATTTTTATTCACATACGAGACATTTGAACAAAATGTCTCATTTCGAAACTTTGGTCCTAATTTACGTGAAATTCTTCCTAAACTTAGATTGTAATGGACATCTAACATCTTTTAGTTACATAGTTGGTATCTTCTTGGTTGGACTATTGGCCATTGCTTCATAATCAAGGAAGCTTTAAATTAATTTGTGGGAGTTAATGGGATTGATTCAATGGATGGCCAAGGGTGAAAGCAATCAAAACCCTAGTCAAGAGTCGTCATCAAGACAATTTGGAAGTCTTAATCTTGTTACATTATTAGCCAGCCTAGTTATTCTGCTAACTGCATAAGTTGTTAGTATATACTAACTAATATCCAAAATGTATGAACTAGTATCCAATATGCTGATTTTACTAAAGTATATAGATAGCACAGACTAGTATTCAAAACATCACAAACTAGTATCCAGATAGCAGGTTGGACTATTGGCCATTGCTTCATAATCAAGGAAGCTTTAAATTAATTTGTGGGAGTTAATGGGATTGATTCAATGGATGGCCAAGGGTGAAAGCAATCAAAACCTTAGTCAAGAGCCGTCATCAAGACAATTTGGAAGCCTTAATCCTGTTACGTTATTTGCGACTTGCCCCCTTAAACTTCATTAGTTAATGGATTAATGGGTAAATGGAAATTACAAAAAAAAATCATAAACATGTACTAATGGGAGCAGGGGTGGAGACAGAGCAGACTAAGGTGGGTCGGCTGCACCACCTTGGCTTTGCAACACACAGACAAGTAATAGATTTTTCAGTTCTTCATATTTTATTTTGTGTTCATACTCTGTTCTTGGTCCAAACTTGCATAAGCTGCTGCTTTGATCGAAACATATATAAAGGGAACCTTGTTTATGTGTTTAATGAAAACATTTGCGTTTTAAAATTAGTTGTAGGTTGTAAAGTGAAGTGAAAGTGGGTTTAAATATCACTTTAACACATTGTTTTTTGATGGGCTTGCTAGAAAAACGAGTTCTCCTAGATATGTGGGCTTGAGTTTAAATTTGTGGTCGATTGGCTTCTCTTTACTGCATATAAAAACTCAATTGAAGTCAATTAGGGTAGACTTTTCGGATCAAAGTCTCATTTTTCTAATGATCTTCAAAGCTTATCTTGGTAAAACCTAGAAATAACATGACAAGATATCTGTAAGATTTTAGGAGCAAATCGGAGAAGCAGAGGCACACACTATCGGGACTACCACCTCTTCGTCCTCCCAGATCGACGGAGTTTCCTTGGTGGTTAATGGGTAGGTGGTTGGCTAGAAGACGATGTTGCTGGCAACTTGATCGTGAAAATAAGAATATTACTATTTCTCATCATCTGATTCAGGTTACCTATTATCGCTTATCGGAACCTATATTACTATTCGACCCACCTTACCAAAATCCCTGCCTACGCCCCTAAATGGGAGACATGGAAGCCAGTTAATCCACGTGCATAATATCATTATGAATTTATGATACTGATCGGATGCTTGAGCTCTTTATTTGTTTCCTTCATAATTTCCTAATCCAAGTTGGATAGAAATAAAACCATAAATAACGTTAATCAATCAGTCAACTAGCTATTGGAGAAAGCCAAAATACCCTTTTGCTATCTATAACCATAATTTCGGTTGACTGAACAAAAATATGGGTCATAGTTATTCACTTCCATAACGATCGAGTGCTCCACAATCGAAGATAATCAACTGATCACTATAATCGTTAGCTCAATCATTATAATATATGAATCAATGGATATTGTCTGATTAATATATCTCTCATAGTTTGTATTCTCTCCGATGAACAACATAATAGCATTTAACTCAAACCCTTCATGTCCAAAATTTCATTAGCCTAATCCACTTATTAGTTTTTAAGCTGAGTGATTCACAACTATAATGAATGTCTAGTCATCATGATTGTCAACTTAATCATGATAATAGGGCGAATCAAGCTATACTACTTAATTGGCAGCTCGTGTAGGTTATATTTTTCACGAGACAATGTTAAACATAAAATATTATATCTCCAGAGTTCCATTGATGACACCTAGGGCTGGGATAGCGGTTATGAGTTTTCGTTTTCCAACCCAGTTTGTATATCAATGGTTCTAAGTTAAACCGAAAAACATAAAAGAAATTGAACCCGTAATTATTAGTTGAGCAGTGTAGAGAGTTTTGGTTTTAATTGAGAATGTAGAGGTTTAAATTTCCCGTTTGTTCTAACTGAATCCAATAAAATTTTATCAAATTTTGGTTAACCAATAAGTTTTTAACAGGTTCAATTTTGCTTTTGGGTAAACATCATAGTTCAGTTTTTTATTTTTTTATGGTTTCAATTAACCCAACCGGCACCCCACACCCACTTATTAATCAATTATGCTCTCATGGTAGAAAATTCTTTTGGGTGAAAATATCAATACTTTGCATAGAAGAACTAAACTAAAAGTCTAAAATATCAATACTTTGCCCAAGAAAGAAAGGGAGAGAAGAGGAGAGGAAGTGGTTGGTTTGATTTGTACCTCTTGTGTCCCTTTGCGTATTGTCACCATGCAAAGCGAAATGATGGTTTTATTCACCTTTTGAAGTATACTTTTATGGAGAAATTGGTGAGGTTTTGACGAGAGCACTTCGTTTGATTTGGAAGATAATCATAATTAACATGATAGTAGTAGCTAGTGGTCTAGTCCATAGGATGGATGATGATTGATAATGATATAATTAGTCAAAATTCTGATTTAAATCCTAAAATCATACTGTTTTACGATTTTACTTACCTATTCCGATATTGATTTCACTATAAAATCTATGGACCTTAAAATCCTACACTATTCACGATTTAAATCCTTAAAATCTTCAAAATCTTACGATTTTAAGATTCAAATCTTAGAGTCAATTTTACATATTTCCCCCAGAATTTTCAAAATTACGCCTCTTTTTCTTCTCCTTCACCAACATCATCTAGTTCTCTCACACTAATCACCATTGATTATAATCAATTCACATCAACCTATTAGTCATCATCGATTCACGACCTCTTAACATTAACCTTGAAAAATTATCATTGTAAGTGTTATGTGCTTTTGTGTTATTCATGATTTTCCTTACTAATATTATTTCGTCTTCGTTTTTATATGGACCTTAAAATTCTACGATTTTACGATTCCGATTTTACCCCCATTTTCGATTTTACTGCTTTGGATATAATTTCTCAATAGAAAGTTTGTGTAACTAGTTTATTAATGTTGGTCCCTTCCATTCCGACTTTCGATATGTGTTCTCGAATGATAATGGTACATAAGTGATGAGATAAAAATGCTTTTTTAGAAAAAGATTTGAGGTTTTTAGGGATTGGTTCTCTGGACTGACTTATGAATTGTTATTCGATTAATTAGAATGGTTGAATGAAATCATGCTTGCTCCATCACCCATCATATTAGAGATTTCCAGCATTTTCCACTATATGTTTGAGTGTTCAACTTGATCATCGAAAATCATTAGTTATTTGTTGAATTCCAACTCATATTATTTTTTTATGAAGTGTTCATGTGTTAGAATCTTCTTGTGTGTTTATGTTAAATTGGTTCTTGCATGACTCTTTATAATCGGGAACATTGTGCTCCATTTTGATTTTTAGTACAGATTAGGATTTTTCTTTTTATCCTACAAAAGGGAATTAACATGTATCCAAATTACCATTTTTTACTTCTCAACGCAACAATTCTAAGTGGGTTTTGATAGCACTATGATGGGATGTGAAACAATCCATCCACTACAATTAGGAATGTTAAGTACACCACTTGTAGATTAGGAAGAGCTTTTCCAATGGCTTCTGTTCATAATCCATGTTTTACATCGACATGCTTTAGAAATGATTGACCACCAAATCTCTCTCTTTTTCTTACCCTTGTCTCAAGTTGGATGGAGTAGTGTCATCTGGACGTGCATGCAAAGCTGCATATGCCTTTTTGGCGTTGCTCATGTGTTGTTTTTCTTTTAAATAAAGCCCGGCATGATAAAATAAGTAGACGATACAACTACGGTGCTCACATTTTTATTTGTAACAACATGCTTACACAGTTGAACATCGTCGGAACGCACAATGGTAGGTGGATGAACGTAATAGGAGATAGTGAAGATCACTTCAAAACTCGAATATGCGAACTACGAAAGGCAAGAAAAATCAAAGTAGATTGACGCCTTTTGGAGTTTTCCTAACCAAACTCTCATAACATGCTGAAAGGTTTTGGTTGGAAATGAAACCCTAGAACATGTCTTTTCATTCATTATCATCATTTCTTGGTTTAAATATGCAAAACTTGACACTACATTGATAAGGTATGCCCGGTTGCATTTGAAGAAACAATAAACTTAGAAAGCTTAAAATAAAACATAAAACAATGCAAAATGGAAAGACAGTTTCATATTGAAACTTAATTAAACACAATTCTTAGTCTAAACAACGTCAATTCACTTAGATTTTGCACAATCCTCGGTTGTAACTACTTATATATGTCGTGAAAAATGAAGCCAAAATAAATTGGAAAGAGGAGAAAACAATGATATGGAAATTCAAAGGGCTAAGGCTAAGTATAGTTCCACGACCTTTGAAACAAAACCACATCAGACCGCACTGAACTGAATTGCATTAGTTCGTTACTGGTTTTTCATCTTTCCAGTATCTTTGAGAAATTGAAAGGTTTGTTGTTGAAAATGCAGGTGGCCTTTTAGCAGAATCTTCACTGTCAGGGCCCTGTGGTATGTGCAACATTTGTTTTCTGGTTGTTGGGTTTGGATGGAGACAGGGTGCAACTGACTTGTAGCCCAAGTTTGCTATCTGGAAAAAAGATTGAGAAAACCAAAGATATTACACAAATTAACAAGGAGATAGAGACACCAACTCTACAACTGTATTATGAACAACATAGAAAGCAAGGGTCAGATTTCCAGCGATCAGTTACCTCCTTGTGAAGTGCTCCGGTGAAAGCAAGCTCTTTGGATTGCAAACAGAAACTGCAGTTGCAAACTCCCAACCAAGGCAGATGTGGCATATCCAGTTCGAAGTTTCAACGCTCCAAGTACATGCTCCCATTATCTGTTCGAAAGACGGAGGAATAAGTGCTGATACTTGTAATTGAGCATGTACATGTGCCAGGCTTGGTAACTACACTTGCTGAAAACACCAGCAGAGCTGATTTTACACAAACAAAGGCAATGCAAATGCGAGGAACATACCTTGTGTACAAACAATCTCCAATGAACTGTCCTTAGACCATCTCACAACTGCAACACAGTGCGAAGACCAACAGTTTTCTGCCTGCACAAATGGATATTTCATCTTGTAATAGGGAGTAGGAAACACAATAAGCATACACAGCGTTAACCGGAGACTGTAGACTGTTAAAAATTCGATTATCCTCCCAAACTCTTCAAAAGGAGTAGTAGCATAAGCTTTATAACTCGGAACATCTAAATAACTTCATCTCCTCTAAACCCGTTCGACATTAAGCACACATTTCTTTAGCTTTCCTCGACAACTCTTTATCACAAGGGAGCTTGAGGGAGAGAAAATTGAGGGATCTTAATAAACTTTTACACTGCTAACTTCTAGTTATGGCAGTAGATGTACCAAGATACCAGCAGTAACCATATGAACAACTTATATTAGAAAATTCAATAACTTGCAAAATAGTGTGAAAAGATTCACAGTTCAGATACTACAAAGCATCACTAATAGAAAACTTGAACCATGTGAAGGATCCCACTGACCTACATAGGTGGCAAATCTTCCCATCGATCAAATCATAAAGTCGTCTCCCGTCTTCAATGGATTGACACCACTTTGCACACTCAGCTTCTTGCCATGAGCGCTCTGCCAAACTATCAACCTATAGAAAAACTATAACGAAGGTCTTCCGCAATTGACATCCATACAACCTATTACTCCCCCATTTTTCTACTAAAGAAACATGGTTGCATGAAGTTCAAGCCCAAATATGTTTTCATCCCCGGTCAACCTCAATCATGCTACATCCAGCTTCTTTAACCCTCTTTTCTTGCTTTCCTATTGACTTATACCTAAACTTGGTATCTACCCGCTCATCTGTTGTCTCCAGAAAGATCCCAAGATCTCCCAACCTTCCAGCTATGGCATAAGTACCTGATAGAAGCATTGAATCAGTCGGATGTTGATCATCCATTTCAACCAATACTCTGTTCACACGTTCCCCTAACTCAATATCTCCATACACTCTGCAGGCTGCAAGTAATGCACGCCAAGCAGTGGCATCTCTCTTGATTGGTGGCAGCCTTTCGATCAAGCCTTGTGCTTCCTTCAACAATCCCAAACGACCCAAGAGATCAATAATGCAACCGTAGTGCTCAGCTTTGGGTAAAAAACCATATCGTTCAACCATCCTCCGAAAGCATTCCATTGCTTCTTTCACCATCCCGCCATGACTACAAGCGCTTAGTACAGCCAAGAAAGTGACCTCATTTGGCCTGTATCCTTCATCCTCCATTCTGTACATGAGAGCAACAGCATTGCTCGACTGCCCATGAACTCCATAACCTAAGATCATGGCAGTCCAGGACTTGACATCTTTGCTCTGCATTCGCTGGAAGATGTCGACGGCTTTGTCTAGAAACCCAGACTTGGCGAACATATCGATCAAAGCTGTACCGAGAACTGCATCCAGCTTCATTGCCTCTAGTTCGACGAAGCTACTTAAGTACCGGCCAAGTTTGATAGATCCGGTGGAAGCACAGGCTGAGAGTAGACTTGCCAAAGTGGAGGAATTTGGATTGACTCGTTCACTTTTCATCAGCTTTAGCAGAGCTATCCCTTCATCTAGCAGCCCAGCTTTTGCATATTTGTCTATCATGCAGTTCCACAGGACAACGTCTCTAGACCTGGTCTCATCAAAAAGCCTACGTCCTGATTCTATACTACCTGTTTTTGCATACATGTCAATAAGAGCAGTCACAACGTTCTTATTAGAATGGAAGCCGACCTTTATCCAAAGGCCATGAATGGACTCGCCTCCACGTGAATCCTGAAATTCACCGAGAGCCGACAGAACGGACAACAATGAGGTCTCGCTGACTCCCTGGCCACACCTGACCCCCTCCCTGAACAATTTCAACGCCATATCTGGTTGAGAAGCTTGCATATAAGCAGCCATCATTGTGTTACACGTTACAAGATCATTCTCCTCTGGCATTTCATCAAACAACTTGTGGGCGTGTCCGATTTCCCCACAAACACCATAGTAGTGCAAAAGTGCATTCTTAACTTCCACAAACAATAAATGCCCAGATCTCAACACAAGTCCATGTATCGCCTGCCCGTTTTCCTCAGCCAATTCGCGCGCGCATGCTTTAAGGGTCGTGATGAAGGAGAACTGATCGAGCAAGAAGCTTCGAGCCCTCAAGTTATTGAAAACACCAAAGGCCTTCCAGGGTGTTCCGCTAATGGAATAGGCTCTAAGCATAGTGTTGAACATGAACAGATTTGGGTCTCGGAAATTCTCGAATATGGAGGCCGCATATTGCGTGTCTTGTATTGACGAAGCGAGAAGCTTGCTGACGGAGAAAGGGTCGTGTTGCAGACCATTCGTGACCATAAAGCCATGAACTTGGGCGATTTGGGAAGTCCGATTGCAGGATTGCAGGAGGGAAGCGAGATCGCAGGAGAGGGAGACGATCGAATTCCGCTTTGGGTTATGGTGCTTCAACCGGCCCTCGACCTTTGAAGTCAAGCGCAAAGCATGGCGCATCTTCAGGAGAAATAAGGAAAGGTAGGGCCTTTGCCGGAAAGGCGGGATTTTTAGGATGAACAATAGAGGTTTGGTTTTCTTTTGGTAAACCGATCTACCGTTTTGGCCCGGCATGGAGGTTGAACCGGTAACTCCGGTTCCGGTTTCTTTCGGCCCAACATCTTTGCACCAATCCCATAAGAGCAAACCTAGAATGTTGATAAAACATTAAAACTAGAACTAACAATGTCTTCAAACTACATTACATCTTCTACCACAATGCCAAAACAGATTCCTAATGACCCATATCATACAGGCTAGTGCTTTGATAGTTCAGGAAGTAACACTTCTACAATCCGCTTCACAAAATAAAGACACAAGACCATCCCCTACCCAAAAAAATCTTCATCTTGTTCTGTGTCTTCTTCTCCATGACTAGATCATTTAAGCACCTAATCTGCGCCTTTGACGCAGCCTTGCACCGATGCTATCGGGACTTGGTGCAGCAGCTTGGTTAATAGTGATGCCACCAGAAGGTCCTAATCCGCTCCTTCGACGAAGCCTTCCACCAATGCTGTTGGGGCTCGGTGCAGTGGCTTGGTTCATCATGGTGCCACCAGAAGCTTTACCCTCCTTCACCATTGTTATTTCAACCTCATTGTGATCATCACTTACATCGAGTCTCCTGCTTGGCCTCCTCTGCCCCGCCTCCAAGTCCGTAACCATTTCATCTTTCTCTTCTTCATATTTGAGTTTGTTTTCAATCCTCCCTTCACTTTTAGGAAGAGTTGCTGATATAAATTTTGAATAGTCACAATCTACTTCACCCTCCATCCACACCAATCTCTTTATCTCGCTATTCAAAACTGGAGTTTCGCTGCCTGGTTTGAGTTCTTCAGAATGAGGTTGCTTAACTGGTGTATCTTGTTGATGCTCGATTTCACAAGGGTCCTCTGGTGCTGCTACTTCGGTATCTGAAAATGCAATTGAGCTTTTAGCAGACTCTTCACTTAGAGGAACTGAGCTTGTATTGGCAACAACATTGGTTTCTGGACATTGGGTCTGCATGAGGTAGTGTGCAACTGACTTGTACCCCAAGCTTGATATCTGGAAACACCAAAAAACAAAGGAAAACAAAGATATAATAAAAGGCACAAACTTCACCTCTGTACTCCAATAGCATAAAAATGCCAGATTTCAACATTCACTTACCTTTCTGTACATAATTCCAGTGGGAGCAAACCCTTTTGCTTGTCGACAAAAGCTGCAGTTGCAAATCCCGCGGCAGACTGGGCATATCCAGTTCGGATCTTCTAAGGCTTCAAGTACATGCTCACCATATCTAGTGGAATAACAGAGGGAAAAATTAAGTGCTGAATTAAAATAGGATTTCCCAAGTTCTCAGCTATCAATGTTTAGCTTAATGCTAGCAAGTTTCAGAACAAGTTGATCCAAGGATATTAAACCCACAACCAGCAAGTGTTTCACTTAGGTTCGTTAGTTAAACGTCTGCCGAAACAACCAACACTGCAAGCGCTAATGTACAGGAAACAAAAGTAAGTAATGTGAAAAAACCATACCTCATGTACAAGCAATCTCCACAAAACTGCCCTTGCACCCTTTGGCAACTGCTACAGTGAGTGCGATGGCCAAGAGTTTTCTGCCTGCATAAATGACAATTTCATCTTGTAATAGCATGTAGGAAATGCTATAACCATCTAAAGAGAGTAACACAGACGCAGACATTTAAACTGTCAAAGACTGGAATCACCTTCCAGCCTCCGCAAAGTGAGTTAATAGCATTAGGTTTCTAAGTGGCAACAACTGAAAATAAAGTAACTTGATCTCTTCTAAACAATTGCAACATGAAGTACACGTTTTTGTAGATTTTCTTCAATCCCCGTAACTACAATCGAGCTTGCAGAAGAGAAAATCGAGGGAAGAAACTGGTATTAAGGTACCACTGCGTACCACATCAACAATCTAGATACCGATAACTTCCCTGAAGCGAAGGCAGTTACAATCAACTTGCAAAATAGTAGAACCGTTCACAGCACAGATGTCACACACAATGAAGCATCGCTCGTTACATAACAGAGAAGCGATGGGGAAACACTAACCTGCACTGGTGGCAAGTCTTGCCATTGATGGGATCATAAATTCTTCTCCCATCATTCCCATATCCATCCACGAAAAGTGTCCAGGTCCTCTCGGTGCCTCCCAGCCTCTTAACCTGCTCTTCAGTGTAAACCTCCGGCTTGCTACCCCCAGCTCTGCGATCCGCACCTTCATCATCATCCAGCGCATCCCTTTTTGACTTCCTCCCTTCTGAATAGCTAGGGGGCTGTACATTTTGCAGCCTAATTCAACACCAAGTAAATTTCATCAAAAAATCAACCCACCAGGCCACCAGCATTTCCTTTAACCAAAATCTCCAAGTCACACAAAACCCTAACCCTTCCCATTTCCAGATTCTCATGCCAATCTGTGTCCATGCAAGAGAAACATCAATAAAAGAAGCAGCAAGCAAGATTTTCACAAAGCAAAACTAAACCATATACTCCACTCCAATTGATCTCCTTTAGCAGATTTTTTTCACCAACACAAAGAATCAGCAGCACGGAATGAAAACCCACAAGGGAAAAAGAAGAAAAGGGGTGAAATTTAATTGACCTAGACGAGCGGCGGCGTGGGGAAGAAAGCTCGGGCCTCTCGGAGAACTTAGTGTAGCTTTTGCGCTGCTGCTTGGGTTTGGTCCGGGAAAGAGGATTGAGGTTCAGAGAGAGCTCCTTGAGGCCGAGTTTCTGCATCCTCTCCAAGTTGGCTCTGATTCTCTCTTCTCTCGTCTGTTCGTAGACAGAAATCTTGGGCGTCTGAACGCCAATGTTCCCGTCGATTGCTGGTGGGTCCCGTCCCGGTGATCGGCTGTCCAGAGTCGCCATTTTCGTTTCTTTTCTTTGTTCTTAGTTCAACTCTCTCACAATCGGCTTCTTTGACGGCCGTCCTGTTGAGAGCGAACAGCGGTGAGTGGGCGAGTGAGAGTGAGAGTGAGAGGTGGAGTCTCAACGGTCGACTTTTCGTGGTTTTTTTTCAGAAGTGACTATTGAGGTGATAGTGGTGAGAGAGGGAGAAGAAAAAAGGAAAGTGAAAAGTCGGGATTAATCGGGGATTAAAATGGCATTTATAGCCTTTTAACAATTTAATTTGGGGTAATATTTTTTTGGCCTAATATCAAAAAGTGGTGATTTAATAATTTATGATAGATTTAACGGTCAATTAAATGGTGGTTAATTATTTTCTGATTTTGTGTCAACATAGTATCCACCTTATTGACGATATTGAAAATTTTCTTATAAATGTTTTAGGATTTTTGTACCACCAACTTAAATTAAAATTTTACTTTAATAAATTTCCCAATAAATGGGTGCGAATTATTCATCAAATACAATCAGCAACAAGAATCCCAAACATTCTTACAAGATAACACTCAAAATTCTTTATACAAGACAAGTCCCAATCCTTACTTCAGTGTAAGCATATTTGAGAAGTGTTGTGATTTAGAATCTTCGCTAAGTGAGCGAGAGATTTGAATAATAGTTATTCAAAAGATTTATTGAGGTTATATACAAAATTGTAATACTCTCCATATCTATATGTCTCATGTTTTCAACATCACACATAAAATTAGTGTATTTTGAGTTCTAATCTCATCCATAATTCATCATGAATCTGTACGATTTTTCATTCACATCACAACAATCGTTGAACTCAAAGAAACTTAAAGTATGAACTCGAGCTCCAACTATTAAAAATGATTAAGAACAAATTAAGTAAATCATGAATTAAGATTGTGATTTCTCGAAGAACTAAACAATTCGACTGCTACATCCTGCCCACTAGTGATGCTACGAGATAGTGTCATACTCTTAAATTCTTGACTGCTACTTTCAGCGTAGAGACTCTAAATTGGCCATCAAGGATGCCACATCGAGGAAACCTTCTCATTTCAAAGCGGGTGCCATACAAAAGGAAGTTCATTCTCTTTCATCCTCCTTTGTCTCAATCTCTGAGTCTTCTTGCTCCATATAATTTTAACATAACTGTTCACCTCATAGCAAAACAAACTCTTTTATCAAAAAATCGATTGAATACGGACTACCATTCTTATTGAAATTTTACACGTCCAAAACAAACAACCACCTACTTTCTCCTCCTCCTAAGCAAAATCCTTCCCCAAATGGATTTTCCCACCATATAATGAGGCCACTCAAGATCCCAATTCCCATGCATAGTCCAACTTGAGTGTACCACAAGACAAAAACATCATCAACCACAACAACAAGTCAGCAATAAACTTAATCGTTTCATCCTCCCACAAAAGTCTCATCACAGGTTGAGAAAAATGTACACTAACGAGTTTGATAAACTACCCACATGCCCAATATTACAGAAAATCCAACTCCAAACTCTCAACCTCCCCTGTTTTCCTCTTCTTTTTTTCCACACTACCAGGAGGAAGAAAAACCCAAAACCCACCTCCATACACAGCTCCTCTGGTCACGCCAACTTGCAACTTCACCAGCAGAAACTTCACAAGTTAGCTCTCCTCCTGTCATGAGAGCGTGGCAAAAAAACCCCATTCAAGCTTTCTTCCCCTGCATTAAATACTCTGCCCCATCTTCGTTTCCCAATTATAGATTAGCTGCTGCGGCTGGGAGAGGAAGAAAAAGGAAAAGAACCCAAAATCATGGGTCTGTTGGCCTTGCTTGTCGCGGTGATCTTCATCAATTTCAGCAGCTCAGCTCTCGGCGACGATGCTGCAAATGGCGGCGCTTCCTTCGTCTTCGGGGATTCGTTGGTTGATGCTGGCAACAACAATTTCTTCTCCACTCTGTCCAAGGCCAACATTCGGCCCAACGGGATCGATTTCACGGCGTCGGGCGGGAGTCCCACCGGGAGATACACCAACGGGAAAACCATCAGTGACATCGTCGGTAAGCTAATCAAACTGCGTTAGTACGATATTGTCTGCGTACTAATTAGGTTCTCTTATCATTTCGATGTGATGTTTGAATTGTATCACAAGTTCTAGTACCACTTGTTGAAACCCAGTGACAGAAGTCAGAAATCTGAACAACGGGCTGACGTAATTGCCGTAATTGGAGTAGGGAGGCTAAAGTCTTACAGACTATTCTAATTTCTAACTTCAATCTAGTTCTGTCACAGCTGAAATCGAGTGCTCCACTTGTAAAATATTGTACTTTTGGATATCTTTTCCAAAAGATATGGTACTAATGAATTCGATGAATACTTATATACAAGTCACAAGTGTCATTTTATTTTTCTTGAACTTTAAATGTGATACTTGGATTGTTCGAATATTTCTGGCCTAATCAATTTTGCAGGTGAAGAACTTGGGCAGTTGAACTACGCGCTGCCGTTCCTATCACCCAACACCACCGGAAAGGCGCTCCTTTCCGGGGTCAACTACGCCTCCGGCGGCGGAGGGATCATGAACGCCACCGGAAGAATCTTCGTCAACAGGCTGGGCATGGACGTGCAAATCGACTACTTTAACATCACGAGGAAGCAGCTCGACCAGCTTCTGGGAGCATCTAAGGCCAGAGAATTCCTCACCAAGAGCTCCATCTTCTCCATCACCGTCGGCGCCAACGACTTCCTCAACAACTACCTCCTCCCCGTCCTCTCCGTCGGCGCCAGGGTTTCGCAGAGCCCCGATGCCTTCATCGACGACATGATCTCACATTTGCGAGCTCAACTCACGGTACAAGATCGATTTTGCCAGTGAAAAGTTGGTTAATTACAAAATGGTACCTTTAGTTTTCTGGATTTGAAGTTTTGATTCCCCTGTTTTTTTTTGGGCCGTCGGTGGCAGAGGCTTTACCAAATGGATGCTCGGAAGTTCGTGATCGGCAACGTCGGTCCAATCGGGTGCATACCGTACCAGAAGACGATAAACCGGTTGAAGGAGAATGAATGCGTGGATTTGCCGAACAAGCTTGCGCTTCAGTACAATGGCAGGCTGAAGGATTTGCTGGCGGAGATGAATGACAATATGCCCGACGCCGTGTTTGTTCACGCTAATGTTTATGATTTGGTCATGGAGCTCATCAGCAATTATGCCAAATACGGTACGCAATATACGGCAAATTATACTTTGTTTTTTCGATGTAAAATTGTTCGACGGGTCACCTGAGGTTCACGTTGGATCCGTTTTGGTCATCGAAACAATATTTCATCTTTTTTTTGTCGTTTTCGTGAAAATTAGTGATTGCTATAGTGATCGTGATCTTCTAACCATTATAAATGGAACACAAAATTTCTATTGTGGGAAGGCCTACAATGAAGATCATTGTTGAAATGAACAAGCACCAATTCGAAACTCGTAAGAATTTTTTCGAGGTTTCATGGATCTCGTATAAAGCAGCTGCTGATCACACTTCATAAGGTCTGAGTTCATGGTAGTTTTTCTTCTGATGCTATCATGAACTCAAACCTTTTGAAGTGCTAGGAGAGCTGCTTGGTGCAGAAGTCATGATGAACTCGAACCTCATCACGAGAAAAGAAACCCCGTTACCCCCCTATCTCCGATGAGACTTTCAAACTTCATAGATATATGCAATCTATCACACAACACACACCAACTTTGATTTTCTTAATGGTCTCGCTTAATAATTCGCGTTTGATCGATGTGAAAGACTGATGATTTCTTTTGATTTTTCGTGATATCTCAAGGATTTACGACTTCGAGTAGGGCATGTTGTGGGAATGGAGGGCAATTCGCAGGAATAGTACCATGCGGACCAACATCGAGCATGTGTGGAGATCGTTCGAAGCATGTGTTTTGGGATCCATACCATCCCAGCGAGGCTGCCAATGTGATCATAGCAAAGCAGCTCTTGGATGGAGACACCAAATACATCTCTCCCATGAACCTTAGGCAGCTGAGAAACCATTGACGAATTTGCATTAAGGAAGAAGAAATTGTTTTGGGTTTTTAATTTGTGTGCGTGAAAGTGAAACTCGTGGTGCATGCATATGCATGGTTGTGTTAGTTTCACATATGGAATTTGTATTTTTTTTATTTTTATTTTATGTTTTTATGTTTCTTCTTTTCCCATTCGAGCAGCAACTGAGTTATTGTTCATGTGTCTAAGAGGAGAATTTTGCTCTGTTCATCATATTTTAAGTGAAATGATAAAATACACAATCCAGAACTACAAAACCTACAAAATTCATGTCTTACTATTCTTTTATACGAATCATATCACAGTAATACGATCATATCATAGATGGATTAGACAAATGAATTTTGTAGTCCTCAGTTTTATACCCTAACTCATGTCATATATTAATGAAAGTTCATGGAAAGAACGTTCCTACCTACTCTCGCTAATAAGGATTGATACTTTTGTTAGTAATTGGTTTTAGTTTTTTTTTAGGATTCTTAATAATTAGTGTTGCTAGGTTTTACTTTTTGTTTAGAACTTTTGATCAAATCCACACTCGACTCAATTAGTCAATCTCAAAGCGGATTTTCCTCCACCCAATCTGAAATTTATCAACCCGGCACGAGTTTTACTCGACCTAACGATATCCAAAAGAGTTGGGTACCCATGGATCTGTTGTGCAAAAAGCTTTTACTCACCCCTCCTTGAATGTATTACTACACATTTTCGTTTGGACAAAATCCTGACTTGATCATTTAAAATTGTTCGGCGGACCAATTTGTGAACTCCTGCTTGTGAAATAGGAAGCTCACCATCCTTCTAGTTGTCTCTTAGAGTACGCTAAATCACAGGATGGCAATGGGTAGGTTAGGGTGCGGGTTTACCCTATACCAACTCCTAACCCGCTGCCCGCTGGGTAGAGCCTCCTAAAATATCCGACCAAATAACCACCGGGTATGAAAATGATATAACCATACCCTACTGTCACGACCTTACTCTCGATCGTGCTGCCCTAGCTCTCAATTCCGTTAGAGCGCTAGGCAGCCTTTCTCTCAACTCACTTGAAAGCAAAGAACAAGAACAAAGACAAAGGAAATGGGAGAACTCTCTAGTGTGTATTACTCTAAAAAATGATGGAATGAGTACAAATGAGGGAGATGGCTCCTTATATAGGCCTCTCCACATACAAGGCATCAATGCCCCTCATAAAGTCCCTCTACTACATCAATACACTCCATTAAGTCCCCCCATTATGCACTCTATCAATGTCACCATTATGTGACTCATAAGTGCACTATAAAGCTCTACATTATGGTGGAGAATCCTAGGAGCATCTCTATGCTACTAGTCTTCCATGCATGCCACATGTGCTGCTGCCATGTTGTCACCTTGTTGGCGCCATGTCATCTGCCACATGTGACATCCTCCCCCACCTATGCTCGCGACGCCCTCGTCGCGTCCTCTTGATGGAATGCCTCGATCAAGTCCTTGTTCTTCCAAAGCGTGAGCTCTTTCTCCCATGTTGCTTCACTCTCCGGAAGGTTGCGCCACTTGACTAAGTACTCCACAAAGCTTGGATGTACGCCGCGACGAGGAATGACACGACGCGCCATGATTTCTTCGACTTCATGGTCGTGTGTCTTGGTGACGAGTGCTGGTGCGCGCTGCGGCTCCCTTCGCTGCTCGTCCTCCTTGTCTTCGTGGTAAGGTTTGAGTTGGCTCACATGAAAGACCGGATGGATCTCCAAGTGCGTCGGCAGCTCTACCTTGTATACCACATTGCGAATCCTCTTCACGATGGGGAATGGCCCTTCATAGCGGCGAAGCAGTCCCTTGTGCACGTTCTTGAGATGCTTGAAGCGATGAGGGTAGAACTTGACCATCACCATGTCTCCCTCTTCAAACTCCAAGTGCCGCCGCTTCTTGTCCGCCCATTTCTTCATCTTCCTGCTAGCGCGGGCTAAGTAAGACTTGGCCATCTCCATCTTCTCGTGCCAGCCTTTAGCGAACTTGTAGGCCGCCGGACTGTTGCCTCTATACCCCGTTGCCACCGTCGTAGGTGTCAAAGGTTGTTGCCCTGTCGCCAACTCAAATGGACTCGTGTTGGTCGACTCGCTGCGGTGTAAGTTGTAGGAAAACTGCGCCGTGTCCATCAACTTCACCCAATCTCGTTGGTTTGCACTCACGTAGTGCCGCAAGTACACTTCCAACAAGGCATTCACCCGCTCCGTCTGTCCGTCGCTTTGAGGATGAAATGCCGTCGAGAAGTTCAAGTTTGAGCCCATGATCTTGAACAACTCTCGCCAAAATCTGCCCGTGAAGCGCCCATCTCTGTCGCTCACGATGCTGCTAGGAATGCCCCAATACTTGACCACGCTCTTGAAGAATAGTCGTGCCGCATCCTCCGCCGTTAAGTCTTTTGGCCCAGGAATGAACACTCCATACTTCGAGAATCTGTCCACCACAACCATGATGCAACCGCATCCATCGACTTTGGGAAGTCCGATGATGAAGTCCATGCTCACACTCTCCCATGGTCGTTGAGGCGTGGGCAAGGGCTCTAGCAAGCCTGCCGGGCTTCTCTGCTCCATCTTGTCTTGTTGGCACACAAGACAAGTCTTCACATACATCTCCACGTCGTCTCTCATACGCGGCCAGAAATATGCTTCTTCGATGAGCGCTTGCGTTCTCTCGATGCCGGGATGGCCCGCCCACTTGGAATCATGGCACTCCTTTATGATCTCCTTCCTCAAGTTGGCCCATCTTGGCACGAACACCCGCTCTCCCTTGGTCATGATGAGCCCATCCTTCATCCAAAACCGCCGAGTTTTACCTTGCTCAATGTACTCCGCTACGGTTTTGGCGAAGGGGTCATGGCCAAGGCCTTCAACGATCCGCTCCTTCAAAGGAAACGTGGGCTGGCTGATGCTTGCGGCTGCACTCTTGCGGCTAAGAGCATCGGCAACGGAATTCGCCTTGCCTGGATTGTACTCCATGACGAAGTCGAACTCGGCCAAAAAGTCTTGCCACCTCGCTTGCTTAGGGGTGAGCTTCTTCTGCGTCAGAAAGTAGCTCGTTGCCACGTTGTCCGTCTTCACTACGAACTTTGACCCCAACAAGTAGTGCCTCCATGTGCGCAAGCAATGCACCACGACCGTCATCTCCTTCTCTTGAACGGTGTATCGCCTTTCCGTCTCGCTGAGCTTCCGACTCTCGAAGGCGATGGGATGCCCTTCTTGCATCAACACGCCCCCAATTGCAAAGTCGGATGCATCGGTCTGCACTTCGTAGGCCAACGTCGGGTTGGGGAGCACGAGCACGGGCTCCTTCATCACCGCTGCTTTCAAGGCCTCGAACGCTTCTTGGCACCTTTCCGACCAATCCCACGCCTTGTTCTTCTTCAAGAGATCCGTCAAGGGTGCTGCAATGTTGGAGTAGCCCTTGATAAACCTCCGATAGTAGTTGGCAAGGCCGAGGAATGACCGCAACTCTGGCACCTTCGTCGGCGGCTCCCATTCTTGGATTGCCTGCACCTTTGCTCCATCCATCTTCAACTTGCCTCCACCAATGATGTGCCCCAAGAATGGAACCTCCGTGGCGGCAAATGTGCACTTTTCCCTCTTGACATACAACTCATTGTCGCGAAGGACTTGGAAGACTTGGCGTAGATGCTCGGCATGCTCATCGAGTGTTTTGCTATACACGACGATGTCATCCAAGTAGACCACGACAAACCGGTCCAAGAATGGCTCGAACACTTGATTCATCAAAGTGCAACACGTGGCTGGTGCGTTGGTGAGACCGAATGGCATCACAAGAAACTTGTAAGAGCCATACCTCGTCACACAAGCCGTCTTTGGCTCGTCGCCCTCTGCTATCCGCACTTGATAGTAGCCCGAGCGAAGATCTAGCTTGGTGAACCACATTGCATCTCCAAGCTGGTCGAACAAGTCGGCAATGTTGGGAATCGGCCACTTGTTCTTCACCGTCAACTTGTTGATGGCTCTATAGTCGATGCACATCCGCAACGACCCTTCCTTCTTCTTTTGGAACAGCATCGGTGCTCCAAAAGGTGACTTCGATGGCCGCATGTAGCCTGCGTCCACCAAGTCCTTGAGTTGCCTCCGCAATTCTTCTAACTCCGGCGGCGACATGAGGTATGGTGCTCGCGAAGGGGGCTTCGCTCCTGGCTCCAACTCGATCTTGTGGTCCACCTCTCTTCTTGGAGGCAGCTTCTTGGGCAACTCCGATGGCATCACATCATCGAACTCTTCGAGGACACCTTCGATGATGGGAGTTGTGATTCCCATTGAGCCTCCTTCTTCCTCCATCTTCAAGGACACAAGAAAGGTTGGTTCATTCTTCTTGAACCCCTTCACCACTTGCATGGCCGATAGAGCACTATGGGGACCATCTTCTCTCAAGAGATGAACAGCATGGAACTCCCCTTCCTTCTCCAAGCACATCGTGTTGGAGTTGGGCTTCAAAAGGACTCCCTCCTTGTCGAGGAAGTGGATGCCGAGGATGACTGGGTGATCGTCCATGGTGACGACGGAAAAGTCGATGAGGCCTTCCCACTCGCCAAGCTTTATTGGTACGTTGTGAGCAACTCCATGGATCGGGATGGACTCCGAATTGATCGTCTTGAGCCTCCCTTGCCCCTTCTCGTAGGCAATACCCAGCCGGTTTGCCTCCTCGATGCGAAGAAAGTTGTCCGTGGCACCAGTATCCACCAAGGCTTTTGACTCGCCTTGCATGAATTGCGCCAGAACATAGCACCTCCCCCGCTTGCTCTCCTTGACGTCGGTCTTCGCCGCGCCAAGCTTGCAGATTGAGCCAATCTTGGCCTCCGCCGCCTTGGGCTCCTCATCTTGAGCTTCCATGGCTGCTAATCTCGCCTTCCTTGGGCAATCTCGCACTCGATGTGGTCCGTCGCAAAGGAAACAAGTCATGGGTTTTGGCTCGTACTTACTCCATTTGCTCGAACCACCTTGGTGTTGTTGAGTGCGAGAACCTTCCTTGAAAGGCTTCTGCTGTTCTCCACCCTTGTTGGGCTTCGAACTCTTCTCTTTGCCGCTGCTCTCTTGTCGTTTGTACTCGACAAAAGACTCCGCCGTGGCCATGGCAGTTGCAAGGTCTTGCACTCCTCGACGTTGCATCTCCATCTTGGCCCATGGTTGCATCCCATCAAGAAAGCCGTGCATGGCCTCCTTGTCCGTGATGTCCGGGATCTCTAGAAGCAGCTCCGAGAATTCTTTCACGTATTCTCGAACTCCACCCCTCTGGGTGAGTCTTCTCAACTTCGAACGGGCTTCAAACTCCACGTTCTCTGGGTAGAACTGCCTCTTGATTTCTCTCTTGAAATCTTCCCACGTTACCATCACACAAGTACCTCTTTCGACGTCCGCTTCACGTCGCCTCCACCACACCATGGCAACATCAACCAAGTAAAGTGGAGCGGTACGAATCTTTACCTCATCCTCTTGGATGCCGGACGCCTTGAAGTACTGCTCAAGACTCCAAAGGAAGTTCTCTAACTCCCTCGCATTCCGTGAACCTCCGAAGCTCTTCGGTCTTGGAATATCAGCACGTGGGACGGATTGCACCGTGGCTGGTCCGCTAGCCATGGCTCTCTTCACGAGAGTGACCTCACTCTTGAGATCTGCAATCTCCTCCTTCACGCCGACCAGCTCAGTCTGGACTTGCTCTTTCACAACTCCAATGGCGTTGTTCAAGGATGTGGTGATGGTGTTGTTGATGAGGGCCACAAGCTCTTCTCGTAAGCCATCATTACCAATCTCCAAGCTCGACAAACGAGCATTCATACCTTGAAAATCGCTTTCGACTTGGGTGAAGTTTGCTCCCAAATCCTCGATGGCACTGATGTCTTCCGCCAACTTCACCTCCATTCTAGAGACACGCCTCTCTAGAGACGTCATAGGATCACGAGTGCTTGACTTGTCACCCTTTGGTTTGGGATTCTTCACGGTATCCCTTCCACGGTGCTTCTCATCGTCGTGGACTTCTGATCCAGTCATTTTTGGTGAGGTTCTTCCTTTCCTTCTGGCTCTAGGTTCAACTTTGCTAGCACAAAGCCGAACCAGGCTCTGATACCACTTGTCACGACCTTACTCTCGATCGTGCGGCCCTAGCTCTCAATTCCGTTAGAGCGCTAGGCAGCCTTTCTCTCAACTCACTTGAAAGCAAAGAACAAGAACAAAGACAAAGGAAATGGGAGAACTCTCTAGTGTGTATTACTCTCAAAAATGATGGAATGAGTACAAATGAGGGAGATGGCTCCTTATATAGGCCTCTCCACATACAAGGCATCAATGCCCCTCATAAAGTCCCTCTACTACATCAATACACCCCATTAAGTCACCCCATTATGCACTCTATCAATGTCACCATTATGTGACTCATAAGTGCACTATAAAGCTCTACATTATGGTGGAGAATCCTAGGAGCATCTCTATGCTACTAGTCTTCCATGCATGCCACATGTGCTGCTGCCATGTTGTCACCTTGTTGGCGCCATGTCATCTGCCACATGTGACACTACCCACCGGGTAACCACGGGTATTCGGGTAGCCATGGGTACAAATCTTAAAATATGAACTTATACACATATATGCACATACATATTGTTGTCCATTAAAAATTCTCAATACTTGCAACTGTTCTAGCTTCAACAATCCACACAAATAAAAACAGCAAACACATAATAATTGTTCTTCCTTCTACAATCCACACAGACAAAAACACAATGCATCATATTTGCTCTACCTTCAACAATCCACACATAAACAAAAACAACAAAGACAATATTAGAACCAGACCACATCAAATGCTCACTGCTTAACTTATGCTTCATGACATCCATCAAAGCATCATTAGTAGAACAATTATCCAAGGTAATCGTAGATACCTTTGTGTCAATATCCCAAGCAAGTAAAGTTTCAAGAAGAGCCTGAGCAAGCACCTCACTTGTGTGTGGGCAAGGAAAATCGACTGCTGGGTAGGGTTAGGGCTAGGGAAATTGACCCTTTGGTTAGCGGGGCGAGTATAACAGGGCGGGTATTATCGATTATCATACTCGTACCCTACCCTTTATTTTGAAACCGGGTATTACCTGTATCCGCCCCTTAACCCATCAAAGCGGTAAATTACCCTCGTTGACCGGTTACGGTTGGGTAGGGTACCCATAATTACGGGTTGGATTAACATCCCTAATCACAAGTGCTTAGGTAGTGTTTGATTCAGACATTCCACGTGTGTATCTTATTTGCGGTTATATACGTGAATCCATAGATGCTCATATACCCATAAAAACCAGCTAGCTAGGTGGGATTTTCTCTTCTATGTGGCCCGTGGATATTATATGGAAATATTTTTTTACAAGTATACTTCCTATATAGGATTTGAATTTAGAAAAACCTGATCCAACTCGACTCATTGCCATCCTAGTTGCTCGCTAATCACCTAAAGGTTCATTAGTATATTTCACCCCAAAAAAAGGTTGATTACGTGTAGTGTAGAGCATGAACATGGAAAGTTGGATGGATGGATGGATGGGGAGTGGGAGATGAAAGTGACGCATGAGAGATTCCCCAATAGGCAGGCAGGCAAGAGCAATAGAGGCAGGCAGGCAGCCAGGCAGAGAGTGTTTTGTTTGTATTTTTGTAGCTTGTTTGGAAGCTGCGCGTGCCCTCTGCCGCGAATCCTTCCCTCCGTCGCTTCCTAGCAGCAAGCTTCTTTCTCTTATCACCTCTGCCAGGCTGCAGATGATGATTCCCAGTCCATTGCCAAACAGATAGTACAATTCCTACTTACCAGTCTATCGTTTATCGCCAAACCCCAAAATAAGAAAAAGAAGGAACAGAGGAGGAAGGGCTCAGCTGCTTCGCTTCCTTTCCTTTCCTTACTTACCCGGCCTCTTCTGCAGCGCCACTGTCGTCTGAATTACTGCTGCAACTGCCGGGCAGAGCAGAGGGTTCCCTCTGTGTGTTTTGGATATGAGATTTGAAGGGCCCAATTCCATTTCTTTTTTGTCGTCCCAATTGGACTTTTTTTTACCCAAATGTTCCTATTCCCCTTCCTCTCCACTTCTTCTCCTCCATTCCATGCCAAGTTGCCCTCTTCTTTGCTTTTTTTCTCCTGGTGCCTTTCTGGTTCTCACTCATGGATCATCTTTTGGCCTTTGCTGATCAATCACCTTCAAATAATTGGAGCAACAGAGTGAACTAATTGCAGAACCCCAGCTATACCTATATAGCATGTAATATAGCTACTACTATATTACAACTTTTCCACTCCTATATGTTCATATATTCTCCTCTAGTCCTCTTTATGCTTTGAAAAAAAAAAAGGGGGAATGGAAGATAGTTTCATGGATCATCAATTATTGGTCGAAAAAGTTTCGCTACGCGATGTTAATGTCGTTGGTATTAGAGTATGAGTAGTACGAGTAGTATTATTTTATACTATGAGTACTGTTATGTAATTGGGCAGAGTCTGTTAGTGTTGTGGTATATGATTCACAATTGAACCTCTCCCAACAACTCAAGTCATCGGGAACAACTGGTTCTTGATAGTTGGATGGCGGTTTTTCCCCGCGCTCTGCCTATTTCCAGCTTCCAGATTGAACATTTTTTTTTTGTTGTTGTTGTAAGTAAATACCAACTGTGTATTCAGGGGCGGAGCTAGAATTTAGTTTTCGGGGGGGCCGGAATCCAGTTACCGTAAATGACGAAAATATTAATAAATAAGTATTTGACAAAACTAATTATACACACAATATTTTTATATTAAATTCAATATAAATTAGAATAATATGAAGAAATTAACAATGAATTTCAATTTTTGTGTAGCATATTATGTTTTCATAACTAAAAAGTGAAGCTCTACCGATATTACTATTCAAAAAATTACTCATTATATATATGAAAGTAACCTTAGAATTACAAATTTTATTGGTATAGCTTAGCCTTATACAGGGCGAAAGAATTGACCATACGGCAATACCCTTTCTTCTTGTTAAGTGAAAAATGTAAAGAAAAACAAAACAAAATGCAATTACAAATTTTATTGGTATACCTTAGCCTTATACAGGGCGAAAGAATTGACCATACGGCAATACCCTTTCTTCTTGTTAAGTGAAAAATGTAAAGAAAAACAAAACATTGCCTTTCTTCTTGTTAAGTGAAAAATGTAAAGAAAAACAAAACAAAATGCAATTACAAATTTTATTGGTATACCTTAGCCTTATACAGGGCGAAAGAATTGACCATACGGCAATACCCTTTCTTCTTGTTAAGTGAAAAATGTAAAGAAAAACAAAACATTGCCTTTCTTCTTGTTAAGTGAAAAATGTAAAGAAAAACAAAACAAAATGCAATTACAAATTTTATTGGTATACCTTAGCCTTATACATGGCGAAAGAATTGACCATACGGCAATACCCTTTCTTCTTGTTAAGTGAAAAATGTAAAGAAAAACAAAACAAAATGCTTTGAAGAAGGTTCGAAACCTTGATTTGGTAGAACATAATGCACATACACAGTTTACTTCTGCTACGGCAATACCCTTTCTTCTTGTTAAGTGAAAAATGTAAAGAAAAACAAAACAAAATGCTTTGAAGAAGGTTCGAAACCTTGATTTGGTAGAACATAATGCACATACACAGTTTACTTCCGCTGGACTACTTGAAGTTTCTTGGTAACAATTCTCATGTCGGTTGGGATTTATAGATATTCTTCAATTTATACGTATAATCTCGAACTCGTTACACGTAACTTTCAAAATTCTCGGGGGGCGGCCTAAGCTAGCTCCGCCCCTGTGTGTTTAAACAACGATTGGTTATATAAATGTATAAGGTGATTCGCTCCGTATCTTGGCGAACTAAAAATGATTTTTTGGAATTGTAAATACTCAATTTGTTCATAATTAGAAGAACATATTCAAATCTCTTTTGTGGAAGAGGACGTAAATGGGATATCTAGTTTGAAAATGTGGCGAGAGAGAACAAAGAAATGGACTGACGAGAGAGAGATGAGACAAAGGGAGAAGGAAGGAAATTGAAGTAAGCAGGGCATGGGAACAAACAAAGCAGATCAGATCAGAGCAGATCAAATCAATCTTTGACTACTCCAATACCCACCAAAACCCAGCGACGACTGTTCCCCTCTTTGAGTTTCGATTTTGTTGGGAAGAGGAGGTGGCGGAGAGATGACCGTTGGATGGGAAGGGGGGGAGATCCAACGGCGGCGATGCGGCGGGGAGGGGGGAATAAGGGAAACAGTCGGTGTCGGGTAGTGGGAACAGTTTAGCGCGAAATCCGGCAAAAAAAGGGAATCGCACGGCGGCAGAGCCGAGAGAGAGGAGTACGGACGGCGGGAGAGAATCTGATGCGGATGCGGGACACGACGGCGACGCGTCTCCCCCACAAATCAGCAGCCTGCAATTTGGGATTTTTTTTTTTTTCAAATTTTATTCCAAGAAGAAACAAAAAGAAAAAGGGAATGGGGAAGGAAGGAAGAATGAGAGAAAAAGAGAGAGGGGTCTTCTTCCATTATTGGCTGGCTCCCCACGCTGCTCCGACATCCATCATTCTGTCCCCCGCCCGCACTAGCTCCTCTTTCTCTTTCTCTCTCTAGTCTCAGAAAAGCAATTAGGTTTCTTGGATTGCGGCTAATACCCTAATCTTTAATTAGGAAAAAAATGGATGATCGGCCTTCCTTTCCAACCTAGAGCTACCTACCTTGACAACAATTGACACGAATGAACAATGTGCTCTCTTCCTTGCCTTCAATACAATTCCTTCATGGTTGGTATAAAAAAAAAAAAACTTTTAAGTAAGGATTTACATTGACACGTTGGTGTGCTTTGAGCTTAACGTATGTACGTAGGACATGTGTGCGACGTTAATGTGTTGAAACGTACGCAGAATATGTGCAACGTTAGTGCGGTTAAACTCACCATTTTTTTTGGGTAGAAGCATGAGTAAACACCAACGTGTCTAGTTGAGGGCACCCCATAGGTACAACATCCACCACAAACAACATAGACAACAAGAGATGGAGTGTGGCCCCCCCTGTTTGACAAACTATACTTGAAATGTCACCGAACCGCGAATTCAAAAGAGTCTTCGATTTAGGAAACCCCAGTTTCTTTCGAGCAATTTGAAGCGGTAACTTCTGTCGACATTGTTAGAGATTTTTGTTTTCTCATCATTGTGGAGCCGGAATGAGCTTTCATCGCGTCCATATGTACTCCTTTCTATATAGCAACTCATTGACGATGTATAAAACACGCATATATGTCATCAGTGACAACCAGATAATATCAATATTAGATGAGATCATCGCTGACAACTCAAGATGATTCATCGTGAATCCAGTGATATGTCTTTTTCTCTAAAAATGCATTATTGATTTCAAAACATTTCAAACTCAAATTACAACCAGCCATTGTGCTTTGGTTATATACATATTTTGTGATTAGTTTACTTTTGAACCCACTCAAAACTTCATTGATTATGGATTATCTAGGATCATGTGCTGTAGTGCCTTGCACCAAACCAAAGTAATTTAGTAAAGAACATGAAGACTAATGAAAGAAGCAGAAGTCACCCTACCACATAGAAAGAGACTCTTACCTCACACTACAATCACTAGCCCTCGTTGATTAAGTTGTGGCATTGTCGAGTAGTGCCATAGTGGAAACTTGATCATGATATATTAGCACAAGAAAATTAAGCCCATCCCATTTCCTCTCTCCAATAGTAATCGCAAGTTATTCATAGTTTAAGTACTCGATAAGTTCATTCAACACACAAATGGCATGAATTAAGCGGGAGATAATCATTTGTTAATTGAACTTTGTTTGAATAAGACATTTGTGAAATCATCTCAACCGACTTTACATAGAGAACTTTGGTCCCTAGTGAAGATTTTATTGGCCAAGTGGGCCAATAATGAAGACTTTGTAGCAAACACGACAGAGCTTGAATTGGGTGGGAGAAGATCATTAATTTAAGCTCCATAGATAAGGGTTCGGCACTATACAATTGGTCTAGAACGTACATGATTAAGAATTGTTTGATTTGGTTCATGATCTACACTATGGATTGTTTTGTTCTCTTAATCTGGTCTGGTCCAAGCAGGAATTGATCACACAAGATTGTGAACCCAACCCGCTTATCAATAGCTTTTATCAGCCACTCGACCACTCTCCCCACTCCCTGACTATGCCTCAAATCTCAATCCGAATGTCACGAATCTTGTCACATCCTTTATATGGAGACCACACTTCACTACAGACTAGAGACATTCGTGTCTCTATATGACATTATGTCAATGTTTCTGACGTTATAATGGAAGTTGGGTTGATTTGTTTTGTGTCTTTGTTTGAATTTAAAGTATTAAGATTAAGCATTCAAGCTAGAATTTAGATTTGAAGGCACAAACCTTTCCTCGGTTATTGGTTTGATTTCTACGACCAAACAAATTGTTCAATTTTTTACTTAATATGGTATGTCGATTCCGATCGTACCGAATAATACTGATATAATATTAGATTTATATAGTATTTCAATTCCTTAATATTACTTAATATGGTATTTCAATTCCTCAATCTAACTCACAAACCATACATATAATCCATATAATATTTGGATGGTTTAATACACTTGTATATCCAAAAACTTTCACGGTTGTGCCAATAATATCCAAATTTTCCGGAATACCACGTATATCCATGTTTTAAAGTTGTTCTTTGCCAAATCTATTCATTTCCCAATATATTTTTGGCTAAATACACTTGTATATCCAAAAACACTGTTAAAGAATGTGAAAGAATTGGATATAAGTGGTATTTCAGGAAATTTGGATATTATTGGCACACATCTGAAAGTTTTGGATATACAAGTGTATTTAACCTATTTGGATATGATAGGAAGGTTGTTTTATTTTCTTCGTCGTATCCAAAATTGTAAAAAAATGTTAGGAGCATTTGCTCCCCCACACCTCCATCTATACACCAACGGTTCATAAATCGGGAAGGGGGAAAAAACATATAGCACGTGCCTTTTCTTCTGATTAATCTTTTCCATTTCCTCCTAATTTTGATTAATCCACTTATGATCGTTGTCATGACTCCTAATTATAACCACAGTGGTCCACTCTCCACAACAACTATCGTTTTCCAAATATAAGTGCAATTTGTTTTCTTTTCTCTCCTACTCCATCTCTAAAACCTATCATTTTCTTCAGTTAATATGCCACCCGATTATCAAATCCAATCGAATCGCCCCCACTTTGACAAACAAAACCAGACAACGCCGACTAAACACCAAAGATCAACTTCATAATATAATTAATCTTTCTGTTGTTATCCCAAAGGAAGGAGCTATGAATCTTCGAGATATAATCGCTCAAAATATTTCTTATTACTTCTTCTCGTGTATGGAAGTTCTTTCTCGGTAATTGCCTTGGTAAAAGGTTTTGTGGGGGTAACTATTATTCTATGAGAGAACATATACTTGAGATACGCTTTATTGTTTAGGGGAAACTATATAATCTGTGTGAATTCTGTGTGTGTTTAGCGAAAACTATGTAATCTTTGTGTATTCTATGTGGTAGGGTGAATGAGTCACGAGATCACTTGTTCCTCTTATGCTTTTACTCGTCTAGCTCTAGCCCAACAAAGACCATCATCCACCATTATGTTATAAGTTGGCTAAAACAGAATCGAAAATGCGCTTAATACAAAACAAACTATTTCATTCAAAACATTAGATATCGAAATATATGATTAACCGTGATACAATCGAGCTGTGACCGGGACAATTAGAGTAATAACAAGTCACTCCAATCCTCACCCCCCACTTCCCACTATTCAAGTACTTCACTCATCGTTATCCTAGCACAGAGGACAAAGCCAAAATTTCAATACCTGAGCCATTTTCTTATTCATTAATTAATTCCAACGTTTAGGAAGCTAGCTACAAAACCCCAGAGATTATGCAGATTCATATCAGAAACGGCGCACCAAAACAACTGCTACACTACAAAACTCGGCCGCACTCCTACTTTAGCTTGCCTGCCTCTGTACTCTGTAGCCGACTCGTAGCCCCAAAAAACCCCAATCCCCATTTCCCCCTCTTCCATAATCATCCATTAATCTAAAAATCTCTGCTCCAACATTGAAAATCCAATCCAAACTCGACCCAACCAACCGCCAAAAAACGAAGAAAAAACAACAACAGCAAAGAACCCAATAAAGCTGCAATTCCTTCCACCTCTGTTCCCTCTGCTCATAAAACCCGCAGAAATTCGCTTCAGAATCCTCTCGTCTCTCTCTTCATCGCTCTCTCCATAAAATCCCACTCCCCCTTCTTCCCCATTTCACATACCCATTTCCCCACACACTTGCTCTGTTTCCTCTTCCTCTGTTTCTTCCCCTTCCACCATTACCGAATCTCTAGAAGGAAAAAAGGAATCAACTTTCTTCAATCATGACTTCGGTGGCCGCCATGGGCGAGACTGCAACGACGACGGCGAAGCGGGGGATGAAACCCTTCATCAACGGCGTCCCAATCACCACCACCACCGGCGGAGGAGGAGCTTCCACGCACAACCCCCTGCCCCCGCCGGAGCAAGAGCACCTCCCCTGCCCGCGCTGCGACTCCACCAACACCAAGTTCTGCTACTACAACAACTACAACTTCTCCCAGCCCCGCCACTTCTGCAAGTCCTGCCGCCGCTACTGGACCCAGGGCGGCACCCTCCGCGACATCCCCGTCGGCGGCGGGACCCGCAAGAGCGCCAAGCGGTGCCGCACCTCCTTCCACACCACCACCGCCGCCTCCTCCGCCGCTACCTCTTCCGCCGTCACCAGTCCGGCGAGATCAGCCGGCGTCGAGGGGATCGCTTCATCGCAGTTGATGCAGGGGAGGAACGGAGCGACGGCGCTGCATTACGGCGATCAGGCGGGGAAGGCGAATTTCTTCTGGGCTATTGGAGGTCCGTTGGGCCTTGGGCTTGACGGGAAGGGGAATGGGCCTGGATCTCTCTGTGGGAGCTTTACTTCCCTGCTGAGCAATCCTGGGCCTGGGCTTGGAAGTGGTGGGTTTGTGCAGGGGTTTGAAGATGTGGGCTTTGGACTGGGGAGAGGGATCTGGCCTCTTCACGGTATGGAGGACGGCGGCGGTGCTGCTGTTGCTGCTGGTGGTCATTTTGGTGGTGGCAACAATGCCGGCGGTGGTTCCGTGGGGATGGGTGGCATTACCGGCGGCAATCCGTGGCAGTTCGAGAGCGGGGAGAGTGGGTTTCTTGTGGCCGGCGGTGGGGGTAATGATTGCCTGTCTTGGCCTGATTTGTCAATTTCAACTCTTGGAAATGGACTCAAATGAGTGGTTGTTGGGATGTGGGTGTCTTTTTGTAATTTGTTCGTTTTTAAGGTGGAGGAGGAATTGTAGAAGGTGGGGTTTAATAGTTTTTAGTTAGTGGTAATGGTATATTAGCTAATATGAAACCAGTTAAAAAATTAGTGGCTCTTTTAAATTTTGGTGTTGGCTTGAATGCTTGTGTTAATGACTTTAGTTTTACTAGTTCAATATTTTTAAGGTGCAGATTCCATTGAACATCCTATAGCAGAGGCTTGCCCAATTATTACTCTAAATATATGCATTTTCTTGTGATCGAAAGAACAATTTATAGCGACTCCTTTGCTCATGTGGTTAGCAGAATTGGATCTCCAACCCTTCTACATATGGGCTACCAAATGAATGAAATGCCTGCAACATTTTTGTTTTTTCTACAACTACGCAATTCACATTCTCTTTTGAGCATCTAAGGACTAAGGACTATTTTGTAGGGTTCGGAAACAGTGTGGTCTGGTATATACTGACTAAACAAATGAGCCAAACAAATGAACGATTCGGGAGATATGCATTTCTTGTGATGGAAAAGAAAAATCGATAGAATATATAATATTCATTATTTGTTCCCTTCTTTATTTTAAATTTTTTACATTTATCTTTTAATGGCTTTTCAAATGTGTTACATTGAATTAAACATAAAATTTTGTTTGATTTTTTCATAATAATATTTCCCGATGTTAATTTAATCTTCACAAGAAATGGATATCTTACTTTTGGTAAATACAATTCTGAATGTTAGATATTGAGCATGAATGATAACTGTTTTGTTGAGAAATAAATACTTACTTATAATATCATAAACTTACATTAAAAGACCACAAATTTGTTCTTATAAATGAATTGGCGAAAACATAAAGAACTTAAAACAACTAAATCATAACTGTAAATTAATTGATTCATAAGACAATATAATAGGTAAAAAGTAAACTTGAATTGATAAACAGTTGATAAATGCTTATCGGTTATAATCCAACCAAATTAAACCACTCTAGTTCAGAACACCAACCTTAATTTTCCCTAACAAATTGGAAGGAACAAAACCTGTTTTTAGTTCACAGTAGAAATTAAACGTACGTAACTTCCGCAATGGGACCAGGACAACGGTTCTTCTTCCCACTTAAAGTTTGTAATCCTTTCAAACAATTTTCTTCAGTTTAAAAAGCCACCCCCATAATTCAGATTCATTCCACCAAAATTCTCTCTTCAGTTTATTGAAAATCCAGTGATTTGGGTCACCATGACTTCCTTAATGAATCCACTCCTTATCACCACCACAAGTTTTTTCCTCTTCTTTACCCATTTCCAGCATTTTGCAGGTAAAAAAAATTTCATCACTCTCTTCTTCTTTCCCACCTTTGGCTAGCGTGTTAACCGAAATTAGGGTTAGTGCGCCAGCTGACATCATTCAGAATTAAGATTGCTCTGCTCATTTTTCTCTTTCGATAGATGACAATGAAAAAGACATTTATCTAGTTGTTGTCCTGAAGGTCAAGATTTTTTCAAGAGGAACTCGTAGTTGCCCTTTGTGTGCTTAAAAGATGGATATTATTCTTTCCCCTTCCCTTTCCAGCCAAATGCCATAGTATGGCAACCATCACAAGTACGTACATAGGTCTATATTTGAACGAGAATGTCATGTCGTCCAATAAAACCTAGAAGAAGGCGACTCGCACAGACATCTGACTCATCTCTATCAAAAATCACCTCATGCACATCCATCACACAGAAATCACAATGCCTCGCATTACCCCGATGATGTCAGCACAACCCAATCTCTAACCCTATAACCCTATCCATCCATCCATCCAATACGCTAGCATGTTCAGTTTAATGATAAAAAAAATGATCTGCACAACTTATAGAGTTAGCCGACCGTCGTCCTCTGACGACACGTCCAAGTCAATTTAATTAAAAAAAAAAAATTCATGTGTTTCTCGTGCATGCATGCAGACGCCCAAGGACTGGGCGTAACCCTAGCCCGGGAGATGCAATCCCCGCCGTCCCCCAAATCCATCATGTGGCTCCTCCGCCAGAAGTCCATGAAGCGTGCCAAAGTCTACGACGCCTTCTTCGACCGGGACCTCCTCACCGCCCTCCAGGACACCGGCGTTGACGTCCTCGTCGGCATGAACAACGCCGACGTCGGCCGCGTCGCCGCCGACGATTCGTCCAACGAGGCCGTCAAGTGGTTGGAGTCCAACATCAAGCCGTTCTACGGCCGGGTAAGCTTCCGGTGCCTCCAGCTCGGGTCGAAGATGGCGCTTCAGGGGAACCACGAGATCTCGACGCTGCTCCAGGCCATGGTTCACGTCCAGGCCGCGCAGAAGAGGCTCGGCCTCGATATCTCGCTGGGAATTGATTTGGATAATGCGGCGCTGGCGGAGTCTTTCCCGCCGTCGGCGGCGGCGTTCGACGGGGCTATAGTGCCGGTGCTGAGGCCGTTGTTGACGTTCATGGAGCATAATATGGGGACACTTGTTGTTTCCATATTCCCCATGATAAGGTACGTACTTGTGGGGTGACGGTGGATATCTTTTTAACGATTTGAGTTACGAGGTCAGTTGGTTTATGACATGATATTAGCATTGGTTTTATAGTGTGATGTCACGTGTTGGAGTCATCGTGACCTCCATCTGAACCGTTTATTTGAAAGCACATTGATCATGTGGTGGATCTGTACAAATTTCAAGCATACGAGTTTGACTTTCGTTCGAGGAGCAGGTGTGTAAGGAGAGTGGTTTAGGGCTGGGATATCGGTTTTGCTTTTTCAGGTTAATCCGAGACCCAACCGTTAAGGAACATAATGGTTTCTGATTTTTGATCCTAGATAGTACGGTTTCACTTTTGGTTTGAACAAAAAAAACAATAAGAAACCGAAACACACTCTTTTGGTAGGAGTAATGTAAAGCTTGTAAGGTTTAACTACTTGGTGCTCTTACTCGGTTTGGTTTTTTCTTCATACCAAAATCGATTCGTTAAGAGGCTTATCGGTTTTCATAAATCGAAAACCGATTATCTCCTTTAACGTTTCGGTTTCGGTTTGGGAGAATTACCTGCTTCGATTTTTTGTTTTAGTCTTAACGGGTCGGTTAATCAGACCGAACCGAATATACATATTTAATTAAAGTGATTCCAACCTCTATATATAAATCTCTTTCAACAACTCGAGTAACCGAAATGAATTCGTCTATCAATCTCGTTCCTAAATTTGGAATTTCCGGTCCTAAACTCTTAATTTCCTCCCCTTCCGATACATTCAAACATTTTTATTTTTATTTTGCTTTTTGAAGGTATGTGACGGACCCATACTACGAGTACAAGGGCATGAACATCGACTACGCGCTCCTCAACGGCGTGTCGCCGGCGGTGACGGACAACGGCCTCCAGTACACCAACATGATGGACGGCCTCGTGGACGCCTTCTACACTTCGCTGAGCAAGCTCGGGATCACGATGCGGGTGATCGTCGGCGAGACCGGCTGGGCGTCGGGATCCACGGTGAAATACGCCACCCCGAAGCTGGCCGGCGAGTACATCTACAACCTGGCGGAGCGGCTGAGGAACAACGTCGGGACGCCGCTGAAGCCCAACTGGCCGGTGGAGACTTTCATCCACACGCTCTACGTCCAGGACAAGAACAACAACGGGCTGTACAAATGGTACGGAATGTTTTATCCCAATGGGTCGCCGGCGAATCCTTTCCTCAACCTTTGATAACAAAGAGGGATGAGAGAGAGAGAGCGCGCTTAAATTAGGGTATTGTATTTTTTTGGTAATCAGGCGAATTCGAGCTAGATCGAATCGGGTTATGGTTTTGTTAATCCACACTTGTTTAAACAAATTTCAAATAAAGCTGTTCGATGTTCTTGATGATCTACCTGACAAATCTAAATTTCATTAACCCTACTCCTATGGAGATTCAGTGGAGCTCCGAAACTACAACTATGGTCTATGAGTATGACTACATTTGAAGAGAAAAAGGTAAAGTTAAAGATAAAGTTTGACAATAGGTTGTCTGGTGTCATTTTGGCGAACCTCTTCTCCGCATCTTCACCTCCTATTTATAACCACCTGAAGTAACTGTCTCGAGAAACCGCTCTGCTGACGTGGAATTGCGGTTACCCTCTCAACTGCTCTGATTATGCCCCGCCATTGGTAGTAATCCCCTCTTCAGTCTTAGCCCCCTTGTTTCGATAGCTATGCTTGCCAATTGAGGAAAATGAAGAAGCGTGAAGACCCCCTTGCCACATGTGGGTGGGTGTTTGGATCACATAGGGTAAAAATGGCAAAATGAACTCACCACTATAGTCCACAAGAGCGACATACTTGGCCATATTTCACCCACTAGAGGGTATAATAGCTATGTCGCTCACGTCGCCACCATTTCCAGATCCTCTGGCCAAAACTTGTGAGGTTTATGTTAATGCCACTCCCTGATCATCTCATGGGGGCGTATGCCGATCACCCTTTTGACTATACCATGGGTGATAAGCTCATGGGGGTGGCACGCTGATGACCCCTCCTGACTACCACATGAGGGGCATACGTTGGTGACCACCCCCTGATCATATCATGTGGGGTGCTCCTTATCATCCTCATCATTTTCCATACTTAGCCAAATTTCCAACTCACCACATCATGGGGGTGACGGTATGTCGACCACCCCCTCACCACTTCATGGGGGTGGCAGTATGGTGATCACCCCCCTCAGCACATTATGGGGTGACGGTATGTCAACCACCCTCTCACCACGTCATGGGGGTGACAGTATGTCGACCACCCCCCTTACCACGTCATGGGGGTGGCTCCAACACTTAGCCAAATTTTGGAATAAATGACAAGGGTGGCGCGCATGATGGCATTGGCATGGGTGCCATGAGCCCAAAAATCCAAACCACGTGACTCATTTTAATAATTATAATTAAGTTGGCCTTATAAAACCATTTAATCCCTTGTGATGTGGTATGAATTGATTTTTCAGTGGTAAACAAATTGTTTAGATGGAATGTGGTTAGTTATAAGAAGGTTATGTGAATAAGAAGGGAGCTAGCTAGGATGTTCTTTGGACAAGGATAACTAGAGGATGAAAATGTTGATTACTTGATTAGTCTCGTTCGACTCGATATATATATACTAGTAATCTAGTATGGTGTTGGAATTGATATTCAGAGACGATAATATTATAGTGTAACTTTTGATGACATGAAATTGAGTTCGACATGTCGAATATATAGTAGATTTTTGTCTATTTTTCTGTTTCGAAATTCATGCAATTTGTATGTTATATATATCTCGACTTGAGTTGGTTAGTTATAAGAAGGTGTAATGTGAATAAGAAGTGATTTGTTTGGATATAGATAGTTGGGGTACGAAAGGTTATAATATTGTTAAGATGAAGCGATTTTTTTTTTTTGCTAAATATTTCAAAATAGATGTCTTCTATTAGAACACAAAGCATATAATTTTAATACGCAATTTGAGTTAAAAAATGATATATGATTCGGAAAAAAATTATGAAAAGTCATAACACCACCTAAAACCCCACATAAACACACCCCCAATCCTCTACAAACAAAATCCACAAAATCCTACTACATTAATGAATAAAATTGAGTTATGAAGCATAGTTAATAAAATACGATATATGCAAGTTAAGTATAAAATATGTATTGGTATTTTGCTTCATTTCTAAATTAATGTTAAGTTTAATGGTACTTTAATACTAATAAAATATAGGAAAATAATTATTGTAGAAATAAATATATAAATAATATTCCAATTATCAATTTAATTCATCAAATACAAATAGTAAACATGTTATACGATTTTAATACATGTTTAATACGGGAGGTATCAAATAAAAAAATAATGGACGTATTGGTAATAAAATTATACGAAAACAGAAATTTAAACACATAAAATGTCTATGTTTATGTTGTGTTGTCCATTTGCTCAGCAGACTCGATTCCTTACAAAACGGGCCCATTATAGAACCGGCCTTTCTCAGAACTGCAGAGCAGGCCCATAATAGCCCAGCCCAATCCGTGATGCCAATTATTCTAAATGAGCCCTCAAATTTAATATAATTCTCTATAGCACCCCACTGTATTAAAATACAGCACATTACCATCCTTTTTGACCCTTTCCTTCTCCGTTTTGCCCGAACCAATCTTTCCCCAGAGGCGGGCCTTTTCCAATTTCCAGTGGGAAATTTTTTCCCTCTCTGTTAGGGTTTCGGAGAGTGTGCTTTCTTCCCCATATCCTCCCTCTCCGCAATCCCGCCCAATGCTAACGGAAGGGACGACCCACAAGAGATAACATCTCAAAGCTTGAAACTTTGAGCCAAGAAAAGGAAGAGGAGCCTTGTAATGGCGTTCTCGTTCTCGACTCCGCAGCAGCAGCAGCAAACCCCATCATTTTTCCAGTCTCAGCCGCAGCAGCAACAACTGCAACAGCCTTTCTCCAGCAGTTTCTTTCCGCAGCAGCAACAACAACAGCAACAGCAACAACAACAATCTCAGCTGTTTCAGCCGCAGCAGCAACAGCTGCAACAGCAAACTCAGCAGCAACAATTGTTTCTTTTTACTAATGATAAAGCTCCTGCTACTTACAGCACTAAGTGGGCAGATCTTCATCCGGATTCCCAGAAGCTTCTGCTCCTAATCGAGTATGTTTACTTGTTCTCTTTTGGGATTTCAGTTCTTTGAAGTTTGCCGCTGGTAGTTCTTTGTTAAATGTTCGATTGTTCTTCAGTTTTTCTTGAACTGGCGAATTTCTTTGAAGGGTAATCGTCCATCTAATTAGCTTTCTGGCTGTTCTTCTTTTGGCTTTTGAAGGAAGCTGCTAAGCCAATGGAATGTAGTACCAAGATCGTTTGTTTTATATTAATTGTTCATTAGAACTTAGAAGGAACTTATAGGTGTATTTAATCTGATGAAGCTTTGTCTTTCAACTTCTCCATGGTCTGAATAGACCAGACTTGAGCAATTAGAATTTGGTCAAGTTACTTCTTGGTTTTCGATTCAGTTTTCTGTAGCTCAATTTTGCGACTAATTTGGTGCTGTTGATGGATAATGGTTCTGAGCTGTAGGGAGCGGATATTGGAGCACAGGGATGAGAGTAACAGGCTAGATCAGTGTAGCCGTCTTTACGATTCATCAGTCTTGAATGAAGGGTTCGAGCTTGATGCCAGCCATATTGTTCAGGTATTTTGCCTTTACCTTCTGGTCTGTGACATATAGCTGCTGATTGCTGTTTCTTCTGCTATATTAATACCTGTTCTATACCTTATGGGCTTTGTACTTCAGTAATGAGAAAGAGCCAAAAAGGGAGGAAAGGAATGAGACTTTTTTGTAATTAGTTTTTTACCTGAGCTTGCTGCAATGATACTTTCTTCAAACGAGGTGAACTTGCTGTCACATTAACCACACAACCAGGTTGTTTGGTTGGGTTGCTTGTGGGAGAATTATTTTGTAATTGCATGCAGTAAAATAAATATATTGGTTTCGTTGATCCTTCCGTAAAGTATTTGAGTATGTTCGGGATTTCAGATGCAATTTCAAATGCAATAAAATGATGCATATCAAATACTTTGGGAGGAATGACATATTTGAAGCTGCATTATAGAAAAGTAGGTCCTATTTTAACTATACTAGCACCATTTCTTGTACAAATGCACTGAAGAAAGCAGTGTTTTTGAAAATACATCTCACATAATATAATGTGATGAAATAGTTCGCGATTGGGACATTCATTTGAAAATACACTTAAGTAAACGCACTGAGCAAGAATTTCCCAAATGTAAGGAACTTGCAGAAAAAAACTGTCATCTTTTTTGCTGCCAGCCTCACACAATATGTTATATGTTGAAAGCTTTAGCATCATATTTTTATTGTTTTTTTCCTCCAACAGGAACTTGGGGGGATTAACACTGCCATGGAAAGACAAAAAGCTGTGCTGCATGAGCTCATGTCCAATGTCAAAGACATGTTAAGAAATACAGAGATGGCTGTCCGTTCTTTCATGATGCTCCGTCCAAGGTTTATCCACCCTACTGCAGGCGGTTCTTCAAATGTCACTGCTCCATCCCAGCCACCAAATTCTGCCAGCCAACCATCGTCTACTTCCCTAGGACCTGTATTTGATTTCTACAGTGGGCTTCCAAAAAAGCCGTCTCCCTTCCTACAGCAAACAGTTGTCAGATTCGAGAAGTACTTGGGTGAATGTCGGCAATGGATTGAAGAGTTGGAGCAGCTTCTCCTTTTAGATTCCTACAGGAACTCTTCCCACCCTGAATCCACATTGCTGCAGTCTCTCCCTAAGGTCATGTCAAATGTGCATGACTTTTTCGTCCATGTAGCTTCTAAGGTGAGGAAGATTGATACTCTCCAACTCTTCATTTCATAATGCATACCGGCCTTGCTGGATGGGATGACTTTAAACATCTAATGTTTGCACCTTTTGATAAATCTTTCGCTTTTTGCTTCTTGTTGTGCTTGTGTTCTCTTTGGCTCCATATCTATCCAAAATGCATGGGGTCAGGGGTGTTGGACTCATAAGACCCTCTAGCTTTAGAATCCAGAAGTACAAGCCATTGTTCGATTGGATCAGTGATAAAACTCCAATACAAGGAGTACCTCCGAGTTTAGGGGTTGAGAGTAACCAAAGTTGGAGCCTGATTTATTTTGAGTTTGCTTTCCTAAATCTTTTCTCCTAACTTTTAGGGATTACGGATTTTAATCTTCTATAATGTATTTGATTTAGAATGAAAAACAAGGAAAAAGTCCATCATAGTCTAGGTAACTTCTTCAACAAGTAAGTTGGCTGGATTAGTGTTTATGAAACCCTAGAGTTGATGAACTTACGGAACGAGATCGATTAATATACGCCACTGGATGAATGTGCAGGTTTGGTCATTCCATTTGTATTCTTACATGAAATTCTATGGTGTCCATAGTTAGACGGAAGGGTCAAGTGGTTGTTGCAGGTTTCCTGTGGAAAATGATGTGGCATAGAAAGGTTATGAAACTTGGTTCTGAATGGTTAATGTTTGCTTTTCTGTCTCTACAGGTGGAGAGCATACATCAGTATATCGAATCAATGAGGACAGCTTACCTTGCGGACCAGCGGCGTCGAGGTGATGTGAATGACCCGTTTCTTGAGGCGGATCGTCGTGAGACTGCGAAACAAGAGGCTGCTGCTAAGAGAGTTCATCCAACTCTGCATTTGCCGGCATCAAATTCTCAGCCTTCGAATCAAGTTGCTGGGTTGCTACCTGCACCTGTTGCATCATCAACTGCTCCGCATACATCTTTGGCAGCAGCAGCAGGACCAGCAGCTCCTTCAGGGACTGGGTTATCTCTGTTCAGCACACCATCATCTTCTGCTCCTGTGTCTTCTATGTCGGGTTCTTCTTTGTTCGGTACACCAACACCATCTGCGCCGCCTACATCTTCTTTGTTTGGGACAACATCAGCATCATTGTTCAGTCCTGCTTCTACTCCATCGTTGTTTTCTAATCCTGCTTCAGCCTTTGCTCCTACCACCACCCCTGCTGCTGCCAGCTCCCCATTTCCAAATCCATTTGCTTCAGGTATGCTGATATATGTGATTCTTGCTCTCTATAGTACTACACTATGGTCCTGTTTACAAGTTTTAAGTGTTGGTTTTGTTTCCTATGTGGTTAGGATATGTAATGCTTCCAGAAACATGCTTGCTCTTGTTCTTATTTGATGAGTTTGCTTCCTGAAACCAATGGGCCAGAACCGCTAATCCTATCGGTTAACTGGAAAATGAAACACTTAGTCAAACTCACTGACCAGCCAGTATAAACCAGTATTTCGTGCTTTCTAATTTTTGCCGGAATTTTCTGAACTTGGATTCTTTTCCTCCCTGTTTCTCGGTTAAATAATTTTTTCTTTTTGATTATCCGAAAAACTGAAACCAGCTAGCCGCCCTTAATTGCAATTCCCTAATTTGTCTTTTGTCTGTTTGAACCAGGTGCAGCAATAGCATCTGGAGCTAGCTTAACTGGATCGGTAAGTAGTCATTCTTTTGTAATCTGCCTTGTATTGTTTGCCAGTCGTGATATTATGTATGTTGCTTTGGTTTTGTGGACTTATAGCTATCCACCTGATTTCTTCCCTCTTTCGCCCTTAACACGCATTGCAGAGATCAGCTAAGCCAAAATCGAGAACTAGCAGGCGCTAGTGACATGCTATACAATGTTGATGCACCCTGGAAAAATCTGCTGGAATACCTATATCTGCAGCTACAAGTAGAAATGTCCTTGAAGTCATTCGACTTGATTCATTTCTTTTGCCCTTCAATTCTCAAGGCGGGGCACCGACGAGAATATATCTGTCATCTTGTAACATTGTACGATAGGCATAATAGTAGTAATCGTCTTTGATTGAACATTACTCTGGATTCTGGAACAAATGTAAGCAGCAAAGCTAGTCTTCTCCCAATTATGTCAAGGAATCTGAAATTGCCCATTGAGGGATCATTAAAGAGTTTTTGTTGATCTTTTGTATGACTTCGTTCTGTGAGCATAAAATCAAGTGAGTTCAAGGATTTGGTTAACAGGCACAGGGTGCTAAATTGGATTTAATAGACATTTCGATTGAATCGTTCATAGTTGAATATAGTTTGATTTGACTATAAACAAAGAAGATCAAAGTGAATACTGGACTGGACCAAATTGGCCATGACACTTACTAAACTTCCAGCTGATCATCTATTGCTTTGCTGGGATGGATATAACAAGCAAAACATCTCCTTTTCAACCACTTACGTAGAACAATCCTTGGCATCAAGATCATCGACTTCTGACCTTCCCATGTTCCCTCGCAATCTCCATACTTCTGATTGAGCTTCATTAATCACAGGACTAGTTTGATCATCAGAAGTGAATGCCTGAATGCCACCATGCTGGGCTTCAATCCAGCTTAGCCCAGCTTCTTTCTCCAGCATCATTCCTCTCATCTTCTTTCTCATATCAGCAACTCCATCCCATCTCCCTGTAACAGCATACAGATTCGAGACCAGAACATGTGTCACACTGTCATCACTATCCAATCTCAATACCTCCTCCCCAGCTCGAATTCCTAATCCCAAATTCCTCTTATCCACACAAGCACTCAGTAGGGTTCTCCACATCTCCAAGTTATGCTCTGATGAATGAGATGCTGCTGCTGCTGATTCTTGTATAACCTCTTCGGCCTTCTCTAGCAATCCTGCCCGGCAAAGTAAACTCACCATGCAGGAGTAATGGTTAGGCCCTGGGGTAATAGTCCAACTTTTCTGCTTCATGGAATTCCACAACATCATTCCTTCCTCCACCAAGCCGCCATGGCTGCAAGCGGACAACAGGGTCAGAAATGTCACATGATCCGGCTGGATGCCATGTTTTAGCATCTCTTCGAAGAGTTTCAATGTTTCCACCGGCATTCCATGGTGACCATATCCACCAAGCAGAGAATTCCAGCACTTTAAGTCAGGGAGCCAAACTTGGGAGAACACTGACCGAGAAGCTTGCAGATTACCATTTTTGGCATACATATGAACGAGACTTCCGCAGACGTTCATTTCAGCATCCCATCCTGTTTTTATTGCCTGGGAGTGAATCATCTCTCCTTGTTTCAGTGTTGCCAGATCAGCACATGCACTCAGACCTCCACTGAAGGCAAAGCTGTCCATTCTTAGGCCATCGTTGCACATGTCGCGGAATGATTTTATTGCAGTCTCCCCATCGCCCAATCTAGAATGACCCATAACCATCTCAGTCCAGAGAACAACATCTTTCTCTTCGATGAAAGAAAAGACCTTTCGTGCTGACTCGGAATCACTGTTTCTAAAATACATTGACAGCAAGGTAGTTCCTACGAAGACATTCTTCTCTAATCCCATTTTCACTACCAGGGTGTGGAGAGCTTTCCCATAGTCATCTCCAGTTCCAGAAATAATGGCTGCCAGAGTGTAATCATCTGGTTTAGGAACCGAAAGTCTCAGTAACTGTATAAACAATTCCATTGCCTTTCTTGACTCGCCATTTTCTGCACATCCTGATATTATAGAGTTCCAGGAAACTAACTCTGGTTCCTCGATCCTACTGTAGACATCGAAAGCTGTTCCAATGTCTCCACAACTGGAATACATGTCGAGCAAAGCGTTCTGCAGTTTTGAATCATGTGGCAGACCCAAAACAATAACTCGAGAGTGAATCGTCCTTCCAACGATGTATTCTCGCAGTTTAGCACAAGCATTTAGCACCGTTGAGTATGTGAACTGAGTAGGGCTGGCATCAGATTTCAACATGGAATTGAACAGACGAAGCCCTTCATGTAACTTCTCATTCTTGAAGAGGTTAAACATCATGGCTGTCCACATGACCGCATCTTTAACAACCACCCCGTCGAAAATTTGGCATGCAGACTTCAAATCCCCAAATTTCGAGTACATCCCAAGCAATGATGTCTGAATGGAGACATCATCCGACCCACCAAATTTAAAAACTTGACAGTGAATTGAAGAACCCATAAACCAATCGTCGAGCGCAGAGCAAGCTTGCAGTAAGCTGACGAAAGTCGACCCACCAGGTCTCAGCCCTTCACTTCCCATATCCTTAAACAACTCTATACATCGCATTCCAAGACAGGGAGATTTAGAATAGGCTGCAAGAAGCGCATTATAGGATACAGTGTTTCTCACAGGCATTCGGTCGAACACCTGCTGGGCTTCCCAGATGGAGCCACATCGGCCGTACATAGACACGATGTTGTTGTTTCTGTAAGGAGAGAGTGCATCGTTGGTGTAGACTGTGGTTGTAAGGATCAGAGCATGGAGCTGACGAGCTCTCTTAAGCGAGGTCACAACCGTGCAGTTCTGTATGAGGGTTGTTAATGGCGGCATGAAGCAACCGTCTTCCGTTCACCCGCCAAAATTTCATAAAACCGTCGTCTAGTATTTGAAATCCGGATACAAAACAAGGAAAAGGGCTAAATTACACTTTTGGTCACTCGAATTATACAAATCTTTCACGTTTGCCACCCGAATTACTTTTCTTTCTTATTTACTACTAACTTTACGAATCGTTTCACCGTTAGTCACCGGCCGTTACAGTTCGTTAAATTTATCCTACGTGGCAGGCAACTATAAAGTTTGACCGTTAACTAGATGACATGGAAATTAAAAAATAAAATAAAATAAAAATTAATTTATTTGTCCACCTCATCATCATTCCACTTACTTTGTGCATATGATTTATCATATTACCTATTTTAAAAAAATTAATTAAATTATAAAAATAAATAATATTATTTATTTATTCTCAACTTGAATTACCAAAATAAATAATATAATTAATTTATTAAATTAAAAAAATATAAAAAAATATGATTAATTTATTCTGAAAAAAGAAAGAGCCATGGCACCTCCGTCTCCTTTCTTCCCTAGGCGAGGCCTTCGTCTTCCCCAGGCACTCACCCACTTCCAGAGGAACGTCGACAAGGGATTTGGCTTCGCCATCGTCGCGCTCAACAGCAAGAACCTTGGGACCCAGCCGCTGCTCGCCGCGGTTCTCGGCTCCAACCCCAAAATCCCCGTCAAAGTTGTTGCCAAGGCCCTTCAGGCCGATAATAATGTCGTCACTCAGCTCCAGTGGAAGTTCAAATGATCATATCACCACATTATGATATTGAGTGCACTAGTTCATGCGGAAGGATAGTTTGATTAATTAATTAGGAAGAAATTAATGGACAAGGTTTTGAGCAGTATGGTTTCAGAAAGAAAATTGAAACAAGATTGGAAGAGGTTGGGTGAATTGGTTTATTGGAGTTTTTTTTTATGATTCCATAAACTATGTAATGCACAAAATTACATTATGTATTAAGGGTGGTCGTTCCGGCAGGAGTTCGTCGAGCCGGTTTTCCTCCCAATGCTGGAGTGCCTCTGCGAGACCGGCTCGTACCTGATGGTGAACGCTTACCCGTTTTTCGCTTACAAAGCGAACTCCGAAGTCATCTAGTTGGACTACGTACGCTCTATTCCGGGAGAATCTTGGCGTCGTCGACGCCGGCAGCGAGCTCAGGTACTCCAGCTTCTTCGATGCCCATATCGACACCATGTTCGCGACAATGTCGGCGTTGAAGTTTGACGACCTCGAGATGGTGGTTTCGGAGACGGGATGGTCGTCGAAGGGCGACTGGAGCGAGATCGGCGCCAGCGTGACGAACGCACTGCGTACAATGACAATCTTGTCGATCGGATCTTGACTGGTGGAGAATAAATCAATCATATTATTTATTTTTATAATTTTATTAATTTTATTAAATAAGTAATATGATAAATCATATACGTAAAGTAAGTGGAATGATGAGGTGGACAAATATTTTTTTTTTAAAATTTCCACGTCATCTAATTAACGACCAAACTTTATAGTTGATTACCACGTAGGAAAAATTTAACGGACTATAATGGCCGGTGACTAACGGTGAAACGATTCGTAAAGTTAGTGGTAAATAAGAAAGAAAAGTAATTTGGGTGGCAAACATGAAAGATTTGTATAATTTGAGTGATCAAACATGTAATTTAGAAATTTGTCTCCAAAACGCTGCGTTTCCCCGAAGTGATTAATTTATAATTATTAGGGAATTGTCTCGTTTTCACCGTCTTCGTCCCTGTCTCCGGTGCGGCAGCGAACGACACCACGAAAGAATGACCGGCGATTGGGAATTGCCTCGTCTCTGCCGTCTGGTCGAGGAGCTCCTTCGTCCTTACTTCGTTAGTTGTTTTTTAATTTAATTTCCTGATTCGAGCTAGATTCTCCGTTCGCTTGATTGTTTCTATTAAAACAACTGAGCCCGCTGCTATTTTTACAGGAGCCGGCCGTAGGTTCTGTCTCTTTAACCAGAGAAAAGGAGAAGAATCTTCTGATTGCGCTCTCTAAGGTTCTGTATCTTTCCTCCCTAGTTGTGTATATGCTCCAAATGTGGTCAGTAGTTTGAACGAATTCTGCCATTTTAGGTTTACAGAGAGATTCAGGTCTGGATTCGTGAAATGGAGGTTGTTTCCGATGAAGTAAGCTCCTTGAAAAGTTTTATTTTCTGAATTTCTATGAACAAGTTGGTTTCCAGATGGAAGCTTAAGGTTTCTGAGATGAATTTGGGGACAGGAGACCACGAGTTCTGAGTGTTCATTGGAGGTTGTACACGAGGAGCATAAGTGTTTGATGAAAGTCCTAGCTGACTTGGTATGCACTCTCTTCCTCTCTCTTTCTGCGCCTGAAGTTGCTTTGATAAGATGAACATGTAGAGTTAAATCTATCCAATTGAGTGAGCTTAGTTTGGATGTATCAGTAGCATTGCCCAGGAAGGCATGGTGGTTTCAAAATGCTTTGCCAGGATAAGTTTTACTGTACTAATGTGCTTGTTAATTAATTTGAAGTTGCATTGGGGTAACTGGTCATTTTCTATGGCATGCAGATTCTTCTACTTACAGTTGACAGTCAGTACGTACAACATTCAGTTGGAAAGATTGTTGTGGCCGTTTCTGAGCTCCTGGCTCCATCTGTGAGTTTGTGGTTTGCTTCCATTGTCAGTCTATTGAGGGTACATAACAATTTACAAATTTGAAAATCGTTTGTGAATGTTTTGACAGGTCAGAAGCTGGGACTCTTTGGTTCATTCGCTCTGGATTTCCCTGGAATTGATAGTCAAACACGTGTTGTCCTGTTCTGCAATTTCAAATGCTGGCGACGATTTACATTTTGGAACCTCAAGTTTAATGGTCTTAAATCGTTATCTGGGAAACGCAGACTGGTCCACTGCAGCTCATATAATCCAAATCTTGCGGAATATACTGAAAAGTTTGAAGGAAGAGTCTGATGATCAGCTTCTTCAAGTTTACGAAAAATATGTCAATCCCTTTCTGTCAAATGTGCCCTGGGATCGAATGGACGAGTGCTGTACAAAAGAGCCAAAAGTTGTGTTCTTGGGGAGTTTGATCGCATTCCTTTGCTCATTGGTTGAGCAAACCGTAGCTCCAGAATCCAAAGTCCATCTCCAAGATAAACATCCAACTCTTCCCATAGTTATTAAACTTGTGCCTAAACTTTTTCGTTGGTGCCTTGGCAAGGCAGAAAATAGGGTCAAACAGTCCACCTTTCAGTATTTCACTCACAAATTGCTGGTAAGACCTTGCTTCATTTCCTTTCATGGCTAGATTAATTCGAAGTAGAAAAGTATGATTTCTTGTCTTTAAAAGCATTGCAAGACATAGTGAACGATAGATAGTTTCCACTGTTTTACTGATTCATAGTGATATGCTGTTGTCATGAAGTTTTGTGTTGTGTTGATTGACGCGTTCAAGTTTTTGAGATCTGCAACATTTTTCTGCAGATGTTACTGCTGAGGCTTAGTTATGGTTATGGAACTCATATAAGTTGCACCACACTTGTCTCCTGGTTGCAACTTCTCCATGATTACTTTGAAGAGCTACTTTTGAAACCCATGTCTAGGGTTAAGACTTGTCAAAATGATTGCCTAGAAGGCTCCCCGTTTCTATCTAGCTTCTCTGAGGGAGAAGCACAACATATGAGGCATTCCCTTCATTCTCAAAGGCAGGCCGTACTCCTATTTCTTAGGTGCTGCTTCAGTTTGATCAGCTCGACAGGAGAGAATACTAAGCAACTTCCTGCAGCTCATAAGTCTCTCTCGGCTGTCAACATGGTCTCTGACCCTGATTTTTCTAGTAGAAGTAAAGGATTTATTGATCTCTACAAATGGTTCCAAGCCCACCTCCGAGATAGCTTCTTATGTGGAAAGGAAATGCATGTGGACAAGTGTATACTTTTTGCAAGATCTTTTCTCCAGCTATACTTGCATGAGGTTAGAAGCTTCTTAACTCAGGGATTAGTTAGCTACAATAGACCATGTTCTCTTAAGATTGATGTCTCTTACTTGAAAATCTTAGCAAATGTATTTTACATTAGACCGTTGTAGGCAGTAGCAAATCAATGATTTCTTGCCACGTCTCATGTTCTAAATACTTTTTGATTTTTGTGCAGGATGACTTATTGTTTAAGGTTCTCCTGCAGTTGGTTACTGCATCGTCTTGTTTGGAGCAGCAGTGAGTAGTGAGTATAACTATTTCAATTTATTTTACTGGTGAAAATACCTAATTGGTTGTCTCATGTGTTCAGCTTAGTGGGAGAGAAACAACCATATCAGGATGCAGAAGAGGATATTGGATTTCTAGTTTCAAATGCTTTCAGTCCAGTGAACTTATTCCATCTATTCCTCTCAGAGGTGACTTCCCTTTATATATAGGCTTTTATATTAATTGGCCACACGGCCTCTCTGCCTTTTTGTTTCGATCTTCTAAATACTTCTCATTCTCTTGTAGTTGCACTATGATCATCAAGTTCTGCTTGATTATCTTATTTCCAAGGATCTTGGAATAAGTTGTGCAGAGTATCTATTGAGGTAACTTCCAGTTTGGACATGCTGAGTGTAGTCTTAACTCGTCAATCCTGAGAGTCAGTTGCATATGTTGACTGATGTCTTTCCATCTGGTTCTATTCTTATCAATCATCCTTCATTTTTAGGTGTTTAAGAATTACTTGCAGTGCGTGGCATTTATTCATAGAGTTCTCTGTTGAAGGAAATGCTATGGATAGTTTATCTCAAAAAAAGCAAAAAATCTTGGAAGATGGTCCTGACTTCCAGGCAGACCAATCCTCTGGATCGCCAACCATGGACACTTCTCCCTCTCTTAATGATAAAGTGAAGATACATACTGACAGTAGTTATAAGCAAAACAAATGCAGAAGGCTTGCATTCATCGAGGCGAAAGATTGTCTGCTATCTTTGAAAGTTTCTATAGAAAATCTTCACCGGAAGAATCTGTTTCCATATAACCCTAAAGCTCTCTTACAACGGTGCGGTATCCACCTTGAGTCCCTTTCTCTGCCTTTTCGTTGAATTTTAGTGACAAACGCAAACAAATGTCTAAGCAATCATATTTTTCTTTCCAGAAGCAACTTTAATTCATTGTACACAGTCTCTTACAGAAATTGTGGTTGGTTGGTTCGTTTTTTCAGGTTGTCAAAATTTGAGGAACTCTGCAGCAATCATGATGACTTTTCCTAGACTACTTGCTTAGAGAGAACTATATTTTCCTGCTGAAGGAGATATTGTTATAATAAGGTGCTAGAGTTTCACTCGATATTCCAAGGTGTGGCTCCAAGTAACCTTGAAGGTTCTCCCATTCTTCAACCTTAATAGCCTATGTTTATGGACGAAAAATCAAAATTTTCGAACCATGTTCCTGCCTCTTGCAGGCATCCATCATACAAACTTGCAGAAGTTGCATAATTTTCTCCGACTGAGTGGGACTGGCCGCACTGTTGGACCTGATTGGTGCTCCTATTGATAGTCGATAGAATTTTCTGGTTGCCGATTGGACTCCGCCATTGACTTTTTCAAGTCCCAGGAGCTAGTTCTGGACTTCTGGTACTGAGGCTCTTTTTTTTTTGGAGGAACAGGTACTGAGGTTCAGGAATTGCCTAACTTTGCTCTGGAAATTTCCTCAGCTTTTAAGTTAGTTGTCTTGAACTTCCCCACTATTTCAGCGTTTCCTGTCACTTCAAAGGTCATGTTAGCATGGCCCAACGAGTAGGCAGGTTAGGCAGTAATTCAAATTGTAGTTATTACGAGTTGGGTCATTTTGGATAGTCTTGGCATCCGAAGGATCTATTGTTTGACAGGATGGACGTTTGGCTTTATTAGTTGAAGCTTTTTTTTTCAGCCAAAGGACAAAGTGGGTTATCTTGTGATGGTTTGGAAGTTTGTGGCCGCGTAGCATCATCCCAAGGACAAAGGAAATATCATTATTTGAGAGGAAGTTCATTTCGTGCTGGTCCATGGAGCTTGCCATGGAGCTTGGTGTTGGTACAAGGTTGTTCCTTTACTGAAACAAGCTGGCTACAAAGTGACGGCTCTCGACTTGGCCGCTTCTGGGATCCATCCAAAGCAGGTTACCGAGCTGGGTTCGGTCTCGGACTACCTGGCGGCTGGCGCCACTTATGGAGTTGATGACTTCCTTAACAGGAGAAGAAGAGAAGGTGATCTTAGTTGGACATAGTATGGGTGGTGTTGGGATATCTGCTGCAATGGAAAAATTTGCAGAGAAAGTAGCTGTTGCGGTGTTTGTAGCGGCCATGATGCCAGCTCCTCATCCTGGTGTCAGCTATTCTGTTACAAAAGAAGAGGTACTTTTCCCTTCTCCTTCTCGTTATGGGTAAATTGATTTTTCAGTTTCACATCGTATTAGAGTCGTTAATTAACGTTGGATTTGAGTAATAAAGTTACAAACTTTTATCCTTTTTGGGTACAAAAAGTTGCAGACTTTTAGTTTACACATCATCTTTCTCCGAGCAACCCCTGCCTCTTTGGTTGTCTTATCTCTGCTTTTCTCTTCGACTTGATCTGCAACTCTTTTTTTTTTTGGACAACTCATTAACTTTAAATTATACGGAAAATTTTATGCAGTGTCTCAAGCAAATGGATTTCGTGGATAGCCAATTCTCATTCCATGATGGTCCTGAAAATCCTCCGACCAGTGTATTGTTTGGACCCAAGGCGATGTCAACTAAATTGTACCAGCTCTCCCCGCCTGAGGTAACACCCTGAACACCCAATCTTCAATTTACATCCATTATTCGTTGACTTAGTGACGAGAAGCTGAAGTGGCAATTTTGTTTAGCAATTACAAAGGTGTAGATCTAATTCCCAAATATGTTGTTGTGCTTGGAAAACCCCCATATTGTAAACAGTTTAACCCTTTCGCTTTCTTCTAGTAAGCTGATTCTTTGTTCTCCCCAAGATCAAAATGTTACGATGGACCCAGTAACTGAAATTGAAATTGCTTAATTAACTAAATGCTAAAGTTGATAAGCGACACAAAAGGTCAACATTTAGAATTGCTGATGAATTGCAAGGGTTAAGATAATCTACTACTACTGTCCTTTGCTGCAGGATTTAACACTGGGAATGATGCTTATAAGGCCCTGCCCTCTCTTCAACGATGCGGAAACAGAAGCTGAAATAGCCCTGACAAGCGAAAAATACGGATCAGTTCCTCGAGCTTATGTTGTCTGTGAAGCAGACGAAATTATCAAGCCGCATCTGCAGAGGTGGATGATCGAGAACAACCCAACTGACGATGTCAAACCCATATCTTCTGCTGATCACATGGCAATGTTCTCAAAACCACATGAGCTCTGCACTTACCTTTTGGAGCTTGCCAGCGAGTATGCTTGATGAGTGAACGATTGCCTCTGGCTTCGCCGCCCGTGGTAAAAGTGGATCTGGCAAATTTATAGAGTGCTACTGAAGTGTAATTGTATGTTGTGGATATCTTAATGTGAAAAAGGCGAAACCTTTCTGACGGCTGACGGAGCAGGGTTCCTTTCTCTTCTTTAATTAAGCGGCCGTTGCTCCATGTCTGGAGAAGCAGCAGAGTTCCTTTCTCTGCTTAGTGACAAACGAAAACAAATGTGTATGAAATATGAAATCATATTTCTCGTTCCAGAAGCAATATAAATTCATTGTACTCGTTCTCTTACAGGAATTATGGTTGGTTGGTTCTTTTTTGCAGATTGACAAAATTTGAGGAACTCTGCGGCAATCACAATGACTTTTCCTAGGTCACTTGCTTAGAAAGAACTATCTTTTCCAGTTGAAGGAGAGATCATTATAATAGGGTGCTACAGTCCAACTCGATATTCCAAGGTGTGGCTCCAAGTAACCTTGAAGGTTCTCCGATTCTTCAACCTTAATAACCTTTGTTTATGGACGAAAGGTAAAATTTTCGAATTATGCTCCTTCCTCTTGCGGGCTTTCATTATACGCAATTGCAGAAGTTGCATAATTTTTCTGACCAAGTGGGACTGGCCGCACTGGTCGCCCTGACGGGTGTTCCTATTGGTAGTCAATAGACGTTTCTGGTTGCTGATTGGACTCTGCTATGGACTTTTTCAAGTACCAGGAGATAGTTCTGGACTTCTGGTGCTGAGGTTCAGGAATTGTCAAACTTGGTGCGTTTCCTGTCACTTCAAAGGTCATGTTAGCATGGCCCAGCGAGTAGGCACTAGGCAGGTTAAGTAGTAATTCAAACTGTAGTTATTACGAATTGGGTCATTCTGGATAGTCTGATATACCCGAAGGATTTATTGTTTTGACAGGATGGACGTTTGGCATTATTAGTGGAAACTTATGATTTCAGCCAAAGGACAAAGTGGGTTATCTTGTGATGGTTTGGAAGTTTGTGGACTGCGTAGCATCATCCCAAGGAGAAGGGAAATATCATAATTTGAGGGGAAGTTGGGAGTTTCTGTAAGCAGAGAAGAGCCAGATGGAGGAGGAGAAACAGAGTCGTCATCATCATCATCATTTCGTGCTGGTCCATGGAGCTTGCCATGGAGCTTGGTGTTGGTACAAGGTTGTTCCTTTACTGAAACAAGCTGGCTATAAAGTGACCGCTCTCGACTTGGGCGCTTCTGGGATCCATCCAAAGCAGGTTACCGAGATGGGTTCGGTCTCGGACTACCTCGCGCCGCTGATGGAGTTGATGGCTTCCTTAACAGGAGAAGAAGAGAAGGTGATCTTAGTTGGACATAGTATGGGTGGTGTGCGATATCTGTAGCAATGGAAAATTTTGCAGAGAAAGTAGCTGTTGCAGTGTATGTAGCGGCTATTATGCCAGCTCCTCATCCCGGTGTCGGCTACTCTTTTCCAAGAGAAGAGGTGCTTTTCCCCTTCTCTTTCTCGTTCTTTGTTGGATAAATTGGTTTTTCAGTTTCACATCGTATTAGAGTGTTTAATCAACTTTGGATTTGAGTATAAAGTTGCAAACTTTTATCCGTTTTGGGTACAATAAGTTGCAGACTTTTAGTTTACCCATCTTTCTCCGAATAACTCCTACCCCTTTGGTGGTCTTATCGTTGCTTTTCTCTTGGACTCGTTCTGCAATTCATTAACTTTCGTAGTACGGAAAACTTCTATGCAGTGTCTCAAGCGAATGGATTTCATGGATAGCCACTTCTCATTCCACAATGGTCCTGAAAATCGTCCGACCAGCATGCTGTTTGGACCAAAGCTGATGTCAACTAAATTGTACCAGCTCTCCCCACCTGAGGTAACACCCTGAACACCCTGATCTTCGATTTTTACCTCCATTACTAGACCAGGAGTTACCTCAGAGCCTCTTTATCGGTTAAACTTTAACAATAGTGGAAGTGGCGAGAAGCTTAAGTGACAATTTCGTTTAGCGATTGCAAAGGTGTAGATCTAATTGCCAAGTATGAATTATAGATAGTATGAAGGTGATGAGTTAAGTAAATACTAATGTTAATACGCGACACATTTGGAACTGCTGATGAATTGCAAGGGATTCAGATGATCTACTGCTGTCCTATGCTACAGGATTTAACACTGGGAATGATGCTAATAAGACCCTGCCCTCTCTTCAACGATGAGGAAACAGAAGCTGAAATAGCCCTGACAAGCGAGAAATTTGGATTGGTTCCTCGAGTTTACGTCGTTTGTGAAGCAGACGAAATTTACAAGCCGGATCTGCAGAGGTGGATGATCGAGAACAACCCAACTGACGATGTCAAGCCCATATCTTCAGCTGATCACATGGCTATGTTCTCAAAACCACAAGAGCTCTGCAATTACCTTTTGGAGCTTGCCAGCAAGTATACTTTGTGAATGAACGATTGCCTCTTGGCTTTCCCCTCCCATGGTAAAAGTTAATCTGGCCAATTTATATTACTACTGAATTGTGATTGTATGTAGAGGTGGTGGAGTTGGATGAGCTAATATGGTTCAATCGTTTCAAAATAATGCAATTGGATTAAATAATTTGGTTTGACAACACAAAATGTGGATGTAATAATTGTGATGAAAAAATTTAAATTGTCTTGTTTTTGTATAAGTTTGAGGTCGTTTGAATGATGAAATTTGATGAGACAGTTTGGTTCAATTGTCTCAAAATGAAGCGATTAGGTCAAATAGCCACGTTTGGCAACACTAGATGTGGATGCAACAATCGGGATGAGTCAATTTGAATGGTTTTGTATTTGCATAATTTTAAATTGACAAAGAAAAGATAAGTAGTGTAAAACGATACATTTTATAAGACAACTATGAGATGAGACAATTGTGAGACAATTGGATAAAATTACCTCGTTTCGGAAATTTACCATCCAAACGAACCATATGGTGAGTCTTAATTAGCTAGAATGTGAGACTACTGGAGTCGTTACTTTTTACAAAGAAATTTAATATGAAAAATTCTTTAAAATTATAAGTATTATACATGACTCATAATAGTTGCAATTGGTTTTATTAAGATGGGAAACAAGATAATAAAATATTAAATGTAAGAGCAAATGACAACATTATACAAATGGCCATTTAAAAATAACTCATCTAATAAACAAACAATACATTTGTAAATGTATACAGTCACAAATTTTACATTTCTCAAATGTCTATATTTGAGCAAATCACTTTTTTTTTGTAATAACTCATGCGAAAAAATAAGTTACCTTTCATAAATATAGAATTATGCATAGTTATCCGTAACCTGTTATGCATTCAAATATCTTGAGTATGCTTTTTCGACTTCATATTACACAACCATTCTAGTTTTTGTGCTTATTTTCTTGGGTGACTTACACATTCTTAATAAAAACATATCATTTTTTTTAATTAATCAAACTTCATCTGTTATCCAAAACAAACAACAATCCTATAGGCTATGCCCATTTTAAGTTTTCAACCATCTATCAACTAACAACTATTTTCCAATCTTAGCACGTAGTAATCCAACACTAAATGACTAAATCTACCCAAACCCACAAACTAACATCAAACTAGGCAATGTTTTGCCATTTCCAAACGAATCACGCATCGACATGTTGGATTTCGTCGTTACAATAGCTACATATACTTATCCAAAAGTGTTCTTCCCAAATTTGCCTAGTTGCACACTAAATTAAGCTTTTTGATAGGCCTATATATAAGGCTTTCTCTACATATTTTCCTCTCATTCGTAAAAAACCAATTATCATCGTATATGTAAAGCATCACTCACTAAGTTAACACTATATATATTGGCAGGAGCTTCTAGGTTCTTGAGTTGTTCTATTGCATAAGGTATGAGTTCGAAGTTCGTGGGTCGACGAGCAATGCAAGGAATTTCAGAGGATTATGAGACCAGTATGGCTTTGAAAGATTCCTCATCATCATCATCAAATAGTACGAGTAATCACTCCTGTGCCACCACTAATTTGAATAGCAGAATGATGAAAGAATGTAAAAAAGTTAAGCAGGTGGAAGAGTCACTTCGAATTATTATGTACATAAGCTGTTGGGCTCCCGGAATGAGTTAGGATGGTTACTAATTTTTTAGTTGCCATCGTGGCTACCTACATCTCCACCCTTCATTCTCAATATTTTTAAACCGACTATCATGATTAAATAAGGATAATTTTGGGAAAAAAATAATAACCACACTAGATTATTCTCCTTAAAATATAACTTTCTATATATTATCCCAGATCCTAAATAATTATTTCAAACTCTACTCCCTCCTTCCCTCTCCAACATAATTTATCACCGTCGATCGTCCTCCCTCCTCCCCCTCTCCGCCTCCTTCTCCCACCTTTCGCTATCTCTCTCTCCCACTCCCTCCCCACCGCCTCCCACCTGCACTTCCCTCCCTCCCTGCACCCACCCTATTGCCAATCTCCCCAACCCACCGCCACAGTGGCGGAGCCACTTGGAGAGGAGGGGGTGCTTTGCACCCCCCGGTTTTGGAGAATTTTTTTCCGAGTAGGGGTATATACAAATTCCAACCAATTACCATTCAGTTGCAGAAAGAATTTCTTATCATTTCGATCGAGTGAGTTTTGTTATGTAATGCACTTTCGTCTTTATTTATAGTAATAAATTGTTGTCTTTTGTTTAAACTCGCTCATTTTTTTTTGTAGCTCTACAACAGAGAAATTTCTTGTCTTTTGTTTAAACAAAGTTGAAAGTGAAGAAGTACCAATTGAAGTTCACTTGTTTGTTTCACAAAATCAATTCCAAGATACTTCTGAGTTCTAATTTGTAATATTTGATGAATGGAAGTCTTGATTTGTATGTACTGAACTTATTTGTTTGACGTTGTAACCGGTGTACGTGAAACTATTTTGATGTAATTGTGTGAATTTAGAGTATTGCGTTGTTGACTTTTTGTTTAATTTAAAGTTGACTTTTCTATTGTATAGGTGATTTTTTATGATATGATAAAGACACCCCCTTGGCCAATTTCCTGGCTCCGCCACTGCCGCCTCCCTCTCTCTCTCTCTCTCCCTCCCAACCCTACCCCCACCAAGTTTGCCGCCCTTCTCCCCTCCTTCCCTCCCTCCTCGGCGAGTACGGGACAATGGAGGTTCTCAAAGCAATCGACGACGATGACCATCCATTTATCTCTAACTCTCTCGCCTCAATGGTATTGTTTTTGTCGTATTGGTATTGATTTTATTATATTGACATAGTTTTTTGTCGCATTGGTATTGATTTTATTATATTGGTATATTTTTTGTCGCATTGGTATTGATTATCATGTAATGGTATTAATTTGCATGTATTGGTATTGATTAAATCTGCAATGGTATTGGTTTTTTGTGAAATGGTATAGATTTATATTGGTACATTGTTTATATTGGTAGTTTTCGTGTAATGGTATAGATTTATTTCTGCAATGATATTGATATATTTTTTTTAAAATGGTAGTGGTTGTCTAATGGATTGGTAGTGATTTCATGTTTTTTTCCTTTTGCAGAAATATTGAGAAAAATATGGAAACTAGATATAGTTGGAAATTATGGAAGTGAGAGAAAGAAAAAGTATTGTAATTAATATATTTTTGTAACTACCTAAAATGTAATTTATTAAAAAATTTAATTAATGTAATTTATTTTTTCATACCCAATTTACCCTTAATAACCATGGTGATTACTACTTTCTAGTATTCACCATAACCGCTCCCTTGGGCTCCCAATTGAGTGGTTGACAATCATGTTCATTACGTAAAGTGGCAAGCGATGGATTAACAAATATATATCTAAGTTTCGCCTTCTTGCGATTGGTTTGTAAATTGTAATCTTTTAAAAAAAAAAAAAACTCTTTGCAATGGTTCCCTGGGATAGTATATATATGCCTACATTAGGGTAAGGTTGTCAAACCAGTTTATACAGTTATACAGGTTTTACAGAATCGCCTATATTTATATTATAGGTTTATGAAAGATGTCAAACATATTATTCGCGATCAGTTACCACACAATACCACATGTCACAAAGTATCACGTTTAAATTAATTACTAATTTTATGGCCCGCGCTATGCGTCGTGGATAAATACAAATACAAAAAAATTGAAACTCCCATAACTATAGGTACCTCCAACAATCATACTATTCGAGTATGAATAATCACGATAAGTCTTTTTAGCAAATCTTCACAATAGAACCCTCCACCTCTTTTATTTGAAAGTTGCTTGAAAGTAGCCACTACCCGTTGGTGAAACATAATTTCCCAGGTTCCATTTTGAGGGAAAAATTCCACTTCAGAATAATATGCTACCGGTTTTGCTTATAAGTTCGAATTCACTAATTGACCCTATTGCATAGCTAGAGAAGGTAGAATCATGAGCGCTTGATCTCTTCTAAAAAGGCTTATGTGCTTCAACCCGAATTTGATTCCAATATCAATTGTGTCAACTTCTTGTTCAACTTAAGTCATGTAGTAACCTGCAGTACTCTTAAACAACTTGTATGTAATAAGAAAAATGAAACATATATACCTTAGTAAGTGAATCCATTTTTCATAGACAAACTCACACTAAATTCGGAAAATAAATTAAAATGACCATGAAGAAAAGAGGCATATGACTAAAAGAACTCATTAAGGTTTTGAGCGGGAGGGAGTTGAGCTGAAGAAAGCTTCGATTTTGCAGAAAAGTACATGTCATCCAACTCTCATACGGCGACTTCGATTTCGCAGTGGTGATGAACCCTTGATTTTGCAGGGGAAGAAGAAAGAAACCTCCGATTTGATTTCACCGAGCCCTTTTCTCTACTTTTTTTTTTCAATTTTTAGCTACGCATGCCACTGTTAACCTTAGAAATCCGAGGCTTCCGGTTCAAATTCGCAGAGAAGAAACTCAGGCAACCTCCGATCTGATTTCGCTGAACCCTTTTCTCTGTTTCGTCTTTAGATCTCACGTTGCTACGCAAGCCGCTGTTAACCTTTCCAAATCCCTAGGCCTCTGCTTCATCTATGGATTCACGTATAATTAACGGGGAGGGGAAGGGATTTACGATCTTTTGATTTGACGGGGAAGAGAGGAAAAGAGAGATAAAGAAGAGAGGTGAGAGGAAGCACTAGGTGAAACTAAAACACTTATTAACGTCAAGCTTGACCCACCCATTGTGGTGAACTCAGGCTCACTTAAATCCTACCGCACCAGATCCAAAAATTCCCTAGTGAACAGTGGATCCGAAAATTTCTTGATGAACAGTACCCACATTTTGTGCTAACCTGCCGGTTAATAATTCTAATAATAAGCAGTAATATTGTTGATATGATATTTACTCTCAAATTTGCTACTTTATCAATTTGTTCTTTTTAACCTCACATCTTTCTCGCTTGGTTAGCTTATGTCGGTATTAATATACTAGCTTGTAACCCGTTGGTCGGAGGAGCTGAGCCGAATATTGAATTATTGGGATAACCCGTAGATTCAACCATTAAGCTAAATTGGTCTAATGGTGAGTATCGCCTAGCATATCCCTAATAATCATACCAAAGTGAATATATTGGAACATAAACAGTACATCAAAGGTTGGTACAACCATGAAGTTAGACCATTAAAAACATACCAATGAAATTGAATAGCATCGAAAAACTTCAACTTCATTATATAATTACATGAGATCAGAAAGAGAACACCATTAATTTGATTTATAAAACTTTCATCTTGTCGTCATTGTGTTTTCTGGTTTTTGTCAGGCCATGATAAAATCTAAGGAAATCAAGAACGAACAACACGATTTGGGATAGGAACCGCCGTTGTCGTATTCCTAGAGAATGGTGGTAAACACGGACTCACCTGCCAAACTGGTTTGGATTGAGATTTTTATCGGGTATCAGGGAACCATGTGATTATAAATTAGACTTGATCAAAACGGGCCAAAACTCAAAATTCAGCCTGTTTGATCGAACCATGCAAAATTCTAATTATTCGTTACTTTTAAACTTTCTATTTGAAAATAAAAAATAGTGAAAGAAAATAGATGACTTCAATTCGCCATTTGCACATCACTTATTCGGGAATAAAACTATAGAAATTTAAAAGAAACTGAAAATGTTTAGGATCATTTTAATGTTTAAAATAACCAAATAGATCTTTCTGTTTAGTTTTTTACTAACAAATACCAAGCGATTTCCTATAAAATACACTATAATTTTATCATTATGATATCAAATAATTATATAATATATATTTGAAATGATAAAAATTGGACTAATTGGGTTGGTCGAGGTTGAACCATTGAATAACTTTAAACTACATTATATTTTAGCCACTAAGATATAAAATAATATAATAATATATATTATGCTAGAGAAAATAGCTTGTTTTAGAATGTCAAACCAATGATGTTCATTTGTTTTACTTGATGGCCAAATCTGATGTAGGTCAGGCCCATTCTACTCTTTTATTTTATGGTTAGCGGTTAGCCCATTAGATACCATGTATTAGTTTATTGTTAAATTTTTTTATTTTTAGTATAAAAAGAAGTATTGTTTTTGCTTTTTCATATATATTTTATCACCACGGAGAAATACAAGGGCTTAAAGAAAAAAATTGACACTCCTGAACCCGTTTAAATCCGCATGTGTACGGTAAGTTGGCCCGTTCCATAGAAGAAAGAGAAAAAAATTAACACTACCTATTCTACCCTTCCTACAAACGCTCATGGAGCAGGGAATTTGAAATGGGGGAAGGGGTTTTTCCTCCCTGCTATTATATGTTTTTGATTTAAAAAGATACAACAAATGTACTTAGTGTGATTGGTTATGTTCCTTGCTTTTCTTTAAAATGGACATGGTTCAAATCCCAGTATGTGTCTTTTTAATGAATAAAAAAAAGTAATTGTGAAGACCAAAATGTCCTTCCTACTTTCACTCTCGTTGCAGGAAATTTGAAATGGGGCACCCGTTTTTTCCTTCGGTGTATTATTTCTTTAAAATGGACATGGTTCAAATCCCAGTATGTGTCTTTTTAATGAATAAAAAAAAGTAATTGTGAAGACCAAAATGTCCTTCCTACTTTCACTCTCGTTGCAGGAAATTTGAAATGGGGCACCCGTTTTTTCCTTCGGTGTATTATATTATGTGTAGATACGGAATTTTATACATTGTTTTGGTTTAATATGTATAAAAGATTCATCAGTTATAAAATATAAAAAATAATTGTTAAACGTGCTATAATTATTTTACCCAATATCATCAACCTAACCAATTACCATTTAATTGATTTGCACAATTTTATCAATCACTCCCAGAATATCATTTACATACCGTTTGGTACCAAATGAATCTAGAATTCATTTCATTTTAAAATGAATTACCGTATAGAATTCATTGTCAAATGAATTCTTGTGTTTGGTATGTCATATTCAAATCTTAAGAAATAAAATGATTTGAATTCCCAAACCATGTTTGGCGTATGTTTGTAATTGAATTGAACTAAAAGTTTCCAACTACGCCCTTATTAATTTTCGCTAGAAAAAATATTCATTGAAAATCCATCTTCTAAAAAATACTTTTGGTCCCATACGTAGAATATCAAAGTGTTATTGTGTGTTTTCTATTCTATTCATTAGTTCTTTCGATATTTTGTCAATGAACCCTACACTCTAGTTGTGGCTTCCAACATATTGATATAATCAAAGCATAAATATCAAATAACCATAATATGCTACTAGCGCTGCAATCAAATTTTTGCCGACGTTCCTCATACTGTATGAACCGGCGTCAAATAATACATGTAGAATTAGTTTAGCTAATAAATGAGGATAACTATATAAATTTGTTATAATTAGTAAATTCTTGCGGAATTCATTTGGAAATTCATTTCTTATTGGGTAATTTGCTAAAAGCAAACGACACTTTCTATTGTGGTAACTGAAATAATAATAAAGGTGTCTTATTTTTCTCTGTGCATTTTCACTCATACTACCGATCAAGAGTAATTCTCTGCTATCTTACAGAGACAATCGAAGAGCTTTCTGGGTACAGAGAGCATAGCCATATGATCCGATTCTTTAATCTCCATCACTTCTTCCACAACGTAATTCTCAATCATCCATCGCTGGAACTCCTCTTCCATCCCTCGATCCTCATTGCAAATCACATAGACTCTGCTCACTGAACCATATCCTTCCTCTGTAAACTTCTCTGTTTTTCTGAGATCGTGCAGGAAGAGGGAGCTCGGCCTCGCCAGTGCCTTCGCCAGCTCCATATCCTTTTTATGGGAAACACGAAGAAACCCAGAATCAGAGTGGAGAGAAAAGCAAAAAAAAAAAAGCACGTAGCTTGGTAGTGAAAATGGAAATACCTCTTTGGAACAGAGGTTGTAGAGCCTGGAACAGAGGAATTCAGGGCCAAACAGAATGGTCAGGAAATCGGATTGCGAGCTGCTGTTTGTTGGTGCGAATTCAGTGTCCAGCCACGCCCCTAGTGGAGCTCTTGCAAAACACTGAAAAATCAAATCACCCATCAAAATCCAGAGAAAAAAGCTTCAACTTTTTTTCTCAATTACGGTGCTCTGTAAATTCGACCGTTATACCTGATCGATGACGAACGACGGGGGATGGAGCGTGTCGGGCATGAAAGCCGACAAGAAAACTGCGGCGGCAATCTTTTCAGGGAAAATCTCCATTGCCAGGGCGCAATTCAGGCCGCCCAAGCTGTGCCCAACGACAATTACCTTCTCGTCGACAAGGGACAGAGCGTCAAGCAGGGGCTGCGTGTAGTCACGGAAAGTGGGGACTTGTCCGATTGCCTTGCCGTTGATCCCTGAAGCCGCCATGTCGAGGGCGGTGACGCGGTGGCCGGCGGATTCCAGCAGAGGCTTGAGCTTGAACCAGGACCAAGCTCCATGGCAGGCACCGTGGACCAGCACGAAGTGTGCCCTTTTCTTTACCTCCTCTGCCATGGGTGTTTCTTTTTTTGGGTGCTGTAATACAGAGGATTTCGGGAGTTCATTTAAAGGCTGATTTTACTCTGTCTATGGTGATGTAATTTATCTGGACTCTTGTGGAGATCATGGGACGCCATTGTCAGAAACTTTGAAATTTGAATAGTGAACAGCCAGCCATTGACTGACTGATCTAGATTCAATGAGGAACCTAAGACTAACTCCAACCCAAAAAGCTATATTTAGCCTCCCAAGCTCTCAAATGTGCATATTTGCCTCCCCAAAACACCTTTTTGCTCCAACCATAAACCTTCTAAATTTGCCTTCCCAACTCATAACCAACCAATCAAAAATTAAGAAAGTTAAAAAAAAAAAAAAAAAAGATGTTGGAAAGTGGAGGGGTCCAGCGTGTGGGCTTGTGTTCCATGGTTGGTCCCCCACCTTCTCCTTGCATATCTCCATATGAGCTTCTATCTATCCACCCCCAAGCCCACTTCTCCAAATTTGCAAGCCAAATAATTGGTGGGTTGGAGATGAAAAAAGCCAAAAACCTCCCTTTCTCCAAATTTGCATGCTTGGGTTGGAGATAGTCTAAGAGGGCCTTTAAGACCACTCGTTTGGTGGCACCTAAAGAGCCCAACGCCTAATTTATTATTTACTCATTTTGTGTGGTAAATTTATATTTATTCGCACCATATTGATGTTCATTCACGTAGTAATAATGGTGGTTATGTTGTGTTTGTGCCTAGAATGTTCTAGGCGGTTGTGAGGCTCCGATCTGGACTCCTTCGTCTGATCTCCTCGAGAGGGGAAGAACCTGTGAGGCGGGGGGCGGCCCCCGAGATACGCTCCAACGCCCAAGTTAGTACGATATAGGAGAGTGTATGGTATGTAGAGAGATAAAGTAGAGAGAGAGACCTTAGGGGAAAGTGAGGAAGGGAAAAGAGAGGATCTTTAGTTTGGAGGGTTAGGCCTCCTTATATAGGGTTTGGGCTTCCTTGAGTGGGCTTGGGCCCAGGACGCCTTGCGGTGGGTTTGGGCCCGTTTATAGTCGTGTAGGCATATTAATCCATACCCAACAATTGCCCCTTTACTTCTTGTATTCTGTAAGAATGGAAGGAGTAATATAATGCGTTAATCGTGTATTAATTTGCCTTACTTACGAATCCGGATGATGCGGTTTGCCCCTTGTGCTAGTTGCGTGATCACTTCCTTTGCCCCTTTCTTGGCTTTCGATGTCTTGAACCAAAGCTCTCAAGTCGTTAAGAGCTCCTTCGCTAGTCCATTGTTGTTAGCGCTAGTAGACCATAATTGCGACCTAGGTAGGGTGGCCCCCACGGCTTGAGAGTTTTAAATCAAGACGCTCTTGTTTCGTGTCTCACCAATGTCGCGTCCATGTTGTCAGTAAGTCGTGTGTCTTGCTAATATCTTACTTGTGTGATGCAAGATCAACTGTTCTCTTCTAAGAAGCTTAGTACTTCGCCTTTTGAGAGGCGCATTAGTCTTTCAGATTCCTGGGAAGCGCGTCGCTCCTTCGGCTTCCTGGGAAGCGCCTCGTGCCTTCGGCTTCCTGAGATGCGTATCGCTCCTCGGCTTCCTGAGAAGCGCCTCGCTCCTCGGCTTCCTGGGAAGCGCATCGCTCCTCGGCATCCTGGGAAGCGCGTTGCTTCCTCGGCTTCCTGAGAATCGCATCGCTCCTCGACTTCTTGAGAAGCGCCTCGCGCATTCGGCTTCCTGACAAGCGCATCGCTCCTTTGCTTCCTGGGAAGCGCGTTGCTTCTTCGGTTTCCTGAGAAGCGCATCGCTCCTCGGCTTCCTGGGAAGCGCCTCGCGCCTTCGGCTTCCTGGGAAGCGCATCCCTCCTCGGCTTCCTGGGAAGCGCGTCGCTCCTCGGCTTCCTGGGAAGCGCGTCGCTCCTACGGCTTCCTGGGAAGCGCATCGCTTCTCGGCTTCCTGGAAGCGCATTACTCCTTCGCTTCCTGGGAAGCGCGTTGTTTCCTCGGCTTCCTGAGAAGCGCATCGCTCCCCGGCTTCCTGGGAAGCGCCTCGCGCCTTCAGCTTCCTGGGAAGCGCATTGCTCCTTCGCTTCCTGGGAAGCGTGTTGCTCCCTTGGCTTCCTGGGAAGCATGTCGCTCCTCGGCTTCCTGGAAGCGCGTCGCTCTTTGGCTTCCTGGGAAGCGCATCGCTCCTCGGCTTCATGGGAAGCGCGTTTCTCCTTCGCATTGCATTCCAAATAGGGAACATTGCTCGGAGGCGGGAAAGCATTCCTCGGGGGGAGCCTCGCTCAGAGGCGGTTTACGAGCCTTGCTCCGTGGCGGAAGAGATGAATCAACCCCCCGAAGGGTGCATCGCTCGGAGGCGGTATTTTAGCCCTGCCCAGAGGCGGAAGGCAAGAATCAATCCCCGAAAGGTGCATCGCTCGGAGGCGGTTTTTTAGCCTTGCCTGGAGGCGGAAGGCATGAATTAATCCCCCAATGGTGCATCGCTCGGTGGCGGGAAGCATTCCCGAGAGGGAGCATCGCTCGGAGGCGGTAAGCATTCTCCGGAGAGAGCATCGCTCGGAGGCGGGAATCTTCGAGCCTTGCCCGGAGGCAGGAGGCGTGAGTCTTCGAGTATCCGAGAAAGATGCAAGTGGCTAGAGCCCAATATATTTGAAGTATAAACATAGCATAGAGAGCGCCTAGCATAATAATAATAATGAAACGCTTTGCATAAGATATTATCTCTGTAAAATTGACTTAGCTCTAGAGACGTTGGAGAGCGGTTAAGTATTGGCTGTGCGTTATTGATCACAAACCGCTAGTGGCATACTGGTTGGTGTGTTAGCTTGTCAAACGCATGTCGCCGGTTCGAAGCTTGGTGAAGGCGTCTCCCATCTTATTTTTTAATAAAGCGTGCTCCTTGATGCGAAGCGGGCTTGGACAGCGAGGCTGACTATCGCGTGGCGGGCCTTGACTTGGGCGGTCCGTGGGCTTGGACAGCGAGGCTGGCTCGTGCGATGCGTGGCGGGCCTTGACTTGGGCGGTCCGTTGAAGTTGGGTACCAAAGCGGGTCATGGACGAGACGCGGGCATGGACGAGAAGAAGCGGGTTGTGCTTGGCTTTAGGAATCGGAGCGGGCCGAATGAATGCGGCCCACGTTGACAAATTGGAGCGGACTTTGTGTTTGGATGCATTCTGGACGAATTGGCTTATGTTGATGAAGGCCTGCCTGAATGTTAATGTGGTTGGCGGCTGTAGTACATGGATGCGGTCCACGTGTTGGAGTTGATCCACGATTCTTCTGGACTTGGATCTTGAGACGCTTTAAATATTGAGCGGTCGTTCTTGTATCCTTGGCATTGCTTAGAGTGAAGAAGTGGACGGCCCAATTTTCGGACCGTGGAATGCGGGCTTTGACTTGGGCTTTAGGCGTTCTTTGAAATGTCTTCGTGTGCGGGTTGGACCTGCTTGCTGACGCTGAAAGCTGAGCGGTTCGTTAGAGAGAAAGTGGGCTTACGGAATGCGGGCCTTATCTTGGGCCCTGCTTTGCTATGCCGTTGGAGGCGAAAGGTTGGTGGTGGTAGCGGCCGAGTTGGAGACGAGCCAGTGCTGGCAAGATGGAGGCGGTCGGACTCCCTTGTTGGGCCAAACGTGATGAGTTTTGGAAGCAGAGCGGTCTTAGGCGGGCCTCTAATGCGCGGCAAGACCGCATAGTGGGATGGCTAGCTTGAATCTCCAGGTACTTACTTCAAATATAAAGCGTTGATAGATTGATCACAAATTCCCTTGTAGCATGATGGTCATCATGCTAGTGGGGTGCGACTCCTACCCTGGTTCGATTTCCGAGAGAAGTGTTTTATTTTGTGAAGCGGCTCTGAAGCTTTATTGGAGGTGGAGGCGAAGTGAACTGCGTTGTCATGGGCTAGCTTCGTGGACCCGTTTGACGGACACGGATCTGATTGATGGTGAACCGCGAGCTGGAGTCGGGCCTGATACTTTGCTTCTGCGGGCCCTCCCTGGAAGCTTTGTTGGCGCGGGCTGGTAGTGGGTAACCTAACCACTTGGTGCCTCAAGCTTCCTCTTTTCCCATTTAGCTTTGCGTCTTCTGTTTTGAGGCGCCTCCTCGATAACTTCGTTGTCTCGGTACTCCCCCCTTTGCTTTTTCTGACACAGAAAGAAAATGGCATTGAAGTGACTCCCCCATAGCAACATGGTCTACTTTTTGGGTAAGAAAAGGAGAAAGGGATGTGACAACAGCCTGTCGTAGTGTTGATGTTGACTGCTCGCCTGAGCTTCTTGCCGGCTGCCGGAATTCACCTCCAGCGATCGGAACCTGGAGATTTTGCTATAGCTCGCACCTGTATCTTCTTTTGGGTAGCTCCCTTCCTTTGATTCACAGTTGTCCATGGGAGATTCAACTTCTTTATTTGAGCTTCTTTGACCGTTTTCTTTGTTTTGTAGGTTGGATTAGTAGGCGATGTGAGCTTCATACAACATACAGTTTTCGCTTGGGGTGGTAGAAGTCGGCGGAGCCAAGGAGACGTCTTCGCTGGCGGTGATGAGAAGCTGGACGACGAGCAGGGGCGATGACAGGTTGTGTTGGGGTTGACGAGTGAGCAGGAGGGTCGCTGTTGTTTCCGGTCGTTTGGGCGAGTTGTTGACCGGATCTGGGACTCGTTCTATTGACCTGAAGGATAGAGAAGAGAGTGAGGAGTACCGGGAAGGAAGTGCGGTCGTGGAAGTCGGAGAGGTGGTGGAGGAAATTTTCAATTTTGAGACTGCTCTCGGTTGGCATATTATGCGATGTTCTTGGATCTGGGATTTTCGGACCGTGGGAAAGGAACGAAGAATGAACTCCCCAATTGCACGCCGCCCATCCTTGTCGTTCCTCGTTTCTCATAAAAGAAAAGTAGATCCGGGACATTTTCATTTTTATTCTGCCCGGCGGCTCTTGCTTTTGATCTGCAGCTGCTGTCGTTGCTTCACTTGGTGGAGGTTTGGTTTCATCCCCTCTTTTGGAAATCAAACGAAAAGAGTGGCAGAATCTTTGCCCCACGGTGGGCGCCAAATTGTTTGTGCCTAGAATGTTCTAGGCGGTTGTGAGGCTCCGATCTGGACTCCTTCGTCTGATCTCCTCGAGAGGGGAAGAACCTGTGAGGCGGGGGGCGGCCCCCGGGATACGCTCCGACGCCCAAGTTAGTACGATATAGGAGAGTGTATGGTATCTAGAGAGATAAAGTAGAGAGAGACCTTAGGGGAAAGTGAGGAAGGGAAAAGAGAGGATCTTTAGTTTGGAGGGTTAGGCCTCCTTATATAGGGTTTGGGCTTCCTTGAGTGGGCTTGGGCCCAGGACGCCTTGCGGTGGGCTTGGGCCCGTTTATAGTCGTGTAGGCATATTAATCCATACCCAACATGTTGTTTATTCACCTAATGTAAAAAGTTGAGACCTTTCCGAGCTACTTTGTCCACAATTTTCTTCTTCTTGTGGTAGCCAAATAGCCAATGCCCTGAATGGTTACGGGGGATCTCTGTAGCTGTCAAACTACCATCTTAAGGTTAAACTTAGGAGAGGAATACGAGACTCTGATACCATAACAACCATTTAGGGTTGGGGAGAAAAGAGCTTAGTTTGTTTGCATTCAGAGATCAGCTTATATAGCTGTGAGTTTAGTACAGACAGAACGAGGAAGAAGACAAGCCTTGTGGCTAAAGAAAGTACATTGCTTAAAACGGAAACAAACAGAATTAAAGACTTGGAGGACTAAAAGAGAACTTTCCCAATACGACACCACTCCAGCTCCTGCGTGTCTTAGTGGAGACGGCGCCATTGTGGACAGCAGCTGAGTTCTCTGTGGAAACGTTGTCGTGTTGAACAACGGTCGACTCCTTCTTCGTCTTCTCTGATTCAAAAGCAGAGCTTTTCCCTGATTATCTTCAAATGCAAAGGGGGAACTCAAAACAATGCCACATCACTTGCTCTGTTTGCTCTGGCTACTGAAACAGGACAACTGAAATGGAACGAACAACTGAACTGCTAAACAATTCGAAGCCAAAACACAAAGGACATACTGAAGTCCTTGATTGTGACTCTTTTTCTTCTTCTTCTTCTCCGTAGCATTCAGTAGCTTGGCACAGGCAGAGTGATGGTCCCTGCGAGGCTTCTCTAGATTCCTCTCAAGCTGCTCCTCAGCTTCCCTTATCTTTCTGCGGATCGCGCAGCTACCTTTAACTTGTGGGCAGCTATTAACTTCCTCTCCGCAGCAGCATACTCCTGAAGCTGGCGGTTAAATACAGCCACCAGGGCTGCTCTCTGTCTCTGCTCGTCCCCTGTTTCTGCCATTTCCTGCTCTGTTTTTTTTTTTTTTTTTTTTTTTTGTGCTGTGACCAAGCTGTTTCATAAGCTTCATCACCATCATCATCCATAAGTAAACACATACAACCAACAAACTCCATTCTAGAGGTTCTCAAACTATCAGCACATCCAACCATTCTTAAGCCCTCCGAACACTCACTTTCATTTGGCCCTCGGAGATGAGCTCGAACCGACAAACATCACCTAGTTTCAGAGAGTTGTCCCTAGAGAACGCCGGCCAACCACCAATGAACGAGCCCTGTCCACGTTCACGTTGGCGAAGGACGAAGGACAGGGGCCATGAGCCGAGCCCCTCTTCATCTGAAACCACCACTGTGCCATGTTCAGGCATCATGTGCTCATGCACAAAAGTAGTGGGCAGAAGCTGCACATTCAAAAGAGAGAGGTAGCTTTCAAATTTTGGTTATGACGAAACTTCCTTGAAAGACAAAGGTGGAATTCGTTTGATGGAAATGAATGAACCGACAGTACGAAGACGCTTCAAGTGACCTGCATTTATGGTGATGGAGAAATTTGGATTTGTGGAGGCGATTTCCCTCCTTGGTTCTTGAATTCCTGTATTGGTGATTGGGGTCAAATATGAATTGTGAAATGCAAGCATTTAAATCTAGCTATGAAATTACATTTTGTGAAGGTTATTCACATCCTTGCAACGATACTTCTTCTCGCTTGCAGTGGGATCAAACACCATGACGTGAAAGAAGCTGTCATGCTCTAGCCGAAAAACCAGAATATCACCTTGCTTCAAAGAATGGTGCTTTGCGAAATCTTCCCAGCCCTTAATCAGCCAAATCAGCCCATCGTCATTGGGAGCCAGCTCTACTTCCCATATATCACCATTAGCGACCTTCGGTGTTACATTGCTGCCTAGCCTGGATCTGTATTTCTTCACAAACTCAGTAGGAATGTACTGAAACAACAAGCACCAAGTTGTTAAGTTCTATCGAAATAAATTACACAGGACTGAGATCATTATATAGGATAGGATAATAACTCCATAGCTTTCATAAAGTGGCTTCAATATGCCCAACTCACTGGTTTTCCTTTTGCTGAACCATTCCTTTTGCATGACAAATAAAGCTCGATGGGGCAATGGCCAATACCAACAACAATGATGATTACTCTTTAAGAAAAGAAACAAAGACCTGTTCCATTCCATCAGATCAAGCATCAACTTGAACCGATCATTACAAAGATAAGATCTTTGCCTTTTCTAAATGTAATGGTGATGAAACATCTATGGCGTCAATCACATTGATAGTCACTAGATAGCAATGCAGTTTGGGCCTCGGGCCCAAAATTTGTCAAAAATTGGTAAAACCCCAAGTTAGTTGTTTTGACTGGTTCTCGAAAATGACGGCTCTCCAACTCAAGATTTGCATCAAAGATCGACATACTCTTATTAATAAAGTTGAAGAAGACGCTAGACGTTATGAATGCCTAATTCTCTACCTAAAGTCTAAACAATGAGTTTTTTTCGTTCCTAGCGTACAGACGTTGAAGAACCTTCCTGCATGGCATTGAAATGCTGTAAGAAATAAGCTTGCACGTTCAATAAGAAATAGAGATCTTCCCTACCACAATCAGGGTGGCTGGCAGGGATCTAAAACGTGCCAATGAATTGGGTATTATAATCTACAACTGGCTTGCCTAGTTGAGGTGTTTTTACAGCAGCATGAAGAAATTTGAACTTTTTTTTCAGTATAGAGACAGACAACCTACAAAGCAGAATGTTGGAACCTTTTGAGATCAATGTATTCTGCTGTTTAGATACTTTCTCAAGTGAGAATACAAATTTGAGCCCACCCTCTCTACAAAGAACCCAGAACCCAGGGGAGAAAATAAGAGAACAATCAAACAACAAACAAGTATCAACAAATCCATCCATCCCAACCCAACTGCCATCTTTCAGAAGAGTCATGAGGAAGAGCAAAAGAAATAGAAACAGCACCAGCTTTCTCCCAGCCCTGGCTTTTGATCTTCAGCTCTGACTCTCGGATGGATTCGATATTAGGTCCATCACATCTGGGCAAACAAAAAAGAACAATGAGTGGTTCGATACATCATGTTTCTTCGCCTTCTTCAACAGTCGGAAGGCTGCCTTCTCTGGTAAATCCAGGATTTAGAAACTTGGAAGCAAAAACCCATAGTTTGTAAACATCTTCGAAGTTGGTCAGAAACCCTAGCGAGGCAGTGACAACCTCGACTCTTATAAAACCTGATTTTCCGCGACCACCAGTCTCCACCGCCCTGCAAAGGGCAGTAGCGTCTTCAAGGTTCAAGCCACCCTTATGCTGTCTAGGGCCATCCACGATTCGTATGTGACTGAGAAACCCAATGCCAAGAGATATCCCTTCTCTTTCAGCTAACCTCTGAACAACTTCAGGATGCACAAGCCCCTGGTTTCTATCCCTGATGTTGAAAGCAACTGCAGCACCTCTCTCGTACTTGATCTTCGGTCCATAAATGTGGACAAGATGCATTCCTCCTCCTCCTTCTCCTTCTTCGGCAGTGGGTAATCTCAGTTGCAGCAATGAAGTCACAAGCCAGTTGATCAAAAATCGAAGCCTTAGAGTGGTCTTATTGAGGCCCAACATGTTCACATGATCCAAATGCCGGCAACTTATCTCAGGCTCTCGCCTATCCCAATCCTGCATCCCCTCACCAAACTCACCATCGCTTGTGTACACGTCATTATCATCTTCTAGTGTAGCTATAGATACTTCCCCTGGCTCAGTAACGAGTTCTTTACGACTCTCCTCCGCGCTAGATGACACCCTTCTTCGCCTGCTCGGATGTTCACTCTCATCCACTCCAAGAAATCTACCACCAGAATATCGGTTCCCTTCCCTTCTTCCCAGTAACCGAAATTCACCTTCTGTTTCTCTTCTTATAGCACTCTCTATTTTGTCAGTGCCATTATGAAACCCGTTTGCTGGTTCTTCTTCTTCAATCTCGGAAACATGCATATGATTAAGACCCTCTCTCAGGTTTGTATGGCCATACTGCTCTTCTTCAGGAACCTCCTTAACACGGTCGAGCTCCTGAGAAACTGATAAAACCGCAGCATCAAATGACAACACCTTGTCATCATACAGTGGACTGCTGTAGATCTTTGAAGTCAGTTTTGGTGAGTTTCTCTTGTTGTGATTCTTCTTGCTGGAGAACCAAAAAGGTGGCAGCGGAGAGCCAATTGACTTGTGTTTTGCTGCAGAGTCGGAACCCAACGGGCTCTGGCCCAAATCGATCCAGAACGAATTGTCTGACGATCCATCTTCGCTGAAAACAGGGCTTTTCATCACTTCACCAACAGAGATGCTTTCTGTTTCTTCAAATATAGTGCTCGTCCCATCTCTATCCGAGTTGTTGTCATGACTCATCTCGGTCTCAAAAACATCGCTCACTTGAGCAGGTGTAAATGCTCCGGAGAATGCAGGCAGCTGCGTCCCTTGACGCGGTTCCGTAGTACCATTTTCATCACTTCCCATAACCTCGTCATCTTCAACACCAGTCGTCCCATCTAGACCATCTACAGAATCACTCAAATAGAGAGGATACTCCGGAGTTATCTTCACTATCCCAGACCCTGTACTGCCAGACTGATGCTGAAGACAACTCATGACAGATTTCTTAATAAGAAGACATCCAAACCCAGTTGGGTCAAACCCAAACACACGGTAAAACGAAGTGATGATGAAATCAGGTCGAAACAACGATAAACCAAGTGAATCCATATCTTTGGGGCCTAATGATCCAGCATCAAGCAACACATGCCAGTTGTTCTGCTGAGCAAGTGCCATCCACTGATAAGAATACTTGGCTCCTGTAACCCTCGACTGCACAGGGAAGACGAATAAACCAGTGGCAGAATCCTTCTTCCTTCTTTTCTTGTTCGAAATCTGCTTCCTCAAATCTGTTGAGCAAAGCTTAAGTGTTGGCCATTTGAACCAAGCACTGTAAACATCTGCACCTTTCTCCTTGGCACTCTGAGCCATCCAATTCACAGACTGACTCTCGTAATCAAACATGGTCAACAACTTCTTATTTGTGTGAAAAGGGTAGGATTCTGCAAGCAATTTGAAAGCAGAACCTCTACTCACCGTAAAAACAAGACCATATTCATTCTCAGGGATGTTCAAGTAATCCATTATCCTAGCCTTGATATCATATTCCACAGTGTTCTTCTCAGCACCACCATAAAGCGCATGATTGCTCAAATTCGCAGTTATCTCGGACAAGCTAAAAGTGGAAGATTCCCAGTAATGCAGAGTCTGAAGGTATGAAAACAGCCCAAACCCACAGTAATCAAGGCATACCTTGGGAGACAAATGGGTGTACTCATCTGACCTCAACTGATCAACTTTCTCAGAAGACTCGTACTTTGGGTACATAGTGAGGAACTTGGAGAACGACTCATGAAGCTCAGGAATGGAATCTGGGGTCTCGAACACTCGATCTGCAGCAAGGGACGTGGCACGAAGAAACTCCCGCTGGGCGTGAAGCCTCGCCAGCGATCTCGATCGGCCGATTGTTCCTTCGTCTTGGTTGTTTGCAGCAGCGGCCGCCTCGGAATCATCCATGTCCTTGGATTTGACGAGTGACCCATCTTCAGAAGCTTCCTCGAGCGCTTCCCTCAACCTGTGCTCTTGAAGTTTCCGGAGAATTGATGGATTTCTGGAAATCTCGAGATCGGATTCCGACCCATTTTTCCTCTTGCTCTTCTTGTCCAATATGAGAGCAGCGCAGTGGGAAATAGGCTTCCACAGTGACAGATGCATCACACTTGCTACTATCAAGCTCCTTCGAGATGGTCAAGTTTCAGTTCAGCCCATGAAAAAGGGGGGAAATTGAGGATATTTTCGATTCAGTGATCAGCTTGGAAACCCTAGGAGTGGGAAATCAGAGGAGAAAAGTGGGGGAAGAAAGAGGAAAGCAGCTTCCCAGTGAGCGAACACAGATCAGGGGAACTGGAAACTGTATAAACAATATTTCTTCAAGAATCCAACTTTCTTTTAAAATACAGAGAGGGGCTTGCAATTGGAAGCGGGAATTCGCTTAAAAACGAGTCCCAATTACAGAAAACGAATTCATGAAGAGAAAAGGGGTGAAGAAGAAGAAGAAGAAGAAGAAGAAGAAGAAGAAGAAGAAGAAGGGAGAGTCAAACCCTAGAACCCAGATCCCTAAACCTAGCCAAGCAGCTCCGCAACCGCAACACAGTGACACCGAGTCTCAAAATGGTTTCCTGGGGAAAGGAAAAGGGACAGAGGGTTTCAGCTATAGATTGGACAGAGAAGCTTTTGTTTTTGGTGCATCAGAAGCCAAACCCAGAAGAAGAGGTGAGCAAAGACTCGATTTTTACGACACTAGACCACCATATCCACGCAGCTTGATGAAAACTTCTCACTCTTTGTCTCTCTCTCTCTTACAGCGAATTAAAGAGAAAACCCCCCTTTTCACCCACTTATCAAAGAGATCTCATTTATTGCAGCTTCTTCTTCTCTTCTAAATTGCCAGTAAAATCCAAAAACAAAAACATCCCAGCATTGATATCCCCAAACTTCCTGTCTCTCTCTCTCCCTCTCTCTGTCAATTGACTCTCTCTTTCTCTCTCTACTTATCTCTCTCTCTCTCATATTCTTCCACCACGATCAGCTCCCTTTAGTTTAAACAGAAACAGGGGGAGGAACGGACATTGACTTTTGGCAAAGCACCAAATGCTTGTGCTGTTACTGTGTTCTTTTCCTCGTCCCTATTCTTTTCAGATTTCCCTCCCAATTGTTCAAGTAATGAAGAAGATCGCCATTAAAGAAAAAGGATGAGCAACCGGCGGTAAGAAGTTAATGGTAGTTTCTTCTGTGTGTTTTTTCCTAAAGTGACAAGAATGGTTAATTAGTCTAAGGATGTTATTAGGATACGAGGACAGGTTATGGTGATTACTAAGGGCAAATTGGGTATGACAAAAAAATTATTAATTATTTTTTTCTTATAGTAATTACTGTGGTTACTAAAGGCAAATTGGGTATGACAAAAAAATTATTAATTATTTTTTTAACAAATTTCATTTTAGGAAGTTACAAAAATATATTAATTACAATTCTCTCTCTTTCCCTCACTTCCACAATCTCCAGTCAGATATGTCTTCCTTTTTTTCAATCTTTTCCTTGTTTTCGTTCAGCCGAACTAATACCGCTACAAAAATAAAACAATATCAATCCATTAAAAGAACACTACTAATGCATAAAACACTAATACCATTCGAGAAATAAAAACACTATCATTTCACAAAACACTAATATCATTGCAGGTTTATCAATATCAATGCATACAAATCAATACAAATGCAACAAAAAAATAATAATAATACCAATGTGAAAAACACTACCACTACAAAAAAACTATCATTTCACTGAAAAGCAATACATTTACATGATAATCAATTCCAATGCGGAAAAAATACTACCACTGCGAAAAAACACTACCATTATGAAAAAATCACTACCAGTGCGGAAAAAAACAATACCAATGCGAAAAAACACTACCACTGCGAAAAAATCACTACCAATGCGAAAACAATACTACCACTACGGAAAAATCACTACCAATACGGAAAAATCAGATCTAGACTTTTTATTCATCCCACCTTTTCTAGCCACAGTCGTCTCCCAGAGAGAGCGAGAAAGAGAGAGGGAGAGAGAGAGGGTAATGGGGTGGGGTGTTAAAAATGTATCATTGACCCCATTTTCATAATGCTAATTAAGTCCCTGTTAAAATGCTATTGGTTAGTTTTTTTTACAGTCAAGAAATATAGAGTATAAAAGCTCACTGAAATTCTCACACACCCCATAGATAGTTTGAAACTAAATCTTAAACCTCACAATCCTATATAAAGGGTTCAATGCTCTCCTTTAAGAAACAATATGTCACTAATCAAAAAAAAATGGAGAGTTGTTGATTCAAGTCATCTATATACTAAAAACTCAGCTAAGAGGGGACCATCACAACTTGAGAGCAAACGAAAAAAATCAGGGTTATCTCCAATATGCGAATAGACTCGATCAAAGTAATAAGGCGCAAAATTAGACACTCCTTATATATTAGTTCCAGTAGGTTGAATAAAGAAGCGACCTATTTCAAACAATCAATCAATGATTCCTCGTTTTAAGATAGAAATAGGTTGTGACAGTTGCAAAAACCATAAACCTAAAGATCCAATAGCCACCACTCTCCGTTGTACAACCAAATTTCTATCTCAAGAGGCATATATTCAACCAAAAATTCAATTTCTAATCCTCCTTCTACAACTTCAGTTATTGATGAACTCCATTCTATTCGCCATGAATTGATATCGGAGTTGAAATCTTCTACTCGCCCAGCTTAAAATCCCAACAATAAAACCGTAGTGCCAAGAGATATCTGAAGATTGATTTTCAATGACAGTCTTGTACTGGGAAGTGAAAGGCGCAAACTATTGCACGATGGATGAAATTTCGGAGGAAGTTAGAAAGAGAAAAGAACAAAGATAAAAAAACAAAAAAATTAAATTTAAATTGAAAAATGCAAGGATACAACACGTAGTTCCATAATTAGTTTCTTCCATGTTAGCCAATTACCCATTTACCTTTAGCAAAAATTAAGGAGAGAGCGGGAATTTAAAATTGAGAAATCTCTACTATGAAAATAGAAGTATCAAACTCGATAAAAATACATACGGTAGACTTAGTGAGCTTGCTAATTATGATTAAAAAGTCCTATGATTTTCAGAGATTAACTTTGTCTATATTTTGTATAAAAAAGGATGCAATAAATTTGTTTAGTGTAACTGGTTGTTATTGTTATCTTTGTTTGAAGAGACCCGGGTTCAAATCGTGATATTGCTATTTTTATATGAACTAAATAATAAGTGTGTAAAGACAAAAATGACCTTCCTACTTTCACTCTCGTTGCAGAAAATTTGAAATGGAGAAAAATACACAAAACTCTACCATATATTAATCGAGGATATTGACTTTTTCAATGATAGACCAGAGATAATTGGAAAGGGCACTTGTGTGCTGGCTGCCTAATAAAGTTTTGTTCTGGCAATTCAGGAGGATTTCTTTATATCTCAAATTGAAATTTTGAAAGCGAAAGGGTGGTCTGCATGAAACATAAAGCAAAAAAGCCAAAGGCAAAATGCTTCTCATGATATGGTATATCATTTGTGTTTTTTTTAAGATCTTTTATTGGTTCCATGCATAAAAGAGACCGTTTGGAAGTTGCGATAGTTTTGTTGAGATTGTCATTATGCATGCATTGTTTATAATGCATTGTTTTTTTGTTTTTTTAGCAGAAACAATACATGGATTGTTTATGTGATGTGACAGAAACTATCACTCATTTTGAGTGATTGTTATATCTCAACTTTTAGTTGTGATTGTTGAGATAGTTGAGTTGAGATTGTTTTGTCTCAGCTTTTAGCTGATGCGACATACACAATCACACATACCAAACGTTGTATTCTACAATGCATCAAATTCGGCAATACATGTATAATATTATACATGCATTCTCAACAATACATCTATTTAACAATCGCAACTTCCAAACGACCCCTAAAAGTGTGTTGTGAAGGAAAAAAAAGTTCAGTAATTGACAATTCAAAGAGTTCAGGGGTGATTTTGGATTTCAACTAAAACATTCGGATAGTTTTGGAAGTAAGGAAACAAAATAAAAAGAAATTTTAAAATAAATAAAAGGATGAGAGATATTTCGAGTTCTCTCAGTTGATACATTTAATTTATCTTATGAGCCGAATGTCTTGTTTTAATTTTTCTTCACATACGAGACATTTGAACAAAATGTCTCATTTTGAAACTTTGGTCCTAATTTACGTGAAATTCTTCCTAAATTTAGATGGTTATGGACATCTAACATCTTTTAGTTACATAGTTGGTATCTTCTTGGTTGGACTATTGGCCATTGCTTCATAATCAAGGAAGCTTTAAATTAATTTGTGGGAGTAAATGGGATTAATTCAATGGATGGCCAAGGGTGAAAGTATTCAACGAAAAAAAAAGCAATCAAAACCTTAGTCAAGAGCAGTCATCAAGACAATTTGGAAGCCTTAATCCTGTTACGTTATTTGCTACTTGCCCCCTTAAACTTCATTAGTTAATGGATTAATGGGTAAATGGAAATTACAAAAAAAAAAAAATCATAAACATGTACTAATGGGAGACATGGAAGCCAGTTAAGCCACGTGCATAATATCATTATGAATTTATGATACTGATTGGATGCTTGAGCTCCTTATTTGTTTCCTTCATAATTTCCTAATCCAAGTTGGATAGAAATAAAACCATAAATAACGTTAATCAATCGGTCAACTAGCTATTGGAGAAAGCCAAAATACCCTTTTGCCATCTATAACCATAATTTCGGTTGACTAAACAAAAATACGGGTCATAGTAATTCTCTTCCATAACAATCGAGTGATCCACAATCGAAGATAATCAACTGATCACTATAATCGTTAGCGCAATCATGATAATAAATGAATCAATAGATATTGTCTTATTAATATATCTCTCATAGTTTGTATTCTCGCCGATGAACAACATAATAGTATTTAACTCAAACCCTACATGTCCAAAATTTCATTAGCCTAATCCACTTATTAGTTTTTAAACTGAGTGATTCACAACTATAATGAATGTCTAGTCATCATGATTGTCAACTTAATCACGATAATAGGGCGAATCAAGCTATACTGCTTAATTGACAACTCTTGTAGGTTATATTTTTCACGAGACAATGTTGAACATAAAATATTATATCTCCAGAGTTCCATTGGTGACACCTAGGGCTGGGATAGCGGTTATGAGTTTTCGTTTTCCAACCCAGTTTGTATATCAGCGGTTCTAAGTTAAACCGAAAAACATACAAGAAATTGAAACCACAATTAGCAGTTGAGGAGTGCAGAGGGTTTTGGTTTTAATTGAGGATGTAGGGGTTTAAATTCACTGTTTGTTTTAACCGAATCCGATAAGGTCTTATCGAATTTTGGTTAACCAATAAGCTTTCGATTTTGGTTTTGGGTAAACATCATAGTTCAGTTTTTTTTTTTTATGATTTCGATTAACCCAACCGGCACCCACACCCACTTATTACTAAATTAATATCAATACTTTGCATAGAAGAACTAAACTAAAAGTCTAAAACTAATAATTTGTAATGCAATAAGGAGCACAAGAAAGAAGGGAGAGGAGAGGAAGTGGTTGGTTTGATTTGTACCTCTCGTGTCCCTTTGCGTATTGTCACCATGCAAAGCGAAATAATGGTTTTATTCACCTTTTGAAGTATACTTTTATGGAGAAATTGGTGAGGTTTTGACGAGAGCACTTCGTTTGATTTGGAAGATAATCATAATTAACATGATAGTAGTAGCTAGTGGTCTAGTCCATAGGATGGATGATGGTTGATAATGATATATAATTTCTCAATAGAAAGTTTGTGTAACTAGTTCCATTCCGACTTTTGATATGTGTTCTCGAATGATAATGGTACATAAGTGATGAGATAAAAATGCTTTTTTAGAAAAAGATTTGGGGTTTTTAGGGATTGGTTCTCTGGACTGACTTATGAATTGTTATTCGATTAAATAGAATGGATGAATGATTGCTCCATCACCCATCATATTAGAGATTCTCAGCATTTTCCACTATATGTTTGAGTGTCCAATTTGATCATCGGAAGGGTAGTGAAACCATTAGTTATTTGTTGAATTCGAAGTCATATTATTTTTTATGAAGTGCTCATGTGTTAGAATCTTCCTATGCGTTTATGTTACATTGGTTACTGCGTGATTCTTTATAATCGGGAACATCATGCTCCATTTCGATTCTTAGTACAGATTAGGATTTTTCTTTTTATCCTACAAAAGGGAATTAAGATGTATCCAAATTACCATTTTTTACTAATCAAACACACAATTTTAAGTGGGCTTTGATAGCAATATGATGGGATGTGAAACAATCCATCCACTGCAATTAGGAATGTTATGTACACCACTTGTAGAATAGGAAGAGCTTTTTCCAATGGCTTCTGTTCATAATCCATGTTTTACATCGACATGCTTTAGAAATGATTGACCACCAAATCTCTCTCTTTTTCTTACCCTTGTCTCAAGTTGGATGGAGTAGTGTCATCTGGACGTGCATGCAAAGCTGCATACGCCTTTTGGCGTTGCTCATGTGTTGTTTTTCTTTTAAATAAAGCCCGGCATGATAAAATAAGTAGACGATACAACTACGGTGCTCGCATTTTTACTTGTAACAACATGCTTACACAGCTGAACATCGTCGGAACGCACAATAGTAGGCGGATGAACCTAATAGGAGATATTGAAGATCACTTCAAAACTCGAATATGCGAACTACGAAAGTCAAGAAAAATTAAAGTGGATTGACGCCTTTTGGAGTTTTCCTAACCAAACTCTCATAACCTATTGAAAGGTTTTGGTTGGAAATGAAACCCTAGAACATGTCTTTTCATTCATTATCGTCATTTCTTGGTTTAAATATGCAAAACTTGACACTAGAGGTGGCAATTGGATCGGATTAGTGGATTGGATTGGTGGATCCATGGATCAAATGGATTGGTGGATTCATGGATTGGTGGATTGATCCATGAATCCAAATGACATCCAAGGCTTGGACCAAAATGTAAAATTTGAAAAGTTTTGGTACTAAAATGTCACAATGAAAAATTTTAGGTACCAAAATGTAATTTTCCAATGTGATTTTTCGTATAAAAATATAAATTTTAGGTACCAAAATGTAAAATATAAAAAATATAGGTACCAAATCGTAATTTGCCATTTGGATCCATGGATTGATCCATGAATCCACCAATCCAATTGAATTGGATCAAATGGATTGGATTTAAATGGATTGGATTAAATGGATAATTTGGTGGATGGATTGGATTGGATTCATAGATTTGGATCCTAATTGCCACATCTACTTGACACTACATTGATAAGGCATGCCCAGTTGCATTAGAAGAAACAATAAACTTAGAAAGCTTAAAATAAAACATAAAACAATGCAAAATGGAAAGACAGTTTCATATTGAAACTTAATTAAACACAATTCTTAGTCTAAACAATGTCAATTCACTTAGATTTTGCACAATCCTCGGTTGTAACTACTTATATATGTCGTGAAAAAGGGTAAATACGATTTAATATCCAAACCTTTCATTTTAAACAATATAATAGCCAAACCTTTTTGAAAACAATATAATATCCAAATCGTCAACTTTCCGTCCGTTTGACCGTTGGTTGACACTTCAAAAAAGCTTTGTTTAGGGGAAATTGTCGCAATACAACTTTGTTTTCTTGTTTTGGCATTGCAGATGACTGAATATTTAGATATTCTATACCATCATGGTGGAGTCATGGACTTCTCGGGTTTGGAACCACGATATGTTGGTGATTTTTCAGAGAAGATATCGATGGATATTGATGAAGCGTCGTACTTCGAATTCTTTTGAAGTGTCAACTAACGGTCAAACGAACGGAAAGTTGACGATTTGGATATTAGATTGTTTTCGAAAAGGTTTTGCTATTATATTGTTTAAAATGAAAGGTTTAGATATTAAATTGTATTTACCCCGTGAAAAATGATGTCAGCATAAATTGGAAAGAGGAGAAAACAATGATATGGAAATTGAAAGGGCTAAGGCTAAGTATAGTTCCACGACCTTTGAAACAAAACCACATCAGACCGCACTGAACTGAATTGCATTAGTTCGTTACTGGTTTTTCATCTTTCCAGTATCTTTGAGAATTTGAAAGGTTTGTTGTTGAAAATGCAGGTGGCCTTTTAGCAGAATCTTCACTGGCAGGGCCCTGTGGTATGTGCAACATTTGTTTTCTGGTTGTTGGGTTTGGATGGAGACAGGGTGCAACTGACTTGTAGCCCAAGTTTGCTATCTGGAAAAAAGATTGAGAAAACCAAAGATATTACACAAATTAACAACGAGATAGAGACACCAACTCTACAACTGTATTATGAACAACATAGAAAGCAAGGGTCAGATTTCCAGCGATCAGTTACCTCCTTGTGAAGTGCTCCGGTGAAAGCAAGCTCTTTGGATTGCCGACAGAAACTGCAGTTGCAAACTCCCAAACCAAGGCAGATGTGGCATATCCAGTTGGAAGTTTCGACGCTCCCATTATTTAGATGTTCCAAGTACTTGAGCATGTACATGTAACATGTGCCAGGCTTGATAACTACATTTGGTGAAAACACCAGATGAGCTGATTTTACACAAACAAAGGCAATGCAAATGTGAGGAACATACCTCATGTACAAACAATCTCCAATGAGTGCGAAGACCAATAGTTTTCTGCCTGCACAAATGGATATTTAATCTTGTAATAGGGAGTAGGAAACCCAATAAGCATACACAGGGTTAACTGGGGACTACAGACAGTTAAAAGTTCAAATATCCTCCCAAACTCTCCGAAAGGGATCAGTAGCATAAGCTTTATAAGTCGGAACATCTAAACAACTTCCTCTCCTCTAAACCCGTTTGACATCAAGCACACATTTCTTTAGATTTCCTCGACAACTCTTGATCGCAAGTGAGCTTGAGAGAGAGAAAATTGAGGGGTCTTAATAAACTCTGACAATGCTAACTTCTAGGTAAGGCAGTAGATGTACCAGCATACCAGCAGTAACCATATGAACCACTTAAACTAGCAAATTCCCATAGTAACAGTAACTTGCAAAATAGTGTGAAAAGGTTCACAGTTCAGGTACAATAAAGCATCACTAATTGAAAACGTGAACCACGCGAAGAATCCCACTGACCTGCATAGGTGGCAAATCTTCCCATTTATCAAAAATCATAAAGTCAGTCTCCCATCGAGGGATCATTAAAGAGTTTTTGTTAATCTTTTGTATGACTTCGTTCTGTGAGCATAAAATCAAGTGAGTTCAAGGATTTGGTTTACAGGCACAGGGTACTAAATTGGATTCAATAGACATTTCGATTGAATCGTTCATAGTTGAATATAGTTTGATTTGACTATAAACAAAGAAGATCAAAGTGAATACCGGACTGAACCAAATTGGCCATGACACCTACTAAACTTCCAGCTGATCATCTATTGCTTTGCTGGGATGGATATAACAAGCAAAACATCTCCTTTTCAACCACTTACGTAGAACAATCCTTGGCATCAAGATCATCGACTTCTGACCTTCCCATGTTCCCTTGCAATCTCCATATTTCTGATTGAGCTTCTTTAATCACAGGACTAGTTTGATCATCAGAAGTGAATGCCTGAATGCCACCATGCTGGGCTTCAATCCAGCTTAGCCCAGCTTCTTTCTCCAGCATCATTCCTCTCATCTTCTTTCTCATATCAGCAACTCCATCCCATCTCCCTGTAACAGCATACAGATTCGAGACCAGAACATGTGTAGCACTGTCATCACTATCCAATCTCAATACCTCCTCCCCAGCTCGAATTCCTAATCCCAAATTCCTCTTATCCACACAAGCACTCAGTAGGGTTCTCCACATCTCCAAGTTATGCTCTGATGAATGAGATGCTGCTGCTGCTGATTCTTGTATAACCTCTTCGGCCTTCTCTAGCAATCCTGCCCGGCAAAGTAAACTCACCATGCAGGAGTAATGGTTAGGCCCTGGGGTAATACTCCCACTTTTTTGCTTCATGGAATTCCACAACATCATTCCTTCCTCCACCAAGCCGCCATGGCTGCAAGCGGACAATAGGGTCAGAAATGTCACATGATCCGGCTGGATGCCATGTTTTAGCATCTCTTTGAAGAGTTTCAATGTTTCCACCGGCATTCCATGGTGACCATATCCACCAAGCAGAGAATTCCAGCACTTTAAGTCAGGGAGCCAAACTTGGGAGAACACTGACCGAGAAGCTTGCAGATTACCATTTTTGGCATACATATGAACGAGACTTCCGCAGACGTTCATTTCAGCATCCCATCCTGTTTTTATTGCCTGGGAGTGAATCATCTCTCCTTGTTTCAGTGTTGCCAGATCAGCACATGCACTCAGACCTCCACTGAAGGCAAAGCTGTCCATTCTTAGGCCATCGTTGCACATGTCGCGGAATGATTTTATTGCAGTCTCCCCATCGCCCAATCTAGAATGACCCATAACCATCTCAGTCCAGAGAACAACATCTTTCTCTTCGATGAAAGAAAAGACCTTTCGTGCTGACTCGGAATCACTGTTTCTAAAATACATTGACAGCAAGGTAGTTCCTACGAAGACATTCTTCTCTAATCCCATTTTCACTACCAGGGTGTGGAGAGCTTTCCCATAGTCATCTCCAGTTCCAGAAATAATGGCTGCCAGAGTGTAATCATCTGGTTTAGGAACCGAAAGTCTCAGTAACTGTATAAACAATTCCATCGCCTTTCTTGACTCGCCATTTTCTGCACATCCTGATATTATAGAGTTCCAGGAAACTAACTCTGGTTCCTCGATCCTACTGTAGACATCGAAAGCTGTTCCAATGTCTCCACAACTGGAATACATGTCGAGCAAAGCGTTCTGCAGTTTTGAATCATGTGGCAGACCCAAAACAATAACTCGAGAGTGAATCGTCCTTCCAACGATGTATTCTCGCAGTTTAGCACAAGCATTTAGCACCGTTGAGTATGTGAACTGAGTAGGGCTGACATCAGATTTCAACATGGAATTGAACAGACGAAGCCCTTCATGTAACTTCTCATTCTTGAAGAGGTTAAACATCATGGCTGTCCACATGACCGCATCTTTAACAACCACCCCGTCGAAAATTTGGCATGCAGACTTCAAATCCCCAAATTTCGAGTACATCCCAAGCAATGATGTCTGAATGGAGACATCATCCGACCCACCAAATTTAAAAACTTGACAGTGAATTGAAGAACCCATAAACCAATCGTCGAGCGCAGAGCAAGCTTGCAGTAAGCTGACGAAAGTCGACCCACCAGGTCTCAGCCCTTCACTTCCCATATCCTTAAACAACTCTATACATCGCATTCCAAGACAGGGAGATTTAGAATAGGCTGCAAGAAGCGCATTATAGGATACAGTGTTTCTCACAGGCATTCGGTCGAACACCTGCTGGGCTTCCCAGATGGAGCCACATCGGCCGTACATAGACACGATGTTGTTGTTTCTGTAAGGAGAGAGTGCATCGTTGGTGTAGACTGTGGTTGTAAGGATCAGAGCATGGAGCTGACGAGCTCTCTTAAGCGAGGTCACAACCGTGCAGTTCTGTATGAGGGTTGTTAATGGCGGCATGAAGCAACCGTCTTCCGTTCACCCGCCAAAATTTCATAAAACCGTCTAGTATTTGAAATCCGGATACAAAACAAGGAAAATGAAGTCTTTTCAATATTATATTACATTTGTCTCCAAAACGCTGCGTTTCTCCGAAGTGATTAACCTATAAATATAAAAAATTTCACCGTCTCCGTCCCCATCTCCGGCGCGACAGCGAACGACACCACGAAAGAATGACCGGCGATTGGGAATTGCCTCGTCTCTGCCGTCTGATCGAGGAGCTCCTTCGTCCTTACTTCGTTAGTTGTTTATTAATTTGATTTCCCGATTCGAGCTAGATTTTCCGTTCGCTTGAATTGTTTATGTTAAAACAACTGAGTCCGCAGCTATTTTTACAGGAGCAGGACGCAGGTTCTGTGTCTTTAACCAGAGAAAAGGAGAAGAACCTTCTGATTTCACTCTCTAAGGTTCTGCACTTTTCCTCCCTTGTTGTGTATATGCTCCTAATGTGATTAGTAGTTTGAAGGAGTTCTGCCATTTTAGGTTTACAGAGAGATTCAGGTCTGGATTCGTGAAATGGAGGTTGATTCCGATGAAGTAAGCTCCTTGATTTTTTCCCCACTGAATTTCTATGAACAAGTTGGTTTCCAGATGGAAGCTTAAGGTTTCTGAGATGAATTTCTGAACAGGAGACCGTGGTTTCTGAATGTTTATCGGCGGATGCACATGAGCAGCATAACTGTTTGATGAAAGTCCTAGCTGACTTGGTAAGCACTCTCTCCACTCACTGACTGCGCCTGAAGTTGCTTTGATAAGATGAACATGTAGGGTTAAATCTATTCAATTGAGCGAGGTTAATTTGGATGTATCAGTTACTTATGTGCTTGTTAATTTATTTGAAGTTGCGTTGTCTAACATTGTCATTTCCTATGGCATGCAGATTCTTCTACTTACAGTTGACAGTCAATATGTACAACATTCGGCGGGAAAGATTGTTGTGGCTGTTTCCGAGCTCCTGGCTCCTTCTGTGAGTTTGTGGTTTGCTTCCATTGTCAGTCTATTGAGGGTACATAACAATTCATAATTTCAAAAATCGTTTGTGAATGTTTTGACAGGTCCGTAACTGGGACTCTTTGGTTCGTTCGCTCTGGATGTGTCTGGAATTGATTGTCAAACACCTGTTGTCCTGTTCTCCAATTTCAAATGCCAATGAGGATTTGCATTTTGGATCCTCAAGTCTAATGGTCTTAAATCGTTGTCTGGGAAATGCAGACTGGTCCACTGCAGCTCATGTAATCCAAATCTTGCGGAATATACTGAAAAATTTGAAGGAAGAGTCTGATGGTCAGCTTCTTCGAGTTTACAACAAATATGTCTATCCTTTTCTGTCAAATGTGCCCTGGGTTCGGATGGACGAGTTCTGTACAAAAGAGCCAAAAGTTGTGTTCTTGGGTAGTTTGATCTCATTTCTTTGCTCATTGGTTGAGCAAACTGTAGCTTCAGAATCTGAAGTCCATCTCCAAGATCAACATTCAACTCTTCCCATAGTTATTAATCTTGTGCCTAAACTTTTTCTTTTGTGCCTTGGCAAGGCAGAGAATAGGGCCAAACAGTCCACCTTTCAGTATTTCACTCACAAATTGCTGGTAAGACCTTGCTTCATTTATTTTCATGGGTAGATTAATTCGAAGTAGAAAGTAGGATTTCTTGTCTCGAAAAGCATTCCAAGACATTATATAATGATAGATAGTTTCCACTGTTTTACTGGTTCATTGTGATATGCTGTTGTCATGAAGCTTTATGCTGTGTCTTTGATTGACTGGTTCAGGTTTTTGAGATCTGCAACATTTTTCCGCAGATGTTACTGCTGAGGCTTAGTTATGGAACTCATATAAGTTGCACCACACTTGTCTCCTGGTTGCAACTTCTCCATGATCACTTTGAAGAGCTACTTTTGAAACCCATGTCTAAGGTTAAGACTTGTCAAAATGATTGCCTAGAAGGCTCCCCGTTTCTGTCTAGCGTCTCTGAGGGAGAAGCACAACACATGGGGCATTCCCTTCATTCTCAAAGGCAGGCCATACTCCTATTTCTTAGGTGCTGCTTCAGTTTGATCAGCTCGACAGGAGAGAATACCAAGCAACTTCCTAAAGCTCATAACTCTCTCTCGGCCGTCAACATGGTCTCTGACCCTGATTTTTCTGGTAGAAGTAAAGGATTTATTGAGCTCTACAAATGGTTCCAAGCCCACCTCCGATATAGCTTCTTATGTGGAAAGGAAATGCATGTGGACAAGTGTATACTTTTTGCAAGATCTTTTCTCCAGCTATACTTGCATGAGGTTAGAAGCTTCTTAACTCAGGGATTAGTTGGCTACAATAGAGCATGTTCTCTTAAGATTGATGTCTCTTACATGAAAATCTTAGCAAATGTATTTTATATTAGACCCTTCAGTAGGCGTTAGCAAATCAAGGATTTCTTGCCACGTCTCATGTTCTAATTACTGTTTGATATTGGTGCAGGATGACTTATTGTTTAAGGTTCTCCTGCAGTTGGTTACTGCATCTTCTTGTTTGGAGCAGCAGTGAGTATTGACTATAACTAGTTCAATTTATTTCACTGTTATAAAAACCTAATTGGTTGTCTGATACAGGTTAGAGGGAAAGAAACAAACATATCAGGATGCAGAAGAGGATATTGGATTTCTAGTTTCAAATGCTTTCAGTCCAGTGAACTTATTCCATCTATTCCTCTCAGAGGTGACTACCATTTATATATAGGCTTTGGTATTAATTGGCCACAAGACCTCTCTGCCTTTTTGTTTTGATCTTCTAAATACTTCTCATTCTCTTGTAGTTGCACTATGATCATCAAGTGCTGCTTGATTACCTTATTTCCAAGGATCTTGGAATTAGTTGTGCAGAGTACCTATTAAGGTAACTTGCAGTTTGGACAGTGTAGTCTTAACTCGTCAATCCTGAGAGTCAGCTGTCATAAGTTGACTCTTTCAATCTGTTGCTCTGCTGATCAATCACCCTTGATCTTTAGGTGTTTAAGGGTTACATGCAGTACCTGGCATTTATTCATAGAGTTCTCCGTTGACGAAAATGCTATGCATAGTTTATCTCGAAAAAAGCAAAAAATCTTGGAAGATGGTCCTGACTTCCAGGCAGACCAATCCTCTGCATCTCCAACCATGGACACTTATCCCTCTCTTAATGATAAAGTTAAGATAGACACTGACAGTAGTTGTAAGCAAAACGAATGCATAAGGCTTGCATTCATCGAGGCGAAAGATTGTCTGCTATCTTTGAAAGTTTCTATAGAAAATCTTCACCGGAAGAATCTGTTTCCTTATAACCCTAAAGCTCTCATACAACGGTGCGTTATCCACCTTGAGTCCCTTTCTCTGCCTTTTCCTGAAGCAACTTAAATTCATTGTACACAGTCTCTTACAGAAATTGTGGTTGGTTGGTCCATTTTTGCAGGTTGGCAAAATTTGAGGAACTCTGCAGCAATCATGATGACTTTTCCTAGAGTGCTTGCTCAGAGAGAACCATGATCCTTCCTCTTGCGGGCATCCATCATACAAACTTGCAGAAGTTGCATAATTTTTTCTGACTGAGTGGGACTGGCCGCACTGTTGGACCTGATGGGTGCTCCTATTGATAGTCAATAGAAGTTTCTGGTTGCCGATTGCTCTGCCATTAGCTTTTTCAAAGTTCCAGGATCTAGTTCTGGTACTGAGATTCAGGAATTGCCTAACTTGGATTTCGAAATTTCCTCAGCTTTTAAGTTAATCGTCTTGAACTTCCCCAGTATTTCAGCCTTTCCTGTCACTTCAAAGGTCATGTTAGCATGGCCCAACGAGTAGGCAGGTTAGGCAGTCATTCAAAATTTAGTTATTACGAATTGGGTCATTTTGGATAGTCTGCCGTCCGAAAGATCTATTCTTTGACAATTGACAGGATGGACGTTTGGCTTTATTAGTTGAATCTTTTGATTTCAGCCAAAGGACAAAGTGGGTTATCTTGTGATGGTTTGGAAGTTTGTGGACCGCGTAGCATCATCCCAAGGAGAAAGGAAATATCATAATTTAAGGGGAAGTTGGGAGTTTCTGTAAGCAGAGAAGAACCAGATGGAGGAGGAGAAACAGAGTCGTCTTCATCATCATTTCGTGCTGGTCCATGGAGCTTGCCATGGAGCTTGGTGTTGGTACAAGGTTGTTCCTTTACTGAAACAAGCTGGCTACAAAGTGACTGCTCTCGACTTGGGAGCTTCTGGGATCCATCCAAACCAGGTTACCGAGCTGGGTTCGGTCTCGGACTACCACACACCGCTGATGGAGTTGATGGATTCCTTAACAGGAGATGAAGAGAAGGTGATCTTAGTTGGACATAGTATGGGTGGTGTTGGGATATCTGCTGCAATGGAAATATTTGCAGAGAAAGTAGCTGTTGCGGTGTTTGTTGCAGCTATGATGCCAGCTCCTCATCCTGGTGTCGGCTACTCTGTTACAAAAGAAGAGGTACTTTTCCCTTCTCTTTCTCGTTCTTTATTGGGTAAACTGGATTTTCAGTTTCACATCGTACTGGAGCCTTTAATCAACGTTGGATTTGAGTACTAAAGTTACCAACTTTCATCCTTTTTGGGTACAGAAAGTTGCAGACTTTTAGTTTACACATCATCTTTCTCCGAGCAACCCCTACCTCTTTGGTTGTCTTATCTCTGCTTTTCTCTTCGACTTGATCTGCAACTCATTAACTTAAAATTATACGGAAATTTTTATGCAGTGTCTCAAGCAAATGGATTTCATGGATAGCCAATTCTCATTCCATGATGGTCCTGAAAATCCTCCGACCAGTGTATTGTTTGGACTCAAGGCAATGTCAACTAAATTGTACCAGCTCTCCCCGCCTGAGGTAACACCCTGAACACCCAGTCTTCAATTTACGTCCATTACTGAACCAGGAGTTTCCTCAGAGCATCTTTATTGGTTGACTTAGTGACGAGAAGCTGAAGTGGCAATTTTGTTTAGCAATTACAAAGGTGTAGATCTTATTCCCAAATATGAAGTTGTGCTTGGAAAACCCCCATATTGTAAACAGTTTAACCCTTTCGCTTTCTTGTAGTAAGCTGATTCTTTGTTCTCCTCAAGATCAAAACGTTACGATGGACCCAGTAACTGAAATTGAAATTGCTTAATTAAGAAAATGCTTAAGTTGATAAGTGACACAAAGTGGTTGACATTTATAATTGCTGATGAATTGCAAGGGTTAAGATGATCTACTACTACTGTCCTTTGCTGCAGGATTTAACACTGGGAATGATGCTTATAAGACCCTGCCCTTTCTTCAACGATGCGGAAACAGAAGCTGAAATAGCCCTGACAAGCGAGAAATATGGATCAGTTCCTCGAGCTTATGTCGTCTGTGAAGCAGACGAAATTATCAAGCCGGATCTGCAAAGGTGGATGATCGAGAACAACCCAACTGACGATGTCAAACCCATATCTTCTGCTGATCACATGGCAATGTTCTCAAAACCACATGAGCTCTGCACTTACCTTTTGGAGCTTGCCAGCAAGTATGTTTGATGAGTGAACGATTGCCTCTGGCTTCGCCGCCCGTGGTAAAAGTTGATCTGACAAATTTATAGAGTGCTACTGAAGTGTAATTGTATGTTGTGGTTGATCTTAATGTGAAAAAGGCGAAACCTTTCTGAGGGCTGACGGAGCAGGGTTCCTTTCTCTTCTATAATTAAGCGGCCGTTGATCCATGTCTGGAGAAGCGGCAGAGTTCCTTTCTCTTCTTAGTGACAAACGGAAACAAATATGTATGAAATATGAAATCATATTTCTCGTTCCAGAAGCGAGTTCATTGTACTCGGTCTCTTACAGGAATTATGGTTGGTTGGTTCTTTATTGCAGGTTGACAAAAATTGAGGAACTCTGCGGCAATCACGATGACTTTTCCTAGGCTACTTGCTTAGAAAGAACTATCTTTTCCAGTTGAAGGAGAGATCATTATAATAGGTTGCTAGAGTTCAACTCGATATTCCAAGGTGTGGCTCCAAGTAACCGTGAAGGTTCTCCGATTCTTCAACCTTAATAACCTTTGTTTATGGACGAAAGGTAAAATTTTCGAATTATGCTCCTTCCTCTTGCGGGCTTTCATTATACGCAATTGCAGAAGTTGCATAATTTTTCTGACCTAGTGGGACTGGCCGCACTGGTCGGCCTGACGGGTGTTCCTATTGGTAGTCAATAGACGTTTCTGGTTGCTGATTGGACTCTGCTATTGACTTTTTCAAGTACCAGGAGATAGTTCTGGACTTCTGGTGCTGAGGTTCAGGAATTGTCAAACTTGGTGCGTTTCCTGTCACTTCAAAGGTCATGTAAGCATGGCCCAGCGAGTAGGCACTAGGCAGGTTAAGTAGTAATTCAAACTGTAGTTATTACGAATTGGGTCATTCTGGATAGTCTGATATACCCGAAGGATCTATTGTTTTGACAGGATGGACGTTTGGCTTTATTAGTGGAAGCTTATGATTTCAGCCAAAGTACAAAGTGGGTTATCTTGTGATGGTTTGGAAGTTTGTGGACTGCGTAGCATCATCCCAAGGAGAAAGGAAATATCATAATTTGAGGGGAAGTTGGGAGTTTCTGTAAGCAGAGAAGAACCAGATGGAGGAGGAGAAACAGAGTCGTCGTCATCATCATTTCGTGCTGGTCCATGGAGCTTGCCATGGAGCTTGGTGTTGGTACAAGGTTGTTCCTTTACTGAAACAAGCTGGCTATAAAGTGACCGCTCTCGACTTGGCCGCTTCTGGGATCCATCCAAAGCAGGTTACCGAGCTGGGTTTGGTCTCGGACTACCTCGCGCCGCTGATGGAGTTGATGGCTTCCTTAACAGGAGAAGAAGAGAAGGTGATCTTAGTTGGACATAGTATGGGTGGTGTTGGGATATCTGTAGCAATGGAAAAATTTGCAGAGAAAGTAGCTGTTGCAGTTTATGTAGCGGCTATTATGCCAGCTTCTCACCCCGGTGTCGGCTACTCTTTTCCAAAAGAAGAGGTACTTTTTCTCTTTCTCGTTCTTTATTGGGTAAACTGGTTTTTCTGTTTCACATCGTATTAGAGTCTTTAATCAACGTTGGATTTGAGTATTATAGTTACATACTTTTATCTCTTTGGGTACAAAAAGTTGCAGACTTTTAGTTTACCCATCATCTTTCTCCGAGCAATTCCTACCTCTTTGGTGGTCCTATTGTTGCTTTTCTCTTGGACTCGTTCTGCAGTTCAGTAACTTTAGTAGTACGAAAACTTCTATGCAGTGTCTCAAGCGAATGGATTTCATGGATAGCCACTTCTCATTCCACAATGGTCCTGAAAATCCTCCGACCAGCATGCTGTTTGGACCAAAGCTGATGTCAACTAAATTGTACCAGCTCTCCCCACCTGAGGTAACGCCCGGAACACCCAATCTCCGATTTACCTCCATTACTAGACCAGGAGTTACCCTCAGAGCCTCCTTATCGGTTTAACTTTCAATCGTGAAAGTGGCGAGAAGCTTAAGTGACAATTTGTTCAGCAATTGCCAAATGTGTATATCTAATTGCCAAATATGAAGTGTAGACAGTGTGAAGGTCCTGAGTGAAGTAAATGCTAAAGTTAATTAAAACGCGACACAAAGAGCTCGACATTTGGAATTGCTGATTGAATTACAATGATTAAGATGATCTACTACTGTCCTTTGCTGCAGGATTTAACACTGGGAATGATGCTAATAAGGCCCTCCCCTCTCTTCAACGATGAGGAAACAGAAGCTGAAATAGCCCTGACAAGCGAGAAATTTGGATTGGTTCCTCGAGTTTACGTCGTTTGTGAAGCAGACGAAATTTACAAGCCGGATCTGCAGAGGTGGATGATCGAGAACAACCCAACTGACGATGTCAAGCCCATATCTTCAGCTGATCACATGGCTATGTTCTCAAAACCACAAGAGCTCTGCACTTACCTTTTGGAGCTTGCCAGCAAGTATGCCTCTTGGCTTTCCCCTCCCATGGTAAAAGTTAATCTGGCCAATTTATATTACTACTGAATTGTGATTGTATGTAGTGGGTGATCTTCATGTAAAAAGGCGAAACACTTCTGAGCTACTTTGACCATTATCACAGTTCTCTCGTATTGCAGGAGCCAACATAGCTAATGCTGTGAATGACATATTTGGTCTTCTTAGATTTTACTATTGAAGCGGAATCTCCCTCAAGTGACTCTTCGCTTCCTTGCTCATCAACCCAATCCTTCAGTAGTTTGGCACAGGCAGCATCGTAGTTCCTGCGAGCCTCTTCTACTTCCCGCTCAACTTGCTCTTCAGCTTCCTGAATCTTTCTGCGAAGCTCGGCTATCTTCGGCTCGTACGCTGCAGCAATACTCCTTTCGTGACCGTTAAAGTCGCGGAGCTGGTGGTTAAATGCAGCCACCAGGGCTGCTCTCTGTCTCTGCTCGTCCCCTGTTTCCGCCATTTCCTGCTCTGTTTATTTTGTGCTGTGACCAAGCTGTCTCGAGAAATGAGAGCTTATATACAGGAGAGTAGTGGGATGCGAGAGGTTTCCTCGCGTGCTGATGTTTACGGTTCCCAGGGTTTGGCGAAGCAGGGAATCAATCAAATATCAGTTAATTAATCCGTTGCTCTGTGTCTGGTGAAGCGGCGGCAGAGGAGAGCAGAGCTCCTTTTTCTCCTTCCAAAACAAGACGAGAAGTTATTGGGGAAGAGACTGGCCAATCTCTATCAGCAAAGAGAACATGTTGGTCTTTTAAATGCTCGTCTTGGGGAGATAATGCGGTGCATAACTCTTTCTGTTATTAATTAGGATTTCCAATTTCTTTGAGTTATGATTGTAGAAATGAAAATTTTGATAGACAGACGAGATTGAGATGCAAACAAATTAGGGCTCGCGATTTGGTCCGGATTGTTTGGTTTTATCCGAAATCGGATCGTATAATCCGGACTGGGACAGGATTGGGATTGGATAGTAAACAATCCAATCTCATATTCGGGTTTAGATTTGAGGTAAAAAACCGGATAAGAGACCCCCAATACTTAAAATCAAGATCAAATTGGGACCGGACCAGATTAAGATCAGATTGTATACAATCCAATTTTTGGTCCTTATATTTCCAAAAAGACCTGATTGGGACCGAATCAATTTGGTCAAATTTAACCGGACCGAACCGTATAACCACCCTAAAACAAATGAGATTGAGGATGCTGCGTCATTTGGTTTTTAATACAGTCTCGTCAATACAATCATGGGGTCATGTCGAAAAAATAAAGGTGCTTTCAAGAGTAATTATCTGCTATCTGAGAAAGACAATCGAAGAGCTTCCTGGGTTCACAGAGCATCGCCATGTGATCCGATTCCTTGATCTCCATCACTTCTTCCACAACGTAATTCTCAATCATCCACCTCTGGAACTCCTCATTTATCCCTTGATCCTCATTGCAAATCACAAACACTCTGCGTACGGAGCCGTACCCTTCCTCTGTAAACTTCTCCGCCTTGCTCAGGTCGTGCAAAAACAGAGAGCTCGGCCTCACCAGCGCCTTCCCCAGCTCCAAATCCTTTTTCCCAGAACACACATATCAGATTCACTAAATAACCATTAAGAGGATCGAGAAACAAATTGAATTTAGTATTTTTCATACCTCTTTGGAACAGAGTTGGTAGAGCTTAGAACAGAGGAACTCAGGCCCAAAATACATGGTCATGAAATCAGGCTGCGAGCTGCTGGCTGGTGCGAATTCAGTGTCCAGCCACGCCCCTGCTGGAGCTCTTGCACAATACTAGAAAAAACCCATCGAGATCACCCCCAATTAGATTCCAGAGAAATAAAAAGCTTCAACCTTTCTCCATTACCAATTTACCATGCTCTGTATATCCAACCCTTACCTGATCGAGGACGAAAGACGGTGAATGGAGCGTGTCAGGCATGAAAGCTGACAAGAAAACTGCGGCAGCAATCCTTTCAGGGAAAATCTCCATAGCCAGGGCGCAATTCATGCCGCCCAAGCTGTGCCCAACGACAATGACCTTCTCGTCGACGAGGGACAGAGCGTGGAGCAGGGGATCTGTGTAGTCGCGGAAAGTGGGGACTTGTTGGATTGCCTTGCCGTTGATCCCGGACGCTGCCAGGTCGATGGCGGTGACGCGGTGGCCGGTGGATTCCAGCAGAGGCTTGAGCTTGAACCAGGTCCAAGCTCCATGGCAGGCTCCGTGGACCAGCACGAAGTGTGCCCTCTTCTTCTTTGCCTCCCCTGCCATTGTCGTTTCTAAATTTGTTGATTGTGTAATGCAGGGGATTTGAGTGGGGCGTTTTTAAAGGCTGATTTTTTACTGTTTCCATGGACCATGGTGATATCGTTCCTCTGGTGGAGAAAGGGTTAGGTAGTGGAGTTGGCGGGTCTTTGTTTATTCATCGAATTGCGAGGTAGAGAGAGGCGACTCTTCTTGGGAAAAAATCCAAAACTATCACTGTTAAAAAAAGAATTACAAAAATATCACATATTCTCAATAATTTCCAAAAATATCATCGTTTATTTAAAATCGCGCCTCTAATGAGCGGTTAACATTGAAACCGCGCCTCCTGGCAGCGGTTTACAATATAACTGCCTCGCCAAGAGGCGTTTTTAATTTCAAGCAAAAACAGTTTATGGAAGGCGCGGTTATATACTAACCCTACCACAAAACGCTTCAAGAGGTAGCGTTTAAATGTCGGCATGATAAACCGCCCCACCAAGCGGCGGTTTACCATGTCCAGACATAAACCGCTGACCCAAGGCGCGGTGTTTGCCTGGTCATCCGACAGCAAACATGTCGGCATGCAGGGGGTGGGGTTGCATGACAGACCTAGAAAACCCCCCCCCCCCCCCCCCCCCCCCCCCCCCCCCCCCCCCCCCCCCCCCCCCCCCCCCCCGCGGTTTTGCTGCAATATTTGCCTATAAAAGGCTGTTTCAGAGAACTCAAATTCTTCATACTCCTCTTCCTTCTTCAAATTTCAGTTTTGCACCTTTAAATTATTTAGTTTTTGCGATTAATGTTAATTCATAAGTTTGTTTTGTATTACTTTTCATTTGTCCTTTGTGATTTTATGTTAGTAACTTAATTACTTTTCATTGTCCTTTGTGATTTTATGTTAATAACTTAATTACTTTTCATTGTCATGTCCCTCTTGTATTAGTTTTCATTGCAGACCACTTTAGAGTGGTGGCGTAGAGTCCACACAAACAACATCATCATCGATGGGCAGATCGGTTAGGATGGTGATGTCCTTAAGTGTGATGGTGCACTCGCTTTCACGAAAATTGAAGCAGTGTGTCTCCTTTCGCCATCTCTCTACCATCACCGTGATGAGTTGGCGGTGGATCTTGATTCCATTAAAATGCCTTATCGAATTCAATTTTGCCCTTTTTAGAAAGGGCAAGATGACGTCGTTCCATTCAAGCACATTCGCCGTGCCCTTATAGTGGACTATATGGTATGCATCCTAGAGAAGAATTTAAATTTCACTATAAGTTGATGATTTATACATATTGTTGGGGTATTATGAGCAAAGCCCAATGGGCGGCAATTTGGACTTCCAAACAGCCCAATTGGGGGGCAAGGCCCAAGCAAAATGGAGGGCACATAAAGACAAATCACTAAAAGCCAAAGGAGGCCAGACTGTCATGTGGTTCAGCGTCTGCGGGCGCCTGTCACGTGCCAGGAGTCTGACAAGGTGGTTGGGATATCTGACCAGAAAGGGACAAAGCATTAAATGGAGACAGGGAAGTAGAGAGAATCAACCTCGAACTCCGGTGAGTATAAATAGGAGCAGTTGGTAGCATTTACACAGGGGGGACTCTCTCTCACTAAACTCTAGCTTTGAGACACTTCTCTCTTCCAATAAACTAACTTGGGCGTCGGAGGATTAACGGGCCCAGGCGCCCCCTCCTTGTTCGTGTGTGCAGATCGGCGCCTTGCGAGAGTGGATTTCAGAGAGTCTTACGGGGGTAACGTGTCACAAACACATATATAAATATATTATAAGATGCAATATTAATTAAATCAAGGTTGTTTTATAGAAATAAACATTATCTAATAAAAATTAATTTTAACATAACTAAATAATATTATAGGATGCAAAATTAATTAAATCAAGGTCGTTTTATAGAAATATACATTATCTAATAAACATTAATTTTAACATAACTAAAATAATTTTCTAAGATGCAATATTAATTAAATCAAAGTTGTTTTAGTGAAATATACATTATCTAATAAACATTAATATTAACATAACTAAAATAATTTTCAAAATTTAAGTATAATTATTTTTTGTACACATACACATAAAATCAAATATATTATTTTGTTAATCGTATTGATTATTTTCAATAATGTAAAGCAATACAAGTACACTCGTAAGACTCTTAGGAGAGGTATACATCTCCTTAGAAACACAGTCTTTTTGACAGAAAAAGGGGGGATCCGAAGATCGCTTAGAGCCCGATTTTCCCAGGTCATGGGGGGATCATGATGATCGCTTAAGTCACCATTTTTTTAGACATGCATTTCTTTATAAAGAGTCTAAATAAGTGTTGTATTGTATTGATTTAAATTATTGAAAATAATCAATACGATTAACAATTAAGTAAATTATTGTACAAACAAATAAATTACTTTAACAAAATACAAATTACAAGTGATGATAAATAATATGTACCTTGTGGTCGTTCCAAACGTTTCTTGAACGATGATTAGCTTGATCGTATAAAACAGTCGGATCAATCGGTCCTTGATCAACATAATATCGTTGATTGTAAATATCAACATCCGGCCCAAACTACGATAACATAACAACAACATAAATCAATTAATATATAAATTAAATAAATCATTATAACAACAACAACAATTGGGTAAAATGAGTACGTATGGTTTGATAATCATCATAGAAAAGGCCCTCTTCTTGGATGAAATTGGCCATTTTTTGGAATCCGGACAGAGGTACGAAGGTTTTTTAGTGAAAAAAAAAGTTTTTTGAAGGCAGATCGGACTTAGCCGCAACCAACAAAATAACTAATTCTAAGGTTTTTGGGTTGGGAGGGGGGTGGGTAGAGTGAGAAGTTAGAGGGAGAGAGGGGGGAATGAGTTTGGTGTGCAGAAAATGGGAGGGGAAGGGGGGTTTATATAGGGACGAAACCACGTGAGGGGGGGGGGGGGTTCGTCCTTTTATCCCGCCTAAAACCGCGCCTCCAGCACGCGGTTAGCGTTCCCCAATAGTCAAACCGCGCTTCGTGGGAGCAGTTTGACTGACCGACGCGGATCGCTGAGCTGGCGCGCGGTTTGGCCGTCAGATCGCTCCCCCATCACGCGGTCTGATGCACCGCCACGTGGCTATGCGGTTTGACAGCTAGGAAGAGTCAAACCGCATCTTGGAGGCGCGTTTTGTTATATAACCGCGCCTTCATGCTGCATTTTGTGTGGAAGGATAGTATTTTTGGAAATTGTTGGGAATGTGTGGTATTTTTGTATTTTTTTTTATAGTGATAGTTTTGGATTTTTTTTCTCTCTTCTTGAGGACTGCAAAGAGAGCCATGGCCGACCGCTACGACTCCAGCTGCCATGGCCGAACTTGTCATCTTTATTATGAGGTGGAAGCTTATTGGGATTGTCAAAAAAAAAAAAAAGCTTATTGGGGCCGGTAGTGCTCTCCCATAAAACAGAAACTCTATTGCTTTCACGGATCGAAGACTGTGTGGCGACTCAGCCAGTTAGGCCGTTGAACTATGGAAAAAGGAGGTGCTGAACATTCCCAGTCCTCCCACGAGAATCTATGACTCAAACCATTCATATTTAGGACTTTGCTTATCTCTTGTCTTTCAAGTTATGGTGACTTGAAGAAAACGCGATCGAACGATTTCGTCAAACGGTATAACGGATGGCGCACTTACTGTTTGTAATGGAACTGAACCATCATATAAAGGGGAATGGATCATGTGAGTAACCTTATGGTGAGTAACCATGAGTAACCCTTTCACATCAGTATGACATCAGCATCCTCTCTCTCCTGGAAAACTTTTAATTTTCCCCTCTTTAATCTTTGACAGACGATTTCTCACTCATTTAAGTCGAAATTTAATTTTTTTTGCACAGTTAGATCAGATTAATTGTGCTCTTCAAAATGATATCCACTTTAATATATTTTTCGAACAAAAAAAATTGAGCCATTTTTTACCAGTCTATACCGTATGGTATTGACTGGTATTGAAATAAAAGCATACCTATGGTTTGAAAAACGTACCATGGTAGGATTGTATACCACACAATACCACCTCGTACCAGGGTGGTATTGTATGGTATTGTGTGGTATTTTTTGGTCCTGTAATTTGTTCACCCAAAAATTTGTAGATCCAATAGATCATGATGAACTCGTCCCTTCTGTGCAAACGTTTTCAAAAACGAATTAAAAACGAAGAAGATATCATACAATACCACCCCGTACCAGAGTGGTATTGTATGGTATTGTGTGGTATTTTTTGGTCCTGTAATTTGTTCACCCAGAAATTTGTAGATCCAATAGATTATGATGAACTCGTCCCTTCTATGCAAACTTTTTCAAAAACTAATTAAAAACGAAGAAGATACCATATGGTATGTAGTTGGTACAGAGAGGCCATAAATTTTTTTTCTAAAAAAATATTGAAAATTGATCTCAATTTGTAGAGCACAATGAACTCGTTCCATCTGTGCAAAAAAAAAAAATTAAAATCCGAGTTAAAACGAAAAAGATATGAGTCAATTAAGAAAGCTAGAAAAAATAAAAATGGTCTTTAATTCTCCTTCCTTAGGTCTGAATTTTCTAAATAAAGGGTCCAGATTTGGTTATTGATGGGTGCATAACCCATGGTTATGCACCCTATCTTGAGCCCATATAAAGGAAAACAATCGACAGCTTAGATAGAATGGTCGATCAGTTAGTAATTATCTTATCAGGTGTCCGAATAAGATGGGTCCATCACTAGAAATGTTTTAATATTTGCAACGGTACTCCATCATTACAAAAGGAAAGTAATGGTTGATCCGAGCAACAGAACGGTCGGTCGGTTGACCATTACATTATCATGTTTGGAATAAGATTCCATCACTAGAAATGTCAATATACACAAGGACACTGCTACCAATTAACCCGAGTTGATATCAACATAAACTATTGTAAATAACCATCTACAGTATTAGTTTATCACTCTAAAAATCGTTCAAAAAAATTCTTTATAATGATTAATTTCTTTGTAAGTGTGTCATCTGGTCGAAATTAAGACTTTTTACCACATAATTGTTAAGACTTTTTAAATCAAAATTAAAACCATTACCTTGATTGAGATATTTTATTTTAACAACATCTAACATCAAGTTACCTAATTATTCATACAGAAAACATTATCTTATAAGAATTTATATTCAATCAAATCGAAAACAGAATCCTTGCATTACATCACACCTTATTGAAAAATATAAGAGTTGAATGAATGCCACCATTATTAAAAATGTGATAATCAATATAATAATTAAAGGTAGTTGTCAATATCATGTGAAGAATATTATTGTCAAATCATTAACAACTATAATAAATTATTTCAAGCAATTTCATCAAAAAATTGACGCAAATTCTCATAATTTATACATGAGGTTTATATTATTAGGCAGTCTTATCAAATGATTGTCAATTATTATATTGTTAAAGTACCAGTCTGTAAATATGCCATATAGGCTTCGGTTAGGGTTTAGGTCTCTAGACCTATATATACTCATGTAACCTGTGAAAGAGTACTAAGTAATAAGAAAATCATATAATCGTGAGTGAGATACTCACTGAACTAATGTTATATTGACGAAATCACGCTAAAGAAATCTGTGTTATTTACCTATGCAATCTTTGATACTGATAAGCTAATTTGTCTAGACAATCTCATCAATTTCATCAGCCACTCACTTAACGCTGTCAGTGTGTTATTATCATTAAAAAATAATGGTGCATAATCTTTTCTTCGTGTTTTTATACTCATCGTATCAAACTGAAAGGATGAAGCAGCTGAAGAAATCCTCGATTGATCGGGATTGCTCGAAGAGAAACATAATAAGAAAAAGACGTTTCAAATTTCGTGTTATAAGCTCTGTTTATTTTAAGTTGAGCAATGTGTAACTGATACTGTTAAATCAGTTTGAGCCACTATAAAAACAGAGACGGCGACTCTGCAAGGCCTTCCTCTTCGCGAAATCCTTTGCAAAAAATTTCATACTACCACCGATCAAGAGTAATTATGTGCTATCTCAGAAAGACAATCGAAGAGCTTCCTGGGTTCACAAAGCATAGCCATGTGATCCGATTCCTTGATCTCCATCACTCTTTCGACGACGTAATTCTCAATCATCCATCTCTGGTACTCCTCTTTTATCGCTCGATCCTCATTGCAAATCACAAAGACTCTGCGTACTGAACCGTATCCTTCCTCTGTAAACTTCTCTGTCTTGCTCAGATCGTGCAAGTACAGAGAGCTCGGTCTCACCATCGCCTTCGCCAGCTCCAAATCCTTTTTATGGCAACATGAACAAGTAGTTAATGTAGTTGAAACAATATGCAACTAGAGGACTGTTTAGGCCGCGTATCGTACCGGCTATTCGTTCGGAAAAATATTCTATACGATTAAGACGATAGGCGATTTTTTAGTGGTATGAAACGCTAGTTAAATCATAATTTTAGTACAAAATACTTTATCCGCTATCTTTTCCAGTACAACCTTTAATATGATTTTACTACATACCTCTTTGGAACAGAGTTGGTAGAGCCTGGAACAGAGGAATTCAGGCCCAAATAGCATGGTCAGGAAATCGGGTTGCGAGCTGCTGGCTGGTGCGAACTCGGTGTCCAGCCACGCCCTTGGTGTTGCTCTTGCACAGTACTGAGAAATGACCCAAATTTCCATCTATCGTCAAACAAATTTATATTATAGTACAACTTTACAACTTAGAAAACCGTCAAGAAAAATACTATGTTACCTGATCCAGAACGAACGACGGGGAATGGAGCGTGTCAGGCATGAAAGCCGACAAGAAAACCGCCACCGCAATCTTCCCCGGGAAAGTCTCCATAGCCAGGGCGCAACCCAGGCCGCCAGAACTATGCCCAACTAGAACCACCCTTTCATCGTCGTCGCCGCCGGCTGCCGTTTCCAGAGCGTCGAGCAGCGGCTGCGTGTAGTGACGGAAAGTGGGGACCCGGTGAATCGCCTCGCCGTCGATCCCGGAAGCCGCCAGGTCCACGGCGGTGACGCGGTGGCCGGCCGATTCGAGGAGGCGCTTGAGCTTGAACCAGCACCAAGCTCCGTGGCAGGCGCCGTGGACGAGCACGAAATGTGCCGCCTTTTTCTTCTTTCCCTCCTCTGCCATATCCGCGGTAACAAAAACAGAGATATTTGGGGGGCGTTTTGTGATTTCGTTTTGGGTTTTTGATTCTCTGAAATCTTGATTTCGTGGTGGAGATAAGATATGACGGTCGACGGAAGGTGTGGATGGGGGAGTTGTGGGTCTCGTTGATCTGATATGTCGGCGGGTTCAATCGATATTGTTTTCACCATAATGGACAGTGCGGGTTAGCCGATTCTTTCTTTTCTTTCTTTGGCTCTTGACACCTGCGGTGGAGATCAGAAACGACAAAGGGGTGGTGGTGGGGGAGACTTGTGGCCTGTGGTTCTCGCACCGTCGCACGGCGATGACTAGTGGTGCAAGTGGACTTGTTTGGTTGGGACTGAGGGCTTGAACCAAGCCCGTTCACGAACAGCTCGACATTCGACTCGAGGAAAATTCGTTTAAAATAAGATTTGTTTTAATCGAGTAAGCTCGAGAACAAGCTCGTTAACTAAATGAACTGAACTCGAGCCATGCCACGTTCAGCTCGAAAGCTCGTGGTGAGCAAGCTCATTTGACGGTTTGGCATCAGAAAGGATTGGAATTCATGGATTTCATGTATTGAAATTGTGATACATATTTTTTATTTTATTCTGCTAGACTTTGCACCAGGGTTAAATGTGATTTTGTGCTCAGTTCTACTTCTAACTCAATCTTGAACTATCATGAACATTTTATGAGCTGAACTCGATTTTGTGCTCGTTAACCTTATTTGATGAGCCGAGCTTGAGTCGAGATCGAGTTGAATTTTCATAAACGAGTCGAGCTCGAACTTGCATATTAAATTTTGTGACGAACTCGAGCTGAGCCCGAACTATGGCAAAGTTCGGCTCGGGCCTGATTATTAATAGCCCTAGGCACAGTGGTGTGTAGGACGACTTTAAGTACACAGGGATCCTTAAAAAGTTGAATAATACTAAAATCTGTATATTTAATGAAATATGAATTGATTGGGGTTCTTGGATGAGCTAACATCGATAAAATATGAGGTCCTAAACTTGACATATCATACTAATTAAACTCTATGTATTTAAAGAAATTTGGTTGTCTCATTTTTTGCCAAGTAAGGTCCTAGGAACCCACTCCTCTCCACCTCCTTCCGCCGTTGCCTGGGCGGATTCATTTTTTCCTCCTCCGTTTACGGGGCATTAACAACCGTTTTTTAGCGAATGTTGTCCTCTCAAGGGTGGGTTCTTATGCATTGCTTATTCGTTCAGGAATTAACTTGTATCCATGTGCTTTGTATTCACTTAGAATTCGCTCCGAGACATATATATCGTCTCTACCCCTCACGCCAATCCAGCGAGCCTCTCTCTTTCATTCTCATTCGATCACGACGTAGGAAGCAAGTCAATCTAGAGAAAACATTGAATGGTACAACTAATTGTATACAATGTTAGAGGTGATCAACTAGCTTGTATCGTGTATGCTGGCCACATCAGCTGGAACTACGAATTTTTACGGTTATTTGTGTAAGTTCAATGAATTTCCTACTTGCATTGATGTGAATGAGTTGCAAAGGGGACTAATTCGCATTAAACTTCGAAAGCTCTAACTTAAAAATAGAGTAGCTTTGGTGCAGAAGCTTAATGCGGATGTATATCAAAGATTCGTGTTTGGATGCGCTCCAACAACGAGACTTAAGTTAGTCGGAACATCTGGTTTTTGACATGGTATCGTAATTTTTTCCGTCTTTGGATTCGGACGACCATTATGTATTAACTGTCGACTTTATTTAAAAACACATTGTAAAAAAAAACGATACATTCTTAGTTCTCACCCATATCTCAACTACTAAAATTATTCGGAGCAACCATCTTACTATGAATTCAGGTGGAAATCTCCAGGAGGGAGGAGTAAAGCTCATCAGGTTTGGAGAGCATAACCATATGGTCAGCTCCTGGGATGAACTTCACGTCTTTTGGTGGACTTTTTTGAATGAACCATTCCTGTAAATCTTTCTTCATAAGTTGATCCTCTTCAGCTACAATGAAAACCCTCTTCACAGATCCGAATCTATTCTCTGTTAGCAGAGATTCCTGACTCAGGTCCTTCAAAAACAATCCGTTCTCCCTCACCAGCAACTTCGCCAGTTCCAGATCCTGATTGCATTGTGATGAGGCAAACACAAACCCAGAATCAAAATGCAAGGAAAGTAGCATAGCTCAGGAGGTTTGACTATGGCAAAAGCCAGAGTATTTTTGTTATATGAGTACTTTGTTATCCCCAATATTATATAGTACACTTTTGTGTACTTTTTTTATTTATTTCAAATTTCCTACAACGAGAGTAAAAGTAGGAAGGACATTTTTGTCTTTACAATTAATTATTTATCTCACATAAAAAATATCAACATCAAGATTTGAACCCGGGTCTCTTCAAACAAAGACAACAATCACAACCATTTATGCTGAACAAATTTGTTGTGTCTTTTTTAATACAAAATATACACGAAGCGCAGCTCTCTGAAAATCACAGGACTTTCCATCATGATTAGCAAGCCCACTAAGTATACCGTATGTATTTTTATGGTACTTGATACTTCAATTTTCATAGTAGAGTTTCATGTAATTTTCTCAATTTTAAAATTCTTTCTCTATCCTAAATTTTTGCTAAAGGTAAATTGGCAATTGGCTAACATGGAAAAAACTAATTTTATCACTACGTGTTGCGTCCTTGCATTTTTCAATTTAAATTTGTGGTTTTATCTTTGTTCTTATCTCTTTCTAACTTTCTCGAAATTCCCTCCAACGTACAATAGTTTGCGCCCCTTTCACTTCCCAATACAAGGCCGCCTTTGAAAATCAATCATCCGATATCTCTTGGCACGTCGGTTGTATTGTTGCGGATTTAAGTTGGAAAAGAAAAAAGAGTTTAATAAATAATGGAGTTGCAGAAGGAGGATTAGAAATTGAATTTTTTATTGAAAATATCTCTTGAGAAAAAAAAAAATTGGCTGTACAAGGAAGAGTGGTGGCTATTGGATCTTATGTTTATGGTTTTTACATCTGTCACAACCTATTTTTATCTTAAAACGAGGAATCATTGATTGATTTATTGAAGTATGTCGATTCTTTATTCAACCTACTGGAACTGATAGACAAGAGTGCCTAATTTTGTGCCTTATTACTTTGATTGAGTCTATTAGCATGTTGGAGATAACCCTAATTTTTTCGTCCGTTCTCAAGTTTCGATGGTCCCCTCTTAGCTTAGTTGTTAGTATATAGTTGACTTGAATCAACAACTCTCTATTTCTTTTTTATTAGTGGCATATTGTTCATAAAAGGAGCGCATTAAACCCTTATGTAGGATTGTGAGATTTAAGATTTAGTTTCAAACTATTTATGGGTCGTGTGGAATTTCACTGATCTTTTATACCCTCTTTCTTGAAAACCAACTAACCAATAACATTTTAACAAGGGCTTAATTAACATTATGAAAATGGAATTAATGATACATTTTATATTCTTAAATGATGATAGTATTTCTCCGAATGTTAGACCTATATATTCTTTCTTTATGTATCATCTCGATCGAAGGATTGTCAATAAAATTAGACCGGTTGATTGACTTAAATGTAACATAAAAATATAAATAATCAAATATGAACATTCCGGCCAATGGGCCGGGTTATAAGCTAGTTTGTGAATATCTTAATATCCGATACTCTGTAAATATCACACAAATTTATACCAATAATTAAGACGAACATATAACAATGTCAATCGTCATTATAAAGGTGAAACAGAAATAAAACCACCAAAGATGCTTCAAATCATGGTAACCACTGGTCTGCCAACCGGATTCAACGGGTATTGGACACAAACCGAATGGAAAACCACCGGTACGAAGAGGTAGTCAAAACCAGTAAAAAATGGTCAAACTGTTTTAAAAAACTGGGGAGATCAGGTGTCCTACTGGAATGATCATCTTAAAACAAAATGATGTCTTATTTTGTGGAATTAATGAACTAAAGAGAGAAATTTGTTGTATTCAAGCACGAACATTTGGATGTTGATGTTGGTAGTTGAATTCAAATATAAAAGTTTAGATCTTGACGTTAAATGTTGAATTTAAATATATTGATTTGTCATTTTGTTTGTTTACTTAAAATATAAATTTAGATTACAGAGAGATTGTCTTAAGATAGCGTATGTATATAAACAATTAATTTATTGTTAATTAATTGTTTCCCACTTTCTTCACATGTTTTGTTAAAATCGACAAAAACAAACATGTAAACCAGTTATATACCGATTGAACCATATTACTTATGAAATCGATGTAACGGTATAAACCGATTAGAAAACCATTCTATCACTACGATATCACAAAGATACTGGACCTACTTTTGTTTAGTTAAGCTTAGAAATTAGAAACGTGGGGATAAGTGATAACCCCTGAAAGCAAAAAAAAGTTTCCAAAAACAGGAAAACCTGGGGTGGGCTCTCCTGATAGAGACTCGTCGCCATGTGACGTGGGCCAAACATGGCCGAAGTTGGTGGGCTGTCAGGCCCATCCGCGAAACGGACCTGCGAATCCATCAATGCCTCCGCCGGCGTGCGGTTGAAGAACTTCCGTCCACGGCCAAAACAGGGGAAAGCAAATTAAACAGAGAGCTTTACAAATCAACCGGCGGGAAAACCCAATCCAGAGGAGGAAACCCCAAAATTACAGAGAAGTACCTCAAGGACTACATTCGCCGGTGGGGAAGTGGAGTTGGGCATCAACGCCGTGACGAAAACACCCACCAAGACCTTACCGGAAAACTTCTCCATGGCCAGAGAGATGGCGATCCCGCCGTAGCTATGACCCACCAAAATCACTTTCTCTTCCTCGGGGAGACCGGCGAGGAAACCCACCAGTGGGCTGACGTAATCGGAGATGGAGGAGACCTCGTCAAGCCGCCGGGGATCGATGCCGCTGCCGCCGAGGTCCAGGGCCGTGGCTCGGTGGCCTGCCGATTCGAGCAGAGTGACGAGCTTGTACCAGCACCAGGCTCCGTGGCCGGTTCCGTGAACCAGAACGAAGTGGCTCTTCATTTTTAGCTGGGGACGGCGGTCGGTGGGTGTGGTTTGAGATGACAAGCATGGAGCAAAAAAACAGAGTAAGAGAACACAGAGACGGGAGCAAAAGAAACAGAGCATGAGAACACAGAGAAGGGGAAATGGGGCTTTTTTATGGTGACACACAGTGAAATGAATCAAGAGAAAAAAGGGAAATCTGTGTGGATGTGTTTCTCCGGCCAAGTTCTTGATACAGTGGCGTCAAAAGATCGACCGACCGTAGAATCCACCTAACCAGATCTTTCCTTCTGCGACTGAAAGCCAAATTTCATTTGTTTTTGGATGATTTCTGTATTATCATTCCATATCCTAATCCTATATTTACCAGGCCGTTCCCACAGGTCTTGTCGCTATATGAGCCAGGAGCTATTTGCCTGACGTTTACTTTGGCTTTTTATGGATTCCGACCTCTACACATTTGCCAAAAAATTCAGTTTTATGGCTTACCTTACCTTGTCGATTTGGATCGTTCTTTAGATCTTGAAATGTGAAGTTTGGTTTGTGGGTTAATAGTTTGGTCCAAAATTTGGCGTGTGAGTATTGATTTTGGCCCCAACTTTTAAACAATATAGTTACAGGTCAACTTTTGAAAATAGTGATTTGTTTAATTGATAACATTAAACAAACTGATACCCGTCCCAGAGGTTAAAACGCTAATCCGTGTTTGAAAATTACGAATGTTCTCTTCCCCACGTTACAATACGATATTGCTCAGTCCGACGAGCAGTTAACCTGACTCACATTCTGGTGATCGCTTGGCTGAACTACTTCTTCCTGAAGCTGGTCACCATCACAACTCAGCCAATCCTCATCAGCAACTTCCAGCAGGCACTGACAGAGCTCGTTCGGCTTCGAAAGCATAACCATATGGTCAGCTCCTTCGATGTACTTCACCTCGTCCGGCGGGTAGCTCTCGATGATCCTTTCCTGGAATTCCTGCATCGTCACAATGTCATCTTTGCACACAATGTACACCCTCTTCACAGAGCCATATTTGGCCTCGCTCAGCAGGGATTCCTTGGACATGTCTCCCAGGAAGAACTTGAATGGCCTCATCATTAGCTTGGCCAGTTCCAGATCCTGAAAAGCACAAGCAATTAGTTTACATTCTTCAAATTGGTTGTGATTTGAAAGAGAGACCTGATGAATGTAGGACAATGTTTGTGCAGAAGGTAGAAGAACTTGCCTCTGGCTGGCAGTTTGTGTACATTATGGTTTCCAGGTAAACTGGCCCAAAAAGTGCTGATATTGGAAGCGTTTCTTGTTCTTTGTCGAATTCTACTTCACATAGTGCAAATACCTCCTCTGGTGTCCTCTCCAGGATCTGTTGTTGTAGAACAGCAGCAGCAGAAGCAGAACCAATGAAATAACCATCATTTACATTGTTAGATTACAAACATACATCGAGACTCGACACCTATAACGTTCGCACAATGGAGTTTGTACCACACTTATCAGCAAACATAGGCATATTTGTTGAACTACGTGTTCCATAACTTTGTATGGTCGTTCACTTCTATCGATTGCGTAGAAAAATGTTTCGTAATAAGCATAACTTAATCGAGTATCGAACTCAAGACTCTATCAAAGCAGAAGAGTAACTAAAAGGGAAAAGGAAAGGTGCTTTGATTGTTCATTGTAAGGATTTCTTCTTCTTTTTGTTTACCTCTATCATGAGAGTGGCAGGAGGCTCGACGAGATTAGGCATTTCAGCAGTGACAAAAACAGCCACCAACACTTTCTGAGGGAACATCTCCATGACCAGAGATATAACGTAGCCACCAAAGCTGTGACCCACCAGAATCACCTTGCCATCATCTTCAGGCAGGGAGGCCATGAACTCCATCAACGGCCGAGCATAATCCGAGATTGTAACGATCTCGTCCAGCCGATTAGGATCCACCCCGGAAGCTCCGAGATCGAGAGCAGTAACTCTGTGACCACTGGATTTCAGGAGCGGGATCAGCTTGTACCAGCACCATGCTCCGTGGGCTGCACCATGAACCAACACAAAGTGCTTCTTTCCCTCCTCCATACTTGAGCTTTTCTGATTGGGGAAATAATGGTGATTTCGTTTATATTGACGCCAGAATATGCCTTGGAGAGACGGCTAATGGAAGGTTGAAGTGAACGAGGGGGAAACACTTGTGGCCTTCTGGGGAGTTCCTCCATTTTCATTGGAAGTGTCATTTAGTAGTGACAAGCAATTGGTTACAGTGTGAATCTTCTTTTTGGGGGGCTTTGGTTTTACCGTCCGTTGGCGCATACTCTGTGCAGTTTTCACACACAGCTAATAACAATGGGTTCATATTATGTTTTATGTATTTCATGTCAGACACGTGAATCCTGACTATATGTCTGCAAATTAATAACCTTGTTCATCATCTCTATGCACTTCCTACGCTAAGACTACCAAGCAATCTGAATGAGAAACTCTCATGATCATGACTCAATCAACTCTGAACATTTAAAATGTCATAACAAGTCACAGCCATGTTCATCATCCTGGCTGTAAAATCCGGTGACCGGAGCAACTCTTTCGTTCGAGTTAAACTGCCAGCTTTGAATAATAAGTATTGGACAAATCAGGTTCATATTCAGATAGAATTCATAGATCAGGATATATTTCTCGAACGATTAAGCAGAATCGGGAAAGTTATGTACAGTTTTACATGGTACTCTATGCACCGCCGACGGCTAAAGAACTAAGAGCAGAGCACCCCTTTAGGAGGGGAGACTCCAAGTTGATATTTACAATTTGTTTTCACAGAAACATGTTCCAATGGATGCTGCATTGGTTCATATTTGGTTCAGGCGCTAAGCATGAGCTTTTGTACCTTCAACTGTTGTAAGGATCTTCTCTTTCTTCAGCAGCCGCGTTCTCTTTGAACATCTGGAATCAGCTGAGCATGGTTGGATGCCCCCCAGTCTGCAGCATCCTCTTGATCATGTCCATCCCAAAAGCTGAATCTGATGAACTGTGTAATCAAAGGATAAAATTTGACTCAGAATGGTAAACAATAACACAGGAAGGAAAGCTTCATACTAGAAAAAATAGAGACTTGATATCATGCGAATAATGCAGAATAGTGTTCTAGACGAGCCTAAAATAATAATAAATAAATAAAAAAAGAAATATCTCTCCACTATGTTGCTCTTAGATATACAAGACATGAAGGAAACTTGGAAAAGTAATCCGGGTTCATTCAACCATGGATACCAGCCTCGGCTGAGATTTTCATCACAAGGTGCATGAAGCATTAACCTAAATCTCATGAATTAGAGAGAGAATCCACCTGGGAATAGTAACTTCATAAGGGAAATAGACAACACCATCAGATATAGGAGGCACATGATCCTTCTTCTCATTCACAAATTTTATTATCTGGAATAAAACCTCACGAAGAGATGTTTCAAGCGCTGCCCTGCGAGCACTCCTCTCCTCCAATGAATCTGCACTTAACAGAACAATAAAATTTTTTGGTCATAAACAGGATTATGAGTTAAGAACCTTTACAAGCAATGGATTACCAGTTATAAGAGTCAACAGTACTACCTCCAGGGTCGACCACAATCTTGGAAGGATGAGACTTCCCAGAGTGAACTTTTTGTTGCTGGCTCACATTCAAATTGATATACCATTGTTCCCAATAAAGACGTTCGGTTTTGTTTGTAAACCACGAAGGATGCTTGTTTTTCACCTCATAGAAGGATATACAGACCTGCATCATTCAATAAAGAGTTCAACAACCAAAAGAAAGGGACTTCATCAGTACTATGATAAAAAGTTGATTTAAACAGTAGAAGTAACATGACGAGGAAGTGCTACTCAACACAGAGAAACAGATAAAATGGTCAGCTAGAGAACTCTATGTACAAGTCTAATATACACTATTGTTTAATCAAAGGCAATCGACGCATCCTATGATTTGGCGGGGTATACATCGGGTGACATGGACATATATGCAAACCCCATAAATCCACCTTTGCTTTAAAGGAACAAAAGGGCAACTACTGAAGCTATAATTTGTATCAGACATTTGAGTATAATATACCTGGCTCTTCTTATTTGGGTGTTTCTCTACCCAACTAATGAACTGCTCAATCTTCTCATCGATTTTCTTTTCAAGTTCACCATCCCCACATTGCACCTGCGCAACAAGAAGGGCAACGTCATTGCCAATATACTAATAGCAGATGCCAGAAGTCATCAATGACATTATGAGCTTTAGGCATAAAGCCTATCAGCCAGCTTTATGGAGGACACCCGTTACTTACATATGTAATGTCAAAGAGCTCTAAATCAATGACTTTGGGACGGACGAGTCCCAAAGCTCGATGGAAAACAATCGTATGCAATATGCCTGCAAACCCCAAGATCACATCACCACAACAGAAAACCCACAGTTCATCAAAATGTAAACGCACAAAGTGACCAACTTTTAACTGAATTATCAATCAAATTGCACAAACTGAGAACACACGAATCCCAGCTGCTAGAATTCTACTCTCACAAGTGCACAAAGTGGGAGGAACTTACAACGGAGAACTTCCCGTATCTCGAAGTGCTCCACTTCCTGCAAGTTGAACACCACAAGTTCAGTAAATCCAAAATCAACCGCGCAAAACAAACAGGAAATCGTAGAAACCTCCGAAACTCAGTACAAAACCCCCCCAGTGATCTAAGGTCGAAGAAATCTAGAAGTTACCAGCTCTTTGAGTTGGCAGACTTCGCAGTTCATGATGTTCCCCGGTGTTGGTCCAAAAATTGAATCGCAATCGGTGTTGCGGAAAGCAAACCAAATCTAAATTCTTTCCCGCTCTTGAAACCTCCCACCCAAAAAGTTCAAACCTTGCACAATCTCGGAGCTCCAAAAATGGCGGAGCAGAGTTTGGAAGGAGGAAGGAATCCGATGGCTCTCTGACGAGCTTTGGCGTGTCGTAGTGATCTTCCTCCAGTTAAAAAAAAAAAAGGAAGGAAACCCATTCAGCTGGGAACTGGTTTCCACAGCAAAGTTGCAACCTGAGATGACGTTTTCGGCTGCAAAATCCAAAACCACCGATCGGCCCAGCCCGTTCGAACTTTGTTAGCCCCGACTCATCAGGCCCAGGCCCAGGCCCGATTCAAAACGATGTCCAGCAGTGCAGAAATCACATCAGAACTTCTTGGCTTGGCGCCGTTCCCATTTGCTTTCTTCTCCACCTTCTTTATTCGAATTTGTGGGAATTTCCATCGTCGACTCCTCCGCCTGTATATGGATTTTGGGGAATTGGAAGTTCGATACGTTCACTGGCAGTCGATTAGTTGATTCCGATTCCGGCAGTGTTGTGGTTTACTTGTTGGTTCTGCTCAAGTTGGAAACTTCACTGTGCAAGAACAAGGCGGGTAAACAAGAGGGGAATTTTCCTGGGTTCCAAGTTCCAACCGTGGGTTGTTGACTTGTTGTTCGTCAGCTGCTGTTAAATATCTGATTTGGGTGATTGGAAGAAAGGCTTTTTGATAAGGATTCGCAGGGAAAGTTTGTATCTTTCCGGAACTGGGGATCGGGTTGGTTTTGGAACTGGCTCTTACCGCTCTGAATCCGGCCGCCATTGCTGAACATTTGACGGAGCTACTGAGCTTACTCTGGTAAGGGAAGGATTGAACAGCAGGGATGAAGGAAATTAGCTGCGCTCTGCGCTTTATGTTTTCAGCGGAGTTTTGGACGATGGGATTGTGTTGGACAGTGTCGCTTCTGGCCTCCTACTGGCAGTTGTTTCTCAGAAGGATTACTGGGAGGTGCGAGGTTTATCCACGCAGTGGGCCTCCCAGAAATTTGCCTACCAGGCCTGTTTGCATTGTTACAGGGGTAAGCTTTTGTTTGGAATTCCCCTCTCTCTAATTCATAGTAGCTTCCTCAGACTAGATGCACGGAAACTGTTTGTTTTTATGTCTGACTGGACTTTTTTCTCTCTTTTTTGTTCGTTGTGATTAGGCAACGTCTGGTCTTGGTGCAGCTGCTGCTTCTGCCTTGTCCAAAGAAGGGTTTTGCGTTGTTCTTGGTTAGTTACTTGGTCTGTTTTATCATTATTTGGAGAGGGTGTTTTGTAGCTTGATCGAACCTGAAAAGTTTCGGTGTCATTGTTCTGGTTTCCATGGCAGTTGGACTATCATCAGAATTATTATCCGAGGTTTGGATCATATTATTTTGTCTGTTGGGATATGGTGTGTTAGCTCTCCACATTATGGCTGTTCAGGTTATTCGTCCATGTTGGTGTGTGGCAGGCAATGAAAGAGATAAGAGAAGGGAACAAAGATGCCCATCTCAAGGGGTTTGTGGTCGACTTGTCATCTTTTCGTTCCATATTGGAGTTCAAAAATTCTTTAGAGAAGTGGCTGATGGAGTCGGATATGCATTCTTCCGTCCAGCTACTGATAAACAATGCAGGGATTCTGGCAACATCAGTTAGGCCCACTGCTGAAGGATATGATCAGTAACCTTCTTCTTCATTTCCCTTTGCTATATATTGATATGTTTCCAAGAAGATGAATGCATAAGTGGCTTGTTATGCACCTATCTCATAACTCTCTTTTTATCTTTACCAAAAAAAGAACCATGTTCATCTGTCTTCTTCCTCTCATTTGACATTTCAACATTACCTTGAATAGATGAAAGTTCTTTTCTTCCTGTGTTAATCCCCTAAGCCAACTAGAAGTTGTTTCACTTTGATAAAAGATCCATGAACTGTTATCCTTTTGAGGCCTTTCAGCATGATCTATCATCTGCACTCGTACTGCCTGAGATGAAAATTTCTTTTGCCTGATTATAGCGTTATCGGAAAGAAAATACATCATTTTCCATTATAGTTATGTATTTGTTAGTAAATACTGCATCTTGATATGCCACTCTTCTATTTTGACTGTGTTTGAGCTTAAGCATGCTCTAGAAGTGAATTATCACTACCAAAATTTTCTAAACCTCTGTCCCTCTTTTCCCAGGATGATGGGTACAAATTACATTGGTGCATTCTTTCTGACTAAACTTCTATTACCCCTTCTCAAAACTAGCCCTGTTGGTTCGCGTATAGTGAATGTGACATCATTTACTCATCGAGCAGGTATGCACTTCTAGTAATCTTTTATGTCATGTTTGTAGTAGCTGAAGTGATTTAGTCGTTATTTCATTGAACCATTTAGTGTACCATGTTTTTGTTTATCGACAAGTTTATAGTGCATTGAATGCTCACTCAATCTGTCAAGTTCTTCGTTGGTCTCTGTTTGCATGACAAGTTTTTCTTTGAAGTCTAAAAGTTTCAAGGTCTTAATGTTTTAAGCCTTATGGAAAGTCAAGTCATACCTTGTACTTTCCATAGGCTTCCCATATCCGCGAGAGGGAAAAACTAACCTCACTAGGTTATTTTCCTCCTAGTCTTTGATGCACAGATCAATGAAGATATTGTTACCGGAAAATGCTTCTTCAGATCAAAAGAATACCCATATGCTCGTGTATATCAGTACTCAAAATGTAAGCTGCGGGTTCCTCCTAGCATGTTGAGTAGATTATCTCTGAACTGGCTCCCACTCAGTCATGCCGTTTTGTAGTGTGCCTCCTCCTGTTCACCTATGAGCTTCACCGGCAACTTAACTTGGACAACAAGCCTTGTCAAGTCTCTGTCCTGTATGTGCTCTTGACCTTAGTTCCTGTGCTTGAGCTGCACTAAGAATTCAAGATTCAGAAAAGTACTTGATATTTGTTTCATAGTTGCTTTAGTTTTCTGTTTCTTGATCGACTCGTTTCTGGTTTTGTTTCAAAAAGTGCTGCAGATCCAGGAATGGTGAAAACCAACATCATGCATGAAGTTCCTTTCTCCCTTTCCAAAATTGCATATCTGGTTTTCAGAGTACTGGGACTTCTACAGTCACCGGAGAATGGGATTAACTCCATCCTCGATGCTGCTTTGGCCCCATCAGTAAGTTCTCCAGTTGCTGATTCTGCCATTGAATTAGAATGAAAAGAACCCTTTCATTCCCACTGACCCGAATAATCGTCCTGCCCCATGTCAGCACGTGTCGGGAGCTTACTTCTTTGGCGGTGAAGGCAGAACTTTGAGATCTTCCGCGCTTTCTTACAATACCAGACTCGCAGAGAATCTCTGGAACATCTCAAGCAACATGTTCTTCAACTTAAAACTTGCTTCGCAAGCCACCTCTTCTTCAAGTTAGTGCTGTACATCACCACCAGCAGAGGGACATACATAGATATATACTTCATGAAGCACATACAAGCTCTTGCAGCTACTGCAAGATGCATCTCGAGGTTTTTCGGAATACGATGAAATCGTAAGTGTATTGGATTCATTGCGCTCTGTTTACAGGCTTCTTCAATCTCTGCCAATGAGAACGAAGTGTATTGGATTCTTTCAACATGGAAAACGACACTCCACAAAGTTCCAATTGGTAACTAGTTTTGTTCTTTAGCTGTTCTTCGATCTTGTGGTCTCACATAAAAACAACAAAACTAGCAACTACTTTTGTCTTTCAGCTGTCCTTTCTAGTTTCTACTCCATGAACGTACATCAATCAGATCGACTTTATTTCAAACTATGCCATCATTATGTTTGCCAGAGAGCAACGAGCTTGACCAACTATGGACAAACAAGGTGAAGATCATAATATTGCATATATATACTAGTGAATTTTGATGGCCGGAGTTGAAATTTTGTAATACTAATTGAACAGCATTGTGATTATAGGTTGTTTGCTACCTGTATCAATTTTTTTTATTGTGGTCGAGATGCACAGATAGAACTACTTCGACGGTCATACGAGCTAGATGTGTACATAAGGCGCCCCTCATTTGTTTATGCATATCATAGAGTGGTACCTACTAAACATGGCGTTGTGGCAATGTGGTCTCGAGTCAATTCAAAGAACGTACCCCGCAAGGGTTTCAAGAACTTAACCATATCAACATGTGTGATCATTAAACCAATCAGCCTTTGTACCATTGTCAAAAATTAAGTATACGGAACAATGGTGTAGAGCATATCGTCTATCGTCTATAGCCCAATGAGGTACCACGATTAGTACATGATGTGGTATCAAAGTTTATTCAAAAATGGGTTTCCATTGATGTGTGAATCTATGCCAGTTTCTTCGACATTTAGCACGATTAAAATTACTGATATGGGTAATTCAATAATTTCAACCCACACTTTCAATGAGGGGGTGTGAAAAAGCTAACAAACCACCAAAGAAACAACCCCACATATCAAACTTTTTTTTCTAGGGTTCCACAAACAACAACATGATCTCTCCTTGTCTCGGTCCTATATCTTCTTGTCCCCATGCCCCATGCTACAATATCAGCTTTAGTTTGTTCTGTCAGCACACTTCCTTTTCCTCTCCATTGGAATTCCCCAATTTCCATGACTGAAAGACCCCATTTTGGCTGTGTTTGTTGAATTGAGAATAACAATGAGAATTTCACTTCATCCCTTTCTCGAGTTTTCCTTCCCTTCAAGCGTCTCGTATGTTTTGTCCTCTTCAATGGTGTGAAACGAAGAGAATGTATCGAGCTTAGTGCTTGGTAGAAAAAAGGAGATCCTATGAAGAATATATATAGCACAATACTTAAAAATGGGTAGCAAGTAAGTAGGGAACACAACCCGGTCACACCAATAAAACTTTAGTGTTGGATTCTGTGTTTGGGTGCGAGTTTTACCTGTTTTTTGAACAGACGGATTATGTACAATTCGCATTTTATCTAAACCTAGATCGTTTATTTACTTGACATGCAGTACTCTTACAGCAAAGTGACTTCGTTTTGTATCTAAAACTAAAAATATGAATAATTTATATATAGATGGAAATAGTCTTCTTAATAATAAGGATAGTTTATAGATGTTATTAATCTTTATGAAAATATAGTTGTGGGAGAATCTTTGATAACATAAAGATGTGGATATTCAGATATTTGCGGTTATATCCGTAAACCATGAGTAACCACATCCGTCGCTACTCGTTGGATTGAGTTTTCTATTCCGCAATCTAACAAATATTTTACCTAGTTTTTTTAGCAGGTGTACTCAATGGATTAGATTTGGAGAAATAAGACCAATTGACACCCTAAAGGATGTGTTTGGTTGTTGCAAATTTGAAATAGCTCGGTGGGGAGCAAGGAAAGGGACGTTTTTGTTGTACATGTTTGAAAAAGAAAAAGCAGTGAGAAATGGACTAATTAGTGCCTTAATAACAATATATTAAGGATAACGATAATCCACTGATCGAGATTGCTTGTTAGGAGGGCCACAAAACAGGAAGATTAATATGATAATCATGCCAAGACAAAAGGGTTAATGTAGCCCTCCATAATGGGATTAGTTAGTGTTTAGTTCTCACTATTAAGTTAAGTAAAAAAAACCATCGTGATTGAACGAGTAATAATTTTTTTTGGATAATTATTAATGTATTTCTTGGATGATTGTTATATTTTACAAAGATAAAGTCATAAAACGGATCAATAACGCGAGACAGTCCCGACTACACTACTACGAATCGAATATTACCTGTTTTAATGAAAAGAACATTTGCCAAACAAGTAAATAAGCCTTACGGCAGAAACGCAAACTGATTGCGACTCGACCGCGTCCCGTCACTAGAGAGGGAGTGGGGGACGACGGTGGGCACGGTCGCCGAGGAGCGGTGGGGCAGCCTTGACGGCGACTTGCGTCGGGGAAGTGCGTGTTGGGAATAGGGATGGCAACCAAACCCGAACCCACGGGTACCCACCCGACCCAACCCGGTCAACGCGGGTAAAATCCGCATTGACGGGTTTTGGGTTGGGTTTGGGTTTAAACCCGTTCACTATTCACCGGGTTGGGTTGGGTTTGGGTTTAGGTAAACCCGACCCGTGGGTACCCGCCCACACATATAATTAATTTTCTCGGTATATTTAATATTTTAAACAACTAATCTTATTTATGTTTGTGGAGACATGTCTAATTTTTTCTTTCTAATTGTGTAATATGAAGTTTGTGTTATCGAGTAGAGAGTGAAGAAACTTAATTGAAAAGAAGAAGCCTTCAATTAATATGTTATTTATGGATAATTTATGATTTACTTCAATTTTCTTGATTTTTCTAGATTGCGTTGAACAATTTGTATAGTTAAATTGTGATTTGCTTGAATTTTCTAGAATAGTGTTTTAAATATGGATAATTTGTATTGAGAGATTGATATTTGACTTTAATTTTGATAGGAACATGTTATTGTAAATTTTTTACGACAAAAACCCGTGGGTACCCATGAACCCGCGGATACCCAGCGGGTTGGGTTGGGTTTGAGTTTTTCAAACCCAATGGGTTTTACCCCGGTTTTTTTCACGGATAAACCCATGGGTTTGGGTTTGGCAAAACCCGACCCAACCCGACCCATTGCCATCCCTAGTTGGGAATGAATAGCTTTGAAAGCTATATTGAATTAATTATCCAGTATTTTTTCAATATACGAACATAAGATGGATAATTAATAAAAGGATTATTCTGGAGATGATTAGGATTAATTATCTTAATATAATGCATTTTAATTATGGAAGTAATTATCTTCCTAATTAAAATGTGGCTTATTCCCAAAGAAAGAGGGAATATTCTAGGTTTTCTGCTCTTATAAATAGCAGACCCCTAGACCCTATAAAGACACCACAGAGAGCATAAACACGAGATAGAGTGCGATTCAGAGAGCTCCGGTTTATCCGCAGAGCAAATCAAAAGAGTGGCTGTTTTATCCTGGAGGCGACCGGTTGATAGTCTGTTGTGCGCAATACGAGACAGTGCCGCGAACGTCTTAAGGAGAGCGACCTAGTCCGCGACTTAGCCAGATTGATAACTCTAAATTTCTTGTTCGGTTTCTAACAGTGCGCCCCCCGGGATTATTGTGGAGCCGAAGTTCGCGTCGTTTTCCGGCTAGTAGTACGTACCCCTTCGCTGCCGCCTGAAAAACAAAAACGAAAGAATTCAGTACTGGAAGAAACTGCAAAGGAATCAGAAAATAGCAGCCTGCAGCCTGCAGGGTTTTATGCTTACGCTTCTTCGGCGCCGGACGGCACGCGGGCTCAGTCTCCAGCCACCTTATCTTAGAGCTACGTCGTTGTCTTCCTCACTTTTCATTTCCCCATCTTTATTATTTATACTACTCTCAGATTTACCATGAAACAAGGGTTATTGTACAATGTTTCGTTCTATTATTCAGCTTTATCAAACATGTTTCTCGGTTATAATTTTTTTCGGTAGAAGCTTCTATTATTATTTTTTACACCAAACATACTATTTTAGAATTTTAATTAAAAAATATTCAATCATGATCGAACCGTGATTTGAGGGACACAAATATCTAAAGTACTCATAATAATTTTACTTAATTATTTTTGGTTTCTATGGTATACAGTGGCGTAGCCAGGATTTTATGTAAGGTGGGTCCAATTTTTTTTTTACATTGCAAGAAAATTTGAGTCATTGCAGTGCCACATAATGTGTGTTCATATATTGACGAACTTGCATTCATATGATATGGATGTCAATATACCTTATAAAATAATCATTCATGATTTTGTCACCGGCCCATTAGATACCAAAGAGTGTTTTCACGTGGCTCATTGAAAATGTCATTTCAATTCTTGCAGTGGAGCCTTAGTTAGCAACAACAATAAGTTACTTCTTTCAATTACCATGATTCGAAAAATAACTCCTAGTTCTATATAGTTTTAGACAATAGCTAGCCTATATTCACGTCAAAGTATAAATATAATAATCTAGTTGAGGTTTAAAACCTGATATATTGAATTTATTATTATGATAAAAAGAATCTAGCGAGTTTCAAAAAAAGAAAGTTTTGGTGATATATAATGAATAAACTTGAAATGATTGAACCACGATTAAACCACGTTTTCAACATAAAATACCATACCATTAACTTGTCCGATATAACTTTTGGTACGATTTTTAATCCTTATTATTTAAGCGTACATATTTTCTCCCAAACCAAAGTGGGTCCCAGGACCCAACTTAGTATGAACTGGCTCCCCCACTGTTGGTATAGCTCAGTGCTCTTAATAATTTTAATTTGATGAGACTCGGAGAAATAAATTGATCGGTGGCCTGACATTTTTCCCTCGTATTTTTACCAAGGTTACTAGTTAGGAGTTAGGACGTCTGAATCATGGTTTGACTGTGATCGATGATTTTTTTATGTAAATTTGAACAAAATTACGTGTTTGTACTTTTTGCAAGCACATGAGTGTATTTAGTGTAACAAATGATGGAAGTGCATATTTGATAAAACTATACAGGAAAGAGGCATATTACTATAATCCCTGTAAAATAATAATTTTATCTTTCGATGAGATGATGTGGTATATATCATAACACTTTATAGTCTGTAAGTGAGCGATCTTAAGTAAGAAGAGAGAAGAGAATTAACATTAATCCACCTATGTGGGTTGAATGATTGCATAATCAATGAAGGCAAGAAAATGAAGGCACAATGTCGAGGTGATCATAATTAGAAATGCCTAAATGAATGCTTTTGCTCACTACTAGTTTGAATTAGTAGTGATTTAGCTTAGATGTTGTATTGATTTTATAATAATCCGTAGTGATTTCGTTATTTTTAGTAGCATTTTTTCTAGTTATCACGATGCTAACCCCTATAAGAGTTAGCACCTAATTCCATCCCTAAGAAATTGTAATGTCATTAATTATGTCCATCTTCAAGGATCAAACGCATACAGAAAATGTATATATCAAACTTGATTACTATAATCATTTTATGGGGTCCAGGTGGCTTCGCTCCAGTCTTCTCTTTTATTGGTGCTGATGAACGCTCTAGTCTTCAGTTACCTTTTTCAACTTCTGGTCTTTCTTTTGCCAATACATAAAAGCAAATCTTTTTGGTCTTTGTATCGATAAAGCAAACAAATGAATAGTAAAAATACAAGAGTAAATAGCTTGGAAAATTTGAAATATGTTTGAAATAAGAATGTTTGAAATATGTACCTCCAAAGCAGTGTCTATGAAACCGTACCGTATCGGCGGTTAAACCACGAAATATCCTACACAATTACATAATTCTCGATTTACATAATTGTCAATAGAGTACTCTCTCCAAACTATAGGGAAAACAAGTTAAACTATATACATTCCTTCGTTTCAGCCATGTTAGTATGAATTTCACCATATGCACAGATGTAGTTTGTCTGTAATTCTTGGCAGGATGGAAACCTCCATTGCCATTGTACAAAATCCTAGGTATATTCAATATCCCTCAACCACATAATCAAAGGGATAATGTGTTTTTGTCATTGAAATGCAATAAACCAAGATCAGCAGACAACAAAATTCCAAATCCATGACCCACTTGGAATGTTTCCATGTGTTTTCTTCTCTCCCTCTTTCTCTCTTTAGTCTATTATGACTACTGATTTGATTAAAGTTTCTGTCCTCTCTCTCTCTCTCTCTCTCTCCACTCATCCACCCACCAAAAAAAGATAAAGCTGCCCTATTCAAAGTTCAAGCCCTCCATTCAACTCAAAACTCAGATTTCATAGCATATACTCTCTTCCAATACCACCCATCTTCTTCTTCTTCTTCTTCTTCTTCTTCTTCTTCTTCTTCATCTTATTTTTAGTTATAGCTTTCTTACCCACTAAAAGAAAAGGTTGGATCCAATCCCATCTTCCCTCCCTCCCTTTAGCCAAGTTTTTGTATTGTTGTAGATCCACAAAGCAAACCACCACCAAAAGAGAAAGGGGAAAAAAGGCCAAGGATTAAAGGAAAAGAGTAGTGGAGATCAAGTGGAATTTGTAGATCATGATCCAAGAGCTCTTTGGGAGTGGCCTAATTAGTGGAGAAAGGAGGGTTCATCCCATCACCACCAATGGAACCACCATTCTACAACCTCCTTCTTACTCCCACAACCATCATCACTCATCTCCATCACCCTCTCCTTCAACAGCAACTACATCCACCACCACAGCTGCCTCTCTCGCCAACTCATCCACACCTTCTTCTTCATCGTCGACGGCTCCTTCTGCAGATCATCAGCACCTGAGGTGCCCTCGTTGCGACTCGTCCAACACCAAGTTCTGCTACTACAACAACTACAACCTCACCCAGCCCCGTCACTTCTGCAAGACCTGCCGCAGGTACTGGACCAAGGGCGGCGCCCTGAGGAACGTCCCCATCGGCGGAGGGTGCAGGAAGAACAGGATCAGCACCACTACCGGTCTGATCCCATCCTCCTCCTCCTCCACTGCCAAGCTCAAGAGCTTGGCGGTGGAGTTTGGAAACTCACCATCGTCGTCGTCCCCATCCCTTTTCGGGGCTAGTTTGTACGATCTCCATCATGAGTCACTCGCGCCATCTAGCCCTATCCTATGGTCTTCCCCACAAACCAACTCCCACCACCACTTCCTCTCCTTGTTGAGACCAACACCAAACCCGCGAAACCCTAGCCCTAACCCTAGCTCCACCACAACTATCCAACCAACTTCTTCAAAACACGAGGGGAATCATGGTCTCGCCAACCTGTTCGGAACTAGTACCACTGCTACCACCACCACCCATTTGTTCGAGCCATCGCCTACGACGGCTCGAACCCTAGATGGGTGGAACTCCGCGTCACCTGTCAACAACAACAACAACAACAACAGGCAGCATCAACAAGCAGCTAATTCGCTCGGTCTTAACTATCCTCCCATTCCAATATGGATGGGGGACAGCAACGGGAACGGCTACCTAGTGGGCAGCGATGAACCGCATCATAATAATACAGGTTATGACGTTTTCAACGATGGTAATAATAACGTGGGATCTACGTCGGCGGGAGTTGCCTCTTCTTCATCGACGGTGGCTGCGGTGGCCGGAGGAGGAGGAGGAGGGTTTGTGGGTTACAGCTGGAATCCGGCAGCTTTTACTTCTTCTACTTCTGCTACTGCTGCCACTACTACAACTTCATGGTCGGATCTTCCCACCACCGCAAATAATGGTACCGCTTATCCCTAATTAATTATCAAGAACGGCGGGCGAGAGGGTTGTTTCTTTCTTCTTCTTCTTGTTTTTTTTAATGGGATTTTCATTTATAATTTTCTCTTGAACTTGAACTTGATCTTTATATTGTTGGTGTACAAGTTTAGAGGGTTCTGGTATATGGGTTATCTGTTAAATCTTATTTTCCTTTTGTTTTGGGTTTTTGATTAAGTGTGAGGTGTGTTTCGAAGACTTGGATTATAGATTATGGGAACGATATAATATATGTTAATTTGTTTATTAAATTGGGACCTCTCGGAGAAACTCCAGTTCTGCAGAGCATTATAGACCAAGATGTAATTCGAAGTGAAATTAAGGACTAGAGCTAGGTTTTGATTATGGTTAATTAAAGAACATACACGTGTCTCATGGCTCATTATATGCGATCAGATTATTGATTATCTTGGTAGGCAAATTGCACGGAGGAATATATGTATTTTGGATAAATCAAAAGCTTTATTAGTTGGTAATGGGGAGAAATTTTACAATGCTATATAGTATTTGTGTTATAGGTTTTTGCCTTTATGGTACAACTTAAAATTGTACATTTACGCTATGGTAGAACTTTAGATTGTACCTATATTTTTTGTACAAATTCTTCTATGTTACAACTTGAACTTGTACATTTATGTGATTGTACAACTTCAAGTTGTAAAGTTGTACCATAACATAATGGTACAAATTGTTTTATGGTACAACCTAAACTTATACATTTAATGTTATGGTACAACTTTGAGTTGTACATTAAAGCATCAATGCTATATAGCATAGTAGAAGTGCTCGGTAATCGGCTTTCCAGATCATGATAATTTGGTTTCATCCAGGAAAGGTGGGTGGTGGGTGGCAAATGTGCATGTATACAGATGAAAGGATGAAAATTTGAATTTGGATTCGTGGGATTCAATCCGATCAAATCGAGTAAAATATAATATTGATGAATTTCACGTAAGGTGTGAATTTTGTCAAAATTAGGTTCACATTATACTCAATTTCATTCAAAAAGCAAAAAAAATACGTTCTGTATCTAACCTTAGTAACAGGGTTAATTGTTAGATCTTATTAACCTCTATGACAATATAGTTCTGATAAGATACATGAATAATATTATTATTAGTCTTTATGACAACATAGTTGTAGTGAAATGTTCGATAATCTAAGATTGTGAATATCAGCAGAAATTATTTGTGACTATGTCCATAAATTCATGTGTATCCATGCACTCGCAGTTACCTGCTAGATTTAATTGAGTTGTTTTCTTTCAAAATTCAGTTGGTTACTCGAATTTTTTTGTTTTTGTTTTTGGGTCGATTCATCCATTTGGATTTGGGTTTAAAGAAATCCAACCCAAATCATATGTAGATGAGATCTAGAGATTTCTATGACAGGAAGCTAGGAGGGCCTGAGTTTTATATATATTCTGTCTGCAGAAAAAGGTCTAGGGGCGCGCCATAGCCTTTGAGCAAAGCGATAAATATATATAGAGAGAGATGTTCTTCTTCTGCTGAGAGCTAGCAAAGTTGCATTTAAAAAGAAGAGCTCTCTGTCTCTCTTTCTTCTTTTCCAATGTCTCCAAAGCACGACATAGAACAGAGGTGGTGCTGCAACAGAACAATTGATTCTCTCTCGTTCTCTCATGTTGAGGGTTAAAACATAGATTCCATCTGCAGCTTTAGCTGGTTTACACGGAAAATGCAACCATGTATTGTTTTATGGAAAGTTGTCCTTATTTATGAAAAATGCAGCCATTCGATAAATTAAAGGGATGTGGCCCTTCATGGCATTAGGATGTTTGATTAGATCGATCTTATTCCATGTCAATGAATCAGTTGGTCCCAAACTCGAGTTGTTGAGAGATGTTCAATTATGAATTTTATACCATTTACTAACACGCCTCTTCAAACGAAAACCAACTTATATGAGTATGAAATTTGAACAAATCTAAATACCAAGTGCTTAACAAATAGTAGTTGGTGGGATTTGAGCACAATTGAAAATTGACATAAGGGGGAAGGAAATTAGTACGATATTATTATGCAAGTTGTAGCTAGAATGATTAAAATTTGGTGCACATAGGAGGAATCGGGAATGGCAGGTTAGCCAGCCTAGTCAACCAAAAGGAATCCACGACCTTCCCTAGGGCATAATAATTAGAAACCCTATCCCATGTTTCAAGAGTATAATTGAGAATGGTGATTGTTTAGTTTGATCATTGCAAATCGAGTAAAATAGAGTTATACGAAAGCGATCCTGATAGGTTTTTCTGAATAATGTAAGTAATTGTTATGATTACTTTGATTTCGAAAAGATTGTTTTAAGTAATGGAAAACAACTCATTAGATGGTATAGTTTATTCAATGATAAACAAATTGGGAGTTTACATTGTGTTTGGAAGAGGTGCAAATGGGAGGAGGGTGCAAATGGGAAAGGTAAATACAGTTTCCAAGACATTTGCACCTGTTTGGATAATTTGTAATAGTAGGGGGTGCAAAACAGGGTGCAGAATTACTATTTCGGCTTACCCCCGAATTGGGGTGCAAGGGAAGGAAGGAAGGGGGGAGGGGGGAGTTATGGATTTTTTTAATTATATTATAATTACTTAATAATTAATATTATTATTATTTTTTTGTTATAGCTATCATTAATGTAGACGTTCGGGGTTGACCGTTTGACTTCGAGAGCAAGTTTGTCAATGTTCGTCTAGTCAAATCGATATCTCTTGGTTGACTCAAATTAACATTGAAAATTAGAGATAAGAAGCGTTTGTGGAAAAGATAGAGAGGAGCGATTTAGTTGACTCAATATACTTAACTAAATAGGTAAAACTTACATATTCGAACGTGTTTGACCATATTCAATTTAAATATAGGCACGAGAGCCCCCTTAGGAGGACCAGTTACAAGTTGAGTTCCGAGCTCACTCGACCAATGATTATTATTGTTGTTATAATTAATTATTATTTGAGCATTATTATATATTGATTTTTAATTTTATTATTTTCTGATAATATTTTATAAATTTGATAAATCTATTTTATAATAATATAATTACTTACTTTTTAGTCTATTTGCATCCTCCTACTTTTTCATCCAAACAACAATTTACCCCTCTACTTACACCCCCCACCAAGTTGCACCCCCCAACAATTTACCCCCCAACTTGCACCCCTCTCGAACTTGCACCCCTTCTTGCCAAACATAGTTTTAGTGAAATCGCTAACATGTGTAGACATTTAAGAATATACTTATTTGAAAGAATTTTTTTTTTAGTGAATATAATATTTTAGACAAAAAATTTTAGCTTTAACAATTGTTAGTCAGACTTTTGAAAATACCAAATATTGGATAAAACTTTTATAACATTGAAAAATTTTAGTCATTGATATATTACCGTTAATAATGCTCCACATCAGCTATCACATAATATTTTTTTAAAATATATTCGTAGCAAATATAATTTACTAGCAATTTTTTCAATTTTGAAAAAATATTAGCCAAAATCTTTGAAAAACAAGCATGGTGCAAACTTGGAAGAGTTTTCCCAACGTGTGAGCAACAAGAAATTGTCACGTCACTCAACCTTTGGTAACTTTTAATTTTGAATAAAAACCAACCCAAGAAAATACAAAATCGCAATCCACAACAACCACACACAAATAGTCGAAATCTTCTTCTCCAACCTTGTCAAAGTTTCATCGGCAAGCGAACTAGTACTAATCAACGTTCCTCTAGTCGGCAACGACTCACATTCACTTGCATTTGTAACTCCAAGGCGGTACAACCCCTCGTCGATGACCAATTGTCAGATCTTGTAAATCTTCACACTCTTTCATGTATCAAATAACAATCGTGCAATCCGCAATGACATTAAGATTCTCCATAATAAACATCGAGGCTAGCTCCACATAGAGAACCTCGTCTCCATTTTGATAATAACATATCAACGACTAAAATTTGTTAACGTTATAAAATATTTGGCTATTATTTTGTATTTGTAAAGGTTGCTGAGTTGCTGAAGAAAATAAGTTTATTACTATCAGATCAAATATGACTATGAGAGTAGATTCCCCAAATCACATAAAATGAACTTTTACAAATTGAAGCTCACTCTGCCCCCCGGTTCCTCTTCTAATGTAAAACTCTATTCCTTTTTTTTTTCCCCTCGAACTTTTTCCTATTGGCAATTACCCCCTCGTAACTTTAAGGACAAATTGGGAGAAAAACAACAAACGTACGGTAGTAAAAATAATCAAAGAACCCTAAGAGCAGCAAGACGCTACTACACTGGAATGAAGACACATTCCCTTCCTTTCTTTTCCTTTCATTTCACCATTTCATCCATCTAAGCTTTTTTCACCAAACCACAAAGCAAAATATTTGGTGGTGGATCAGCCTCGGTGAAGAGACTCTTCTCGTCATTCCAGACTCTCATATACAGCTGCTGCCCTAGGTATCTCCTCGACCAAATTGCAGACCTCAAGTTCCACATCCCCTTGTTGTCCAGTGACACCAGTATTGCTGTCCATGATACTGGATAAACCTGTCACATTTGGACAAAAGATAAAAAGTCATGAGGCTTCAGCTCATCGTAATAATTCGAGTTTGGTGAGAGAGTTATGAGAATGAATGTGTCAAGGACGACTCTAATACAATGTAAAAAACTAGTATAACACTGTGGGAGATGCAACTACAAACTCTATAGCATTTCGCTTACACCGAGTAAAAAACTGGTTTCTGATATTTGCTTACCTGAACAGTGTGTCTAGGCACTGTATCAGCAAGATTGTATCTTCTCCTCATTGCAGGTGTCCAGGGCCCATTTCCATAACTGCACAAGGTTAATTTGTGGTTGCGTTGAGTTGTGGGTGAAATGGAAGAGTGACCCTAAATTCAGGGCAAGTGTGGTTCCTTACCCAGCAATGTAGAAACTGGATCCATCCATATGATATGACTGGACCGTGTATTCTGAGTTCTGAAAGATGATCTCCACAAAGTCATGGAGTTCGAATGCAAGGACTCCAGGAGCAAGAACAGGAGTGGTATTGGTGGGCATATCTGGGACAGAGTTCAGCTTAAACACACCAGGGATGTTATACCAATCAGCTAACTTCAATGGTGTGGGTGGGTCAACATGGGAGATGCTGTTAATAGCATAACGCAGTTTCCCATTGACCTTTTCTGCTGTGTTGGTCAGGAAGATGGTCCTCATGACGTTGATGGTTCCATAATGAAATGACCCTTGAGGATTTGGCCTGGCTGCATTTGCTGTCAAATTCAACCTGCATAGTTTGAGTCCAAAAGAGTGATTCAGCAGCCAAGAAATAACCTTAAATTTTTAATGGTTGGTCCCCGGTTAAATGGCAAACTGGTTAGCCAACCCTTATTTTTCTTCGTGTTTACCTGATAGTCCTAGCTTGCTTCATTGACCAGTGGAGATGGTAAGTTGGTCCAACTGGCAATGGCTTAGCAGCTGGTGTGGTGGAGCCTGCGTACTTGAGAATCCCAGTGGTGGTGAGGATTGGCTTGGTGAAACGTGAGGAAGCAACAATGAAGTAGTCCTTGGCCATTGGTGCGTGTAATCTGACCAACACAGTCACAGATTGGCCAACATGAACATCGAGGGACTCATAGATTTCTTGCAACGTATGAGCACCTTCAACTTCGATGAGAGTCATTGTATGTCCCTGGATTCTGAAGTTGATTGCTACTGCAACACCCACATTGGAGATCCTGAACTTGTAGAGCTTGTCTGATACAGTGTCATTCAGTTAGATGAAAAACCAAAAAAAAAGCACCAGGAAAGTTCACTGTTAAAGTGTGGATAGTACTGTGTAATTTATCAAATCATACTTGCTGTACAGGCCTAGTCTCCTATTCATGATTAGTTTGGGTTTCAGTACTCAGTGTCATAACTTAATATAGAAGTTAACTATTTTCATTTCCATATCATGGAGATTCATCATTATACTCTATATAAAGTCTCAAGTCTTATTTCTGCTTACTGAGACGGACCAGGATAATGAAGGTATTACCTTTTTCCCCTGTGAACACAGCTTGGCCACTAGGAAGTCCATTGATGAGAAGACCATCAGGAAGAGGGAGAGGGGTTCCCTGGTCCAGTCGTTGCTCCAAAATCTGCCATGAAGTGAGTTAGACTCTATAAGCCAAATGCTTAATTAACCAATGAGGCAATAAACACAGGCAATGGGAGAAATGTGTGCACAAACCTTGAAATCGGTGTTGTACCAGTCACTAACAAGCACGTTGAATTCTTCAAAAGGTTCCGGGTAAGGTTTGGAAATCACTGATCTTTGGTTGACGTTGAAAGCTCCATACCCTCCAGCAACTCTTTGCATTCCGATTGAAGGGAAGTAGTTATAGGTCCCAATCTGATCCTTCACTTGGAACTTGTAGGTCCAGTTGGAGTTTGGAGGGATTGGACATTGTGTCCCAAGCACTCCATCTTGCCATGGAGTCCTCCTTTGTTTAATCCCATTCCTGCGAGGATTCCCCACATCAGTCATTTCCCAAGCTCAGGACCCATAAACAAACAAAAGCCAACATCATTATCTCAGTCAAAACGTACCATGTTATGAGGAAAGGGACGTCCAACTTGTTAATGACATTTACTAGGACATTGTCATTTGTCACAGCGTCAATAGTCGGGCCAGGGAATTGGTTATTGATGAGTATACCCTGCAGCATAAACGTCTAGTTAAAGAAAGAGAACTTCAAAGAGTGAAAAGAGCAAAGTAACCGCAGGAAACAAACACACAAACACTTACTCGTTGAGGAGCATTTAGAGGAGAAACAGTCCCATAGGTGACTTCCCAAGTAAAATACAAGTAAGGGTCCTCTGCTTGCACCCAAATCCCACTCAGCAAACACACCATTCCGAGACAAATACACAGAAAACTGGCCTGCCCCATCTTCAACATTGATAAACTACCCTCTCAAGAAATGTGGCTCAAGATTTGGTTGGGATTCCTCAAAGGAATTGAGGAAAGGAAAAGCTGGTTGAAGCAATGAGTCGAACACTTGGTGGGCAAACTTATATAAGAGGATTGGCTGAAGCAATGTACTGTACTTGCGATCAAACCCAGATGGGGGATTCAAGATCCTGTAGCTGCCAGCATGGACACGAGCGATCCGAAGGGATCGCAGCACATTTGCGGCGCACTTCATGCTCGTACGAACTCCCGATGTCACCACGCGGAGTCGCAACAAAAGAAGCAAGCTTTCGATTAATTTAAACATACCCAGTTGCCATATTGACCAGAATTCCTCGGAACGAGCACCGTGGCTCTGCCCCATTTGTAGTCAATCCTTATATTTTATGGATTTCGAACCGTCGGTGGTGGTGGTGGCGAGAGGAAGGCCACCGAAGGATGTAAGGCTAAGGCAGCGAGAACGGCGCAGGCGAGAGCGGATCTGGCATTAATTACAGAATTAACTCGCTAAAGCAACCTTTTTTTTTATAAATCAAGCTGATTTCAACTGTAAGCAACTTGCGGTGCAGCAACGTGAATGGAGGAGAATGGGATTGCCAATGGTGTTTGGGTAATTAAGATGTGGTTTTGGGATTCAAATTTAACGTGCTCCACTACAATGAACTTTGAGACAAGTCTCTTGGTTCTCTCCCGTCGGTTTGGTTTGGTTTAGTTGGTTTCCCGCCAAAAAATCAACATTTTTTCTGTTCACGCGGTTGAAAAGTCGTTTAGTGAGGAGTCCTTTCCTTTCAAGTATTGATTGAATAACAATACTAGAGGGTGATATTCGGTTAGTCGGTTATAAGTTATATCGACAATGATTATTACTAATCATAATTTATAAGTTAACGGTGTAGTTATTGATAAGTTGAAATAGTTTATGGTGTAATCCATTCCCTAATAGTCGATTAACGGTTAACTATCAACTAATCGAATATGAATATTTATGTTTCTCTTCTCAAAATGATAATGTGCCTCTCAAATAAACTCACGAATTTCAAACAAACAATCTAATCTCTTTCCTGCCCAGACCTTTTTCTTCTTTCCTAAATTTCCTCCTGATGCGAACCCTAAAATTGAAAGAGGCAAAGAATATCGTCAATTTTGCGATTGAAATGTAGTCATCAATATTAGATTGTCAAGCTAAGATTACCTTTTTTTTTTAAAACCAAGATAAACCCCCAAAGCAAAGACCGTGCCTCAATTTTTTCCGTCAACAGCTCGCCTCACCCAGTTCGCACTCATCACTCTTCTCATTCCTCTCTTGGATTTCTTTTCTCAGTCCCAACAGGAATATCAAGGCAAACCAAAATCAACGATAAAAATATATATATTTTTTAAACGAACACATACATAGGTAGAGAAAAATCTACAAAATGCACCACTGAAAAACAAACAGGCCTTCTATTGATCCGGTTACTAATCGATTATTTTTGTTTAATATTGTCAAACAATTTGTTAAACGCTTATTTGATTAACCGACGATTAGAACCCTCCAATTTCCTCCAAATTTTTTCTTTAACTCTCATGTACTATAGCAAAACTTATAAACAAGAAAAAAGTTCGGAATCTCTCCAATTTTTCACAATTTTTTTTCCGCCCTCTATTCTCCCTCTTTCATGGAGAGAGACGGTTAGAACTTAGAACCACAACTACTTGCCAGCGGTATTGAGAAGCATACATAACTAGGGCTGCAAATGAGCCGAGTCGAGTTTTACCCTAGCTTGAGCTCGGCTCATTAATAAACGAGTCGAGCCGAGTCGAGTTCGAACTAGCTTGTTTATTAAAATCTTAACTTTTAATTGGTACTTCATTTTGTATATCATGATACATGTGATTTATTTTGTTAGCTAATCTCATATTATACTTTGTTGGTATCATATATCATTTAGTTAGTAAATTTTAACTACTCCAAATCATGTTATTTCATAGTATCGAAGCAATCTATGATGCATAATTTCTTTTTAAAGTAGAAAATAAGATATATTTGCTCACATACTCAACGTGTTAAACTTTATATATGGTGAGATATATAATTTAACAACCATATGAATTAAAATCATAAGATATAGATTGATTCGTCCATAAGTTGGTAATCGAGTTGGCTCTCTAGCCACATGTTAAGACATATCATGAGCTCTAAACGAGCCAGCTCACGAGTTTAGCTCAACAAGCCACCGAGTCGAGCTAGCTCGCGAGCTACACGAGCTGAACAAAGGTGAGCTCGTGTTCGGCTCGTTTATTAACGAGTCGAGTTTCGAACGAGTTTTTCTCGAATTGAACATCGAGCCGCTCGCGAGTAGCTCGGCTCATTTGCAGCCCTATACATAACACAGGCCACAGCTAGCTTGACCAGCTGGAAGTGGGAGTAGTCAGTCCTCCATTACACAACTAGCTTTACGTAGCAGTTGGTAAACCGAGTACGATTTGCCAAGTTTGAGAAAGGAACTAAAAACAGAGCAAAGTCAACTGTTGGAACTTTCGCGGTGAAGGCCCAGTTAATCAAAGTCTGACTGAATCCCAAGGTTGGATCTCAAATGGGAGAGGAAGTTGAGCACAAGCATGAATTGGATGAAAATGGCACATGCCAAACAGAATTTAAAGTGATTTAGACTCTGCCTACTTCATTCCATCACATGTGGAATTGAATTCTGAGCATGTGCTTGTGATGAATGGGACTGGATGGATCTTAGCTTCTAGTTTCAAAACAAAAGCACTAAATAAATACAGACGAGGGATGACACTAGAATCCGAATCAATGGGTATCTAACCTCATTTAATTTTGTTAAAGTGGGTGAAATATTAAAATCCAGTGTTGATAGGTCAGGTATGGGTTTTAACCGCTTCTGAAATTAGTGGATTAGGTATTGGTTCTGTCAAAACTCAAAACCCAACTCGCTTTCCACCGTTCCGTACGCAAAAAGCAAAGCGACATACTTTTGTGTAAATTATATCTAATATGCACAATATGGATAATTTATTTGATGTTAATGTTATTAGTCTTTATGTCCGTAAAACCTAACAATATGAATAATTTATGGAAGTTATTAATATTTGTAGAGGTATATTTATTGAATTTATTTTAATAATATTAAGACATGCGTACTCGTAGAAATAATTTATAGTTATGTTCGTGAACTCATGGATATCCATGCACCCGTAGATAACCATTGAATTGGATTTACTCTTCTAAAACTCGATAAGTATTTTATCGGATTTTTTTAATGGATGGACTCCCTATGTTAGATTTGAATTTAGAGAAACTCAACACTATGTCATCCTAACTACAGACATTTTAGCTTCAAGAAGAAGATCTGATGCATACTCCCTACATTGATGTCACTGTACAGCATTTCCTTTGTTTAATGATCTTCTGGGTTTGGACTTGGGAGTTTGAGTTGCATTGGCCCATTAAGCCGTTTCAGTTGATTGGCCCAACACGAGTTTCCCAATCACTGGCCCGGCAAAACGGGTTCTCCATTTCTTGGATTTGAAGTCGAGTCACTAGTGTGATGGGCCAGGTCTAGGGTGGTGAATATTGGTGCAGTCCGACAGCTCCAAATCGCACCGTATTGCATATGCAGTTAAATCGAATTGCATCGTCAAACTTGCAGTCTAGCATGCGGTCTACATTTTATGCAGTCAGTGATTCATAGTCGATTCAAATCGAAACCGCGTGGCACAACTAACTCATGTCGTTCAATTTTTTTCCTAAAACGAATATCGCAATAGCAAACTGCATACCCGCCTCACATTCAACTTTCATATTGCATAGCCTCGACTATATGTTAGATTTGAAGCTCTTTAATCATTTCCATTATCCTAGTTTAATGGAAGCTCAGTCCTAAATTTTATTATTTTGCATGAGGCAATTCAAAATGATTTTTTTTATTGCATACACAAACATAGTAATTTCATATCGTAATCAAACTATTATCACCTTCCCCTCAATTGAATGAAATGTTAAAGTAAAAAAAAAAAAAAAGAATCATTACATGTAGAGACCGTACTGTAAAACTTCTAAGGTAAAACAATAAAAAATTCAACAAATCCAACATGTCAGTGTAACTGTGTTTTGTCTCAAATTCCTCCCTCAGTCTTGTTCTGTTTGTTTGTTCTCTTCATTTCCAGCCATCCCATCATGGCCTAGCTAAGAAGATCAGCATTAAACTCTATTCATTCATCCGTACAGCTTCTATGGTTTCCTCCCAACAGCTTTGCCGCAGAGAAGAGCATTGGAAGGAATGTTGTATTCATTGGCAAGGCTTTTTTCTGCAGTCCAAACCCTGAGATAGAATTGCTGGCCAAGGTATTGCCTTTCCCATATAGCAGATCTCATATTCCACATCCCTTGGTTGTCCAATGACACCAAGATGGCTGTCCATGAGTTTGGATACACCTGCAATGAACATTGGAAATCAAATCGAAGTTCATGTTCGACTATATTTCGTGTTTGTAAAGTGACATTGTTACCTGAGTGGTGTGTCTGGCAACAGCATCAGCAAGGTTGTAAGTGTTTCTCTTAGCTGGTGCCCATTGACCAGAACCAAAGCTGCAGAATGTTCAAAACAACAAAAATGGTCAAGAGTTGAGATCCTTTGATTGACATTTACTGTAAGGTTAAGAAAAGAATTGGAATCTGGAAGTGTTTGAGAGGCCTACCCAACAACCCAGAAGGAAGAGCCATCTAGATGCCAGGACTGCATGGTGTTTTCGTTGTTCTGGAACACGAATTCGATGAAATCATGGAGGGAAGTTGGGACTACAGAAGTAGCAAGAGTTGCAGCACCAGTAGTAGGATTAGTTTTGAGTGAGTTCATGCTGAAAACTCCAGCGATGTTGAAGTGGTCTGCAAGCTTCAATGGAGTTTCGGGGTTTACATATGAGACCCCATTCACCGCGTAGCGTTGCTTCCCGTTGATTTTGGTTGCTGAATTGGACAGTACAATGGTCTTGGTTGTTTTTATGGTTCCATAATGGAAAGATCCCTGAGGGTTTGGCCTGGCTGCATTTGATGTCAAGTTCCACCTGCAATGTGAATTTAAATTTTGACTTAGAATCGTAGCTTGTTCTACAAGAAACCTTCAGAACTTTTGTCTTTCAACTTACCTGTAAGTTCTGGCCTGCAGCATGGAGCCATGAAGCTGGTAAGTTGGCTCAGCAGGTAGCGGTCCAGAAACCGAAGTTTTGGAGTTTGAGTAGTGCAGAATGCCAGATGCAGACAGCTTCCTGGTGGTGAAACGGGTCGAAGCAACGATGTAGTAGTCTTTAGGAGCCTGGTTCAACGTGACCAAGACGGTGACAGATTGGCCAACATGTACATCAAGAGAGTCATATGTGTTCTGCATCACATGAGACCCTTCAACCTCAACTAGCTTCATGGTGTGGCTTTGGATCCTGAAGTTCAAAGTTAGACCCAGTCCCACATTGGAGATCCTGAACTTGTAGGTTTTGCCTGTGAACCACGAAGATAACAGGTTTTCATTGCTGAATCCCATGAAAACATATGAGTAAACTGAAACAGGTTGTCCTAGGAAATACCTTGATCACCATTGAAGGTAGCTTGAGTTTTGCCATTTATAAGGACACCATGTGGTGGAATCAGAGAGTTTCCTGAATCCATAGAACTTTGTAACGTCTGCAGAGAAAAAAACAAAGAGCACTGAGAAAGGCACAAAACAATGATCACATCAGAAGTCCAAAAACACCATGTTTAGATGGCTCACCTTGTGGTCAACCTTGTACCAGTCACCAACAAGGAGAGTGAAATCCCCAGCAGGAGGTGCATAAGGAACAGCAATTCCAGGCCTCTGGTTGACATTAATGGCTCCATACCCACCAGCTGCTTTGTGGAAGCCAGTGGATGGGAAGTAAGTGAAGGAACCAATCTGGTCTTTTGGTTGGATGTTGTAAGTGTAGTTGGATCCTGGAGGGATGGGGCAATTTGTTCCCAAAACTCCATCTTGCCATGAATTCTTCCTTTGCTTAATCCCATTCCTGACATTTCACCATTGTTACAGAAACATGAACCTAAAGAAACCTCCACCCTAGCTAGTCAAAAAGAAGGGGAAAAAATAGTCATACCAGGTCAGAAGGAAAGGCACATCGAGCTTGTTGAACAGGTTGATGACAAGGTTGTCATTAGTGACCACATCCAGTTGAGGACCAGGGAACTGGCCATTGATGAGAATAACCTGAGAGAAGAACAAAGTTGGAAACTTTGAGACAATCAAAACCAAACCCATTTCTCCAGAATGGCAAAATGAGGCTAGAAATCACAAACCCTCTGAGGCACTCCCAAGGGAGAACTGGTGCCATAAGTGACAGTCCAAGTGTAAAACCGATATGGGTTTTCTGCATTGACCAAGGAAACGCTCAAAACAGCTAGCAGACAAACTCCACAGAGCAAGTGCAGCAAAGATTGCTTCCCCATTTTCGAACCTGCAGAAGAAGAGCAGAGATTTCAGTTGGATCACAAAAGGGCCAACACAACAATGAGGGGGGAAAAAGTCAACTTGAAAGCCAAATGCAGTTACATCATTGTCAAGAATAGCAGCTTTCAAGTTCCACCAGGAAACGTGGAGGAGAAGGACAAGAGCATTACCTAAAGAGAGAGCGAGAGATGGAGAGAGTTTGAAGGTATGTTTCAGAGTTACTGCAAAAAGGGGGTCACAGCTCAGAAACTATAAATAAGGGCAGAGCTTGGAAGGAGGTGTGCTTCGCTGGGTTACAGAGTAGAATGTTGAATATGAGGAATGTTGACCCCAGAATGGCGGGGAAGTGGAGCAGGACGTGAAGATTAATCAAAATCAGTGTCTCTTGGGAGTTGGAGTCATGTTGCTGCAATTATTTGGTGCAGGTATTGGTTGTGAGTTGTGACCTTCTCAGGATGCAAACTTGCAACTAGGGTTCCATTCCACCTCATGAAAGGAATATTGCAAAGTCAATTTCCCATTTGGGATTTTTGGTTATGCTGCAAACTTTTCTCCGAGTTAATTCAGCTTTTTTGTTACGACGAAAAAGCATTACTCACTGTCTAGTCATGTCGCAAACAGGCTAAATTTCGGGTAATTGACCATCGACCGGATCATTGATAACTTAAGCAAACACCGATCAACGAAATATTATTTCGAATGAGAATTGTAAACTTTTGCATAATATCAAATTTATTGTAAATTTTTGAAATGAGAATTATACTACCGAAGAGCTCACTAGTTGACAATATATTTTATTTCGAATTTCTTAATAAATATAGCTTTCTGGAAATATTATTTAATATTAGTATTGTTACATGTTGCAATGATGTGTTATCTAACCATCAACTAAACGTTTAAGGTCACAAATGCTATTAAGGCACTTATAGTGTGACATTTTGAAGGCCTCAACACAACATTTACAATATTTACACTAGCTTCTTCTTCTTTTTTTTTTTTTATAGAAACACTAGCTTCTTTCAAAGCCTCATTCACTTTTCATTTCAATTTTTAAGGTTGTTTTTCAATTAGTGAAAAATATAGGAAAATTGATGGAATTAATTTGACGGAATATTCATTCGATTCAACTTGAACGGTTTTGGTTTGATCATATAAAATCATTTCTTTTTATTTAAGAGAACCCTATGCATCTGATTTCAAGAATTCATTAGTTTGAGAATTCTATCTTATCGAATAGAATTATACTTCGATATAGTTCAATACAATCTAAATATAGATGACGTAGATAACACCGTGATTTGTTAATGATTTTCAAAATGTTTTACTTCCCCTCTGAAGGGTAGGTGTACATACTTCAAACAAAAATGTTGAAAAATAATATAAACTATACCACCCTCTCTTTAGTGAAAGGTTTCTCAACAAATAAGAGAATGGAAAGAAAATTTTCACTGAACTATCAATCTTGGTATCACTCAGAAATATAAAAAAAAAATTATCAATCTAAATCCAAATCACTCTTTGATTGATCTCTCATACTTCCAACCTTTTCTATTGTAAGGTTGTCGGTGTTCTTTCGCTCTTCCAATTGTTAATCGGTTCATCATTTCTTGCCTTCGCAGACAATAAAGGGTATAAGCCAAATAATGTTTCTTTTAGAAAAATTGGATTCTCAAAGCACACTCCGATCATAATTCCATAATTAGTTATTATATGTAGGTGGATACTTCGGTACACTCACTTACCCACTTCTAAAAGTGGTCATAATACATTAAATTTTGAAATTTAATGGGTTGTATTAGTCTAATATGATGATATGACATAGAATCCCAACTAATCAAATCATTACCCTAACCTATTAACCTTCAATTTTGAATCTCAACTCAAAATCCCAAATTGTAAACCCTAACCCTAAATTCCTAAACCCTGAATCATTCAAATTAAAGTGAATCTTGAATGATTTTTGTACAAATTCATGTGGTTCTTGTTCATCATACCACAAGTGATGATTGACATCGTTTTCACATGAATCGCCTGCTCAGAATGACGATTATGAGGCGGGTGCATTGAATGCACCCAAAAAAGTGAGTGCACCGATAACATAACCATATGTAATCATGCTCTATATATTCCTCATACGAATAAAGTGTTAACGGAAGCTTAAAGTGAAAGAATCAATCATACATAAGAACCAAGCTCTAACTGCGGTGTACAACAACGCTGTCAATGAATCAAATGTGCTCTCTATCTCACTCTTTTCCACCGCGTTGTCTTTGTCATTTATAGTCATCCTCTCATGACCAAGAAGAACACCAGACAATAACAATGTAGCAATGATTTCCTTTCTACTGCAGTCACTTTAATGACTCTTCCCAACAGCTTTGCCGCAAAGGAGAGCATTGGTGGGAATGAAGTATTCATTGGCAAGGCTTTGAACCGGAGACCAAACCCTGAGATAGAACTGCTGTCCAAGGTATTGCCTATCCCATATAGCAGACCTCATGTTCCACATCCCTTGGTTGTCCAATGACACCAATATGGCTGTCCATGAGTTTGGATACACCTGCAACAACACGATCACAAATCCAATCTCCACAATTAGATCGAATGATCCCTAAGTTGAGTGGAGCTTATGATCAGCGATTGTTCATTTGTCAGGTCACTATCTTACCTGAGTAGTGTGTCTGGTGAGAGCATCAACAAGGTTGTAAGTGCTTCTCCTAGCTGGTGCCCATTGACCAGAACCAAAGCTGCAGAGTATTCAAACCAGAAAATGGTTAAGACCCTTGATTGCAATTTACCTAAAGTTGAGTAAAGTTTTGGACTTTGCCACTTTGGAAGTTTCGAGAGGCCTACCCAACAACCCAGAAGTCGTATCCATCAAGATGCCATGATTGCATTGTGTTCTCGTCGTTCTGGAACACAACTTCAATGAAATCATGGAGAGAAGTTGGGATGACAGAAGTGGCAACAGTTGCAGCACCACCACTAGGCACGGTTTGGAGTGAGCTAGTGCTGAAAACTCCAGGGATGTTGAAGTAGTCAGCAAGCTTCAATGGAGTATCGGCATTGACATATGAGGCCCCGTTAACTGCGTAGCGTTGCTTCCCGTTAATCAAAGGTGCAGAGTTCGACAATACGATTGTCTTTGTCGTTGTAATCTTTCCATAGTGGAAAGAGCCCTGAGGATTTGGCCTGGCTGCATTTGCTGTCAAGTTCCACCTGAAATGAGAATTTAACTCATCGAATTAGTTGCTATATAGCTTGTTTTACAAGAAACCTTTTTTAAACCCCTTCTTCAATTATCTTATTAAGGTGAATTAGGGTACCTGTATGTTCTGGCTTGCTCCATGGAGCCATCAAGCTGGTAACTTGGTTCTGCAGGAAGTGGTCCAGAGACCGGAGTTTGGGAGTTGGTGTAGTGCAGAACACCAGAGGCCACAAGCATTTTTGGTGTGAAACGAGTCGATGCAACAATGTAGTAGTCCTTGGGAGCTTGATTCAGTGTCACTAAGACATTGACAGATTGGCCAACATGCACATCCAGAGAGTCATACATGTTCTGAACAACATGAGAACCTTCGACCTCGATCAGCTTCATTGTGTGGCCTTGAATCCTGAAGTTCAAGGTATTCTTCAATCCTACATTAGAGACCCTGAACTTGTAGGTTTTGCCTGTAGACAAAAAGAGAACATGACAGAATAAAATCAGTGAGTGGCCTGAAAGAATAATATGAGTCTTTAAGGATGTAGAGAAAGAGGATTACCTTGATCACCACTGAAGGTGGCTTGGGTATGGCCATTTATAAGGACACCATCTGGTAAAGGTAGAGAATTGCCTGAATCCAGAGAAGCCTGTAATGCCTGTTACACAAAAGAGGATCATCATGAACAATGTTCTAAACTTAACAGTCAAAACACCAATATAACGAGTAGAGAACACTGTACAAACAAGAAAACACAAGACAAAGCATTCAAGATAGCCTCCCCCAATATTCTTAAGAGCTTCTTCTACATATTAGACAGTTCCAGGCATTTGATTCACTTGAACACTCATTTCATCAGTCAAAACGTCAAATGACCTTTTTTTTATGTTGAATATGACCTTTCTTGGACTCAAGCAATAAGCATAGTTGACCCAAAATGAAGACTTCATCTTGACTGCAACATTGAAAGAGCAACCCAAACAGTTTTGCTCACCTTGTGGTCAGTCTTGTACCAGTCACCAACTAACAGAGTGAAATCTCCATCTGGAGTAGCATAAGGAATCGGGATTCTGGGCCTCTGGTACACATTGATGGCTCCATAACCACCAGCTGCTCTGTGGAAACCAGTAGATGGGAAATAGGTGAAGGACCCAATCTGATCTTTTGGTTGGAAATTGTAGGTGTAGTTGGAGCCAGGAGGGATTGGGCAATTTGTTCCCAGAACCCCATCTTGCCATGAATTCTTCCTTTGCTTAATCCCATTCCTAGAAACATTGCACAAACTCTTTAATTCCAAACAATGACCCAAAAGCATATACCTAAGGGGAGGTTAAGAATCAAAGTCTTACCAGGTCAAAAGGAAAGGCACATCAAGCTTGTTGATGAGATTAAGAACAAGGTTGTCATTAGTCACCACATCCAGCTGAGGACCAGGGAACTGCCCATTGATGAGAATCACCTGAGAGGTGCAAAAACAAGAACAAAGATGTAAACTTTCAGACACTTGAACCAAACCCATTTCTCAGAATCAACAAAATGTGCTCAAAGTAGCCAAAATCACCCACCTGTTGAGGAGCTCCAAGAGGAGAAATGGTGCCATAAGTGACAGTCCAAGTGTAAAAACGATATGGGTCGTCTGCATTCACCAATGAAACATCCAAAACTGCCAGCAGAAGCAGTCCGGAGAGTAGTAACGAGTGGAGCAGAACTGGCTTCCCCATTTTGGATCTGCAAAAAACAACAGGCTTTCCCCACTGGCAGCCTTCAAGAAGAACCAAAACCAGTACCCTCACTCTCAAAATGGAAACTTTGATCGAGATGTCCAATGAAATGTGAAGAAGAGGAAGATACCCAGAGTTTCCAGAAAAGGGTTTGGCAGTAAAGGGTTTATACGAGAAGGGTTTGGTTTGGGAGCTGAGAAAGCCAATGAAGGAGACTTAAATAAGTGGGGAAGAACAGAGGTCGGTTTACTGGGTTACTGCGTGGAATCAGGAATGTTGAAACTTGAAACCAAATTTAACCTTTCGAGAGACCATTTCCTTATATTCTAATGCCAAAAAAATGATTGCTGGTGATCATTTAAAGGTTCCAATTACGGCTTTACAAAAGAAGAAAGGAGGTGGCAGCTCGGAATTACGGCTCAATCCACGCGTTTTGGGAAGCCATGAAATGAATGATTGTTGGGATTGCTTCAAACCGAAGTTCTTTGGTTTTCACTTTCTTTTAGCATCTTTTCGTTGTTCTTCCTTTCTTTCGTTCGAAAAGTCCAACTAATCATGCGAAGAAAAAGATTCAAAGAGTAAACAAGTGAAGTATTAGTTCAAGAAAAAAAATTGAAAACAATGTTGTTAGTTTGTTTGCCTTTTCCCGGGATGGTGATCAACAAATTTTTATCGGTTGTGAAATTGGATTAGTTATTTGTTAAAATACGAGTATTGAAGCTCTCATATTTTAATTTTTTTTAACAATTTATGTTTCAACTCTAAGGTAACGATTATTGTTTAACAATCATATCAATATGACAAAATAATTAAGTCATGCATCATATATTAACCGGCTAAACATTCAATTAACGTAATAGTTAATTTGATTCACTACCTACTGAACCAAAGTGGCACACCGTTTTGGAGGTATAAAAAAACTCGTAATAAACGATTGGGTCAAGTCTTGAGATTAATTGTAAGTCTAGGCCGTTTGATTCTTGTCTGTAAATTCAATTCCAAATGTCCTTTTGCTTGTTCTTGCTTTACTAAACAACAGGTTTACAACTCGATTCTACTTGTTCCGAGATGTTAAAAGGCTGAGTAAGCCCTATTTAAATGTTCCTCTTGTGATGTTATATAGAGGATATTAACGTGTTTTGTTAATGGATTTTTCTTCCATACACATAGCTAATTAGTTGCGACCAAGTACTTGAACAACCCATATGTATTCAAGAGAATCCCGTTTACCAACTGAGTCAATGCTCTATAATCAGTCTATTTAAGTACTTAATTCATGTTTTGATGAGCAAATATTAATAAAATAATCTCCCCATAATCGCGGTTGATTAATGTCTTGCTTTTCTCTTCAATTCAATATATGTTGTTCTTTTGTTTGTCTGGTCCTGCATGCTAGCTGGTAATCTCAATGGGGTTCTTTGTTGTCCCGTTTGCTTTTGGACCCCGTTTTGCCTTTTATACTCTCGGAATCGGATCGTGTTCTATGTGTCTCGTATCTCATTGCTATTGGCGAATTTCGGTGGACTTCGAGAATGCGTTGTACAAACGTAAAATGCGAATCAAAACTCAGCCATATTTTTTGGTCTTGGTCTACAACCATTTTTAGTTGAGTAATTGAGTTTGAATATTTTCTTTCTTAGTCTGTGAACAATGATGTAAATACCACTAAACATAGAAACAATTTGCATGATATCTACATTGTTTTACCCCGTAAAAAAATAGTAATTTGTTAAGATGGAGTAAAAAAATTGGGTTTTTATTTTATTTATTTTTTTGAATAGTGGATTGTCTGGAATATAAGGCCACCAGTTGCTAAGCCAAAATAATGGTGTTTCTGTTTTCTCACACTGTACTAGGAAGGGAATCATATCCAGCTGCGGTTGTTTGGTCCCAAATTTCCCTTGTTTAATTAATGGAATCTCAATTCTCAACGCACTTATGGTGGAAGTTGTTTATTTGGTAATGAATGATGGGCTCCCCCATGTGATATTGTGATTGCAGTCGGTGGAGGCTCTAGGGTTGACATATTTTCTTAGTTTTGGAAAACAAAACTGGCTCAAGCCAATGGGTATTGTTACAGAAATAGACTTTCAAAGGCCAATAGTCGTTAGATTTAGATAAAGTAAAGGCGTATACACAGGTAGATAACGTCTTATCGCTAATGTCGTTCCCTTTATTCCTCTTGTAGCAAGACAATCAGATGACAGCATTCTTCAGACGATCAACACGGTTACGACATTTCGGATCGTGACAGTATCTATGAGTCGATAGATATAATGCACGACTTTAACTATTCATATTTTTATATTATAAAAACAATTATACAATTATAATTTTATAAAGATGGGTAGCATTCATAAGTTATCCATATTATCATTGTCGTAAAGAATAATAACATCTATAAAGTATCTCTATTACAAGAGTTGGATATAAAATGACATCGTTTTGAATCTGTATTCTTATGTGGTTTTTTTTATGTGGAGAGCTGACTGAGTGTTGGAAAAACTCGCATCCTATCCAACCCATCGATTGCAAAAGAAGGTAAAACCCGTGGAAAAGAGCTTGGTCTATCGGTACTACTGTTGGTATTCAACATGGAGGCCTCTGATTCGAATCTCTTAAGTAACATGCAATAATAAAAATAAATGAATTTCACTCTCGTAAAAAAAAAGGTGAAACCCACACCCAACCTAAAAAATCATGAACATTAAATTTCGTCCAATTTAAGCGAATCGAATCGTAAAAGAAAAATTTAACAAATATTTTCCCAACAACTCGAATTATTGGAAATAAGTTGTTTGTTCCTTACCATGGTATCATAGTTTTATGAATAGGGGTGGAAATCGGTATGATATCGGTATCCCAATACCAAATACCGAAATCCGAATACCAAATTACACTCTAAAATCAATCACAATCTCAATCCCTAAATAATTTTGGTATCCCAATCTCAATCCCTGAATATTTTGGTATCCCAATCGGTATTATCGAATACGAAATTACTTACCTTTACAATTAATAATTAAATATAAAAATTAGATTTGAATGTTTAATATAGGACAAAGAGACTAAGCAAAGACTCTTGAGTTTGGCTAGAGCTAGGATATGGATAAGGAGAATGGAGGAGAGGTGACATCTCAAGTTTTTGTCAATAATAATCTTTAATTTGACGAATTAAAGGCTAATAGACGACTAATACTAGTGTTTTCTTTTTGGTGTTATGAAACTAACAATAGATTGGTGGTTGAGGGTCGTGTAGTAGTGAATGTGAGAGTCTAGTTGAGAGGACAAAATACACACTAGCTTATATTTCGGTATTGTTCAGTATTTCGGTATATACCGATCCCAATCCCGTAATCTCTAATGCCGAATAACAATTGAAATTGAATCTCAATCCCAATCCCAAAAAATAATATGTGTATTCGGTAATACCAAATATAGACAAATTCGGTACGGTATTCGGTGTATCCCAAATACCGGTACCAAACTTGCAGCCCTACTTATGAAGACCTGCAATTTAAACAATTGTTTAGCATAATGAATGATATGATCAATCTCTGCAAACTGAATGTCTAATGGTTTAACTTCACAAGAGATGATATGTTTAACATGTGCACACTACAAAAATCCAGAAAAATTGATAGGCTTTTCATTTAAGGGAAAGTGTAAGAAATAAAAACTTAATAAATATTTTTCTAACAACCCAAATTACTGAAACTAAATGATTTCTTCGAATCCGAGTTATTAATTGTCTATCTTTAATCACACCCTTTTCTAGGCCAAAACCCGAAAGGAGTGGAGTGGGATCCACACGGGTTTAATCCAGCTGTGCGTGGCGCACCGATTCGACATTAAGAGGGACCTCCAAATTGCATGGATGGACCATAGTGAAGAAGAAAAAAACGATCGTCTGGAAAGCTCTGTTTTCTCCCATGGCGACAGGCAAATTATTCATTTTGTGCTAAAGTTTCAACTTAATTAGCTTGATGGAAGGATACGGAGGACCCATGACACGACATCTCCTTCATTCAGAAGAGGAATTTTATGAATGCTCACAAGTGACTTTAATTAGTACTCTCAGCTACAAGTTTGAATTTGTATCGATAACATTGAACATGTAATTGTTTAGTTTCCGTTAAATAAAGTTTTATGCAAAAAGTTATAATTACAAATTGTTCGGTGTGTATCATAAACAAATCAAGTTTTATGCAAAAAGTTATAATTACAAATTGTTCGGTGTGTATAAATAAACAAATCTGTAAGAAAATACATTTGTATAAATTGAATTTGTATCATAATATTAAAGATACTGTTCGAGCCCGAATGACCCTACTTCCATGCCACGTCACTCCACTCCACCCCGCACTCGAGCGCCTTGCCTGCACACCACACACACAGAGGTGGGCGTCTAGCCTGTAAGTCCTCCTACGCTCAAGTTAGTAAAATGTCTTTTAGAGAGAGAGAGAGAAGTAGTCCCTCCCAGTTTTCAAGTGTGAGAAGCTAACCTTAAATGTTACCTGCCAGCACTATTTATACTTACACAACCTGGGACCATGCTCTTACCTCTCTGCTCCACGTCAGCACGCCATTAAATGCATCGTACTTTGTTTAGGCTAGGCGCCTCGACCAACTTGTCAGACTTCTGACAAGCCGTAGGCGCCTCCCTTCAGGGACCACCGTCAATCTGTACTTCCTTGTTGCGTGTCAGAACCCCTTCAATCCTGTTTGGGTCCGGTCCACCGGGCTTCTCCAACGACTATCTTCGGCCCTGAATGTTATTTGGGCCCGTAGCTCTTCCTGGGCGTGGACTTGGGCTTCCTTCCTAAGTCATACCCCCAACAGATACGAATTTAGTTTGTACCATAAATTTTATTTCCAAAATGAACACACCGTAGCTTATGTGCATAGTACCCGAGCTCTACTTACACATGTTTCAAAAAAAAAAAAAAAAATTCAACTTGTTATTCAAAACTAAACCATGTTTATATAGTATTGTGAACGGATACAAATATGGTGGCCGGAATTCATATATGACGATCGAAAGTGGTAAATAGATTGGATTGAACCATTGAATTTATAAATTCAAAGTTACATTTACTTTTTGGACCATTTTTAATCAATAAATTAGGATTAGATGAACATATGTTAGATGAATTGCATGGTTAATTAAATCCAATCAACCCTTTGTCACCTCCTCTATCTCCCCATGCAAACGAGATTGTAAATCATGAAGCACCAACCGAATAACATAAACCTATATTTTCCTCCCTCGTAAGTGGATAGATACACAATTGTCAAATAACAAAAGAGAAAAAATATATATATATATATATTGACGTATCTTTCCCCTTGCCCTCATGCCGCGTGGCATTTGCCAGTTGCCACCTCGCAGAACGGCCTCCACGTTTCCGTCCACGTGTAACCATTTACCCGCTTCCCCAAACCCCTTCAAATCTCACTTCGCTCTTCAACTTTTACTCCACTTGTCAATTTTTGTTAATTACCACCGCCGGGAGATTTCCAAGCATGTCGCACAATTCAGAATCCACGGCGCCGCTCCTCCCGTCGACCAAAGGCTCCGCCGCTACGGTGAGCGACATAGTTCTCTGGAGGCGCCCGATATCGAGCGCCCTCGTCGTTTCGGTGGCGACGGCGACCTGGGTTCTGTTCGAAGTCTACGAATTCAACATCGTCACCGTCGTTTCGTGGGTCGGCTTGGCCGTCGTCGCTTCCCTCTACCTCTACGGCCACCTCTATAGGATCTTCCGGAAGTACTGAAGTTTTTTTTTTAGACAAAGCTATTTTTTTTCCCTCTTCATCATCTCGTCCCCCTCTTTTGTAATTGAAGTTATGTTTTGGGATGTCCAGGGAAGAGCCTGATCTGATGGACAGGCAGTTCCTGAGGGAGGAGAGAGTAGTGGAGGCGGCCAAATCGGCTGGATCTTCCATCGAGCTCGTGCTTCAGTGCCTGGTCCGGATGAGCACGAACGGAGACTGGAGAGTGTTGGCTCATCTCGTCGCCGTGCTATGGTTTGTGGCCTATGTGGGGAACTTGGTGGATTTCCTTACGCTGATTTATTCAGGTGGATCATTACGAACCGCCCCCCCCCCCCCCTAATCGAATGTGTTTGTCGTAAACTAACTGGTCTCAATAACTCGAGTTGTCGTTGTTGTTGGGAGAAGGTTAATTATGGATTTACTCTCTTGCACACGCCTCCTTAAATATGCAAATCTTATATCATTCTCTTACACGCGCGCGGGGTTCTTTGAAAATTTTGTTTGTCCACGCGAGCAGGTGTTGTGATGGTAATGACGCTACCACTGGTGTACAAGAAGAACGAGGGGAGGATCCTGCAATCCGGGGTGGCGGCTCAGATGAAGGCCTTGGAGGTTCTCACCGTGGTGAACGAGACGGTGATTCGGAGAGTGAAGGGTAAGTTTGTGGCCGTGGCTTCCCCGAGAGACGAGGATCGCCACGAGAAAGGGCGCGAGGAGGAGGAGGAGGAGTCGAGGGATGAGGACAACCACAACAACGAAGATCAGAAGGAGGAGAAGGTGGAGTAGCATTTCCATGCATGCAGAGGAATAAACAAATAAGTTCTCTCTAGCTAGGTGAAATTAGGGTTTTGGTGGGGGAATTGTTTTTTAGGGGCAGTCAGTCCTTTTTTTAGCTATATGCTGGTGTATATTAACGTGATGGTGATGACGAAAAATAACTTCCGGGACTGGTCTGAAACGCAGTCTGGCGAAGACGAATCATATTATATTAATACTAAGGTTAACATCATTCCTTTGAACAGAAGAGGATCCTTGGCGCAATGGTAGCGCGTCTGACTCCAGATCAAAAGGTTGCGTGTTCGATTCACGTAGGGTTCATGTTTTTTTCTTTTCGGTGGATTCCTTCTTTTCGTATTCACAACTTTCCTATACAATGGTCGTGAAGTAGCTCTTAAGTCATTCTTAATGAGGCTGTATAACCAGCAGGTTGAGAAATGGATCCGACTTTCGGTCGATCTACCCCTTCAAATATAAAATATCCAGTTTGAGTCCTCTCTCTGTGGGTCCTGCTGGGTCAGGTGTGCCTGTATGAATGTGGGATGTGACAGTACGGAGTGGATCTCATTCGGCTGGAGGGATAGTTATCCTCAATCACGTTAGGGAGGTCCTTGCGGTTATGGGGGTCCAATTTCCTTTGATTGATGATCCAATAGTGGTTGAGCTACTTGTCCTCCGGGAGGCGATCTCTTAGTGTTTGGATCATGGTTGAAGGAGATGCAAAAGTAGTAATTGACAAGATCAAGAACGCTGATGCTCGTGATAATCAGATGGGGGCTATTCTCGAAGAGGTTGTGCAGTCTTTCTTTTTGAACTTAGGCTTTAGTATGCGATTTGTAGGCCGGAGTAGCAATATTGTAGCTTATTTAGTAGCTAGAATGGTCATGTCCTTGTACCCGACTATGTGTCGCTTATTTGATTTTCAGGTCTGACTAAATGCCACGGTGTAATTATCTTCTTGTTCTGATCAATATATTATTATTCTTTTGTCAAAAAAAAAAAAACTCAATTTGGCTCATTGATAAATGATGGGGCTCGTGAACTCATTAAAATGTGAATTCGCTCATAAACCACAAATATGATATACGTTGATTTGCTCATAAACAGGAAGTCGAATTGGTTCGCTAGTAATTATATTGAAAACATTTCGAGAGTTCAAAACAAACTAGTTTAAGAGTTGAGCTTAAGAAATTATCGAATCAATTGCGCTAGCAAGCGTCGCAAGCTGGACAAAATTCTAACTCAATTTTGACTTATAATTCTGTGTATCTTGAAACCTAGGTAATGCCTCATCCAAAAGAAGACAATATCGATCTCACAACCCTTCTTGAACCCAATGCCGAAAATCCTAGTCCTGCAGAAACTACGACATAATCCCAACATCCCCACAATTAAGCTCATAGAGATAACCGAACACTTGCATACAAATTTTCATACAACAAATAAACTTCTTATGAGAAAATACCATACACTTTAAAACAATCATTATTCTTTAAGTTTACAAAAGATGTATGAAAAAGGTAATACAAAGACCGATCGAGTGGAGATACCTCGGACAGAAGATTCGTTAGCCAACTTACTGAAGACTAGGGGTGGCATTTCGGTTATTTCAGTTATAACCGATAACCGATCGGCCGGTTATCGGTTAACCGAAATAACCACTCTTCCTACCGAAAACAGCCATAAATAGACTTCGGTAATAGACTTCGGTGTCTCGGTTATCGGTTAACCGACCCACTTTTAAAACCAAAAACCATTTCGCCTAGCATCCGATAACCGACCAAAGTTCGGTTACTTCGGTTACCGGTTAGTGAATAACCGGCCGGTTATCAATTTAATCGGTCGGTTAACCGGTAACTGGTAACCGGTAACCGAACTGCCACCCCTACTGAAGACTAGGAATAAGTATAAGGATACTTAATGCAGAAGATTCACAGCATGCATGCTAGAGACTAGAATCATTAATTAGTATCGGTTTGGGTCTTCGGGGGTCAACCTTAAATGTTCCCATCCAATTGAGTACGATGATGAACACCAAGTGGGTTACGTTAGGAGCTAGTTTTTGTCAAGTTGTGGCGCAGGGCGGAATAGTCAAACTTTTGCTACCGAGTTATGTTAGAGGAGACCGGCCGGATCAGTGATGAGAGGTTGACGGTGCTCCTGGTGCAACTAGTGAAGGAATCATCGATCGTACGTACCCAGCGTCTTACAAAAGTTCACGACGCGTAAATTCGTAAAACACATTCGGAGTCTACAAATCTTTCTATCGTACTATACAATCACTTACGAACTGATCGCGCTTATTCGATTTCGAAACTTGTTTTAAAAGCATTTCAAAGCTATAAAAAATGTTATTTCAAAACTTGTAGTTGCAACCTGTAAAATCAACAACTTTGAGGAGCAAGTAAACCAATGAATATAACAGAATGGAGGGAACAAGCGGGTAGTCCGTAATTGAGTTTACTCGTTAGATTTTGAAAATAATTGGGGAAAGGAATAACATTTTTACTATTAGACTTGTGTTTAAAATACAACATCAAATGAGTTGTAGTCTAACGGGAGATATGTTTACCATTAATAGTGGTGTCCTAGGTTCAACTCGCCTAATTTACCACTTATATATTTTTCTTTTCTCATACGCAAACTACTACCAGAATTTAGGGTTGTTAGCCGGTGCATTTTCGGTTTAACCGAAGCGCACCATCGGTTAGCCGAGACCGAGAATCACCCATCACCGCCAATCGAAACCGAGATCGATGGGGTCTTGGGTTAACCACCAACCGCAACCGGCGGTTTCGGTTTTTGGTTGCGGTTTGCCGAGACCGCAGGGCCTGTCTTCTTCTTCTCGTCCTCTTCCCTGCCATCGAGAAGAACTGGCCACTAGTATGTGCTGTCTTCCGGAGAAGGTAACTGGAGGAAGATCCCACCACGATGGGAGGACTAGCAGGCGGGAGACGACAACGGCAGGGCGATGACGACGGTTGCGGCACCGGCGGGGAGGGTTCGAACTCTGGAGGAAATCAAAGATGGTATGGTAGCGGGTGTGAGTTTTGGGGATTTAGGGTTCCTCTAGTCCTCCTCTCCCATTAGACTTCGACTTCTCCAGGTGAAACAAGAGAAGAATCTTAAACCTATTTCGCCAGGCGCCGCCGCCAGATCTCTCATCGCGTCGTCTCGTCTGTCACCCGTCGGGCGCCGCCGACAGCTCTCCCACTCTCCAGCGTCGTCCTCGTCCCTACTCCCTTTGTCTGTTGTCCGCTCGTCACCCCCAACTCAAACCCCCAATTCCACTCTGTCAATTGGGATTTGCTGGGCAAGGATTCGAAACTCATAATGGGAGGAGTGGGAATCGACAACAGAGAAGGAGGGGGTGTTCGGAAAGAAGGGTCGGCGAAGTCGGGCGAGGGCAATTGGGGATGTGGAGGGTGGTGGCCTGGTGGGAGTTTAGGAATGAATTTTACACATACATGTAGCAAGGGCGCTCAACCCTTGTTATAACCGTTGCAGGGAACTTGTACCAAGGGTCGCTAATAACCCGTGCTACACGTAGCAATGCCAGCTTTGCCAAGTGTCCGTCCAAAAGTTGCACCAGCCCTTGCTACATCCTGTAGCAGGGATAAAAAAACACTTGCTACATCCTAGATCAGGGGCAGCTCTCCAGCAACATCAACAATCCCAAAGTCTGAGTACTCAGCATACACTTTTTAAAACAATAATCGTGCTTACCTTCACAAAATGCAAAAAAAAAAAAAAAAAAAAACGGTAACAATTGGTAAGAAATTGAACCATGGTTGTTATTTCACGTACATGACAATGAACAAATTAATCAAGTATACAAATGAGCAGAGTCGTCTCAAGAATCCATAACCCAAGTCTCCTTCTCTTGTTAATTAGGCCCGCTTGCGATAGTCTCCTCTCCGGTCACCATCCTCGTCGTCGTCATTATCACGGCCGCCGCAGCAATGACCCCAACAAACCGAAATGTTCAAACACGTCCTCTTCTCCGTCCTCTCATAACGAACCTCAACCCTCATCCCCCGTCGCCCACCACCACCGCCGCTCCTCTGCCTCCCCAACGGCGGAGCGGGCCCCACCTGCCGGCCTACGTACATCCGATCCAGCTTCGCGTTCATCTCCACCACCTGGGCCTCTATAGTCATCAGCCGGCCCATCACCGCCCCAGGCCCAAAATCCACGCTCAGCAGCATCCCGAGCGACGCGTCGAGCCTCGTCAGGCGCTTGGAGAACCGCCGCTTCCGCCGGAGGTTCCACCACCGGATCCCGCCGCAGTCCCGCACCAGCGCGTCGGCCTTCTCCAGCATCTCCCGCAGCTTCAGGGCCTCCCTGTGGGCCCCCGACTCCGGGTAGCGCGCGTCGATGGCGGCGAACCTGCGGCTGAGCGGCTCCACTTTCCCGGCCAGGACGGCGAGCTTGGAGCGGAGCGTGGAGGCGCGTGTGAGGGAAGGGTGCATGTACAGCTTGATGGTGGTGTACAGCTCCTGGAAAACGAGCCCCAGGAGTGCTCCGCCCACGGGTTCCATTAATGTTGTAGTCTCTTGACGAGTTGGGTCTAATAGGAAAGAAGGTTTATTATGGATCTTGTATCACTCTCTAACCGTGAATTAGTTTCTCGATCTTAACTAACCTGGATTTCTGTGTAAGATAGGTTGTTAATGGAGATTGAGGGGAAGCACTCTGTTTTCGAAGAATATATAGAGCTGTGTTGTTGAGTTGACCCTGTTTTGCAGTCAACTAGGCCACTTCCAGGCTTGAGTCTGCTGCCTGCTGTATGTTCGTAGAAACTGACAAGAGCCATTTTTTTTTCCAATAGTACTCTTGAGTCGTTTTCTGTTGAAAAAGTCCGAGAGTTGACCGTGGACAGAAGATTCAGATCATCCAGAATCATTAGTTAGTATCGGTTTGGATCGTTGGGTCAATATTTCCGAAGAAGAACGAGGACAGCGAGCAAGGTAACTTTAATGGACTTATCACCTGTGGAGAATAGGATCAAGGACTTCTGATTCGGGCCCAAATGTACACATTTTACTCCTCATTTCTTATTCGTTTAGCTTAGTATTTCATCGTTCCTCGACATATTTCACGATAGGTTGTGCTTGTTTTGATATATTTTCAGATCCTAGCATGTGTGGAAGGGTCGAGGACGAGTTTTGAGATAATTGGAGGTCAAAAAGCGATAAAACCGAAGAAAAGTCCGACCGTGACAGTTGCCCCGTAACAGTGAAGTGCAGGCGCCCAGGAAGCAGCCGCAGTTCACGGTCAAACAAGGGAGTTCACGGTCTTAGGAGACCGTGAACTGGAGCCACAAACCGTGAACATCGAGCAGTCCAACGAGGTTTCAGAGGTTACTGACGCCAAGGGAGTTCACGGTCGCTAAGACCGTGAACTGAGACCATTAATCGTGAACCCAGGAGAGGGAAGCGGTGCGCTTTGGAGACGACTAAGTTCACGGGCGCGTTTAGGTATTCACGGTCGTAAACTGACCAACACGTCCGTGAACTGGTCACTTTCGGGCAAATATGAAGATAGTAGAGGGGAGAGAGAAAAGGTGGCTGGTTTTTGGAGATAAATTCAATTCCCTCTCTAGGGTTTGCCCAAAAACACCAAAGGGGAGTTCTAGTGAGAGAGAGAGAGAGAGAGAGAGAGAGAGAGAGAGAGAGAGAGTGCTAAAGTGATCTTGGAGCATCATTGGAGGCTTGGGTGGATCTTGAAGACAAGGATTCAAGCCTAGAAGAAAAAGAAGAAGATCTTGAGCTCAAATTTGTAATCCCTCTCTTCTCTCTCTAAAAACTCACTCTTTTCTCTTGGGTGTTGTAGATCTCTAACTAATAATTTGTAATTACTTGTTTAGATTGAATGATTTTGTATGAGTTTGCATCAATTTGAGTATTAGAGGTGTTTTCATGGTGAATCATGATTTTGCTTAGTTGTGCTTTTCAAATCTTTTGTGCTTGCCTAACCTAGATTAGAGGAAAACCACATCTTTTCAGGTAGGCTTGACAAGCTTGGTTTTTCTTGGCACTTGTACCTACTATCTAGGTTAGAGATTAGCATGCCCCTTGACTCAAGTTTGCATCTAGGTTGGTCGTGATTAAACCGCTCAAACACCGGTTTGAGGGAGAGACCTAGGCAACCCCTAGAGACTGAGTGAGAGGATCGATTCCATGACAAATCGATCTCTAGTGAATCCATCCTGTGACAAATGGATCACTAGTTGCTCCTCCTAGCGGTTCCCCTAGACGTCATGAGTGGATCGATTCCGTGACAAATCGATCGATAGTGAATTGATTCTGTGACAAATCGATCACTAGTTGCTCACCCTCGCGGTTCACAACCACCTACACCACACGACTCCATTCAATCCAACGAGTCATAGTAGCTAGTTAGGGGGAAGCAACTCCTAGGTGAAGCTCCCTTAGTTAGCATTTTCCTTTCTTTACTTTTCTTTGCTTGTTTAGTTTGTAGTTCCATTAGTTCTAAACCCAAAAGTTGCTTGCTAGATAACAACCTAAGCGATTGAAGTAGGGGTACATGGATCGGCCCGAGTTGATAATTAAAACTTACTTGCCCTATGTTGCACCCCTCTATAGTTTAAAAACTTGGGCTCTAGAGGGGGTTTCTAGTGTGGTGTTTGGTGTGAGTCAAGTTTTTGGCTCCGTTGCCGGGGAACCATTCTAGGTTATTTGAAAAATGTTTAGGTCGTTAATTTAGCCGTTTTGTGTTTCGTTTTGTTTACCCACTCTTCTCTTAGAAGGGTGGTTTGTGTTTGTTTGATTTTGTTTTTGTGTTTTTGTTTGTGTAGGTTATGAATCATGGATCCAAATGACTTCTACAATAGGTGGGGGTATCCACAACCACCCAAATGGGGGTACCCCGAAGCTTCATGGAGTGAACAAGAAGGGAGAAGCCAAGGATACGGGTTCTATTACCAACCCCCCTTCCAAGAAGAACAACCATACCATTGGGGGTATGAAGAGGCTTCCCCATACCAAGAAGATTTCCCTCCACCACCCGAGGATAAATCCAAGTTGGAGTTGGCCATGGAAGCCTTCATGGGACAATCATCAAGACCATGTGCCACTCCACAACCGGAGCCAAAGAGAAACTGGGAGCTCATGGTGGAGAAATTTGCCCAGGGTACCGACGAGGGATGCTCCAATTTGGACCTTCCCATCGCTGGCCCTATCGACTCAACCTTTCTTCGGGAATCGGAGGAGCTCCTTCGACGCACGCAGAGGCAATGAAAGCTTGTTGAGCAAGCATGTGCACAACTTGCTCACAATCGCCTCCTGCCATTTGAAGAAGAGAAAGAGGAGGTTGAAGAGGCAACCCATGAGACCTTTGGAAGAATGAGCTCCGACATGGATTTCCAACCCCTCCCTCCTCCCGGTTTGACATTAGAAGAGAAAGTGGCACAAGCTTTTGAAAGCTATCGCCTCTCATTGTTGGAGGAGAAAGAGGAGGTTGAAGGAGCGATCAATGACAACCATGTGGAGCAAGACGAGCTCACCTCGGAGAGCTCCCGTGGTGAGTATGAACAAGAAGGTTTTATTCATGACTTTCATCACTTTCCCCTTCCCGAGACCAACTTTGAAGACCAAGTCACGAGTGCGGAGGAGCAAGATAACCCTTTCTATGATCTTGCATGGCATCTTGTCCTCCAAAATAGAATGAAAATGGCATTTCGGAAAAATCGCCCGAAATATGTTATGGTACCCTTTGGAATCTGCCCAAAATTGACCAAGAATAAATCCGCCAAAATTGGTGCTTAATGGACTTAATCATCATTAAAGAATAGCCTCAGGCCGAATCCGTGATCTGTAGCCTTCATAATCCAAAGAAATTTGTGATGGTACCCCTTTGGAATCTGCCAAAAAATAATCCAGAATAGATCCGCCCAAATTGGTGATTAATGGAGTTAATCATCGTTAAAGAATAGCATTGGGCAGATCCGTGATGTGTAGCCTCCAAAATCCAAAGTAAATTGCCTTTCGTCGCCCAAAAACTTACAAAAATGCCATCCGATAATAAATTGGCCAAAAGCGGTGCTTACTGGACTTATCACCAGTGGAGAATAGGATCAATAGACTTCATTATCGGGAAGAATAGTCTCGGTTTGAATCCGTGATCTGTAGCCTCATGAATAGGAAAAATGGCATTTCAGAAAAATCGTCCGAAATCTTTGATGGTACCCCAATGGAATCTGCCAAAAATTGACTTGGAATAATCAGCTCAAATCGGTGCTTAATGGACTTAATCATTGTTAATGAATAGCCTCAGGGTGAATCCGTGAATTGTAGCCACCAAAATCCAAAGACAATGGACTTTCGTCGCCCAAAAAATTAAGAAAATACCATCCGATAATATATTGGCCCAAATTAGTGCTTAATGGACTTATCACCCGCGGAGAATAGGATAAATAGACTTCATTATCGGCTGAGAATAGCCTCGATTTAAAACCGTGATTTGTAGTATCAGGAATCGAAAGAGAATGGCATTTCAGACAAATCCCCTGAAATCTGTTAAAGAATAAATCAACCAAATCGGTGCTTAATAGATTTAATCATTGTTAAAGAATAGCCTCAGGCAGAATCAGTGATCTGTAGCTTCAAAAATCCAAAGATTCTTGTCCCAAAAAGTTACAAAAATGTAATCCTATATTAAATTGGCTCAAATCGGTGCTTAATGGACTTATCACACGTGGAGAATAGGATCAATAGAATTCATTATTTGTGGGGAATATCCTCGGGCTGAATTTGTGATATGTAGGCTCAAGAATCGAAAGAAAATGGCATTTCGGAAAAATCGCCCAAAATCTGTGATTTGGAATCTGCCAAAAATTGACCCGGAATAAATCCTCCCAAATCGGTATATAATGGACTTAATCATCGTTAAAGAATAGCCTCAGGCCGAATCCATAATCTGTATCCTCCAAAATCCAAAGAAAATGACCTTTCGTCGCCCAAAAAATTATGAAAATGTCATCCTATAATAAATTGGCCAAAATCGGTGCTTAATGGACTTATCACCCATGGAGAATAGGATCAATAGACTTCATTATCGGTGGAGAATAGCCTCGGCATGAATCCGTGATTTGTAGCCTCCATAGTCGAAGGAAAATGACATTTCTGAATAATCGCCCGAAATCTGTGATGGTACCCCTTTGGAATTTGCCAAAAATTTACGCGGAATAAATCCGCCCAAATCGGTGCTTAACGGATTAGTCATCGTTGAAGAATAGCCACAGGCCGAATCTGTGATCTGTAGCCTCCAAAATCAAAAGAAAGTGGCCTTTCGTCGCCCAAAAATTACAAAAATGCCATCCTAAAATAAATTGGCCCTAATCGGTGCTTAATGGACTTATCACCCGTGGAGAATAGGATCATTAGACTTCATTATCGATGGAGAATATCTTCGGCCTGAAGCCGTGATATGTAGCCTCGAGAATCGAAAGAAAATGACATTTCAGAATAATCGCCCGAAATCTGTGATGGTAACCCTGTGTAATATGCTAAAAATTGACCCTGAATAAATCCTCCCAAATTGGTGCTTAATGGAGTTAGTCATCATTGAAGAATAGCCTCAAGCGAATCTGTGATCTGTAGCCTCCAAAATCAAAAGAAAATGGCCTTTCGTCGCCTAAAAATTTACGAAAATGTCATTC